CACTGTCAAGCAATGCTAGACGTATTTAAAGACATTTTGAAGGAGGAAAAAAAGAAAAGAAGGCCTGGCCCCCTCTGAGAATCAAACCTGCGCCATGAGTCACCAAAATCTTTGAAAATTCTCTAAGTCCCACCCCTGGGGACTTACGTGTGCCATAGCTCCTTCAATAGTCATTGAATCTCCCTGGTTCCACTTCCGTAACTATATTATCTTTCAAATCCGCACAACTTTCCTCAGGTGTCCAAGGTGGTGCGGATGACATAGTGCATGCAAACGGACATGCACTGCATGCTTTTTGCATGATTTGCTGGTTGACAAACACCCTGTCATATCCATGTATTGCAATGCAAAAAGGCATTTGCCATCCTCCACCATCAGGAGGAGCAGTGGAAGAAAAGAAAGTATTTGGGCCTCAAAAGGATTTGAACATGTAGCAAATTGAGAGCAAACCAAAATGAGCCATTCGCCACCAACTGGAGAACACCCCCATATTGCCTGGAAACAAAAAGTGCCAGGAGTTGATGAATACTAGAGTAGATGAAGGTTCCTAGATGTTTTTGGGGATGTTTTCTGAGACATATTCCACTTCAAGCAAATTCCATCCACTCAGAGCTTCAGAAAATGCGTTTTGGTCACATTTTCATAGTAAAAAATCTGAAAAACGGATTTTCCGGGAGCATTGAGTGGAAAACATGCCCCACAATTTTATGTACAGTACAGTAAGACGCCCCTGAACATTGCTAGCACCTATTTTTGACACTTTCCGGACCACCAAAAATAACCCATAACCCGGAACAGTCCTGTAACCCTAACCCTAACCCTAACCCTAACCCTAACCCTAACCCTAACCCTCATCCCCTGCCTCATCTCGTCCCCTCAGCACCGGGATATCCATGCTCCTGATCATCAATCCTATGTCGAAGGTATTCGACCGGCCCCCTGAACTCTCGTAGACCGCATCCTTCGCTGCCATGGTCTCCCAGTAAGCCTTCATCCCGTACTGCACTATCCTAACCATTCCCCCTTCAACGCATTCCGACAAGGTCCCAATCAGGGTATCCAACGCCACATGCTGTCTGCCCTGAATCGTGCTATTAGGGCTGTCACTCCCCCGCACAATTATTCCATGGTCCCTATATAATCCCTCAATGATCCCCTCTCTAACACCCCGACTCGGCGGGATGCTCAGTATGAACGGTTGGCTCACAACCGTAATCCATTCCTTATAGAATGGGTCATCCTTGAACGGCGGACGAGCGCCCGCCATTTGGACAATGGTGGACCTATCGAACAGCTGGTTAAGATCAGTTAAACTGATCGTAACCGCCATCCAGTCCACATCGTATTGATATGGGTGCATGGTGATATTTATTTTGCCCCCGGAAAAATCCCTCTGTTGTTGTGTCGAACGCAAGGTTTGAACCATGCACCCTCGGTTGTGAATTGAGTATCTTATGCAACTGCGCTATTTGCCATCGATGAAATGCATTGAAAACGTATTCGCCAGATAGGGCGCAGGCTAACCCTAACCAGTATGCGTGCATAGTAGAGTTGTATAGAGTGCGCTATGGGTGTCCGGGGACTATGGGAATTCATCTGTAGGGGGTTCCTAGGTAAAGGACATGTGTATGGACTGGCTTTAATGCATTCCAGGTGGTGTTGGATTTTGAGAAAAGCGTCAATCCTATTTTGTTTTTTGCATTTTCTGCAGCCGTTTACAGCTTAATTGCACATCTGAGATGACTTTAACTATGAGAACATATATCTGGCTACAACTTTCGTTACGCCCACATCGTGTTTCGGGTGGCGCGGGAAAAAGAAAAAAAAAAGTATCCCCAGCAAAACCGGGGTTGGAACTTGGGGCACTAGTTCAGATAACATTAGCACTTGCCACTATGCCAATGTCTGTCGGTAGAATGTTACCTGTGTTTGGTCAGGTCAACCAGACGGCGCAAAATGCAAAATTTTCGAAAATTCTCTAAGTCCCACCCATTGGAGCTTGCGGGTGCCATAGCTCTGTCAATAGTGATTGAAACTCCCTGGTTGCCCTTCCGTACCTATACTATCTTTTGAATCCGCACCATTGCCTTGGATGGCCAAGGTGGAACGGATGATGTAGTGCATGCGAATGGACACGCACCGCCGGTTTTTCGCATGTTTTGCTTGTAGATCGGCCAAAAACACTTTTTACCTGCACTTCTCAGCTTTTTGATTGTTTCCTGACACTGTCAAGCAATGCTAGACGTATTTGAAGACATTTTGAAGGAGGAAAAAAAGAAAAGAAGGCCTGGCCCCCTCTGAGAATCAAACCTGCGCCATGAGTCACCAAAATCTTTGAAAATTCTCTAAGTCCCACCCCTGGGGACTTACGTGTGCCATAGCTCCTTCAATAGTCATTGAATCTCCCTGGTTCCACTTCCGTAACTATATTATCTTTCAAATCCGCACAACTTTCCTCAGGTGTCCAAGGTGGTGCGGATGACATAGTGCATGCAAACGGACATGCACTGCATGCTTTTTGCATGATTTGCTGGTTGACAAACACCCTGTCATATCCATGTATTGCAATGCAAAAAGGCATTTGCCATCCTCCACCATCAGGAGGAGCAGTGGAAGAAAAGAAAGTATTTGGGCCTCAAAAGGATTTGAACATGTAGCAAATTGAGAGCAAACCAAAATGAGTCATTCGCCGCCAACTGGAGAACACCCCCATATTGCCTGGAAACAAAAAGTGCCAGGAGTTGATGAATACTAGAGTAGATGAAGGTTCCTAGATGTTTTTGGGGATGTTTTCTGAGACATATTCCACTTTAAGCAAATTCCATCCACTCAGAGTTTCAGAAAATGCGTTTTGGTCACATTTTCATAGTAAAAAATCTGAAAAACGGATTTTCCGGGAGCATTGAGTGGAAAACATGCCCCAAAATTTTATGTACAGTACAGTAAGACGCCCCTGAACATTGCTAGCACCTATTTTTGACACTTTCCGGACCACCAAAAATAACCCATAACCCGGAACAGTCCTGTAACCCTAAACCCTAACCCTAACCCTAACCCTAACCCTAACCCTAACCCTAACCCCTAACCCTAACCCTAACCCTAACCCTAACCCTAACCCTAACCCTAACCCTAACCCTAAACCCTAACCCTAACCCTAACCCTAACCCTAAGTATTACCTAAACGACGACCTGTGGTTTTCTTGTCGAGAAAAATAAAGGACGCGGAAACTCAATATCCTACGCACGAACAGGGGCTTTTAGCTCTTGTGAAGATGTTGACTGCCAACCATCCATATCTTATCGGTCGTTACTTTCGATGTTTCAGCGACGGCAAAGGACTCGAAAAATCCAAACACATCCCCATTATCGTCTTCATTTCCTCTGACGTTACATATGTGGTGCCGGCCTGGTGGCGAAAATTGGATACCATAAATCTATCGTAGACTCTTTCACGCTCGGATAGCCCTCCAGGATCATGCTGACTCTGCGTGTGGAAGAGCACGTCCGAGATACGATTAGTGAAGGTCCTTCGTTCCTGCTCTCCGTGCAAACCCCAAATGGCATCTTTGGCCATGGCATGGAGACTCAGCAGGTATCTCCTCCATCCTCCCCCCACTTTGAAAGTCCATAGTTCCTATCACTTTCATCCGTCGCGAATTAAACTACAAAACAAGCGCCTCGCAAATCCCGAACATATAATACTCTTTCCATTGACTTTTTCATTTCGCCCCGCCTGAATATATGCGGTCTTCTTCCGCGACGCGCTTATACTCTTGTTCTACTTTTATTCACACGGTAGGCTGCAAAGCGGGTCGATCCAGAACCGTGAACGAGTTCTCCACGGCTACTCTTTTGTCATTATAGGTTGAAGAGTGCGCGGGTGTCAGCCAAGGCTCCGAGCCAGAGGTGTAGAGATACTCCCGGCGAGTGCCAAAGATCTCTTCCCGCCTGGTATGGTGATCATGTCCAAGGTATGTGTAAAAACGATTGAATAGGTATGCGATTTGGTCAACGTCGTCGATATCGAACCCATAAGGTTCGGATAGACGGTAATGCCGAGCCAAGTCTGCGGTGTTGTATGTCGGTCCTCGCGCCACTGCGTATGACGAATTGATCTTATCAGCCTGCGTTCATTGGGTTTCGACACTGGCCAATCCTTACTTGCGAAGGCGTTCCGTTTCTGAGTTCGTTGAAGAACGAGCAGAAGCTAATCTGGAATCGCGGTAGCCAACGCGACTTAAGTCATCCGATGGAAAACGAAGAATGATCTAAGACCTTCCCTTTATGTTCCCCGTGTGCCCCGGCCGCCTGACAAGAAAACGAATCCTTCATTGGCCGTAAACGGGAACCCCATAGCACTCCCGCAAAAATCAACCGACATTTAGAAACCACGCTGCCCCGTAGATGGCAGGAGAAGCAGATATCCCAAAAGCCCGTTACGCCAGTGAAAAGATGTGCGGGAGGAGTCACTAAGCTTTACAACTAACACGTACTACGTATAGTTCGAACTTTTCCTCGTGCACGCCGATAGACCCACTCGTAGAGCGAGCCGCCCCTAATCCAAAAATGCAGGACTCAAGAAACTGATAGCATCGACCAGCACGAGACAAAGCAAGGGGGATACACTGCCACGAGGTCATCAGGACCCGAACCAACAATAGGAGCTTTGGCAAGCGCTTTCTCCCCGGCCCAACTACCACTCAGAAAAGGCGTTGATAAGCTCCTCCGCTTCCTCTTCCATTTCTGCTGGAGTTCCTGCCCGCGTGAATCCAAGATCCAAATTCGCACTCCGTCGGTTGCAGAATAGACAAAGTTTTCCAAACGAACGTCTCCGTGTATATGGCCAGCACGGTGCAGGGAGTCCAGACAACGTACGCAATCAGCCCTCAGCTGAGAAGTGGCCCCCATCTCTTCACCGAGATGCCGCAATCTTCGAGTGCGATGATTTTGAGCATGTTCCAGACTCGAAAGTATCCAAAAAACCGGGGAATCGTATCACCCTGAAGTGGTGCCAGGATGCGGTACTGGTTCACTTCGTCATCAAGTTCCTTCGAGTAGAGAGTACTTTTGGTCGCGTCCACGATTTTAAAAATCACTTCACTCCTCGTAAAGTCCCTTCCACCACCGCACCCATACGACTTCTGTCCCTGCCCTTGTCAAATGTCACGCGACCGATCTCCACATCGGTAAGTGTATATGACACCCGGAGGCGGGAGGAAGACGGCGACGAAGCAGGGGACCCGAAGCGAGATGGCGACGGCGATGTGGTCGGCGACGCATAGAACCACTTATCCATAGCGAGTAGGAGGAGCGTAACGTACGCCTCCATGACTGTGAATGGCGTAGATTTGTTGTAGCCAAAAGGGCCTACAATTTGCAATTGACCGCCTAATTGCGAACCTTTGCGCTGCAGGAAGTAAGTCTCCTCGTATGTGGTCAAAACTCCAAAACGATGATGGTTGAAAGTCATGTAGCCATATATCTGGTCGATCGCGCGGCGAACTTTGGACTTGGGGTGGGAATTTCGATATGCCGTCACAATATCGTTCTGCTTGGGAAACGCCCACGGGGTCTTGAACTCGATGGTCAAAATTGGTTTTCCTCCGTTTTGCTCGAGTATCCTGTCCGGGTCTGAGACCACAGAGTTGTTGCCCGTGATATCAACGATTTTGTACCCGGAGTGACCTAGCGCCTCCAAGGCGTCACTTAAGGTTTCGTGCAAGGTATAGTCAGCAAAGGCGTGCACATTGGTCTCTGATGACACCGGAGTGCGTGGGGTGTAAATGTGCTTCTGAAACCACTTGCTGCCAAGGAGAGGGCGATTTGCCAGAACGGCAATTGAAAAATCAGACCACTCCTCGAGAGTATTGATATCTGTTAGCGGGTGGGTTGGCGTCGTGGTAGACGTCCCGGACAGTGTAATGTGCCGCGGTATGGGGGGTAAAACTGCATTCTGAACGAAATGCAACAAGGTTCCACTCGCCATGGTGGGTGAGTGACAGGGCGAGACCGAAGCGGACTTGTGCGTTGCGGAGGATATGCCGAAGCTGGGTGTGAGCGCGAAGGTTGTTCTGAACGTCCAAGAAGTTATTGAGCGGGAGATGCTTCCCGGATGGAGTGCGGCGGTGAGTGCGGAGATGAGGGGAGCTGCGAGGATGGGCCGTTGCCGAAGGCCGTGGCGACGTCGAAACCTGCGTCGAAACTGGCGAATATGAACGGTTGAAATGTTGCGCCCGTGGGAAGCTGCGTGGGAAGGTCAAACGCGGCTATCCACGTGGCACGTTGGCGATTGGCATAGCAGCGACATGCAACATCACTGCCAGAAAGCCTCTCATCGGCCTTTCACCGAAGGCAAAAGGCCCCAGCCTCGCTCAAGCGCCCCATTGCAATACAATCTGTATAAGTAGGAGTGCCGTTTCAGAGTGCGAGTGGCAAGTTGCCAGCACAAGAAAAGTTGGCACTGGGTCCAGCACCGCTTGTCCATTAGCTTCTGCAACCCACTGCATCATCCCGCGGCACTCTAACATGAGCATATCATCCCTATGCAGCAAGTTCCGCGACTACCTCCTCCTCACTCTACTTCGCTTCATCGCAAAGTCAGCCAGCCGCCCTCCACCCTGCGCCTTCCGCACATTCACCGAGATCCCCTCGCGCGACCCCACAAGGACGATCAAAGCACACATCTATACTCCTCCGATCCTCTGTCACAGCAACGCGCCCAGTGCCGTTATCATCAACTGGCATGCAGGAGGCTTTATTCTACCGGTTCATGGGCAAGACGCAAAGTTTTGCGCATCGATGGCAGAAGATGTTGGTTGCGTCGTAATTGACGCGGATTATCGCAAAGCGCCCGAGGACGCGTTTCCCGCTGCCGTGGAGGATGTGGAGGATGTGGTGCGTTGGGTGTTGGGGAGGCGCGAAGTCTATGATATCGGGAGGATCGCGGTTACCGGCTTCAGTTCCGGTGGAACCTTGGCACTTGGAGTTTGTTTAAGGACACAATCTGCCGCAGGAGGTGGTTTTGGGCTCGACATGGGATTGACGATTCCGCGTGCTGTGGTAACGTTTTACCCTCCTACTGATAAATCTATCCCGCCTGAAGCCAAGACCGCCGTTGGCGACCTCGTTGATCCCACACCGCCTTTCATTCTTGAATTGTTTGGAAAGGCATACCCCGGTGTGACAGCCGACCTCGCCAACCCACTCATCTCACCTTCCCGTGCCGACCTGACACGATTCAGCGACTCGGACTACCTCATTCTTACATGTGCTGGGGATCTCCTGTGTGCGGAGGCCGAGGAACTGGGGCACCGGCTGGAGCAGCGAGCAACCGAGGACCATCGTGGGCGGAAGGTTCTCGTTAAGAGACTGGAAGGTGTGGGGCATGCTTGGGACAAGAAAGCCCGAGATGGCACCCGGGAGGCGGAGGTCAGGGATGAGGCATACGTGTTGGCTGCGGAGTTCTTGAAGGAGAGTTTATCCCGGCTGTGAAATTAGCCTATGCAGGTAGTGTGGCTCGGTTGGAGGTTGGTGGTCCATCGACTGACTCATTGTAGTGTACGATACATCCATTTTTAGTTGGTGCAACATGCGAGTTGAGGGAACTACATCCGAGTAACATTACGGAAAGAGTCTCCTCTCGATCGACTGCTTTCTCCGATCCCTAGTTCCGCAGTGCGAAGCTACCGCTTTTTGTGTTTTGATGATATATATAGAGCGGTGGTCAGACACTGCTTCAACGCAGCAAGACATGTGACTGTATCGGTACTTGAAAGTATGGGCAACATATAATCATAAGGTTCACACCACAAAGGGCCAAGTGCAGGCCGCGTTTAGAGACACAAGCGGTTGTAGTGCAGAATAGGTTGTAATACTGTATACGTATGGGCTCATGAATAGAAAAATATGCCATTGCCGCATATAAAACCCCCCGAAGATTCCGAAAACTTTTGTCGTGGTACAGTACCTCCAACACGAACGGTGGACACCGATCAGAATAAAGAAAGAGGTACAACCACGTTCAACGAACCTTCAAGGCAGGCGTATCCCCGAGTCCAGACTCCACAACTCTCATTCCCGAGCCGCACACCTCATCCAGCCCCCTTCTAGCCGCTCAACGCCCGCGACTTTCCCGAGTCCACAACCCTCATTATTGCCTAGCCGCACGCACAGACGCACTCATCGCGAAACTCATTCAGGCAGTCTATCGCGCGTTAAACAGTCGCCAACCGGACGCCGACATTTGGCGTCTGATTGGCGCTTGCCGGGTAATGATTAACTTGAAGCGTCGAACGGGCGTCGGCTAGCCGCTCGTTTTTAGGTAGTCTATTCACGAACAAACACTCCTCCGTCTTGCAAAATCCGTAACACCGTCTATGCTAAGTAAGTCACCCGTCAAGATACACGGTCCACCATCTATGATCCACCATGTACTGTACCGTCGACTATGGTACCCTCCACGCTCCACAGCAATCATCAATGCGAGCGAGGGGCCGGTGAAATTCATATAAAAAGGGGGATGGACCCTTTTCCGACAGACATCCCACAGTATCCCTTGAAATAAGCCGAAAACCAACAATGTTCTTCGCAAAGCTCGCCATCGTCACCCTCCTTGCGGTCAGCGCCAACGCGGGCATCATGGTGAACCTCAGGAACAGCTTCGGCAAATGCCTTGACGTTCCCTACGGCAACCGGCTACAAGGTCAAGCCCTCCAGGTCTGGGACTGCAACGGTGGTGACAACCAACAGTGGGCCATTACAGACGGTGCGGACTTCTGGGTCGTGTCCGGCAGCCTCTGCCTTGACACCAGGGGCAATGGTCCTGGAAGGACCACCGCTGAGCTTTGGGAATGTAGCAACAGTTAGTAATTTGTCTTAGGTTTCATGCGATCTTTCTCTCATCACTCACCGCCACAAATCTTCTCCTTGCATCTTATCTCTTACCTTGCTCCATGCATCACCACAACAACCCACTTCGTAACACAACAGATGTTGGCCAGAAATGGCACTGGGCCGGCCACTCCCTCGTCAACGGCTACGGCTACTGCCTCGACACCAACGGTAACATCGCAGACTCGGGTACGGCGGTTAATGTCTGGGATTGCAACGGCTCCGCCGGGCAGGGATGGTACTACTAAGCTGTATTGTAATGGATTGAAAAGATGTTAGATTACTGTAGAACCGTTACCGTTAAGTTGGGGTGACGATTAGAAGCTTCTGTCAAAGACGCAATTACAATGCCATTATTCAACACAATCTGGACTGACAGTTTTCTGTTTCCGACCGACGATGTACTATATTATGTTGCGATTCTTGCGATGTGGACTTCTCAAAAGCCGTTCTTTTTGTGCCTGGCGGTTTGCTGTTGACCCCTTACACGATGAAGCTCTGTCGTGATAAGGTTTTGACGGCATATTGACGAGACAGCGTTTCGGAGCTTGCCTCGGTATTTTGTGTGTGCATGATTGAGGGAAGGGAAAGGAGTTTCCCCGTATGAGAAAAGTACAATGACAAGCGGCTCTTCCATCCCTTCTGATCGTAGCAGGCCCTCATGATGGACAATCCGCGGCTAGGGTGCAGTTTAGTGGGTTTTCGAATTTAAGTTACGCGTGAACTTAAATTGACTTAAGGTTAGGTTAAGGTTAGGGTAAGTCACCGGCCCCCTGGTTAGGATTAGGGTTAGGGTTAGGTGGGGGTTAAGGAGGGTGGGGGTTAGGGGGGGTCGGTAATTTGTTGAAAAGTAATATATCTTTTAAATGGGAACCCTTAACCGCGTACATTAAATTCGAGAGCCCACTAAACTGCACCCTTACCACAAAACCGCTGGCTTTTCCGTGTAGCGCTCTGGATAGCAAGGAGGCAGTAAAGAGTCGTAAAGTAGGGATTAGCGAAATCTGCGCCGCACGGGCGTAGCAGTTTCGCGGGGCTCCTTGCAGCTGGAAAGTCCTACTTTATACAGAAAATTCTCGATTTCGATGTCCATTGTCCATGGGTTAGGGTTAGGGTTATGGCGCCAGCAATGAGAGCAAGACGGGGGCTAGAATAAAGCCCTTCATGGAGTTTGAGGCTGTTGGTTTGCTAGCGGAGAGTTGACGACAAAAGTTTTTTTGCTGCCGAATGAGTGGTGAGCGGTGACACAAGGCAGTCGTCAATGGATGCTGATATGGGGTAAGCGTGGCCGTAATCAGTCTGGAAATGCGTCGACGAAGGCAGCGGAGTTGTTGACGCGCGCCTGCGCAAACCTACAGTCAAGTCTCAGTTGACGGAAATTCAGTTGAAGGAAATTTCAGTTGACGGAAGAGGCAGCCTATACAGCCTGTACAGCCACGCCCAAAAGAGCCGTGCCGTAGAGCCTTCGAAACCTTCACCATCTCAAAGCATTTCACAGGCATGTTGCCCTCCCGAACTCCGAAAAAGCGCCGCAATCTTGGCGTGGCTCCCAGTACCGTCACCAGAATCCGCCAACGAGGACCCAACATAATACACCTGTCCAAAATACCCCCTGTCATATAGCCTTTTCCCACTCCCATTTAGCGGTATTCTTCTGCTGTCAATATACCTTTTTGTCACGGAAGTTCTCACCACCCAGGACCTCTGTTCAGCTTTGGAAATTTGGGCATAGGTTCTCTCTGTACAGTTGCAATCCCTTTTTATGACAAGGAGAGATGGAGGGAGCCACCGCACCACCTTCTGCGGTGCGGCGAAACCTTCTGCCATTTCCAAACAGCATTTGCAGAATGCCACCGCAATGGCAGAATGCCACCCCCACCAAAAGTCAAGCTAACAATCACGCCTGGCCGTGCCGGCAGTGAATACCACGCCTGGCCGTGCCGGCAGTGGTCATAGCTCTTCTAGTAGCAGAGGGCAACAGTGCCATTGCATTCTGTGGCAAAAAGTTTGGCAATTGCGAAGGATCTTGGCAGTGAGGATGAAGAGAACGACCGTTCTCCCGAGCTACCCAATTCTAACGCGAGTTACCCACTTCTAGTCACGCTCTCTGTTCAGTTGGCAGAAAATTCAGTTGGCGGAAAGGCCAAACCCTTTCCGTCAACTGAGACTTGACTGTACGTACGTAAGCCCCGTAAGTACTGTAAGTAGGATATGTGAGCGCTGAGCTGGTAAAAAGCTTGGTTCGTTTTTTCAGACTCTCGATCCCTTACTACCTCGTCTACCCACAACAACGAAACCCTCCTAACCTGCCGACAGCCGCCATGCACACTCACCTACCACAACAAGAAGAGGGCGGACCTCGTCTTTATGTCGGCAACCTATTCTACGCCGTTCAAGCCAGAGAAATTACGGACTTGCGAGTAGCGCACAGGATTCCGCACACTTCCGTTTCCATGTCCACGGACCCTATGACAGGTCGGAACCCGGGCTACCCGCAATTGAAATGTTGAGAGGGAAGGAACTACGGGGAAGGCCTATCAAGGTCAACTTCGCTACGGTGAAGAAGGATGGCCCGTCGAATGTTTTGCGTTTCAAGCCCGCCGGTGGGGGCTTTCGCACCTCCCGGGAACCGCTTGTGCGTCAGGAGCCCGCTTTTGACAGATGGAACCGAGACGACGCTGCAACACACTCGATAGACCCTCTACTCGAGGGGAGGAGGTTGTTCGTAGGCGGTCTTCCCCGGATGGCGCCACAGAAGGCAGTAGACTGCGCGATTCAGGAGCTCTTCAAGGGATTTGAAGTGGTCGCAGTGTCAAAGATGGTCTCACCCTGGCATGCCGCAGGGGAATCACCTGGAGACCGCTTCTACGTCTTTGTAGACTTGTCGTCGAAGTCGGATGCTGACGGAGCGATTGGAAAACTGGATGGGAAAAAGTCCCCGTGGACTGAGGGGAAGCTAATAGTGCGTTTGGCAAGGAAGAAGATTAATATGAAGCTTGCGCAGGAGCAGTTTGCTTTGAGCGAAAGGACCCCGCCGTTTGTGCGGTCCTCACCTGTATCCGAAAGAGCACAATCATCCTCCATGAGCTCGTCGCGCGCGGCATCTTCTCTGTCTTGGCGAGCAAAACCGTCGGGCGCTTCAACTATTCCAAGTTCAGAGTAGCCGGACGTAGATGGACAACAAGCAATACTTTACGACGTGTAGATTAATTTAGAACTTGAGTTTGAGTATGGACGCTAAGTCTCGCGAATGTCAATAGATGTGCTCGCGGAGCTATCGGCGTATATTGTTCTGTATTGGTCAATAAACCTCCTTGAGTTACATTTGGCATACTCAAGGAGAGGGTATTGTATGCATCGGAACCATGTATGCCAACCCATGGGAGGACTCTCTCGCCTAGTACTATGCTGTGCATTACGCCTGTTCCCCCGCGGGAGGTGATGGTGACTGAAACCCGTCGCATAGCACGGAAGAAGGTATACGAGGGAGTCCTGCGGTACATCAACTCGTCCTAGTGTCTTACAGTTTGAAATTCGCCGGGTTCTCCTGCCGGTAGTTCAATCTTCCAGACGAAGACATAAGTCCAAGGAGTTGAAGAAACCAGCAGTTATTGGAAGTTCTGCAATGCCGCAACCGCCAACCCCTCATCTTCCAAATCCGTCTCAGTCCCTCCTGCCCCCTCTCCAAATCTACCGAAAAGCCGCGGTGAGACACGTCAGTCTTCTCAAACAGCATGTTGTCCCGGCGAATATCGCCATGGAAAAACACGGCCCGATGAAGGTTCCCAATCGCAATGGCCGTTAACCGTCGCTCCTCCGCCCCCCAATCAGAGACCAATCCCGGCCAGAATGTTCTCCGTTGCAAGATACCCCAATCACCTGTCTAACAGGTTACGACCAAGTCTCTTCGGAATAAGTGTGATATGTGGGTCTCCCAATCAAGAGGTTTGACTGGCGTTTGGACTTTTGATGGTTCGCCAGAACCTCACCCACGGTTGTATCGACATCAGTCTCCATACTCTCCCGCGCATCACCCGTCGTACAGCCACGGCGGTCAAAGCTACTGGCGGGACGAGGAGCCCTGGGGCCAGTGGACTCATGCTTTGATCGCGATAACGGTCGAGAGGAGGAAGATGGCAAATCAATCAGAGGCATGCCTCTTCGCCTAGGCGTATCTTCCTCCCCTCGACCGTCTACTCGCCTTGATCCCCGAAAGCTTTCAGTGGGGTAGGTCTTGAGAGCAACAGCAGCAAAATACGTCGATTCTCTACGAAATGTAGCCCCGATAGCCGCGATTGCGTTTATTGTCCGAGGAGATGAACAGCGTAGGAGTGTCGGCCGGACGGTGCAAGAACCAGGTCTGTTCCTATTTGTCAGCCTCATAATGCAGCCTGTTGAGATGCATCTACCCAAAGGCTTGCTCCACGCAGCTCCTCAGATTTTGGCTGGCACAGGTTCCTTCGTCCCGACAAGGGCTTTGGTATACAACGGCGAGATGCTCGGTGTCACCGATCTATATTGCGGTGTGTTTCCTCACTTCGATGGTGGCATAAACCCGCCCAGTATTTTCATCTCCAAAAATGTTATCCGGCTCCCCCTTCATGTTTGTGAACGCTCCGTGACTGGTAAATACGCAAAGTGTTGGCAGTAACGGCTTCTGTTCGGAGTCGATCGTCGAGAACGCGTGACGCGCTGCCTCCGACAGCTCCGACAGCGCTTTCATTGCCTGTTCCGTTTGATCGTTCGCCGTACGCCGTGGACCTACGAAAAGACCTTATATGTGTAGGGTTAGAATGACTAAAATCCTAAGCGCAACCGGCGTGGGCGCGCAGGTAGAAAATGCATAGTTTTAAACAGACGTGCCAGCCCAACCAATAGCCAGAGAAGGGGAAGCGGACGGAACAGAAGTTTTTCCAACCACAACGCTAAGTGTCCCAAACCACAACAATGGGACCACAATCGTCGAAGAGTACGTTGTCGTCTGCATCGAGACCGCTATGTAAACCCATGTGCCAAACCGGGGTTCGCAAGCAGAGACAATATTCGGGTATATTTGACAGCCTCAGTGGGTACGGATGCTTTATAGGTTCTGATCAATCAAAGATGTGCGTACAATGTGGTGTCAACGATGTGGTGCGTACGGTAAGGAGCACAAGAGAACATGGAAAGAGGAAGAGAAAAACGGGAGTGGTAGACTGCGCGTCAGATTTGCGCAAGATCCCCGTCGAAGGCGATCTCGCTAGCAGTCATGAAAGTGCTATCATCTGATGCAAGGAAAGCAGCTACGGCCCCGATCTCTGCCGGATCGGCCATGCGCGCAAAAGCTTTTATGCCGTCCTCGCCTAACGCCTCCTTGGCGAGGTCCATCGCCGTCGGTCCGGGCGATAGAACGTTTGCCTTGATACCCGTGCCCTTCAGGTCCTCCGCCCAAGTCCGCGCGACGTTGCGGATTGCCGCCTTGCTTGCGTTGTATATGTAGACGCTGAATGCCGCACCGGTTGTGCCGGCGCTCGATCCGGTCAACATGATAGAATTGCCCTTCGGGTTAGGGTTAGGGTTAGGGCTCATGGGGGAATATATGAAAAGAATGCCCGGTATCCAAGGTTTTTACCGTATCGATACAAATCTCAAATGGATCCCCAAGTCACATGCTCTAAGCGACAGATCACATGAGGGTCCTTGACAACAACAATCTACTAACCTTACGCATTTGACTTGCGGTTCTTGAACCCCTCCGGCTAGGGTGGCTGGCAAGGGGCAAGCGGGTTGCCAATTTGGCAAGCGGCGGGCTGCTTATCGGCTGGCAAGCACCGCGCGGACCTTGCCAGTTGGCAAGAGCTCTGCAAATACTGAAGAACACGCTACTGAAGGGACTGAAGCTACTGAAGAACACGCCGAGTGTGACTCATGTAACCCTAACCCTGACTTATTTCGTGCTTAAGACCAACTTAAGGCGTGGATCCAGATCACCCTTGCCTTGCCGGGTAAGATGGCAAGCGGCGGCAAGGCAAGATGGCAAGCGTGAAAAATCTGGGTTGCCAGCCACCCTACCTCCGGCGCTCCGTGGTGGCTTCATCAAGTTTCCAGATTCGGCTCCCAGCCACCCTCCCACGCTGAGCCGCAATCACACACAAGCGGGCGGCTTGGGGACGGAAAGCAATCTCTTCATACCCTCCGCCATGTCGTTCACCACCTCCACCGAGGACAGTGACCCTAACTACTTCAGCACCTCCACTTTGAGCGTCTACAACGAGTCCATTCTCCTCTACGGCGCCGATAACCGCGGCGCCAACCAGACAAACGCACATTCGCTCTGGAAATTCACCCCTAGCACACGCCAATGGCACAAGGTCACTCCGGGTCCGCCGGCCATCTTTGATGGGTTGGCTTGGTCGGCGCTCGTCGGTGACAGGCTGTATGTGCAAAAGGACTCCAAAGGATGGTGGTATTGCGATCTCCTCTCCAACACATGGTCGGCGATGACCGCCCTCAACTCACCCCCATTGACAACTCAAGCCGTGCTTGTCGGCGGCAAGAACGCGCTGTTTGTCATGGGTGGGTGGGATCTCGCCCGCAAAGCGTTCACGTCCGCGGTGCATATGTTGTCGAGCGATACATGGACCCGTCTGCCTGACCTGCCCATGAGCCTGAACGGCGGCGCCGGCGCCGTCGTGGGCTCCAGGCTCCTCTATTTTGGTGGTTTCGGCAATGCCAGTACTTCATTCCGCTTTTCCAATACCGTCATGTCCCTCGAACTCGACAACCTCTCCGCTGGATGGTCGCAAGAGCCGTCCTCCTCGCCCGCCATACCTTCCCCACGCGAACATCTCTGCATGGTGAACCCAAACGGTACGGACGTGGGCAAGCTGGTCGTTTACGGGGGCAGGTCTTTTACGAACTCGACTCTCCGCGATTTCACCTACTTTGATGGGCAGACCTATTCTCTCGATCCGACCTCCACGCCAAGCACGTGGAAGAACCTGACGTCCGGAAGTGGAATGGCATCAAATGGAGTTGTCGGTGATCCGGCGCCGGCGCTGAGAACTCTATATTGCACGGTCTTAGGAAAGGTGCTTTATGTCGCGGGGAGGACGGACAGCGACGTTATGAAGTGGTTGACAGGCGTGCCGACTTTGTACGCGTGGGATATGGAAAAAGGCGTTTGGTTCGACCCCGTCATGACCAGCGATGATTGGTCTCCGGCACGCCCGTCCACTGGCCCGTTCGCCGGCCCGCCATCGCCCCCCTCAACGTCAACAACTCCGGGAACGGAAGCTCCATCAAATGGCACGACGGTCGGCGCGCCGACTTCCGGATCTAAGGGCCTTTCACCAGTGGCCATTGGGGGCATAGCTGCTGCTGCGATTGCGGCGGTCGTTATCGGTGCTGTCGTCTGGTTCCTAAAGAAACGGAAGAACGCGCCAAGAGCCGTCGCGAAGAACGTAAATACTTCTGACCCGGAGACGGGCACATCATCATCATCTGCGCGAAGCCAAACCCCGTCGACATCCGCAGCCACCGATGTCATCAATGACACTAACGATACCAACGGCCCTCAGTCCGCGCGGCCTTTGTTCACATCCAAATTGCCGCAAACCTTCAATGTGGTCCCTGCACGCACGTCGCAAAGCCCAGAACAGGCCATTTCAAACACCATTTCGAACACAACAGCTTTGCCCCGCACGGAAACGACTGCTCCTCCGCCGTACACTCCTCTCAGTGCTACGGACCCCGATACCCACTCCCGATACCAACCAAAGAACTAGCTGCCATCAGTATACACCGTCAACCATCCGATGCCTACCCTCTCCGAACTGGCGGGTGGCAACTAGGACAAATGATGCGACATTCTGGAGGCTCTGGAAGCCGAATGGACGAAGCCCTGGTCGGAGGTTGTCACTGAGTTGAACCGGACTCGTTGTTTTGGCGTGATCAAAGAGAGATGTAGCAATGGCGCGGATACTCAATCGATCTGGGCGTATTCGAGTAGTTGAGAGACACGGCTTGGCTATGAAGTTTTGTAGATCGAGGTCCGACCCATGCCTTGTGGCTAGAATTGAAGAATTACATCTACTTCTATGTGACGCGACCACAAGGAAAGAAACGGTCGAGGAAAGGTTTTTGGGTTCGTTCAAGCGTGCGCTAACGCCATCTCTGGCCGCGGCATCTTCGGGCGAAAGGGTGCAAAAGTGGGTGAAGGATATTTCCGTTGCGTTGGTTCGAAGTTGCTGTTGCGGGGGTTGAGGAGCGCATTGCGCCCGGCGGTGAAAGACGAGACAGGCATCCCGATCAGGCGAGGAGGGGTTGGGCGAGCAAGGGATTTGGGCTGTTCGGGTGGGGGTTGGACATTGGTCTCCGTCGCCAGACCAGTGTATATGTATTGCTGTGAGCTGGAGGGCGGAGCCAGGATATTGTGTGGGTGTTTCTCACCCTCTCGCAGTGTCCTGTTCAAGGTTTTCCAGACCTTCCCTAGGCGCCGATGCAGTTGGGGTTGCGGCTCGACTTCCGATTAAGGTGTTTGGGTTATCGCCGGTCGGACTCGACGTCGCGTGAGCAAATACTGTTTATGTACTGTGCAAACTACTCAGCAAACGCCAACTCCGAGCCAAGTTGCCAACCCGTAAGAAACGGAAGTGCAAAGCATGCAAGACACCGTCAATACTCAAATGCAAAGAAGCAACGTCAGAGTGAAGCACTTACGATTCCACAAGTATATATACGAAGGTCACTCACCGAGTGTCGTAGTCTCGCCTGACCTTCCACCAATCTAGTCAGGCTGATCTACAATCCTGGTCATTTAACGTCATACGAGACCAAATAGTACGGATAAGCGTGCCACTCCAAATAGTTCATCTACACAATTGAACCCCTTCTGGCGCGATGGACAGAAGCCTTCTGGCGCGCTGCCACACAAATGGATGCAGCGCTGCGTTCCCAATGGCTGTTCCTACTTTGTTGATGCCAACACCCTTAAGACAACATGGCTGTTCCACACATGCATGCACAAGCACCTTCGGGCCCTTGCTTCTCGGAGTGTCGGGTCAGACGAAGGGCGATGCAGAGCATTCACGTCAACCCCATCCATCCCAAACCCCTTCGAGTGGCGCATCAGAAACGTTCCAGAGTCAATCAAGGCTCAGGGACTCCGCAGGTGTAAACTTCTGGTGGCACCCGATTCCAGCATCCTATAACCACGTACCATAGAACTCTCAGCACGCGCCCAGATCTGTACCCTCCAGGACCCCGAAATCATTCAGTTCGCAGAGCATCATGACAGGATCAAAGCCCGCGATGATACGGCCAAGATCGCTCGCGCCATCAGGGAATGGATCAATCCCCCGAACAGTCCGATCTCAACCAATTGACGCAACGCTATGCAGAATGCGGGAACTCGCTCGAAAGGGAGTGGCACGCATACGGCAAGCCCAGGCACCTTCCTCCGGGCGTCATTGATGGACTCAACCTGGTTGGCATTGACTACAAGTTCGGTTCAACGAAGCACGATCCTGCGGACGTCGAGCTTATGAAGAAGGGCTTCTAGTTGTTGAACGACAAGGGAGCTTCACCCGCGGAAGCGCTCAAGAGATTAGCCCTTTTAACCGGCGATAGCAACTAATCCGAGTTCCGAAAAAAGGGTTGGTCGGTCGAAAAAAGGGCTGGACCCGGATAGTTGTATCGCTGGTTTGAAACCGCGGCCTCCGGGAGGAACAATCGGGCAACAATGCTCAGCACCACCTGTTCAGTCACGGCGCTCCATCCAATAGCGTCGTCATCGAGATGGCAGCACGCCGTGAAATTCTTCCAGCAGTGGCTCCAAATGTCGCTGAGTGGGTCCAAATGCGAAAGAATGGTTTTGGCATCGAAGATGGCAACGTTGAACTGTTTCTCGGCGTAGCCCACAAGCGGCAGAAACCAATCCATAATCGGCTCACAACCGGTACCGTCATCACCTTGATGAACAGTACTGCATTGGAAAAAGCCTGCCTACCATCTGCCCGGATATGGCCGATATCCACCAGGCCCCGCTGTCCCCGAAAAATCCCTAACCAAGGTCGCCGCTTTGCCGTCTGGCGTATTTGCGGCGAGTTGAAGGAGGGCAGATATAACTTTCACATTCGAGCCATCTACCCGTGGTTGATCGAGCAAGATCTCCACGGCGTCACGAATTTCAGGGACGTCCTTTGGAAATAGATTGTCCGTAGCGGTAAAAGCTGTGGACCAGCCAGAATTCCGAGCGCGAGGTTCACGGGCCAACCGACGAAGCATGTTAATTCGAGGAAGAGCGGCTTGCAGAGCGTAAGCATCTGTAGGTTTTTCCCAGCAGCTCTTCGATCATCTCCGATTTTTCAGCATGTATGGCGGCCCTGAGCAGTTCAGCTGCTTCGGGAATTTTCGCAAGATCCAGTATATCACCATCGACTAACCCCCGCCAGATCTTATCACTGTTAATGGACCTTCGGAATGACCGTTGAACGTAGGAGTAGAGATCCCACCCAGCGGTCGCCAACGATGATCCGTGTGGGGCCAGCAGCTGAACCGATAGGGTTTCTTCAGAAAGAAGCGCCTCCAGTAACGTATGCCAGTGCTCCCTCCAGTCCCAGCCGGGGAGTTTGACGGCCAAGGCTAAAGCCTCGTCGCTTTTGCTAAAATGCTGAATGGCAAAGATCAGCAGGGACCAGCAAAATCTACTTCGGCTTCGCATTCCCTCCAACAGCTTCGGGTACCATCTCTCTGCTTCCATGTCTTTTAGCGATTGCCCCTTCTTTGGCAACCATTTACGGGATTCCAGATCAAAGGACTCAGAAGAGGGATTCAGACGATGAACGATTTCGAAATCTTATTTGACAAAAAGCCAACATTGCGCTCGGTGTGCCGAAGAAGGTCGCCAACATCTCCACGTACCGATCGTCCGTTCCCTCGCCACCAAAGCTGTATTCCCTCCTTTCGTTTAGGGCATGCTCTACCATTAAGAGCCTTGTACAGCGGCTCATGACTTTTCCTGAGACCTAGGTGGTGGTAGGCCCAAGACCTTAGCCCCTGTTTGGCGGTACGAGGGAAAGCGTCGTTCCTGGCCGACACAGAAGGTTTTGTAGAACGAGAAGGCGATAGGTATTGATCCCATTCCCAAACCACCACGTTGGACTTGAGGTTCTCCAAGAGATGCGGAGACAGATTCTCGACCAGGGGACGCATTTCATCCAGGCGTTTCGGAAACAGTGTCGGAGGTGGTACATACGATGAGGAGATTCCGGCAAGAATCCAAGAGAAGCTGATTGTGATCTTTTCGATAATGAAGTTTGCGGACATGTAAAACTCGGCGTCGCCAGAGGCTATAGATCTGTCTTCAGCACTGAAAGAAAGTCATCGTCTATAGATGGAAGGAAGAGGCGAGCGGCATTTTCTTCTTACCCAGTGGTGTTATATTCGTCTACGTCGAGCATCGTGCAAACGGTCTCATGCTCGTTGTTTCTACAAACAACGGTCGGCCTTTCCTTCTTCCATCGTTGGCGGAACGTACTCACTTGATTTTCAGGTTCCTTTCAACCTGCATGCCCGAAGTTTCCCCATCCCACAAACCCCATCAATGTGGTTGTGTTGAAATCACCTTGATATCGGTTAATCAGTGTGACCCTGCCGGAAAAGTTCCTGGCGCAGCCGCTGTCACTCGGCGCGCTGTCGCAATCTGTCACTCATCTCCGATCGCGTTGAACGATGAAAATGAGCACTTTCGAGCCCGAGGAATCAGTCTGGGCCTTACGGTGTTGTCAGTCTGGTCGGGTTAGCTTGCTCCGGAATGTTCAGGGTTCCCGAATGGGGGACACGGCTCAGCTTCATCTAGCGCAATGTTTGTCATCCCAGGGTCCATTTTGCCATAAGTTGTCAGCAAAACCTAACGCCGACCTGAACGGAGGCTGTCCCGATTAGAGTGTTGCCCTCACAATACAACGTTTGAACCCGTTGACCTGGGGCCCGCGGAAACAGCTACAGTCAGTACATATGAAGCCTCAACGGCATATGACATTTTCTTACTCTAGTCGCGACATCAACATGTTCCCACAGAAAACATCGTCCAACAAGTCTCTCGTAGATTCATACACCGACCAGTCACTAGCAGGGAAAGTTCCACTTGCGCTCGCACTTCTTGGTATGATGCCTCTGGCGCTAGGAAGTTGTGTGGTCGACAAGCTCATTTTCTGTCAGTTTTTGCATTGGTGATTTCGGGAGCTCTGGCGATCCCATTAGGTTCGTTCGTGCTTGTCAACACAATTCTCTGATAAAAGAGTAACCAGCTACATTAGGCGTCCTCGCATTCCGCGGCGCTGACCGATCCAATAACGAGAGTATGGCAGACCTCTTTTGAACTGGGCCGATGTACTTTCGGGAGCCATCTGCTGATGATGATGCCCAGTTACTAGGATCCTGCGCACACGCTTGCGAGATGATTTCGGATCTGCAGGTACGCACGTTCATGTGCATCAGATGCGCACGGGCCGTCCTGAACGGTAATCATCACTAGTTGACCGCATGATGGGAACGTGCTTCGAAGCGACGGATTGGCTTCACCGCACATGGATCCAGCGGACTGTCCTAGGCGTATTGAAACAGAATCGCACTGCAGATCTCGCGGCGTACAACCAAGAGTGAGTGAACGAGGTCGCGTCAACGTGCGGCAGATGCCTTTCTTCCCCGTATTGACCTGATGTCTCGCCTCTACATTGGACTCTAGGATAATCCAGACGGTTTGGTCACGAGTGGCCGATGGGGGCATGGTGCTGGTAAGACGCGGTGACCGGAAGTCTAGCTCACCACATCAGATCACATCTCCAACGATGCTTTGTACATGTAGGGGGTGAATTACCGTCAAGAAGACATCCAGGGAACCAGTTATTTTGGTTAGATTCCCCTCCGGAGACTCCTAATCGGATTGAGTTTGCCGATTGACAGTGTTTCATTTCGTGCAGTTAGTCGTCTAGGGACGACTGGCACACACTATATGTACCTGAACTCCACACACAATCAGAAGTATCTTGGCTTATGGAATCGGACGGGCACAGGCCTAGACAGCACCTTTGATCTGTACTCGTTCGATGACCCTACGGTCAGAACCGCTCCCATCCCGACACTTGCAGTTCTCCCAGGTGAGAAGATTTACTGCCACACGCTTTCCACAATATACGGGTTTAGGAACTTGATACTTGTCCGTCGCCAGACTTTGGATCGGTGCACGGTAGTTGGGACCCCGGTCAATTTATCACCGTCCCAGGCTCCAAACCTACTGGGGGCAAGGCGTGCAAGAAACATCATTGGGTGTACACCCCTGAGCCTGTCAACGGAACAGGGCATGATTGGGATGTTGAATATGTGGGCGTGTTTCTTTTCGATGCCATAACGCAGTTCTTGCAGGTATGGTAAGGGCTTGGACAATGTGCGATGTGTCGGATGGGAGGGCCTGCGCGGGAGCACCTTGGGGCTTCTCATCGCAGCACTGCAAAGCTTGACCAGACGTTCTCTTACAGAACTTAAGCGTGACTCCAAAAACGCAAATGGCATTAGTGTAAGTATGAGCGATGGTGTTATGTATTTGATGATAGCGCTCTAAAAGCTGGTTCTTGTTTTCTTGACGTTTAGGGAGACCAACGGTTTAATGTTAGCTTTTATGTATTCGCGCGGACGGTTGATGGCATGCTGAACTTAAGTACCGGCTTAGGATGGCCTCCAGCGTAGACCGCCTGCTCTACAACCAGTATGGCAATGACTCTGTAAATATCGATGCGTGCCAAAGTCCCCTGTTACGGGTAGGTGAGCGCCATTCTAGACGTGCACCCATGATCTCCTCTCTAATGTGTTAGCTCGTACCATCCCTCATATCATCGTACCGCCAGGCCGCAGCTAGTCATATTCAAGATACCTACGGCACGTACACGAGTTTGCCGAAAACGTATAGCGCCCGCTTCTCCAGCCCCGAAGATGGGAACGTCTTTCTCGACACCGTCCGGATCCAAGACGGCCTCGGACTTGATCTTATCGGAATTCTGGCAGTTCCTGAGGACGATTTGGTTGGGACAATGAAAAATACGCGGCAGACCGCTGCTGTAACAGTGACGGTCGTCGCGGTCCTCATGATGGTTGTGGCCGGCTTGGCCAGTCATCTTTTCACGCTTCCGCTGAGGAGGTTGTGTCAAATCATGCGCATGGTAAGAGCATCTGGGCTTTCTAAAGGAGTGGCGCTGGTAACATTCAACTTGAGACCTTTGTGCTGGATGCATTTCAGGCAACGGTTTTCGATTTCTCAAGCGTGCGTGATAATGACATGACGAGTCGTCGCTCCTTTCTTCGCGAAATCGCCATCATGGAGAGTGGTAGGTTGTTCACTGTCGCGTCATGGTCACTTGTACTTGCTCACCTTGCGTCCCATTGCATGTAACCCCAGCTTTCATCCAGATGCTCAAAGAGTTTGCCAAGGCGATAGAAAAGAACAAGGTATTGGCCGGAAACCGCAAAAGCCCCGACATGGGGTCGGACCACGGGCAGAATGAGCAAGAAGACGAGCACATGTCGGGAAGCGGGGATCCGCGTGAATCCGTATGATTGGCCGGCTGGTCATCTACTACCTGGTCAATCCGACACATGCACATGCACGGAATGCAGGACTTCGAGAAAACATCTTGTGTTTCCGTACCTCATGTGTCTGTATCTGTATCTGTATCGAAGTTTGTATCTGCATCGAAGTTTGTTTTGTAAGGTTGCACATATTATTCCGCAGCCATCTAACATCGCTTACGCCCTTCCATACTGTTTCACGTTTTCATGCTCCTGATTGTATGTATGTTATAGAATTCCGCCCTATAATTCCGCATCACCCGGTGAAGCAAGGCCGAGCTGTTTTCATTCAGTATGTCAGCGACGAATCGGACGTCTTCATCCCCCGACGGACGTCGGTCCGCATACCCTTCTCTGTTGTCCACCGAACTTTACATGCATGACGCGGCGGGTGTTGGTCCTGCGTTCTCTCAAACTTCCTCTCATCAAGAGGCATTGTGCAAAGCACATAATGAGCACAACGACAGCGACATCACATATCTTGATCACTTGATCTCTATTATCAGTACGCAGTGTCTGTACGCGATGGAACTTTCAAATAGAAGTGCACCAATGTCCGTGGGTATAACCGTCTCTCCCAGCCTAAGAAGGAGCAAATAACTTTTTCAATCGTCCCCGCCGCTCGAAATATGGGTCGGGGAGAAATGCAACGCACGAGGTGGTTTGAATTTGAGCCGCCCTATCAAACAACGCTGTCTTCACGGCCACGCTTGGCGGCGGGCATTTCAGAAGTTCTCCTGATGGCAGCCGTGTGGGGTGGGGCGTTCACCGTCTTCGTGGCGGAAGTGCGAGTCGGATTATCGTCGCCGTTGTTGATCGAGGTGGTGCCGACGGCTCCTTCGCCGGGCATCAACCACATGTTGATGCCGAGTAGCCAGACGTAGTCTGCAAGGAACACAGGGGGTTTCAGATTAGTTCCTTGCGCTCCGAATGTTACATGAACGATGGAGAGGCGTCCACATACCGGAGAAGATGAAGTTGTACAACATGGCGTCAAAGGAGATGTCAAAGAAGCCCATGATGAGGAACATCAAGTAGATGGTCGTGAAGGCGACGATGAAGACCAGCTGACGGACATACACCCTCTTCAACGCATTGTCGCGACGACCGCTGAGCGCCTAGGACATTGTAACGTGCTGCGACAAGAGGTAGGTGATGGGGGCGACCATGAAGACGAACGAGAGCAGGAAGAGAACGTTGCTGCATTGAGAGACTGGGTTAAAATGCAGGCTCGACACTCGGAAAAGAGAATGCGCATGAGACTTACTTCGCTTGAGTCAATTCGGGCCTCATCAGCTGAATGCAAATCTCTTCAATAATGAAAGGTGCAGTGATCTCCTGATACATAAGAATGATCGATGACCCCAGCCAGCAAAGCATCGAAAGAGACCATGCGGCTTTCGCCAAGATGTTATTTTTGTTGAGATTCAGGCAAAGCTGACCCAGCATGTACAACAGCGTGAAGCGGAATGTGATGAGGCCGAACAGGTTGGAAACAATCACCATAGCCTGGCAATCTCGAGGCGGGAGCGGATCAAAAAGATAGAAGAACTGGATCCTATTCGCAAAAAAGTCCATTTCATGTGGTTAGTTTTGACGGGTCCCACCGACAACGAGAGTGCTCGTTATACCACATACCTGGAGATCATATGCGACAAGCAACAAATCAATAGGGGTATCTTGTTGCGCACAACAACCCTGGTATCGTAGACAACATGATGGAAAAGAACCACGGTATGGGACATGGTCAGGGCACTGAGGCCGATGTACACGGCGTTCGGAGCACTCATCGTCGGGTTAGCGCTCCAACAATTGTAGTTTGAAAATGCGTTGGCGGCTACGTTCGTCGGGTAGTGTATGTGGACGAGCACTTGTAGGGCAGGGGCCCTTCTGCTTTGGATGAAAGATTGTTGTAACGAAAGAAGGTGGCCCTGGACGGACCGAGGTATTTATCGGAGCGGATGCGACAATAGTCTATACGAGCAGACCGTAGTGACGCAAGCATGAAATGCAATGCAGCTGGAGCCGTAGGGATGGCTTCGACCGAAAAACAAGCTTATGATAGGACCTGATTGTCACCCAGCAACAATGAAATTGACGCTGGATGACCGATTTCGACAGCGCGCGTCTCTGATGAATTACGGCAATGCAACACTTAAACCCCTAAATTTGGGATAATGGGATGATTCTCGTATCCAAAATTCCGACTGTGGCTAATGAGAGCCACCCGTCGAAGAACCCCGCCTTACGGGTTCTGGAATGTACAGTATATCCCCTTGGATCGTCTGTCGAATGTCCTCGCAATGCAAAGGTGCCCAGAATAGGATCTGGCCGAGAACAAGGTTTGCCGGAGACCTGGTATCGGATGTTCAGGTCAATAAAGGGGTAGATCCCATCCAGAGGGGTGCTCAGAGACGGGGATTCTTAAGTTTGGCATTCGGTCTTTCGACGACATCTCCTGCTGTGTTATCCCAAAGTAGAAAGCGTCGAGGACTGGATGGAGGTGTAGATTTTGGCATACACTTGCTCGCCGAAACGGTAAGGGTGCAGTTTAGCGGGTTTTCCGCGCGTAGCCCACCCGATCCAGAACCCACCAAACTACACTCAAAAACCGGTCCGAACTGAGAGGGTTTTGCGACAACCTGCACGTTTGCAGCGCCAGCGGAGCCCGTCGATTATTGTCTGGTCCTTCACCAGGCTCATGTCGCTGCCACGGCAGTTTGGCTTTGGGCACGTCCGTTTGGTCAAAATAAGTCTCTGATTGAGACAGAACTGGACTGTGCTTTCAACGGTCCTTGTTATCTCAAAAATATCTTCCCAGGTGAGGTCTAGGTGTTCAGTAGGTTCCTCGTCTTGGGAATGCTCGCTGGAATGCTCGGTGTCGGTGGGCGAGCCGGAATGCTCACTGTCGGTGGGCAAGAACGGGTCTGTGTTGGCACCGGGATCATCATAGCACAAGTGCTGGTGACAAGAGTTGGCTAGTCCTAAGCGGGCTTCTATCTCCTGTTCTTCCGAAATATTCACCTTCTCCCGCTCAATTGCTTCAGTGAATGCCTGGTCATAGTCTTCTTCAGCCATTTCCAATTCAAATTCCTCGCAATCTTGCGACCAAGGGTACTCCTCTGCAGCGCGTAGGGTGGGGCTGGAGAACGGCTCCATGTTGGGCGTGATTGGGTTTGGAATTGCGCCGGCTAGGGGTCTGGGTTTGGAATTGCGAGATGGTGGGTCAAGATTCTGCGTGTTCTCACCGAGTAGAAGCGGGGTGGGCTGTGGACGCGCAGTAAAAGCAGTGTAGTTTGGTGGGTTCTGGATCGGGTGGGCTACGGGGGCAAAACCCGCTAAACTGCACCCTAGCCACCGATCTTTCACATATCTCCGCACAATCCGTTATCATCGCGTGCCTTCGCTCGCGCAGGTCACGGAGTCCCTCCCTCGAGTGGCCGTTATCCCATATGGTCAAGTCACTAGGAGAGCGTACGAGATGGGCATTGTCATACATGCGAAGAACATCAGGCGGAAGGACGGAGTCACCATTGACGTGTAGGAAAGAAGAAGGGAATGGTGAAGCAAGGAACCTCGAATACATGGAAATGGCATGCGATTTTTCCTGGCGGGTTGATACGTCGAAGAAGCACGGTATCAATGCTTACCACTTCGTTCCACACGATGGCATCCACCCAGTCGCGAATCCTGTGGCCCACTGGAAGGGCCAAGCAGATCTCCGCCATGGTTTGGTTTGTTCATGATTATTGTTCCCACAGAGTATAATACTCGTAACGCAACAAAACAACATCTGCAACAAGGCGTAATACTCTTCGACGTTACGACAATACATACCTTTCGTCAAACGTTGATCGCTTGACCAATCCGCCACCACCACCCCAGATGCTCCAACATGTAGGCCTACCCCTACGTTCCACGGATGTTTCGGTGCCTTCTCCAAATGACCGGGCTTATGCGCTGGCGTCCGTTTGGTTCTCGCGCATCTACATCCGTCAACCCGGAGGCGCACGATGTTTAGGTTCAGTGAAGCATGAAGTCCGTCGGGTCCGTTGAGACGAAGCGTCTGCGCGTTTGTTGCGAACTGGTATCCCCTCAGGCTGCCCGGGGAGTTTGATATTCCCCCCCTTCTTGTAACGACAATGGGCATGGGATGCGGCCCGGAGGTATATATCCCGCCCGCTATAAGAGACATATCACAAGTGCGGAAGGACCCAGCTTCGAAGGAGTCGGAGCCGGTCGCGTCTGCAGGCAGCGTGCAATTCAAACCGGGCGGCGAACATGGCATGACAGTCCATACACAGTCCATTCACGACTCTATTATAGTGTCAGCCCTGCAGCCGCCAGGATATTGTGTCTCATCCTCTCAACGCAGCATTTGTCATGCATAAACTCCGTCGATGTATTTGCATTCTCAGGTCTCCCGTTCGGTTCGGTCGCCTCACGCGATCCTCCGGTTTTATGATTTCTTCGACATGATGTCCGGGAGGAGGAGATGACCGGGAAAAGATGTCCGGAACAGATCGGCCGAGCTTGCGGTCCTCTGCCTTCACCGTAGCAGCCGAGCTGATAATTTGCTTACCAGTACGTTCGATCGCGGAGCCGTCGTGCTTCCCAGTAACACCGATGCAACCCCTGGTCCAACTGACAGTGTCCAGCCCAGAACAGGTCAATACAGCTGTTCTCGCGTCGTCCGCTTCGTTGAATCGCCCATGCTTGTCGTTGATTTGTCTTTGGGCACGATGCGGACCTCGTTTGTTCTTCTGTCCGATATAGCCGCGGTGTGTGCCATTGGCGATATACGGGTATCGTGATTGCGGGCGTTACATGGATACACAAAATTGGAAGCGTGCACACCAACCATGCCGGTGAGTTCAGTTTCCCTTTCACGATGACCGCAAGTTGGTGGTGATTCTGGTGATCGATGACGCCCAAATCCCGCTCGTGAAGTTTTACATTTTAACGGGAGCATAAGGTGGTTCTTTTTCATCAGCGCCAGGAACCTTCGGGATGCACGAGATACAACTAGGTGGGGGGAGGGGGGGAGGCGGCATGAAGTTCCAGAACGTCTTGTTTGCGATGGCTCGCTTTGATTCAGGATGCCCCACGCGCTGAATGTGAAGAGAAAGGACACGACGAAATGCGTTTCGTTGCTATTATGGACGCGTTTTCCTGTCTTTTCGTGAGTAACTGGAATGGAAGTCCATCCGTCCTGGTTGAATAATGTACCATTTTGCATACGTGCCGTGAGTTACATGGCACCTCCGTTGACACCTGCACCAGACACATTGCCGGTTTCTGCAAATTCACTGTGATTCACGACGTATCGCATCATCGTCGCCTGAGTGCATGATCATTACGAGATGGCGCAGGGTGGAGCGATTGTGTTGAGCGATGCATCGACGTACACCTTCCTGGCCAGAATTGTCGCTGTGGTTATCGTATCGCAAACAGACATCAGCAGCTGGAAGAAACGCTGCGAACGAGACGCAAGCCTCATCACCAACATTCGACGCGGAGACGTACGAGTTGAGGTGAGTTGAGACAGACTTAGTCACCAGGGAGGCCCAGGAGTGAGCAAGGAGGTCGAGCGCATAAAGGCATTGGAGACGCCGTTTCACCCAACTTCTCAGAACGAGCGGGAAGGGCGGGGTCTAAAAACAGACGCCGATCTGAAATAGCAACGTCTGAACGCGTCGAACAGGCCAACAATCTACCACGGATCTGGGCCGCGGTCCGGAACGACTGCCTGGGTAGCAGGCGCTCAAAGCACCCGGTACGCGGTGAGGTGCATGCGATTGTCAGCGTGAGGAGAATGGACGAGACTCTCCCCAGAAGAAGAAAAAAACGTGCGATAACCGGCAGGGCACAGACACACAGACGCCATCGTCGCAATGGCGGAAGCACTTCCGGTCGTCGTCTCGCATACCCTCGCTCACTTCACTTGAGGCTGAGGCGAGATGAGAGATATGCTTAAATGTTCCATAATCAAATATCTCCGAGCGAGGCATTTGTAAGTTATCTCCCTGCCAGGCGTACGTAGTATGGCCTGAGTGAGAGACGTAGTCCCGAAATCCTGATAAAAGGCCAGCAGGCCCGTCTCGCCAGGGCCTCGTTCTCCCTCCAACCTCATCCCTCCCTCCCTTTGTCTCGAACGTCAGAGAGACAAACCCGTGGTAGTAAGCGCCCATAGTACAGTACTGTACGCTATTTTTAATCTCACTCGTGAACTATTCGCGGATCCACACCCATCAAAAATTTCGACGTGTTAGACTGCTTTTTGCACGCAAACTGCAAAGGGTTGATGAAACACTTGTCCTGAGGTTCGTATGCGTAGGGAGGGAGTTACGATGATGGGGGTTAGGGGTGGAGGGGGTATTCGTGGTAACATGTATGGCTGACCTTTCTTTCGCCTCTCGCACGTAGAGTAGTAAGTAATCCGCGCGTGCAACGGAAGGCGAGCGAACGAGGACTTCCCCTCCCTTTTTTTTCCCTCCTCAAACGCTCCCCTTTCCTTTCTCCGCAACAAAAACAAACAAAACCCTCCAGCCACAGAAAGCCTCACTGCCCAACTCATCCTCCACTTCCAGCTCTCAGCCCTCATCGTGCAGCCATCCTGCATTCTGACGCGAGAGCAAATTCTCTCCACTCGGGATCGTGTTCCCATCTCGTATCGGACTTCGAGAGAACCCTCCACCACTTCGCACGCGTTAGGCGCTGCATCCTACACCTCGAGGCCTCATCGTTCGACTCCTGCCTGTCACACGTTCGTTCCCACTCTCGGTTCAAGGCCTTCGTCAGTCATCATCACCGACTTCCGCTCCTTTCTCACCATCGAAAAGAACCACACGCAATCACATCCATCCTCACCACTCATCGTACCCACTCCACCCAGTCCAACACCGCCACAATGCCCCAGGCCCTCCCAAACGGCGCCATCCGCGCAGCCTCCTACTCAGGCGTGCGCGTCTACGAGACCATGTGTCGTGGGATTCCAGTCATGAGACGAATGGGCGACGCCTATATCAACGCGACTCAGATACTCAGAGCCGCCGGTCTGCCCAAGCCTCAAAGGACAAAGATTTTGGAGAGGGATGTTACGGGTGGCGTGCATGAGAAGGTTCAGGGGGGTTACGCTGGGTTTCAAGGTGAGGCAGCGGAACGAAGTGTGAGCGGCGGGCGAGCGGTGCGAGCACAGTGCATTACCGAGCGTTAGCGAGGTTTTGGTTCGGTCTGGGAGACCGATAGGCGGATAGCGAGCATCGGCGAGCGTTCAGATCTTTTGCGAGCGAAGCGAGCTGCTCCGCCCACTGCCATCCAACATCCTCGGAGCCAGCGGGGTATCGTTCATCATCCACCGCCCAACCATCCTTCGCGATGGATGACCACACTTTCGAATCCTACTGGCGGCACATTCTCACCTCTTTTTTGTTTTTGTTTCTGTTTCTGATCATCCCATCTTATTGCGATTCCACAGGAACATGGGTACCGCTGGGAAGTGCTCGCAAGATAGCAGCTATCCATGGCGTTGACAGGGAACTGGATCCGTTGTTTTCATACATCCCACAACCGGGCGACGAGCAGACCTCCACCAAGGACCGCAGAAAACGGATCCTTCAAGAGGCGCCTAACCCACCATTGGGACCATCATCGTCTTCTGCTCCGACAACACCGATCGCTCAGATCAAGGAAGACACCATCAACCCAACTCCACCTTCATCATCTTCGGCTCCTACAGGCATCGACACTCTCTTGCATGCCTCCGGCATCCTTACTGGCCCGGCTTCGGCAGCTCTGACCGAAGAGCTTTCCGCTGACAAACAACACCCATCGGATGCAAGTGGCCCTAGCGACGTCGTGCCCTCTTCGTCCGACGGAGAACACGCCCTCGGCCTTAGCCAAGACGATGAGGAGGCATCTCCAGAGCGACGGACGACCACTATGGCTTTGCGCCCGGCTGGCACCCGTTCCAAGAGGAGACGCAACTACCCAGGCGAAGACGACGATGAGTTCCGTCTGAGCGCGCCCAAGCAGCGCCGAACAGCTACAGCCCAGTCAAGTCCCGCCCAGCGCGCAGCAACATTCGAGCCCCTCCCATCCGCGATACAACAAGCCCTTCTCGAACAAACTACATCCACTGCATATCAACCAGCATCATCATCTACATCAACCGCACGCCCACAACACCACGCCCATTTCCCGCCCCACCTCGCAGTCAGGCACTCCAGCGTCGCATCCAGCCGCGATCGAACGCCCCCACACGCCGGCAAGCGCTGCGAGACTTGTGGTGTCACGTCCACCCCTCAATGGCGTCGCGGCCCCTCGGGCAAACGCACCCTCTGCAATGCCTGCGGAGTCAAATGGTCTTTCGGTCGTCTGAATCCCAACAGCGGCTCAGCAGGCGCAGGCAGCGGCGCGAAATCCCACACAACGGGTGACGAATACGACACCATGACCGATTCCGACGACATGGAGCATTTCACCCCCGACGTCTCCACGCAGAACATCCGTCGGTCACCGGGCACTCCCACACCCACGAGCACGAACCGCGCCTCGAACAACAGCAAAGGCACCGTAGCCGAAATCCAAACCGAAGTCAAATCCCTCAAACGCAAACTCAAAGAATCCGAAAAAAGCCGCAAACGCCTCCGCAAGATCATCGACGACACCGTCAACGAAACTGCGACAGCGCAAGTCGACCCCCGGATCCGTCGCGTGCTCGCTAATGCACAGCAACAGGCCGAGATCGTCGCTTCGGGCGGTGAGCCAAGTAGTAGTTCCACCATGACTGCAGTGGAGAACCTGGCGCTAGCCTGGCCCCGTTACGAACCCATCTCCATCCGCGCCCAACGCCTCGCTATTGCTAAGCAGATGATCCAGGCGCACAACATGCACATCTCGATGGAGTACGACCCTTCGTCCGATGAAGACGAGGATGAGTCCGAGGCGCCGGGGTATGTCAACTACGACGTTGTGGACCCGAAGAGAGGACCAGAGGTGGATGAAAGCGATGCCGAGGAAACGGCCCGCGAGGAGGTGGTTGTGTTGGACTTCATTTTGAAGGTGAAACGACGGAATGAGATTTGGGAGCGGGATTTGAGGAAGTTGAGGGTGCCGCATGGGCAGCCGGGGAATAGGGATCCGGTGCCGATTATGGTTTAGTTGGGATGTTGGAGTCGGGGTTATTGGGGCCGTCACGGGATGGAGGGTTTCGACATGGGTTGGAGACATACATCTGCAGACACCACACGCACGCACGCACGCATTAGAGGCTTTTAAGCCAATGCATATAGAACGCACGCACGCACGCACGCACGACACACAACACCCGCATTTGCAATTTTTCCATTTGATTCCCCCGCAATTATAGTTCACTTTTCCCCTTTCGCATACTCTTACGTAGCAAAGCATCAGAACGCACATCCCCCCCCCCCCCCTCCTCCCTTTCGTTGTAGTGGTCCCTTTCTTGTTCTTTTCTTTTTGGCTCTGAGTGAATGCATACTTTACACCTTCATACGTTTTGCTGTGATTTTGGGGGATATGATATGGGAATAGGGGGGTTTGGTGTTGTGTTCCACGGGGATGGACGGGACAGATTGAACATCCAGTGTTCCTGTCTATGTGTATATATATACCCTCCCCGCGCAAAAAGTGTGCGATGATGGGTGTCACTGACAACCGGCACGAAGAGAACTAACTGTGCCCCAAACCTGGCTCTGCATCATCTGAAACCGTTGGCGTCTCATTTCGCAGGGGTGCAGCGCAAATCCGTGAGACATCTCCGAGGGGAGGGAGTTCAAACTGAGCCCACCTTTTCATACTAAGTGGACGAATCGAACGGCGGAACCCGCTGGTCTGTTGAGTATGGACACAGACTTTAGTCCGGAAAGAGTACTACAACACTGCCATTCATACGCAAGCATCGAATTGATATAAAACCGGTTATCAAGAACTGTCCATGTACATACATCGCCCAGAGGTGTAAGCGTCCCTCACGGGCGTCTAATCTATCTGCATCCCATCAACATCCTCCCGCACCCACACATGATCCACTCATCCACCATCGATTCCACTCCACTCCATGACTTCAACCCACCCCCCTAATACACCCCTTCCTCCGCGGCATCGACCTCCGCCGCGCACTTCTCCAAAAACGCACACACTTCACATATCCTTGCCCGGTTCCGCGCCAGCTCCGTCTCGTGGTTATGCGCCAGCTGGTGCTCGAGGTCGCGCGCGGTGCCGGAGACGAGGGTGTCTTCCTGGTGGTCGAATTTGGCCAGGCGGAAGTCGTGCGTGCTGTTGATCAGGTTCACGAGGATGTCTTTGTCGGATATGATCTACGGGGGTGCGGGGGGTTCAGTACAGGTTCCCGGGGTGTTGAGTTCGGAAATGCCATCCGGTGACGGTCCGACGGTGCCTCATACTCACATCCCGCAGATCTTCCTCGATTTCCTGCCCGCCTTCCTCACCCCTCTGCGCGGCGCCCTCGCCCTTGATCAAGCGGTCCGCGCCGCTCTGCACGGCCTCGCTCAGGCGCTCCTGGAACTCGTTCTCGCACTCTCGGAGGCGGGCGAACGCGCTCGCGGCCGTCTCGGAGACGGAGGAGGCGAGCTCGGTGTAGTTGCGCTCGAACTCTTTGTGGACTTCTTCGAATTGCTCGACGAGCGTCATCTCGTGGGTCAGGAGGGTGTCGGAGAGGGCGGAGAGGGAGCTGCGGAGCGCGGAGAGCAGGGACGGGATCTCGTGCGCGGGGGATTGCGTGAGGGCTAGGAGGGTCTGGGGGATGAAAAGGGGCGGTGAGTTGAAGGCGAGTACATACATACCCCCCATCGCCAACTCCACATCCCTCATTTCCCCCCCCCCCCCCCCCGGCTCAACCCTCCTTTGGCAGAAAAAACAACCTACCCGCTTCTTCTCCGCCCCCACCCTCTTACACTCCCCCCAACACTCCTCATCGACCTTCCTACACGCCTCCCTCAAACACTCCCTGAACATCTCACACTCCCTCCTGCGTTCCTCGCTCCTCTTCAACACAAAGCTCTTCAGTTCCCCCAGCACGCCCATCACTTTCCCCTCGTACTCGGCCCGCAGCTCAGTGAAGGGCGTGAGCGTGATGATGGGCTCGAGGCGCAGGAAGTCGGGGTCGCTGGCGAAGAGGGAGGGGAAGAGGGTGTCGATGGACGGGATGTGGGAGGCCTGCCGGGGGGGAGATAAATGGGTTAGGTGGGGTCTGTGTGAAGGGGGTTGGTGTCGAACTCGACCCTCATGTGAGATCGCCCCTGAGATTGTGAAGGCATAACCTACCTCATAAAGCTCCGCCAGCTCCCTCTCCCGTCTTTCCTCCTCCCTCCTTGCCGCCACAATCTTGTCCTCCTCCTCCTGCGCGATGATATCGTCTATATACTGCTCCTTCGCCGCCTTCACCTAACCAAGCAGGGTCAGTCATCCCCGTTAGCATCAATCAGACGGGGGGAAGTAATAGCTTTTTCGTTTTGCGCGACACTCACCGACTCATCATCCACAAGCCGATAATCGAGGTACCGCAGGCCGCGGATGTGCGCAAGGATGTAGTGGCGGAAATTGGGCAGCTTGCAGATCGTGTTGCCGGAGAGGTTGAGCACGCGCAGGTTGCTGAACTTCGATAGATACGTCACCTGTCAAAGCGCTCCGCCAGGTTAGCAAGTGAGGGTATGTGTGTAGCCCGTATCCCTCCATTCTCTTCGGTCCATCCCACATCCCCACGCCGCCCCATGTTTTCACCTCATACTCACATTCTCCAACTCAGTCAACAAATTATTCCCCACACTCAACACATTCAAATTCACCAAATCATCCAACCCCTCCAACCTCGCAATCCGGTTGTTGTACAGCGTCAGGTCCGTCAGCTTCGTGAGGCCCGCCAAGCCCTCGATTTTCGTGATATTGTTGAACGACAGGTCTAGCGGAATGAATAGATCGGGATGTGTGAGATCCCCACAAACGATGGGCGAGACTAGGTTCAGTGAGTGGGAGCACCGACAGACCTAACCAGGTGAGGTTTTTGAGAAACTCGATCTTTTCGATCTTTTCGATGATGTTGTTGTCCAGTTGGAGTTTGGTGAGGTTTTGGAAGAGGTAGAGGTTATCGATCTTCAGAATATCTGGGGTGCCGAGAGTGAATGTTGGATTGAGCCATCAGCACGGGCTGTCTATCAAGGCACACAACGCCTTGGAATCAAAAATCTACGTACTCTTGTAATCCAACCGCAAAACCCCCACATCCCCAAAATCGATCCCCTCCCTTCTCGCCACGTCGGCAATCTCGGGCGCGGCCTGGTCGTTGACGGATTTGCGGAGGAGGTCTTCGTCGATGACGGTTGGTTCGGGGGCGTTGTAGGTTGTCATTTTTGTTTTGTTGAGAGATAGACGGGGGGGATTGGATAGGTGTCAGGCGACGGGTTTACAGTGTTGCAGAACGAGCTGAGTTCCAACTTTTTCAAAATGACGGTGGATTTTGGGGAATCGACAGCGCGTCTCCTCGTCCTTTCCAAGCTCTCGGGGCTCCAGCCACGCATTTGCTACGTTTTCTGCGGAGTCCCTTCGTCATCCAACCACCATCCCAGGCGTTCACATTCATATCCAAGTATGATTTGAGATGGATGTTTATATAGTCTCCGTTTCGTCGCGATTTTTGCACGCTTATCAGCCGGCCCTGTTTCCGTGGACATTGCTTGAGCCACTGCAACATCAAATGGACGCATTTAGTTCTTTTTCGTGGTTCCCCATTGAATTGTGAATAGGGCGCCCCCAACCGATGACAGCGTAGATGCGGCTATACAGAAAAAGCTCCCCTGGAATTCCGCCACTGTGGCATAACGGAATCATATATACAAAAAAAGAATTTTCGACGCAGTAATGCATGTACAACATGGAGAGATGCCACCGACACGAATCAGCCCTCTGGCGCCAAACTGCGCTCACATCCCATACCCAAACCCCTCCCTCCTCGCCTTCCCCGTCCCCGCCGACCCCGCCCTCATATGCCCCCCAGCCCCTGACCCAGCCGCGACCCCACTTCCCCTCCTACTAACCCCCGACTTTGGGCGCTGCTGCCCCGCCTTCCTCCTCTTCAACTCAAACACATCCCGAATCGCCTCTTGGAAACAGCGGAAATTATAGTCGATGAGCCCTTGCTTTTCGAAGTTGTCCTCGCGGAGGAGGGTTACTAAAGATAGGTATCTACCATCAAAAAAATTGAGAGTCAGAGCGATGGAAAACCGGGGGTGTTGAGAGATTGAGGGGGACGGGCATACCTGTTGACTTCACGGAGGTATAACACCATCCCGTTGTTTAGTTTGATGGTCGCGTGGGCGTCGCCTTCGGACGTCGGCGGTAGTGGGGTGCCGTTCGTCGTACTAGTGGTCATTGGTGTTGCGATCGCCGGGTCCTTTCCCGGTGGTCTGGAAATGACGAGTCAGGACATCGCACTGTGGGGCAAGTATCGACGAGGGAGTGGGAGATGGACTTACCCGTATATACTGGAGACGTCCAATATGACATCGATCATATCGCTGCAGAGCTCGTAGGACTGCATGTCGACGGGTGAGGAGTCGGTCGCGATGTAGATTTTGGAGAGGACGTCGAATAGGAAGGCTTTTTCTATTCCCGAGTTCTACAATGTGAAAAATTTGGCGTGAGCGCCAGGAGAAGGTACATTATAAATACGCCGCGAGGTACCTACCGAACAAAGGATATTCAGCAGATTCTCGAGCGTCGGCAACTGCGGGATGAGCTTTTGGATGACTTTAGAGACGGCTTCGTAGATGGAGTGGTCGTAGATGGAGGTGAGGTAGAAGCTGAGGTGGATGTTGTCGAGTTGGGCGTCTGCGAGCTCGTCTGTTATGCGTTGGTGGATGTCTCGCTGTGTTTCTAGGAAAACTGCATGAGCTGCCGTGCCGGCGATGAGGATATCCTGAGAGCCACGCGCACCTATTTTGTGATCATCCGACAACCCATCGACCTTGTGTATAAGCACCTCAAAGGATACATCTGGGTTGACTTTATGTGCGCGGGTGACGGTGACGTATAACCGTTGTAATGCTTCTAGGTAATCGTCCTGCACTTTGCGAAATGCTGATTAGCTCAGGAGGTCGTTCGCGGGATGGCAGGAACACCTCGCGGTGGAAACGCATGCCCATACCTGTGCGTCAATGACAAAGACCAGGGCCCCGCAGCCTCCAAAGACTTCTTCGGCGTCAAAAGATGGATCCAGGGGGTCGAGATGGCCGGGGAAGTCCCAGATCTCCAGGTCGATGAATGATCTGCAAGGCCGCTGGATGAACATTTCCACGTCTTTTGCAAGCGATCGCGCAACGATTCCTTACACGACATTCTCCTTGCGTATCTTCGTTGTGCTTTCCACAAACAGCGTTTCGTTTGGGGACATTTTGTGGAAAACTACCCGTTCAATGCTGGACTTTCCGCTCCTAGATCACAAATTGGGAGGCGAGAAGACACGAAACGTCAGATCTTTCGCGGACAGGTGTGCTCTTGGCGAGACCGATGGATGGAATCCTATGCTCCCGTTCCTCTGGCGATTCTGCATGAGGGGGAGCACTCTTTCGCTCGTTCGCAATCATCCGCCAGAAACCGCGAATGCTCGCAGACCCCCCGTCCGCTCGCCATCTTCGATCGGGATTGGCCTACGAGACAATGCGACCGTCTCCCGCCTACTCATCCCTTGACAATCCCTCCTCCCTCTCGCCACTCGTTCTTTCACTCCCGCTCGTCACAATTTCTCCATTCCTCACTCATTCAAGCACACACACACACACACACACACACACCTCCTCAAACCCATCAACAGAAGCCTACTTTTCTCGAACCCGGTCGCATCCACCGCCGCTTCTTGGCTGTAATGGGATAAACCACGATAACCGAATGAGCACGATAAGCAATAATGGCAATCGACGGGATATGACGTGCAACTCGTACCGAGGTCTATCTGACGAGGAGTCAGCGTCGGCGTGGTAGTCAAAGTCGTGTGACATTTCGGTGGTCAATGCGGATGAAAGAGAGCGCTTTCACCGAGACGGTAGGTAAGGGGCTTTGCGGCCGATGAAGCGCAGGGGTGGGGGTGCAGTTGAGCGCACTAGGCGGGCTGAGTGTGGTCGTGGGACTTTGTCTTTGGGCAGGGCAAGATGGAGGGGCAGAGGCTTGTTGGACGAGGTTTCAGAGGGCCCATTCAGGCTATTCAGACGACGCGCCCAGCCAAGAGAGGCTCGAGAGGCAAGAAGACGCAACTTGCTTCAACGGGCGACACTCAGACCGCCAGAGAACAACCCCCCCCCAAGCTACTACCCCTACCCTCTCTCGCAACTACCCCAAAGAACCACCAAACAATATGGCTGACCAACTCACGGAAGAGCAGATCGCAGAGTTCAAGGAGGTACGCTTGCCACCGTCACCCCTCACCTCATTCCGGGTCACGACCTAACCGCCAATCTATTCTTTCCCGTAGGCATTCTCCTTGTTCGACAAGGACGGCGACGGCACGATCACCACAAAGGAGCTCGGCACCGTCATGCGCTCGCTGGGTCAGAACCCTACTGAGGCTGAGCTTCAGGACATGATCAACGAGGTGGACGCTGACGGGAACGGTACTATCGACTTTCCTGAATTCCTCACCATGATGGCTCGGTAAGGGGTGCGATGGCGACGCTGTTAGCGACCGAGCGAAGCGAGGAGGATGCTTGAGCTTTCCGAGCGTTAGCTAGGAGTTTGCGAGCGATCGCGTGCCCAACTGTGGCCGTAGGCCCGGGATGCTTGAGGTTTCCCAAGGATGGCAAGGAGATTGCTTGAGGGTTCCGAGTCCAACTGGGCCGGAGGCCCAGGATTTGCGGATCACACCAGCTCAACATCCTCGTCGCGAGCGGAGCGAGCAGGATGTCGTTTCCATCCATGGTTGGAAGGTTGATGGTTGATGGGTTGATCTAACTCCCACTCCTATTTTGTTCGTAGCAAAATGAAGGACACGGACTCTGAAGAGGAGATCAAGGAAGCCTTCAAGGTGTTCGACAAGGACGGCAACGGCTTCATCTCCGCCGCCGAGTTGAGGCACGTCATGACCAACCTTGGCGAAAAGCTCACCGAGGAGGAGGTCGACGAGATGATACGGGAGGCCGATGTCGATGGCGATGGTCAGATCAACTACGAGGAGTTTGTCAAGATGATGATGTCCAAGTAGATATTGTCCGTCATACTCTTCGTATCGACAAGGACGATTAGCCAAAACCCGCCTTTGAGTTCGCCGGATCCCCAACTATTTGTACAGATCTAGACAATTGTAAACTTTTGTAAGAAAAAAACCCGTCTTCTCCCTCCCTGCGAACGATAGCAAGCATGTGCGGTTTTTGTAGCGAAGGGCAAACCGATCTCATGGGAAAAAAGGACGCCGAGTTCCCAATCGTATGTGGGACGGGCGATATCCTCTCATCCCGACCCGTCCACTGGTACGGATAAGTTTTCTCAGACAAGCAACTTCGCAGCCACGACCTCTGATCTTGTCTTCCACTTCACTGCCGTCCGACCAATTCCGGCGCTCGACATAGACAGAAGGGTTCTCAACAGAGACACAAGCCCGACTCCCACGACCTCCTCTCTGCGGAAAGGCTGGTTGATGTCATGTGCGCCGGAAAGTTACAACACTCACCGCTGACTCATATATGGTTGCGGTGGTATCGCTATCGCAAACGAACACCAATAGGATGCCAAAATAAACAATAATAATCAACAATTCCACCTCCTTCTGTGGAATAGCACTTCGTCTACAGATTGTAAACCACCAAAACACAGCAACACCATTCCTTTCTCAGATGGGCCAAAGGCATATTAAGAGAGCAGAAGAACAAAAATGCTATTCCACCCCATTCAAAAAAGTGTATATACAAGACAATTCACACCAGCAGCAGCGGGAGCGGGAGCCACTGCAAAGAGGCGGGCGGGTAGTCTCACAAAATTGGGGATGTGTCTCAGACAAGCGGCACACGAGGTTTTCACTGGTTGTTGAGGTTGTGAGCAGCGTTCTGCTTGTGGGCGTCGGACTCGTGGCCCTTGACACGCTGGTCGGGTGTTCCGTCCTTCTTCAGACCATCATGCTCACTGCAGAAACATTTTATCAGAACCTGCATCGCCATACTGTATCATTAAACCAGGACACATGATACTTACGTAGGCCTAAACCGATGCCCCTCGCCTTCGCCCCCCTGCTCCTGTCCGCGACTCTGGGTGTGGGTTTGGCCCTCGTCCTGCTGGTTTCCACCCTGGTTGTTCAGGTTGTGGGCGGCGTTTTCGCGATGGGCTTCGGACTCGTGGCCTTTGACGCGTTGGTCGGGGGTGCCGTCTTTCTTGAGGCCGTCGTGCTCGGTGGGGTGGTAGCGGTCACTGATTGAAGAGGGAAGAATGGGTTAGAATGAGGCAGGGAGGGGGTACGTGGGTGGGAGGCACTTACGACATGGTTGGAGTGGTGTTTTCGAGTTGTGAAAGGTTTGTAGAGGTGTGGGATGTGTGTGCTGTGCTTCAGTTTCTTGTTTTCTGATGAAGAAACGAGAAGGCCGGGTCCGCAACCCACCCCTGCTTTTATAGCCGAGCCCTTCCCTTCCGATCCTCTGAACTGAGCCGTGCAGAAGTGTGGAGAAACCCCGACCTGTCACTGGCGTCGGGCAGAATACTCCGCACACACAGGTCACCATAACCGTGACGTAAAAGGCTGCGCGCTAGTTCTTCCGTCTTGTCCCATCCGTCTCTCCCTCATAGCTCTCAAGCCTTTGACGCTTTGTGACGCATTATTGCGCAAGACCTGTTCCTCCATCGTAGAGGCTGGAGAAATGGGCGAAGGAAGCGGTATTCTGGGGGGTCACGCAGCGCAGCCTTACGCGTTGATGATGTGGGGCAGCCGTGTCCTATGGCGGTGTTCCCTGGGCTCAGTTACTGTACATGGGATATTCCTACGGTACCATAACCTACCGGTAAGGTATTTTCCGAGCAGCATGTCGGTGGGCTTGTTACATGCATATCATAGTAGTATGGCACGAACTCCCATGCTTTGGGGGAGGGTGTGTTCTTCAAGCCACGTTTTTTTCCGAACTTGACAGCGCTGTCGCGAATGACAGCGCCGTGACAGTGACGGGTGCTTTTTTTCCACCAGCTTCCTTAATACATGTATCTCTCATCTTTCCTGGGAAGGCTATGCATTGTACATGTAACTCCCCGGATATGCGTCGAGGAGAGGATATGCTTTCTCCGCTCGCCGGTGAAATATGATAACAATCATATCCGATGTGGGTCGGTCCTAGCGGAATATCATGGACGGACGGGGAGGATTGCGAGTCGGGATGCATCATCACAGCGGGAACATCAGACATGCTGGACGATGAGGACATCCAGGCCGTTTTCCGTTCGCTACTCAATCGAGTTCTGAGCAACCCCTCTCTCCCCCCCCCCCCCCCCGATCGCTCACGAAAAGCCACACATCAGATTGCGCGCAGGAGAGCATCATGGTGTTGCGCGCTTTATCAAAAAGGATATAAAGCCGTAAAATCACGCGATTTCAACCAGCTTCCTTAGCTCAGTTGGGAGAGCGTTAGACTGAAGATCTAAAGGTCTCGCGTTCGATCCGCGAAGGGAGCATCTGACTTCATTTTTTGCCTCTTTGCAGCATGTTTGGAAGTCTGTGCTTCCTTCGTAGTCGTTTGACCACAGGGCAGCATTCGTTTTTTGGGGTTTGCACATTGCAGGTTTGGCACAGGCACAATAGGCCCGCTCGGTTCATCAGACACACGGGTGCAGCAGCACGTCAACAGACCCAATCGTTCATTGCCAGCAGGAGACTGCTGATTTACGTCCCTCGTCAAAGCAACTCCCGACAAATCCCTTCGCCGATCCCCGAGAGTGGTGCTCAGCGATATCGAAGATGACGACCGACGCTGCGAAAACGTTAGTTCCGCTTTATGGCACAGGCCGACTCGCTATGCTTGGGGCAGGCCGTTGGTGGGGGTTTTGGATACCGGCGTCTGCATCTAACTAACCCGCACATACTTGATTCGACATTGACAGAACACAGCGCAAACGAAAATGGGACATAACAGACGATGGCACGCCGGCCGAAGCCCCTTCTAAGACGGCGCGGACAAGCACACCCCCACCACCTCCACCCCCGCTGTCGAACGGGTCCTCGACGGTCTCGATACCGGAATCAGCGGATGATGCAGCTCAGCAGGCCCTGGAGAGAGCGGCGGCGGCTGCGTCGAGGATCTTGGCTGGGATGGGGAAGAATGGACCGGGGGGTGGAGGCGGGGCGGAGATCTCGATTGGGGTTAAGCCTGGGCCGGTATGTTTCGTTTGCGAGTGGAGTGGATATGTTAGATCACGCGCGCATCCTGACCGGTGTGGATGGGCTCTCCTTTTTATTGTAGGTGAAGGAAGAGTTCTTTGAGGATGTTCCGATCAACGATATCAAGAACAGATACCTGTTAACGAAGGGAGCTACGCAGACGAAGATAAAGCAGGATACAGGGGCTGAGTGCGTTTCTGGATACTGAGGGTGCGGGGGCACATACAGGAGAAACACTGATGCCGATGTTGTTCTGACAGCGTGACGACCCGCGGAAAGTACTACCCAGACAAGAATCTGGCTACGGAGAAGGAGCCGGTAAGTACTTCATGTTGACTCCATCGAAGGTTTGAACCGGCCACTGACTCCTGCCTTCGTTTAGCCACTCTACCTCCACGTGTCTGGGAATACCCAAGAGATCCTCGACAAAGCGCTCGCTGCCATTGACGAGCTTATAAACGCCGCGCCTCCGGTGTTTGAAGACAGGAGACCGAGCGGTGGAGATCGAGGAGTGAGTTCTCCACATTGATGGATATGCTGCGTGGTAGCTTCGGGTGGATATGTTGGTCCTCACATCGTTTTTCGATCGCTTTTAGCCACTACCTCCACGCAACAATTTCTTCTCGGAGAAGGTTTACGTCGGGCCGGAGTTTGACAAGTGAGTTGTTTTCTCGTCCATTCACTGTCTTCCAATGAACATGATGCTGATTATGTTCTTTAAATGTAGAATGTGGAACATTCGAGCAAAGCTTGTTGGACCACAAGGCCAGTACGTCAAGCACATCCAAGCGGAAACGCAAACCAAGGTGCAGTTGAAAGGAAAGGGATCTGGATACATTGAAAACGCGACAGGGATGGAGGCTGATGATGCTTTGCATATTCACATCACGTAAGTTCCACTGCCCTGCACTTTCGAAGATTTCAAAGCGGTGGCATTTGACTGACATTCGTGATGGATTGCACACAGTGGGTTCCAAGAAGAAGCTGTAGAATCCGCCAAAAAGCTCTGCCAAGACCTAATCGACACCGTCAAAGAAGACTACAAACGCAACGCCAACCAGCCGCATCACGGTGGTGGTCCGCACAACCAGCGTCCGTTCAACACCTTCAGGCCGCCAGCACCAAGACCTCCGCAAGACCCCTATGGCGGTGGTGGGTATGGCGGACCCCACATGCCTCCACCGCCACCGGGCAACGCAGACGCGCCGGGATTCCATGGCGGGCATCACCACCACCAGCCGCCGCCGCACGCGCAAACCCCACAGCATCAGCAGCAGCAGTGGTACGGCGGCGGCGGCGGGTATCAGCAACACGCTCCACAACAACACCACCAACACCCCGGACAAGACCAACATCACCTCCACCACCAACAACAACAACAGCAACAGCAGTGGACACCCGAAGCGTACGCCGCCTACGCAGCCTACGACCCCACCTACGTCCAATACTATCAGCAATACTACGGGTACCAGCAGCCCGTACCCACGGGAGACGCCGCTGCACCGCCGCCCCCACCTGCCGCCGGCGATGCACCTCCACCCCCACCTCCACCCGCTGACGATGGGAATGCACCACCCCCTCCCCCGCCGCCCATGGAGGCCCAATGACCCGCCTCGAGTTTGAACCCTGCTTCGCTGGCTTACAGCCATGTTGGATTTCCGAGAGTTGTGTGGATGCCGCCGTGTCCGGCGGTTGGGCTGGAGGGATTGAAGCGATTTATATGTGCATACCCGAGCCTCTCATCGCAACACAACCCCGTCACTCTTACGCGCTGCGTGTATGTTTATGTTTGCTGCTACTGTTGCGGGGGGTGTTATGTGTAGGCTCTCATGCGTGACGGTGGTCTCGTGTTTATTGGCCTGGATTGCGGATTGCAAATGATTGGGCGGGATTTGATCCCCCCTTCGAAAAATAGGACGAGGGCTTTGTTTCTTATATATGTACAATTCTCCCCTCGCTGCGTGTGATCCCTTGTGCTTGCTGGCAAACGATACGCAAGATAGTTTGCGGACCATTCTTCACTGGGCTTGACAAAAAAAGAATGCGGACACGCCTGCCTATCACATAAGGCCCCGCCCGGGATGCTCTACAGAGATACTTTGCAATGGCCGAGAATCGAACTCGGGTCTACCGCGTGGCAGGCGGTAATTATGCCACTAAACCACCATTGCGCGATAAGTTGATAACTGCTGAGCTCACGAATATTGAGTGACAATTCATTATAACTGACTGCTCGATTTGCATACGGATTGAGAGGGCATGGACCATCTCTAAGCTGCAGGAACGCGGATTTTTTTGCAAGGGCGGGGGTTGGCTGACCCTGCGTAAGGGTTGGGGTTCCCAGCGCATGCGGACTCCGACATCGAACCGGCATCGACGAGATTCACATCGGAGGGACGGCCGCGGGGCATGATCAGTTGAAGACAGCGTCGGTCGTCCGGGGGGTTCAGGGCGTGCGCAGAAAGAAAACGTGTCGGGAACGCGCAAGTCGTAAGCAAATAGCCATCGAGTCCGGAAGACTTGCGAAATTCGACCTTCCGCGACTTCACACTGGTCGGACACACCCAGGCGGCCTTCCTTCGATCCACGACCCTGACGCGTTCCCGTTGCGACCAGCCAGCCCCTGTCTGTACTGTAGTCAGTCCTCTTGCTCGTCTTCGACCACACACACACCCGCTCCTCCCCACCGGGGACGCAACCCCCGCAGTCCTCTGTCGGATGCGATCAAACCACAGTCGACCAAACCCGGGAAAAGCCATGCGAATAGTCAATCCAATCAAACCGAGAGCATGTCGCGAAACATTCCCTCCCGCAATGTGGGCTCTTTTTGCAGGAATGAATGCGAAGCACGCTGGATAGGCAAAAAACACTTCGGACCAGAAACCTAGAAACCCTGTTGACGCCTGACATCTGACACTGACAATCTTCCAAAAAAAACCTTCCCACCCCTCACGGACATCTCCTCCCGCTCTTCCGCTGAACTGCCCCGCCCCTCAAAACAAAAAGAGAAAACCATAAGCGTACAAAACAAGGGAAAGCCCGGCAAAGAAAACAGAAAGACTCAAAAGCAATGTGAGTGAGAAAAAATGTTGCTAAATGCTCCCTTCGCGGATCGAACGCGAGACCTTTAGATCTTCAGTCTAACGCTCTCCCAACTGAGCTAAGGAAGCTGGGTGAGATGTTGATTGCGGAAACAATATCCATTCTTTGTATACAGCGATGGTCGCGGAATTGAAACATCGGCTAACACGCCCCCACTCAACTGAGCTAAGGAAGCACAAGTCTTCCACACACCGCCTCGTCAATTTCATACCACAAGCGACCCAGATGGGGGAGTTAAATACACTACTATTTCAATTTTTCAGGTAGGTAAACGAAAACAAGCTGTCCATGATATGTAAAAACGAAATGCCTAACGTGCGCTATATATGAGGTTCTGACTACAGGTAGTGCTATTCGAAGCGTCTTATGACGAATGGGGGAGTTCATTAGGAGGATTGTTGGTACGCCGTGCCGAAAATGATTTGCCGATACAAAGTCCAATAGATAAAGAAAAGATCCCAATCCCACAATCAAAAACGCCCAGTTCACCGCCCCCTCCCATGCCCCTGTTGTTGTTGTTGCTGCTGCTGCTGCTGCTGCATCATCAACCTCTGCCTCCCCGCATTCCCCTTGCGCACACTGATCAGCCGTACAAGCGGTTCACGGAAGCCCATCATATCCCAACATGCGCAAAACTCGGTCGCCAGTTGGTTGGGGTCGTCGAACTCGTGGACGGCGAGTTGTTGGTGGCCGCCTGTTTGGGTTTCGATTTTTAGTTTGAGGAGGAGACGGCCGCGGGTTGGGGTTGGGTGGGAGTAGGTGAATGTGTGGGGGGCGAGTTGTTGGGGTTGTTGTTGATGGGGGCGGGTGATGGACGGGGTGCGTTGGACTTGTTGGGAAGGGGCGGCGTTGTAAGGGTCTTGTTGCATGGGGTAAGGCCCGTGCGGGTTGCTGAAGTAGGACGCTGGGGTCGGGGTGGGTTGCGGGGGGTTGAAGTATCCATTCTCCCTGGTTTGTTGTTGTTGTTGTTGTTGGAAAGAGGATGGAGACGCAAACTGCGAATTGGTGGGTGGACTCCAGACATTGGCGCCTGAAGCCGGTGGAGGCTTCGGAAGCGCGCCCCATCCCGTAGCAGCCGCGAGTCGGATGCTGGGGCTGGCGGGGGCAGGGGTGGGTTGGCCACGGGTGGGTGAGGCCCATTGATCGGGGGCACCGGATTGGGACATGCGTTTTTGGACGGAGGTGGGTGGCGCGGCCCAGGGGTCGGCGGTTAAGGGGGCTGCGGGTTGAGAGAGGGGTTGGGAGGGCGGTTGGGCCCAGGGGTCGACGAAGCCGTTGGATGTGCTGATCGAGTCGTTTTTATGGGAGAAGGCTGAGCTTGCGGAGACCTGGTGCGCGGGGTTGACCCATGCTTGGGGGTTGACGCCCCATTGGGGAGCTGGAGCTTGCGCGGGAGTTGCGGGTTCGGGCGTGTAGGCTGTGGTAGCAGCAGGTTTCTCATCGCCATTGAAAGTGGTCTGCGTCAACGGAGCGCGAGAACGACGACGGCCGGAAGCAAGAAGCACCGGTGCGTCACCTTCCTTCGTGAGAGTCGAAGTCTGCGCCGGCGCCGCAGCTTCGGCTGCACGACGAGCAGCACGGCCCGAAGCGAGAAGGACAGGTTGCACGTCGGACGCCGCTGCGGGGCTCGCCGGAGCAGTCTCTGCACGCACGGGTCCCGCCGGTCTGCGGGCACTATCCGCTTGACTCGGGGGCGAAATAGGCGGCGTAGGTCCCGTCTCGACCGCATTGCGCCAGTTGGGTGCGTCGGATTTCACCACAGAGCTGCCGCGACGACGGCCAGACGAAAATGGCACCGCCGCAGGTTCCTTCGACGGTGTCACAGCAGGCTGGGCCATAACAGGGAAAGAGGGCGCTTGCTCCTGTGTAGGCGAACTGACCATAGTCGCTTGACTTTCCCCCGAATTCGCGTCGTAATCTCCCATAGAAAACGACGAATATCCATACGACCTCGACCTCCTCTTCTCCCTGATCTTCTCCTGCCGCTCCTGCTTCACAGCCTCCGCTTCCGCATACGCCTCCGCCAAGCTCATGCTCGACAACCTGCGCAGATTGCTCCTGGACGTCTTGCGCGACAGGCTCCTGTACGGCGTCGACACGACGTTGCCCACCGGCGGCGACGTGTAATTCGCTGCGGGGCCTTGCAAACGCGCAGCTTCCAACGCAGCGGCGGCCAGAGCGGCAGGGTCGCGATCGGGGGTTCCCTGGGTGTTACGTGTCGAAGCCCAACCGTTGCCGCTTTCCCCGGACTCGCCGAACTTTGTGGCGTAGCTGACCTGGACTTTATAGGTCATGCCGGGTGTGGTGTTTGCACGGCTAGGGGACGCGGGTGGGGTGACGGGGTTGGTTCCGGGGACGTGGGCGGCGAATCTGCGGATCGCGTCGCCTTCTAGCATGCATTCTAGGTCGTCGGCGGGTTGCGTGGCGAAGGATTGGACGTAGGTGCCCATCAACCGCTCGCATCCGTCCAACACCAACGTGTGAAGTTTCGCGCACTGCTGGGCCAGGTGATGCAAGGCAGGCGGGGTGATGTTGTCACATGCCGCCAGGTATAGCTCTTCCAACGTGCCCTTTTTCGTGTAGGCGGCGCGCATGGCGAGCGCTTGAAGCGACAAGTCCGTGATGTTATCACAGAAGGAGACATCCAATCGTCGCAGTTTCTGGCAGCTGCTGGCGACTTTGATGAGGGCATCGTCCGTCAACTCCATGCAGGACTCCAAGATAATATCCTCGAGCTCCGGACAGTGCGTGGCGGTAAACCTCAACAGATCGTCGGTCACGGGTGTGTTGCGAAGATTCAGGAGCTGGAGGGGTCTGCTGAAGGGCTTTGACGAGAAATCCAGGTTCACGTCTTCCTCCAGCGGACGGCATTCCGACAGATCGAGCTGTATCAGATTTTCGCAATTGATTATGATGGCATGAAGGGAGGCTATCGTGAGATTTGTGAAGCTCAAGTCTAGGCGTTCGATTTGGCGACAGCTTTTGCTCAAAGTGGGAATGAAGGAGTCGGAGATTGGGCATCCTGGAAGATCGACCTATATAACAGATGGATTCGTTTATGCGGGCGCTCGCTACTGTATATGTGACGAAGCGAATGTGGGGACGCACCTGTTTCAAATTCGGACAGTGGGCCGCAAGCGATCGGACCAAGATGTTGGAGATATGGAAGCAGTTCTCCAGTCTGAACACCTCCAGATTTGGGCAAGACCCCAGAGTCGCATCCAAATCACCCATGTAAAGATTGTCGGCGGCCGAACTTCCAATGTCGAGTTCTCGGATGAGTTCAGGGTAAGGATGAGCGGGCAATGGGGTATTCAGGAGCGTCATGAGGCGCTCGAAGGAATCGAAAGACTGCAGGAGCGGCGCTCCGTACATAGCTTCCGCCACTGGACGTGACCAAGCTTTGCAGCATTGGAGCAGGGACACTCGATCAGCGTGTGGAAGGTATGCCACTAGGGTCGGGAGCGCAACGAGCGGGAATTGTTTCTCGTTCGACAAGACACCGTTTGTGCCTTCAGTCTATAAACAAAAGTAGGTGTATGATTAGCCGCCTGTTCTCGAGCACTGTGTGCCTGACGTCGTGTGGGGCCGCACAACATGGACAATTTCGACCCTCCCCAAAAGACATTGCTGCTTACGTTCAGGCCAAGCTTCTCAACCTCGTTCGACAACGCCTCCACACTCATACTGGTCAAAATGCTCGCTGAATACTGCGGCGAGGCAAAAACAAGAGGACGTTGTTAGTGAACTTGTCAAACCGAAATTCCCACGCAAAGCGCAACTCCGCGTTCCATGCATGTCATACCGCTTCTGACGCTGCCCTTATCCAAACTTACTTAAAGAAGCTTTTTTGCCGACCGTATCTATGCCCGCTTCGACTCCGTGAGAAATACAGCCTCCCAGGAGACACTTCGTCCGTCTCGAAGAATAGTCCTGACTGTCAAGTAGCAGAACCGTGGGCGTGGCTTACTTTCCTCAGTGTCCTAACCTTGTACTGCCCCGAATGCTCCTTGGGCGACGCAGCTGTCTGTATCCGAACACAGAGCCGCTATTGTTCTGTGGTCGGTCTATGAGGTATGATAGTAGTAGTTTACTATGGGAGTCCGCCGTGGGAATATGCTGGGCGGCGTAATGGCGTAGCGTAGCGTCTCCAGGGCTTCTTCTCCGCAAGCCAAGCCCACTTACTCCTACTGCTACTCCTACTACTACTTACTCCTATTGACTCGACCGCCTGGAATCCATTGGAAGAAATAAACTCCTCTATTTTAATTCTGCTTACGCACATTGGATCCCTCCCAGTTCACCCTCGCATTTCCACTTGCACCCAATCAGGATGAAGCACCCTGGTCACTGTCACACACAGCAGCGTGTTGCGCAGGCCATCCGAGAACCAGGAATCCGCGCGCGCGTCGTGACCCGAAGAACCGGATCTGTGGGATGCTGTCACCTGCTGTCAGTCGTTCACGTAAGCTGATATCCGGACGAAGAACGCGAAACACACGCGTAAGGTCTTTTCGAGACATGCAATCGCATACCGTCTGGAAGTGTATGCACTTAGATGCCTTGCCAGCCAGCAAACCCCTTCTTATGCTCCGCCCGACAAAATAACAGCAAGAGGAGAGGGCGAAACGCGAATGACGCGCGTAACGTCTCGAAGTACCATTCTCGCGCTGTGGCCTGGTTCGTCGATTCCGTCGGGAGGTGGCGAATGTACATGCGGACAATGCGGAGAACTCTACTCACAATGGTTGTGTTTGGATCAGGATTGCATTGGCTTGGCAACACATGCAAAGCACAGGCAAACGCGCAACGCACGCGCTATAACCTTTTCCAGCCCCCAGTTTACCCCCAAAGACGCTCTTCCTCACAGCTGCTCAACACATGTATGGATGTACTAAAAACACAATCTCGCTTACAATGTCGCACCCTATGCTCTTTCCGATAGCCCGTTCTGCAGGCCGGAGCCAAAGCCGAAACTCAATACCATTCGATTTTCGATTGGTCACATACAGTACATTTTCTTTGCAAAGACGCTTATCAAAGGCCAGCACCACACCCTCATGGCTATATATACACATCATTGCACACTAACACTACGCCGCAATACCACCATGACCGCAATACGCCCCACGCCACCACATCATCGCGACACCTCCTCCCCGTCTTCCTGCACCTTCTCTATATTCTCCCTCCCTTCCTTAACCCTCCCCCCATATTCATCACCAACCTCCTCAAACCGCCTATAATAGGGCTCATCGCCCTCGTCATCACACACTTCATCACCGCGTACTCGTCATCGCCTGACTCGACCTCCTCCTCGATTCCAGTCCGGGCACGGGCGTACGCGTCTGGGGAGATGACGTCGAGGGAGTAGAGGTACCGGAAGAGTTTGGAGAGGTGGGGTGGGATTGTGGGTTCTTCCACTTCGTCTCCATCATATGAGCGGGAGGCTATGGCCTGAGAACATGTGGGAGGGTTAGTTAGTAGGTGTTGAAATTGAGGGGGCGGGGGGAAGGACAATGGACGAGGGTTCGTACCCAGGCATCAAACATCGTCTCCCAGACTCTCTTCAACTCCTCGACTTCAAACTCCCCGTCGCCCATCTCGCCACCCACCCCCACCTTCCGAGACCGTTTGAGCGATTTGGCCGACTGCTCCGCATCTTCGCTCGGTGTGCCCCGTTTCGGCGTCGGGGCCTTCGGGGCCTTGTCGCGGGTGTGCGCATCCCCGGTCGTGTCAGCCAGCGTCATGGCGTTCAAGCAGTCGCTCACATCCTCCTCCTCTCCATCGGGTGCATGTTTGGCGTCCCCATCGCCGTCGCAGTGGGTATGTGTCGGCGTCCCGCAATCATGTTGATCTCGCGCATCTTCCCCGCAGTCCTGCCCGCCACGCACATCCCCAGCTGGCGGATGCGGGTACATGGCCATGAAACCCTGACGATCCACCGGGAACAGATCTCGCGCAAAATCGCCCATCGCCAACTCCCCATGTCTGGAATCCTGCGCGCCACCGCCCACGTCTGCCTGCCGTTGCTTGCGTTTGCGATGCGGGGTGAAACTTTCATCCGCTAAAACCGCCTGTGCTTCGCATTGGAGATGGGAAGGAACGGAGGCGGATGTAGGACCTGACGCTGCGGCGAGGAACCGGTCGATGGCGGCGGATTCGGCGTGGGCAGGGGAGGTGGTGGCGCCGTGTGGGCGTGCGGAGGGGATCTGGAGCCGGAGCGCGGGGTCGTCTTCATGGTCCGGGTTAAGGAGGTATTCCTGGTCGTGGAGGCATGACTGTCGGACAAACAAATACTCACCAGTTGAGAAGAAATGAACCCCCGTGATGTGAAACGCAAACGCACGGACGGGGTATGGGGAGCGGTTACCTTACAATCCTCAAACGCCAACCCCAACATCTCCGGCCTCTGCCGTCCCTCAGTCCTCCCCTCCCCCCCGCGCCCTGCCAAATCCAACATCAATTCCAGCATCTCCCCCCTCCTCACCTGCTCCCCGGCACACAACACCCTCAGCCCCTCCAACCGGTCATACGTCTCGCCATCCAGCCACACCTTCCACTGCTTCCACTCCCTGTTCTCCCGCTTGTACCTCTGCATGACCTCATGCACGCGCGAGACGTGCTCGGGGGTGAAGGCGCACCCGCGGTGGTGGGCCGCATAGGAGGCGAGGATGGCGACGAGGTGTTTGACGAAGTCTGCGTAGGTGCATTTGGAGCCGGGCGGCGGGAACCGGAGCCGTTGGGTGGGGTCGAGGTTGATGCCGTGGGAGCGTTTGCCGGAGTTGCGGCGTTTCAGTTCGTAGGTTCTGTCCCATTTTTTGCGCGGTTTGTCGAGCGTGGGGACGCTGTGCGCGCTGGGTTGTTCCATTGGGGTGAGTGTGGTGGGTGCCGCGGCCGTGGGATCTTGCGGGAGCATTGGGGTGGGATCGTACGATTGCGCGCCGAGGATGGGCGCCTCCGGCATGAACGCAGCGTTGCCCGCGGACAGGGTTGCGAAGGTGTTCGCCCAGTCGTAAATATTGAGGTTAGAGGCGCTTCGGACTTGCGCTGGGGTGGAGTCCGTCCGTGCGGGCAATTGGAGTTGGAAGAGGCCCAGTTGCTGCTGGTGGGTGCGAGGAGGTAAGATTCGGTATTAAGCTCAAGGCTGTGCTTCTAACGGCAAAGCCAAACCGATGAAAAATTAGCGAACATGTGCATCCAAACTCACATTAGGCAAATAAGTCCCCCACAAAGCACTACTAGCATTCGCCCTCAACTGGCCCCTCTCCCCCGCCTGCGGGTCCGGCGTCGGCGTATACGGAGTCGGGAACGCAAACCCCGTCGAACCCATCCTCTGCGCGGTCGGAAACGCATCCACCTGCCTCGTCGGCGTGCCCATCGGTCTCAGCCCCCGGAACTGGTCACTGTTTGGCGCCGGCGGGGGCGTGGACGGCACGTCACATCTCTGGATGGCGAATCGCGACACCCAGCCTTGCCGATGGGTGGTCAGATGTCCCGCGTAGTAGTACGCGACCGTCACATCGCTTCCGTACAGCAAGAGATCATCGCCTTCGTCGACGAGCAGGTAAGATGGGTCGGCCAGGTTGAGTTGGCGGGAGAGGCAGCGACCGCGCTCGAAGCGACGGAAGGGGATGAGGGTGATGGGCGCTGCGAAGGAGACGGGCGAGGTGGGACTGCTTGTGTGGAGCGAGTCCATGCTCAGGCTGCCTTGGGCGTTGGAGTTGCCGCTGCCTAGGGAGGTTACGCCACGGGCGGTGGGCGAGTGGGATGGGAACTGATACTGCGGGGTTGGAGCACAGCTGGTGGGGTCGAATTGGTCAGCCATTGTAGAGGCCTAAGGGATTCGGGTAAACAGTAAGTTCGGCGTGTGTTGAGCCTGTGAGAGCATGGACGACAAAAGAGGATAAGTTGCAAGTTACGCCAATGATATGGTGTGCTTCATACTGAAGCCAGGGATGGCTCCCTTCCATATCGCCACTTGAACACCAATTCTTACAATAATTCTCGCAAAAAAAAACAGTTCACTTGCGTTCTTCCCTCTTCACCGACAAACACACGAAGCCAAACGTTGAGTTCAGGTAGACGGAAGTGGATATGTTCTGACGTTCAAGTCAGCGGCTGTGTTTTTCCTGCTTCTTTTGCGAAAGATTGCGGTGTTCTTCCTCGATATGGCGGTAAAAGGAGAGTCTGTGCGGCTGTCTCTTTCGTGCGGGAAAACTCGCCCCTTAGAAGACTCGTCAAAAAAAAACCAATATGTGCGTGAACGATTGATTTGTAACCCAGTTTATGGGAATCATGCTCTCGGCCTCCGCTATTGCAACCCTCGCAGTATCCCCCCCGCTCTCTTTTCTCCATAACCCGTATATATATTCAAGCGTCTGGAGCCTCTCTCCTCCAATGATACCTTGCTCTCCGTTTATAGGTGGCATTGGGGGATGTGGACTGACAGCAGGTGACAGCATCGCGCGATACCAGCCATTCGGTTTGGCGGGGTTTGTGGTAGGGCAACGGAAGAGTTAAACCCAAACTCAACAGGATGTACTGTATAATACACAGGGGGTATAATACACAAAGTGCACAGAACATAGAAGCGCTTTGGAAAATGTACCGCTGCTTGCTAGCCATATTCGGCCGGGTTGCGTCCACAAACGGAGTGATTCTACATAGGCACCTATACCTCCCTTCTGCTGATTTTACTGTATATCTTCACTGGCGAACTCAGTCTCATATTGCCCTGTGAATATGGAGTTTGGCTTCTTGTCAATTATGCCCAACTTCATCAGGATAGAGGGATGCGAACGATGATTGATGCAGCCAAAGGGGTGTTCGAAAAGATCGCTCGCTGCACGTGCTCAACTTCAACCTCCAAGCGGATGTTGAAATTTGGGAACGATCGAGACAATGGGATTGGTATTTACGTTCCGCAACCTGCTTCATTCAAATACTTGGTGTACACAATCCGATTCGGCAAGTTCAAAGTTGGTGCCCCGAAAACCATGTCAAAATCCTGTCAAAAGCATTTAGCATCACCGCGCAATAACGCTATCGGTCAACCTGCTCCTAACCTTAAGACTATGACTAACCCTCAATGACTACTGAATAGAGCATGTTTCATAGAACAAAGGCTGAGACAGCAATTTCAAGAGTTTCTCCTTGCCCAAATCTTTCCCCGCCCACATTGCAACCGCCTGGGTCAGGAAGAGGTCTTCCGCCAGGCGCAGGTCAAGATACGTCGCGGCGTAGTGCTTCGGGAGCTGGCCGCTGGTCTGCCACTCCCGGATGACGCTGCAATGTTCCACCTCCTGTTAGGCGTCTCACTTTTGATTTCGCATGCTCCGAACAGAACGTACCGCACTGGCGTCAACCTGGGCAGTCGAGGTGGAGTTACGGCGACCTCCATCCTCAAGTGCGTGAGAGTGCGAAATTTTGCTAGTGAGAACACCTTCCCGTTCGCCACCGGAGGACTCGTTCAGCCTCCCCAAAACAGCCCCAGAAAAAACCCGAGCATGAACCTACATTGCTGACTTGGCCCTCTGCCCGCCTTTCGCAAACAACGACAAAAACTTGTCCGCCGAGTCATGGCCGCGGGCCTCGAAGAACGGAACGCGGTAGTATCGGTAATGGGCGACGAGGTAGGCGCAGAGGTAAATAGCCGCCCAGCCCGTGAGCGTGGCGATAGCCTGCCGATCAGCCAGTTAGCGAGGGCGCTAACAAACAGAAAAAAGGTGTGGTGTCATCACGTACCAAGCAACATTGTTCAATTTGAAGGTGAAGGAGAACCCCATCATTCGCGTAAGAATGACCACCACGATCACAAAAAAGGCAGAAGGAGATTCGCGCAGGAAGATTTTGCAGAATACCATCGCGAATTCTACCCCATCGAGGGCCAGGAAGAACGCTGGTGTCCGCTTGATCTGCCTTTGGGGATCAAGCTCCTACAAGACGCGAGACATGAGAGGCCATTCTCCCGACGCATATGCGGAGTGCCAGAACAAACCTGCCACAACTCCGCCGTGTATATCGTGATGAGAAGATAGAGTAGCAAGATGGCGTGCCCAATCGCCATTCTTTGAGAATGGGCGGCACCCCAGCATTCCATATTGCAATCTTGATTGACGAACGGCGGAAATGCATCCCGCGCTAGAAACAAAGAAAGCACTTCAGCAAAGATAGGCGGCACATTGGCTGAATGATTTTGTCTCGGTACCGTGAGGGTACCGGCAGGGCAGCTGGCCCAACACGCTAACGAGAAGAGGGACGTAACTCAAGCTCCGCATGATGGGTAAAATGAGTGGCGCGGGAGCCATCAAGTACTTTCCACCGGGGATCTTGTAAATCCTGGCTCCGAAGCCAGACAAGCATATTGCGCTATAGATGGTGTGCAGCGTCGCAAACACCAGAAGGATGATGAAGAACCAGTCTCCTTCGAACGTAATGGCGATAATGTGGGTGATGTGCTCCAGATCTTTGAGAAATTTGAAATTCTGGACGTCGACTGTGGCGACCAGGTTGCTGAACTGCACACCCTCCAGAAGGGCAATGCCGACAAGGAAGTTTGGAACATTGCGGTTGATCGTGTACAGCGACGTAAATGCCGCTCACCTATCCTTCGGACCCCGGCCGTCCGCCTCCTCAGGACAATACCGCACTCGCTCTATATACGACCGACGCCACGTTTCACTCTCCCTCCGAGCCGACAGTTGGCGAAGACCTGCGGACCCCACATCAAGATCCGCGGTTGAGACCGCCTTCCTTTCCTTTCTTTTCCCACTGTAGACCGACTGAAGTCCAACAAACCTACATGCGGGCGGAGGGTCACAAGTCCCCAGACTGACCTACCACGGCCCTCCTCGACGCGATGGTGCAGTGATGGTGCAGAGCTTCTGAGAAACGTGGCGTTTACTTGCACCAGAGAGGCAACTCGCAGTGATGGATCTTCTCTTCTTTCGAGTGATAAGGTCTGTCTGAACATCCCCCAGTCAATGAGCGCGCAAATTCCCCACATGGACGTTTCCCGCATTCAGCTTTCCGCCATATGGCATATCTCGTTCCATTCCTCGCATGTCGGTCCAGTGAGTTCACTTGAGACACCATGCCCTTTGAATGAGCGGGATGTGGTTGAGACAACGCTTTTCGCCTGGTTGGACTGGTTTGCTTGTGTTGTATTTGGAATGGGGGTCGGGACTGAATTTCGCTGTGTGAAGACAACGCTGTCAACCGAGCTGTCGGGTTCGCGATTTGACATGGAGCGGACATGTCATGGAAAAGCGGACTAGCGATATCTCAGGCAGCGATTTCTCAGGCGTGAAGTCACTTGATGCATCCAGTTCATGACGACTCTTCTCACAAAGTCCATATGCACTTACGTCCTCTCCCCGTCCTGAGTCATTTGTAAGAGACGATGGTTATTGTGCAGTGCCTCCTGACGGAACCTTTTCGTATTACTAAATAAATTGCTCCTAGACGATAATCGGTCTTGCAGAACCACCGCAAAACGTCCCAAAATCTCGGACGGCTAGGATTGGAATGCTCATGTTTTCTTCCCGTCCAACCATTTGGTGGCCCGATATGCGGACCTTCGCTGGTGTGAGAGAACCCTACACGTGATCATCTTCTCTGACTTGAGCCCTATCCGTGATCCACCATGTCTCAGCTTCCTCGGTCCATATGCCCAGTTGCCTAGTAGCTCCGGTTTGCCCTACTGCCATGACCGGAGAGAGGCAGAATGTGCAATGGATGCTGCAATGGAAGCACATTGCATCTTTGACAACTGTTAAACCGTCGCTGAAGAGGGACCAGATATGGGATCCAAGATAAAATCTTTTCATGCTTTCGACAAAGATGCAATGTGCTTCCAAGTGTGCACCAAAATTTGACTTTCAATGCATTGCGATCACGGCCGATACGTCTCCTCACCGCTCCCCGAGTGTCTAAACAATGTCCGGGAAGTTCCTATCGTTCGGATCGGGACAGCATCACCCCAGTCCTTGAAACATGTAACGAATATGACGGGCCAGATTCAGGACATATGTCCGTGGAATGAAACCGCAGTGCGAAGACCGTCGACCGTAAACATGAGGTTGGACGTGCAAGTATGAGATCCTGTATGTGTTTGTGTACGGGTCTGCGATCCGGATTCACCTGGAAGTCACCTTTGGCATCCCAGTTGAGCGTGAGATGACCGCATATGGCGCCTGTTCGCCGTACCGCCCGCCGCAACCGCAACATGCGTACGGTACACATGCGGCACACCAAGCGGTTCACCGCATCCATCTTCCATTTGCAGATTGCATCCAAAGTAACATTCCGGAAGTCTGCTTCAACCTCCTCTGGCCAAAGCACAATCCTCATCCACCCCAAATCCACACCAACATCCACATACACCCCAACTCCCGTCCCAAAATCCAACCCCAACCCAGCTCCTCCCAGCATGCGGGCCTCGTCTCCCTCCAGCGACAATGTCGACCGGTGTGGGCGGGAGATAAGAGTTACGGGGGGCGCTTGTTTGTTTGGCGAGGTGATGTTCTCGTGACGCGAAGGGATATCGACCCGTTTATGCTTCTTCAGCCACAAAATTCAATGGGATTTCGGGATGACGATTAGAAATTGCGACATGGCATCGCAACTTTGTCACGGTCCCTTCTTCAGCCTCCTTGATGAGCATGGATCCCATGTCATTTCGCAACTTTCCACGGTCCACGATGAGAAGAATGAGAGACAGGAAGATTGTGCCGCTACTGAATCTGTGGTTGTTCAGCGATTCTGCTTTGCAGAAGAATGGGCAGGTCAATGTGGTGATTATGTGCATGGGGCGGTGTGTTCGTGGTCGCGACAATGGATGGACGGGCAGAGAGGTTGCGTAAGCGTTTGCCTCAACACATCTCTCAGCAGCTTCCAAGAATAGACGTCCCCGTTTTGCATGGCATTTCCGAACTTGCCGCTCCTTGATGCAGCTCGATGCTTGGGCGCAAGTGCGGCGACCTCTCTCCTTGCCCCTAGACACATGTTGGCATCCTGTAACCCCGATCCAGTCTCATAGTTTGGTTTGTCACCATTTCGAGAAGACGCATTCGTCTCCTGTGATTCTGGGGGATTCAGAACAGGGTTCCTGTCACCGACACGCGCGAAGGACGCATGGCGCGTCCCCTTTTTTGGCATCACCGACTCGATTCGAAAATCCCTTTCCGTGGGGAAATCCGCTTCGTCCTGGCAAGGCCACTCAAGACAATCCAAGGAGACCGGAAAGAGACCGAAAGGAGGGAGCTTTTTCCTTTTTGGACTTCCACTGTTTCCATTCTGGGCCACAACTCCCGTTTCGAGGCCCCGTCCGTGCTGCTTCCGCACTTCAAGACGCGAGCACTTCTGGCTTCCGTCCTCGCGAGAAAAGGAAATATAAAAGAGGGGAAGCTCTTCGCTGCCTTCGTCTTTCTGAGTATCCTTCATTCCGTCTCCATTCAAGTTCCCATCCGGTTGAAGTAGTCTCGAAGAGGTGCGTTCCGTATCGTATTTTCCCACGCCTACTCATATGCGGTTCGGTTCGGCTTTTCCCATGTAAGTACAAGTCCTTCGATTTACACGACCGGTCCATAAACGCAAGACAACGATTACGACAGCAATCAAGCAAACGAGGGGTATGTTCATATTTCGTTCTTCGGCTCTTCCATCCGTTATGCAAATGGTCCAAAACGCAGTACAAGTCCGATATCGACAGCAAGCGAGAAATGGTACGTCGATCCATCGGTCCTACATCCTTGCGGCAATCCACAGATCCAGCGCCCAAGATGCCATCCAATATCCGGTAACGACAACTACAACCAGCAACGATGCCTCGAAGGTACGTCATCCGCCTTTCAGTCGCAAGCTCAAGATCGTTTTATTCCTAGCAAGCCACCTCCAAAGCAAACACAAGGTGCGTCGTCCCTCCGGCCAGCACAAGCCCGCAATACGGATCCGTCCTCGTTCCAGCACTCAAGGTCTATCAGCGCCCCACAAGTACGATAAGTTCAGGCAAGTCCCCGTAGCGAATGACCAACGATGGCACTTCCGGTGCACGTGTCCTGTCGCTCACACGGATGCGGAGTCTATCAAGCAAGTTCCTATTTGGAGACAAATTCTTTCGCATTACAGCGCCGCGGTCGGTATTGATCCCGCAAACGGAAGGCGGGAACGGCGAGGCCGGAAGACAGACAAGTTCTCCAACCATAGCCTGCGCATTGCGCATCGATTATCCATCATAGTCCACTTCATCACAGGCGGTCACATTCAGGGCGCATGCGAGTCCGAAAGCAGTGACGAAAACGAGCTTGCGGACTTCGTCAGTCCGCTCCATATCGCATCCAAGCCGTGTTCAAGCTAGTGATCAACACACATCTTGTCTTCTCCGCCATTCCGCTCACGATGAGTCTCGTCGACCCCAGCTCTCATTTACACAATCTTCATCCCCTCCACATCAGCACAACGACACCCATATTTGCATGCGACTTTCGGTGAGTGTCCTTGACAAAACATCTGATTACGATCCACATCAGCGCAACGGGAGCCAATGTCGTTTCGTATACCACATCCGGTGAGTGTCGTCGACGAAAGAACCTCTTCCCGATTGGCATCATGTGATGTGAAGGCTCCCCGGAGATGCAGATACAAGATTCACGATGGTGAGTGATACGGCTTCCTCGGATCCAGATGCGGACTTGACTCTTGCAGACTTTCGGTCTCTGGGCATGCGATCGCAAGTGATATCTCTTCCTCGGATTCAACATGCCACATTGACGACAAGCTTGACGACTTCGCAAACTATCGGCCTCCGGACTTGGGATCGCTGGTGGATATTGCTGCTTCGGATTCATCGGGCTAACTGAACGACCTTTGCACACTACCGGCCTCCGGACATACGTGCTAGTCAGATAGCTTCTTCGAATACACCGACTGCATTCGAGCCTCTGGACCTGGAATCGCTAATGACAACGTCTCCTCAGACTCATGTGCTGACTTTTCGACCTCTCGGACTTGGGATCGCTGGTGACATCGCTTCATGCATGGTATGCGAATTCGTCAGCTGATTATCGACCCGAACGCCCCCTTCTGTCGCATTGCGGACTTGGGAAGATGAAGAAGGTGGGTTGGCATGTCATTGGTTGGGCGGTGTAGCTCAATTGTACTGATGAAGAACTCGTCGTATTTCTTCTTGCGGTAGCGACATCGACGGAACGGGAGGGTTGGGCCACGAAACTTGGGCCGTTAAGCACGATACTTGGCACTCCTTCGGCCTATTCGCTGTCTAGGCATCCCGAATGCTGATCCGCTTCTACGTCGACGGGAAGGGTCATGATCCGCCGCCATCGACATACTTCGGAGGATTAACTTGGACACCGACAAACACGTTTTGGAATCGAGGGACTACCGGTTGAAGGAGATCGTCATGGAGATTGGCGGTGGGGAAGGACTGAACTTGAACGTGGACTACGGTATAACGCTTCAATGGGTTTATCGCGGAGACGACATTACCGGCAGGCATTGGAATCGACGACACTACCAGCTTATGGATCTTTATTCGCGTACGACTTGACGACCAACGACGACAGTTATTGGGATCGACGACACTACCGGGCTTATGGATCTTTATTCGCTTACGACTTGAACAATGACGGCAGGTACAATCGACGACACAACCCCCTTTATGGGTCGTTATACAAGGGCAGGGATTGGACGGTGGGGAGGGATGTCGAATCCGAGTCGAATCCGAGGACGGGGCTTGGAATTGGACTCGGGCAACTACAATCACTGCATCGGAAAGCCCAGGACTTGACACCGACGACACGTATGGACTTCGTATACGAGAACCGGCCTGGGATCGGCGCTCAATCGTTTATCCCGTGTGACGCTGACTTGACGGAGCGCTTACAACCCATCTTGGCCACATCGACTCGCTTGAGAGTCGAACTCACGCTTACACCTGGACCCACGTATCGACCCCCATATGATGGAGACGGATGCATGGAAATATCGACTCGACGACATGTATCGAGTCGGAAATGATGGACACGTGGCTTCGCATCCGACTATATGGAAGCCTGGGCGAGATATCGAGCGACTTGGATACGGGAGCGATTACCGGTTGACATGTTAAACGTATCGGGTTCACATGCAACAACAGGCGGCGGCGGCAGACACCTTGGACACCGCCGTAACGTACCGAACCGAGCATGATGGGCACGTCAGGGCTCTCAATGACATGGGCGGCGCACCGATCTACTTGGTGAACGCGGGCATCCAAGTCGATTCCGAAATACATGGGGATGGATCTAGAGGCGGCATACCGAGGACATTGGGGATTCGCATGGGGGCGGCATGTCTATCACCGATCGACTTGAGTATCATGGACTTAGGGAATCGCATCCGGGATACAACGGGAGGACATGGATGCATGGGCGCTAATATGAACGGCTTGGGTGGCAGAAAATCCACATGGGGATGGATGAAGGGGCGAAACCGGTCGACTTGGACACCAGCGCACAGCTATCGGGATGGGATGCATGGGCGGCATACCTAACGACTTGGACATCAGCGTACACAGGACGCATGGGCGGCAAGCAGGTCAGATTCTCGACATTTCCGACATTGGCTGAGCGCCAACCGCATCACCGGGATCATCGGCGACAACCGGCGCACTTGCACTCGTGGATTCTTGGACACGCGCAAGGGAAATTAAATCGCCGGATTCGTTGCAGGTACATTACGATAGGGCTTGTGGGGGAGTTCGCTTGACATGCGAAGATGGACGGGACTAATCATTCTGCACGGTCTCTGCAGGTCTCGGGCATCCGATGTCGACGCGGGTTCATGCTTTTCGCCAGCGTACGGGTCGTGAAACGAACACCAAGCGATCGGGACAACCAGACTCGGCATGCGGACATGGGAACGGCGAATTTTGTGCGAACCGGTGGAGGGAGCGCTTGAATGGATGACATGGGGAAGCCGTGGGAATGTGAAAGGTAGGTCGAATGGGCGATGGTTGAAGCAGGGAGCATACATATTTTTCTCACCACTGTTTTTTACCAGGTACGTTCTCGAAGATGCATCTGACATAGGCTTCACCATTCCACTTCGACGAAACGGATCTCGGCTTTGTGGATTTGGGAAATACCACCAGAACACGAGGGCAAGATCCAGCGGGTGCATATCTGGCGACGACAAGACATGCGACACAGCACGGCGCTTCAATCGGGCGACGGGGTCCGCTGGGAACAGTCAGCGATGGAGGCCGGTGCCTAGGTCTGTATTCTTTTCTCGAGACTGTCTTGTCTTTCATCTTTGCGGGAGCGTGTTTGTTTCGTGCGACAATCAAGCCGACATCGGGCACACTGCGGGACTTGTGCGACTTCCGGATACGGCTATCGCAACCTCGGACAATGTACATAGATGACTCGATAATCGACAGGAGGCGACGCGAAACAGGAACGAGACAGGGACTTGCTTCATTTGGATGGCACGCAATGGCGACTACGCAACTGGGAACTCGTAAACCGGCTGATCATCGGGACATTGTGGAGGCGAGGCGAACACTTGAGGAGGACTGCTTCGTTCGGGCGATCCGGATCGGTGGCTGCGACAAAGGGATCCGGGCGAGGATTCCACATACAGTCGGGACATTCGTCGCTTGGTTCATCAACTAGAGATATGCGCACAAGGACATGACGACCGCCGACACTTGAGGCTTTGGACCTGGATGCGACGTATTTCGCGGGACAGGTTGGCAACGCATGCATGGAAAAAGGCAGGTGGAACATGGACTTGACCACAGCGGATCTTGGGACGACGCATCACGATGTGCGTTAGACGACATTCGGGCCGCCGGTGGACAGCCAGCCCGTTCCATACTGCGGCGTCCGTAATCCGTTTCGACATCAATATCAATTTCGTAAGTATCGTAAAGCGGCACTTCGAGTGGAAACGGTCGGTCAGCAACACGCCGCACAGCTTGTAAGCGACTCCCAACATTAACGGTACGCACGTGTATGTTTCATGGACATGGAGATTCCTGCTATGATCGCCGGAGTTCTTACGGACGCAGAAGGCGACCTGATGCGGTGGACTGGGAAGTGAACAATGGACCTGTCTCATCTTTGGCGATGATGAGGTGAGAGAAGTCGTTGTGGGATTTTGCTGATTCTGGCCGGCCGCCTCCGTTTGTTGACTTTGTACTGCAGAAAACCGAAGAGGGAAGAGGCAGGGCAAGTTTGGTGAGTGAGGATGTCATCCACTGTTCTGCATATGGGGATTTGGCACGTATACTTCTCCCAGCACCCATGCGGAACCGCCGACATATTGCCCGACGTTTGACGGAGAGGCGCTTACACAACGTCGCCCCTCTTTCGCCTTTGCTGCTTTTGTGCACTTTTGGGGCCTACCGTATTCTTCGTCGCTCCTTCGGCACAATAACACCGCGGCCCCGCACGGATATCAGCGAATAGCTTGGCTGAACCTCTTCACTTACCTTGCCGCCTCATACCTCGCCCCGGGTCACGTCTGACTGGGAACTCCGCACCTTATCTGGGCTCTGCCCGGGCTCCGGGGCTCAACATCTGCACCGTCATGCGTCGAGCCCGTCATTATCGACCAGTGGATGAGAAGAGCATTCGACGCGCATACCGCCTCGAGGTATCTTTGCTGGTTTACTTCCTTGACACCACACTTTTGCCGGCCGAGCTGTACTTGCTTCTCTTTCCGTATATCAGAGCGCCGACAGAGCCGACCGTGGGATGACAACGGGGACCTCGACGCAGATGCGGAATGAGGCGCCCATCATCCGGGCCGTTGCAAAACCACCGACATCACACCAGCTGCTTCGCGGACCGTTTTGTTCAGCAGGAGGCCATTGCGGCATTCATGGAACTGTGTTCAGGGACGCGTGAGGTACCGGAATCCGGGATTCTTGAACGCGTCGAAGTTGGCGTTCATTGGTCTTGACGCGTTTTCAACAGGTTTTGACAAGAGCACATCGACGCCAACAACCAAAAACACTCCTCGACCGACTCCAACGGTATATAGGTACTGTACTTGACGAGAGTGGATACCACAACCTAAGCACTATCACCGGATACCATAGACTCCAAGTGGCTCCCATTTTACTTGCGGTCCAAGAACGATTGGTACCATTTTGACTGAAAGATTGGGCGAACGGTCGCATCAGCCCTCACAAATGTACGACCAAAAGGCCCTCACGCCGGAGACAGATGTACTTACCGACAAGAGACGACAGAGAAACCGATGGACATATGTTGTCACTACATCAGAGCAGAGGATCCGTAAATATCTCACAGCCGGTAACCCGGCGGAGAAGCCCGACGCTAGTATTGCTACGATCCTCCACGATGTCCGGCGAGCTTGAGCCCGGCCCGGCTGTTCACTTTGGATCTGAACAGGACCTTGTGCAAAAGCTTTGGGAGAGTGACCATTTGGTCAGAGGAATACCTCTGCCACTGCCGTGGTGCCGCCTTTCGCCCTTGTTGATGATGGCCGGTTGTTGACGATGGACCGGTTGATGATACTAGTTGGCGAGCTGAGGCTTCTGTTGTTGAGAGAATTCTTTGTGTCTTCAACTTTTTGACAATTGTTTTCTTTACAGACGGCAACCGGACGAGGGACGCGTCTCTCGCTTCATCGAGTTGGAAAGGTCAACGTTTTGCTCGTTTTAGTCCATCCTTCCGATATTCCCACCAGCCCAGCTAACGTTCCTATCAAAAACCTTTCCATGCAGTCTGCTTCTCTGTTTTCTTCTGACGCTGGTTCTCGCGCCTGATTGAACATCCTCTGACTGCAACAGTCGGCGCTGGCGTGTACTGATGCCCGACTTACGAGTTAAGCGGTCGTTAGACCTCTTTGATGACGCGAGCCCAGTCTCTTGCTGACTGCTGCTGGGAAGTGTCTATTCGTGTCTTCAACCTGTCCCTTCATCCCCGTCTCATCAACCTGTCCACGTCTCATCATACAGGTGATCACGCGTCTGTGGAAGCTTTTGTCTCGGAGGAAGGAGGAAGCAGCGGAGCCCTTGAGGCCTTTATGAGCTATTACTGGAGCTTCTCTCCAGTGACGTCCTCCGTGTGGGACAATGTGACCCTCCCAACATTCAAAATCATAACGTTCATGAGAACCGGCCAGGTGGCAACTGTGTTCACGCCGGGAGACCCTGTCGGCACATTGGCCGGCACTTGTCCCTTTTGATTTGTTATGGGTATGAAGGAGCAGGCCGCGGGTTAGGAACCCTCTGTAACTCGGCACTCCCGCTACGTTGGTTGGGGTTGGACACTTGTGTGACAGACATGGACATCCAATCTGACGACCGACGTGGCCGCCATCAACACCTATGCGGTCTGGCAGCCCACCCCACGCGGGCACCCCTGAATGTCCCAGCCCAAGGATTTGAGGTCGTCACAGCGAGCTTTCGGCAAGCTCCTTCGTTCCTCGTCTACTATAACCGCGGCATGGAGTCCAGTGCGAGACGACCAAGTGTGAAAAATGCGACAAAGAGGTCGGTCCTTCGTCGCAACCAACACATTTCGACAGCGCGACTAGCCTGGGGATGCCGTCAAATTCCAGAAGAGACCAACAACTTGCCGATGTGGACATGGCCTCGTCGAATGAAACAAACACGACGAACTGTGCACAATATCAAGTGCCTCTTACGACTAACGCAATCGGACTCAGCAAGCTGCGACAGGCTGGCGTAAAGGTGAAAGTGGACACAGCTCGATCTCGGTGTAGATGAATATCGGAAGAAACGGGCCCAACCAGCGCGAGAAAACATGGGAACTACATGACTGACTGGCAGAGTAACGGCTACACAGAATAGACATGAGGTAGCGATGCATTTCCCGGAAGTACCTTTAACACCTTTATATGTAGACAAGTGATGCCTTCAAAACGGTTCCGGATCAGTAATATTCATGAACAGTCTCTCAACCTATTGAGCCATCCCAACAGAGGTCTTCCCTCGTCCGTCGGGTTCCTTGCTAAAACAAAATCGATGAAGGGGCCTCATAATGTCCTGTCGAGGGCTGGTTATACCTCAGATGGTCTACGTCGCCGACAGGATTCAGTCCAGCCACAGGCGGAAGCACCAGAGGGCGTATCACTAAGACACCCTGGAAAGTTGCTTGATGAGGACTGAAACAAGGCATTTGTAGTAGAACCTTCCACTCCAGCTGGCGCAGTCGTCCAGGTATCTGCAATATGACAGCGATTCGCATGTCAGTAAGTCGCAAGGCAGCTTGCGGGTCCCAGAGGCCAATGCGGTAGATAATCGCTCTTGTAAGAGGAAGGAGCTGACCAACCTTCCTCGCCTGTTCATTTCCGTCCATTAGAGAGGTTATATTTCTCGTTTTTTGCTGCGACAAGGACAAGTTTGGACTTTTGTTTCCTGGTACACCCTCCAAGAAGCTGGTACGACGAGTTGAGGCCTCCGCGCGAGCGAGTTTGGCAGGCCAAACTCGCAACAGCCAGAACAAGCTTCAAGATCAAGATCCTGCACGCAATTGCCGACATCTTGACAACCCCAGAAGCCCACACACTGCTCGGAGCATCAGGCAGGTGAATTCATGCTTGCTATGTGTACCATTTTGCTTTCTGACACGTTTTTCTGACTTTCTCTGCCAGGCAGAATGCGCCCCCCTGCCCTGTATATCCTGTGGCAACAGCAACAAAGGCGCCTTCGCGGAGGCGACTGTCTGGATTGGAGAGCCATGAACCCCGACAAGTTTTACAAGCTGTTCCGTTTTCACCAGGATGATTTTCCACAGCTTGTTGATGCGCTGAAGCTGCCGGAAACCATCCGCAGTAAATACTCCAATTTCTGGGCCACAAAGGAGGAGGCGATCCTTCTTGTTCTTTGGCGCCTTGCATATCCCTGTAGATGGGTTGAATTGGAAGATATGTTTGGACAACCCCTTCCTTGGATGTCCACCATCCTCAATCGGACCGTAGACTTGCTCTACAACCAATACAAAATATTGTTTGAGATTGACGGTCGCCGCCTTGATCGCACCTGTCTTCAGCAATTCAGCGACGCAATTCATAGAAAGACCGGTGCTTTGAGAACCTGCGTCGGATTCATTGACGGGACGGTTCGTCCTAACACATGGCCTTCCCGGCACCAGAAGCAAGTCTACAACGGACACAAGCGTGTACACGCCCTCAAGTACCAATCCGTCACCACCCCCGACGGGAATCATCATCCATCTCAGTGGCCCTTTTATTGGCAAACGACACGACGCACGGATTCTGAAAGAGAGCTTGCTGGAAGAAAAGATGCAGCCTTACACCCAATTTGACGATATCCAGTACATCATTTATGGTGATCCGGCGTACCCTTTGAAACCTTGGCTGGTTTGCGGCTACAAGGGCTCCACCCTGACACCAGCCGAAGCTGAGTTCAATAAACGGATGAGCACTGCTTGTGTTTCCGTTGAATGGGGCTTCGGGAAGGTTCTGCAATATTTCGCCTTGACGGACTTCAAGAAGAACATGAAAATTCTTCTGCGGCCAATTGCAAAATACTATATGGTTGCTGCTTTATTCACGAACATTCACACTTGTATGTACGGTAGTGTAGCTTCTTTGTTCTTCCACGTTGGACCTCCCTCCGTAGATGTGTATTTGGAGACCGCAAATGCTATAAACCCACAATAAACTACGCTAAATACCTCCATCCCAACGAAACAAAAACTGGATAAGTGTGTCCATCTGTTCATTGCGTTTCTCTTCCGCTGCAATGCGTCGCTCTTCCAGATCGAGTTGACGACTATGTGCAATGGCATCCTCCTTCAACCACTCCTGCATGTCCAAATCTAACCCTCGCCTTCGTTTTTTGGCGCTTTGAGGCATCTCATTTTCCTCGTGGCTACTGTACCCTGACGCCAACTGTGAGCATGAGCCAAGGGCTTCAAGCGCTTGAGCCCGCAACAGCTTGCCCTGCGCTTCCTCCCTATCACGTTTGTCTTTGTCAGTCGTCTTCAGAACCTCCCCCTCATCAATCATCTCAATGAGATCTGTAAGAAGCTGCTCCCGCTCATCGTACTCTTCCTCTTTGCCGGAGGTGCGCAGAGATTCCTGCTCGGCACGTCGCATAGTTTCCACCAGGTGTTTGGTGCGATCTCGCGCACGGCGCTCATCAAAGATCACTTCACGGCAACCCTCGTTTGCGTTCTTCGCTCCTTGCTGCCAGGCTCCCGCTCGCACGTTGCGAGGAACGCCATAAGGATAAATATTTATGACTTCTTTCAACAGGACGATGTCGTGGCAAGGTCGGATCAATTTCCGTTGGAGTCTTTTGTTTGCACTGGGCTGTTGAGCGGTTGAGGGCAATGCGGTTGAGGAGGCGGCGGTTGAGGGCAATGCGGACAGGAGGCCAGAACTACTGTTGCCGTCCATATTTGGCTTCCTCCTGAGAAGGATGTTGGTTGTCAAGATCTCGGAATGGCAAAGTGGACTGTCGCGCGTGCCCAAATCCAGGCTGCCCCTCAAGCGATCAGCTTTGGAAAATGTATGTGGGCGCTGAGGCCAATGACAACGACGAGTTTGTATAAACGCCTAGAGCGTGCAACCAGTGGCTGTCTACCGGTAGTTTGGGAACTCGTTTTGCGGTCGAACTCGTTTTTGTTCTGGGGAGATATAACCTCTCTATTGCTGTCGTCAGGAGCGAGGATGGCACAAACGCCAAAGCCAAAAAACGGAAAAAAATATAATCGGATGCTCCCTTCGCGGATCGAACGCGAGACCTTTAGATCTTCAGTCTAACGCTCTCCCAACTGAGCTAAGGAAGCTGGTTAAAAGAACCTGTATTTGAAAGGACATGAATCAGATTCTGGATAGTTAATGAACGACACAGCCCCCTTTTGGTTAATTCTCCTTGCGAATGTAGCGGTCGGACACATGTTCACCACTCCGCACATCTCCACCGTCTTTCGACATACAGTACATCTCGGACACTACGAGTGGTGCTCAGCGGGGTCGGGAATAACTTACTCCAACATCAACGGCTCCCGCTAACAGTCGGTACTGCCGCAGACACAGTGGAGGGAAGTGATTCTCCCGTCGAAGCTCTTTTTCGGACACCGGCGCGTCCTTGGTCGACAGAGCTTGTGTGGAGTTTGTGGGCCAGCAGCCGCAAACAAGGCGTCTTTATAGCTTGCCCAACTCATTAAACAAAAACACCGAGAGGATAGAACTTCGCAGTTGCAAGGAATGGCGGACCCTTTTAGTTTCGAGGCAGGCGGGGATACCCCCGTCAGGCGTGGAGTGCAGCGGCTGAGCTTCAGTCAGAGGATTGTACCATTAGCGGTTGGGAAAGGAATAACGACAGCGGAGTTGGTCAACAGACTGAAGGTGCGATAAACGTCTGCGCACCGTCGGCAGGCAGGGGCTAGGTCGACAGCGCCTGCGGAGAGAACTGATATTTTCGTTTCCTTAGAAACTCCACAATGATTTACGGATAATGGAACAAGAAGCCGTCGACACAAAGTCTCTACAAACCGTGCAAAAAGACCTACGTTCACAGTCACTACTTGCGCATAAAGACAAAGGCGTGAGAGTGTTGACCGCATGCTGCTTGGCGGACATACTACGGCTGTTTGCGCCTGACGCGCCATATAATCAGAACCAACTGCGGGTATGCTTGCGATGAACGAGAAGGCATATGAGGGGCGAGACTGATGCTATGCTGGTTGATCACACAGGAAATATTTGAGTTCTTCTTGAAGCAAATGCAAGGACTGAGCGACAAGACAAGTGCATATTATCAAATGTGTTTCTACCTGCTGGACAGTCTTTCGACTGTCAAGAGCGTCGTGCTCGTGGCGGATCTGAATGCCGACGATCTGGTGGTGGACTATTTCCGGTCTTTCTTTGATCTCCTGAGGTACTTTCATACTGCTGTTAGGATTCCCTTTTTCCGCGCTCACACGCCACCCTGATATAGACACGACCTGACGAAGAGCGTCACGATGGCTATGGTTGACATCCTGCAGCAACTGATTGACGAGAGCCACCATATCCCGCAGGAAGTGGTAGAACTTATACTGTCGTTCTTTCGTAAGCCGGATGATCGACCGAGTGCATATAAGATGGCGACGGACCTATGTAACTCCTGTCCTGAGAAGCTGCAGCGTTACGTTTGTCAAGTGAGTATCTGAGGACATGCGCGAGACTGCGCATGACGAGAAGGAACCGGATATTCATATGCATTGTCACTATGCAGTATTTCAGCGAAGCCATCATGGCAGCAGGACACGGCCTAGAAGACGATGAAGAAAGAGAACAATGGGAAGAAGCCCACACACTGATCCTCCAAATCAACCGAGCATCTCCCGCAGTCTTACTCAACGTCATCCCACTCCTCGAAGAAGAGCTGAAAGTCGAATACACGAACGTGCGCACACTAGCTACGAAAGTCCTCGGAGAGATGTTTTCCGTCCCGGGATCCAAACTCGCGGAAAAATACCCGCAGGTGTGGAAATCATGGGTCGGGCGACGAAACGACAAGCACGCGGCAGTGCGTCTCGCCTGGGTCGAGTGGACACTACCGATCCTGAGAAACCACGTGGATCTCGCCGCGGAGTTAAATGCCGGGTTGAAGGAAAAGTGCATCGATCCCGATGAGAAGGTCCGAACAGCGGTTCTGAACCTTTTGGCGAACTTGGATGTCTTATCAGCGCATAACATCAGTGCGGAGCTGTTGGTTACGGCGGGATCGAGGATGAAGGATAAGCGGGCGCATGTGAGGGATGTTACTGTTGATGCGTTGGCGAAGGTTTTCAATTTGAAGTACTCTGAAATCGTCGACTCGACCGCCGGTGAAGCAGCAGCCGTGACGAAATACGCGTGGATATCGGGTGAAATTCTGGACCTGCTATACCTGGAGGACCCGGGGTTCAAAGTGATTGTGGAGAAGGCGTTGTTTGAGCAGATCTGCCCGCCTACTGTAGACGACGCACTGCGGTCGGATAGATTGTTGAACGTGGCAGTGTTCTGGACGAACAGGCAACTGAAGGCGTTCGTGAACGTTCTGGATCGCCAGGCCAAAATGATGCAGGCCACCGCGGCATACCTCGATCAATGCGAAAAGTACAACGGCGGGATAATGGACGATGATACCGAACATCAGCAGACCGAGACGTTTCTTGGCCATTGCATCACCTACCTCGCCTCACGCTTCCCTGAGCCCAAAAAGGCCGCGAGCCACCTGCAAAAATTCGCCAAGGCGAACGACGGGCGGCTGTATAAGTTGCTGAGAGGGATGATGGATCTGCAAAGTGATTACAAACAGCTCGTCAAGAATGTCAAAGAGGTTACGAAGCGGCTCGATCAGCTGGGTGGGGCCATCATGGAGACATTCGCCATCCTGCTCCGGAGAATCAGCCTAACGGTCGTGACGAAATCGACGATTCCGCATTTGGTCGAGAAGATCCAGCAATCGCGGAGGAATCCGAACGATAAGCAGGCGCAGAATCTGGGACGGGTCGCGGAGACGCTGTTGAAGTACATATCGACGGTGTTTCCGGCGTTATACAGGAGTAATATCGAGCAGTTCACGCAATTGTTGCAGGATTCCGATGACGATGCGCTTGTGGCGGACTCGTTGGATGCGCTCGCGAGGTTTACAAGGGTGTTCCCGGAGGAAGCGCCGAACGACAGCACGTCGAGAGCAAAGCTGGTCAGATTCGCGTTGGAGGGGACGCCGCAGCAGGCGAAGAACGCTGTTGTGGTGCTGGCGCATATCCGGCAAAGCGAGGCTGAGGACGATTGCAGGAGTGTCTTGGAGACTATTATGGAGAACCTCAACTTTGAGAACGAGAAGCTGACCACGCATATGACTGCTTTAGCGCAGTTTGCGCGGCATTCTCCCGGTTTGTTTGAGGCGCATTATCCCGCCGTGTCAACATTTATCGTCAAGGACGTTCTGCTTGTCAACCGGCGGAAAGCTGCGGAGGACGACGTGGACTGGGTCGAGTTGGAGGATCTGGAGACGGAAGGCGTCATCAAAATCCTGGGCCTCAAAGTCCTGACCAAACGACTGATAGCCCTAGCCGCCGGGGCTAACGGCGAGACGTCAATGACAACCACAGCGTTCACGCCCGAAATCGCGGTGCCCATTCTCAAACTTATCCGTCGACTCCTCATCTCCGAAGGCGAAATTGTCGCTACAAGAGACACCTCCTTACCCTTTCAAGCCCACCTCCGTCTCACAGCCGGCATCGCGCTCCTCAAACTCGCCAAACAACCCTCCTACGCCACCACCACCTCCTCCGTCATCGACGTCAAAGACACCCACCGCCTCGCCCTCGTCATGCAAGACCCGATCTACCAAGTCCGCCACGCCTTCGTCGACAAACTCATGCTGTACCTCTCCACCCAGGCCGTGCAGTTCGAGTACATGACCGTGCTCATGCTCGCGGCCCACGAACCGGAGGTGGAACTCCGTAACCGCGTCAAAACCTTCCTGACTAGGAAAGCCAAGATGCTGCGAGCGACTGACGAGACGAATGGCGGGGACTCTGGCAACGCGAGTCTGGTGGAACATACGCTTGTGAAATTCTTGCATTTGTTGGCGCATCATCCGGATTTTGGAACGGAGGTGGACGATTTGATGATGTTTGCGGTTTATGTGGAGTTTTTTTTGGAATGCGTTGCCAATGCGGATAATGCGAGCTTTTTGTATTATGTCGCGAGCAAGTTGAAGACTGTGAGGGATTTGTGGAGTGAGAGTTCTGATGTAAGTTCCTTGCCTTCCGTTTTCGCGGTCATGCCGATGATGCTTTGCTAACACTTTGCTTGTATCTTGCAGAACCTCTACATCCTCTCCGACCTAACGCAGCTCCTCATCCAAGAGAAAGCTACCCACGCCAACTGGTCCCTCCCGTCCTACCCCGGCCGCGTGCACCTCCCCAAAGAACTCTTCGGAAAACTCACCTCCGCACACGGCAACGAGAACGCGCGACGAAGCTACCTCCCAAAAGCCCTTGTCGACCTCCGCGCCAAAAAGGAGAATGCGGCGTCGGGGGGGCATTCGACTCGCCCGAAACGCGAAGTGGTGAAGAGGGAGAAAGAGCATGTGAATAGGTCGAGGGAGGGGTCTGACAATGAGAGCGGGGGGGAGGGTGATGAGGACGTGTCGGATCAGGAGAAGGCTGGGTCGAAGCGGAAAGCGCGAAAAGGATCGAAAGGTAGTACGGGCACGCCTGCGAAGCGGCGACGGAGTGGTGGGGAGGAACGGGAGGGGAGCTTGCCGGTTGAGACACCGCAGAGGAAGAATGCGCCGAGGAGTGCACGGGCGGCGAGGAATTTACGGGAGGTTTCGAGTGATGAGGAGGAGGAAGGGGGGATGGTTGATGTGAAGACGCCGGTTAGGGCGGGGAGGGGTGTGAAGGGGAAGGCAAGGGGGGAGGTGAGTGGGGAGGGCGAGGGCGAGGACGAGGGGGAGAAGGAGAATGATGGTTCGGGTGGAGAGAGGGAGGCGTCGAGTGGGAAGGTGAGAAAGTCTTTGATTTGTGGTTGGGTTATGTTAGGCTACAGCAGGGAATGAATGCTGACACTTATCTCACGAAGGCGAACAAGCGTGGCCGAAAGACGGTAGAGCCTCCCGGTTCAGACTCGGACACGGTTCCAGAAGCAACGTCGCCGATTCGCCCTAAGCGTCAGAAAGCGCAACCGAAAGCCACATCGAAAGTCGTAAACCCTCACTCCTCCGATGCCAACAATCAAAGCGAAGATGACGTCGACAAGGCCGCGCACGCAGCAGAAGACGCCGAAGTACCTTCACCCAAAAAAGTGCTTGCGAAACCCTCACGGACTACAAGGGCGACGAAAGCAACAACCACAGTAGCCACACTATCACCGGATGCATCGCCATCACCAACCCCAAAAGCCCCCAGATCTGCAGGAGAATCCCCTGCGAAACGGAAAGGGAGGCGTCCAAATGGGGATGTGGTTGCGCCGCCGGTGGTTGAGGCTGATGATGACGAGGAGGGTGAGGCGGAAGTGCAGGCCGCCGCTCCCCGGACGCGGAGAAGGAAAGTGGTGACGAAGACGGATAGTGGGATTGTGCGAAGTAGTGATGTTGAGGGGGCGAAGGATGGGGGTGGTGCGGTGAGTCTGGGTTTTTGTTTCATTTGTTTCATTTGTGGGCTGGCTTCGGTTCTTACTGGAATATCCGTCGTCTCTGGTCTCAGCGCCCGGGAACACGAGCCAGCAAACGGAAAGCCTCCGACACGTCCTCACCGGTCAAGCCAAAAGTCGCCGCAGCTCCAGCGACCAAACGGAACGGACGGCGGAATCCACCGACCGCAGAAGAAGCGCAGGAAGAGGAAAGTGAGGATGAGGGTGATCTTATCCCGGTATGTGTGCATCACATTTTGACATCACTTCCGAACGATAGACCGTACTCATTCATACCACTCCTATAGGTCCGCAAAGTAACCCGTCGAAAGCTTTGATCCCTCCCACGCATGCACCACCCCCATCAATGTTCCCATCTCTCTTAGCACATCTCTCCCAATTCCTATAGAAAGTACATAGCACCCCCCCCTTCGCACCACCTCATACCAGTTCCGCCTATGTATCTATTTCTTGAGATTATTCTGTACAGCACCACGCACCACATATGTTACGTATGTATGTATCCATGCATGTAAATATGTAGTTTCGATATCTTGTTCGCGCGGATCGTCTTGCTGGATCTGGATGTGCATCGCGTGGGGATTCCTTGGGTCTGTGCACAAAAGGATGTGACGCTGGAAGGATGCTCGGGTGTCGCAAGGCTCGTGCTTCAACTCCTCACCTTCCTACTCAACCACCATCATCTTGTCACGCAGCCAAACCGCTTCCCACGCCGAGATCGCCTCCATCACAGCGTCGTCTGTCCACCACTCCTACGCGTATCATCATAGAGCCAGGTCAAAACAACAACAATTCACACGGATACCCACAAAAGACCGTTTCGAACAGCTGTAGGATGCCGGGGCCGAGATACTCAAAGGATCACCTGGCCCTGCGGGCTGCTGTGGAGCATGCGCGGAGGCTGCCGTATGACCCGTCGAACGGGGATTGGACTATAGGTTGGTTGGTGGGATGCTTTGGCCTGGGCACGGGCGTGGGATAATGACCAGCGAGCGTCATGCCAAAGCATATAGTAGTAGTGAGCTAACCTTCCGATTGTGATCCCCCCCCAGCGGCACAAGACAACCTCAACGGCATAATCACCGACTCCAACGGCTTCATCCGCGCCTCCTTCACGCACCCCTCCCGCTTCACCCCGGAGATCCTCCTCGACCTTCTCCTCCAAGCGTGCCACACCCGCGTCTCGACCGGCAAACCCCCGCACCTCTTCCCCTGCCGTCCACGCACCGTCGCATTCCCTTCCTCTGTCGACGTGCCGGCGGGGTCCATTGAAACTTTCGCGGAACTCTTGCATGATCTCCACCTGGGTGTGAAGGTCGCGCCTGTGTGGGAGGAGGACCATAGGGCATCGAGGGTGGAGGGGCGGTTGAAGGAGGGGTGGTGGGCAAGTGCGGATGTGGGGGAGGAGATGGAGTGGAGGGAGAGCGAGGTTATGGAGAAGAAGAGGAGGGAGGAGAGGAGTTTTGTGCAGATGTTGTGGACGTTAATTATGTTGTTGCCGTTTGTGAGCTTTTTGGTGAAGAGGATGAAGATGTTGCAGGTGGGCAATGGGCAGGAGGTGGGAGGGAAGAATGCGTTGAAGCAGTCGTGAGCGGGTGGAGAGAGCGAGGCTTTTTGTTCTGCTGTTCCCGCCCATCCCATACGAACATTATCCAAACACCTTCCCGTCGAGATCGAGATATATGCCCCTCCGATACCTCGACACCCTTGTTTATTTCCCCGGACGTTCACTCATTGTAGTATATATAGCGATACCCCAACGTCCCATACCCTTTCATGCATGTTCATATTTCCCCTTGTTTTCAAACCTCTCCTTTTCGTATATTCCACTTTTCATCGTGTCTGCGTACTCAGATAGTTTGTAGATAATTTGTTTTCATTACCCCACATATATCCCCACTTTGGTGTTCAAATGAACGTACCGTATAGGCATAAGTGCTCGCGGGAAGCCACATCCGTCCGACCTCTCCCACTCCCCTACTCGCCATGCTTCAGCACCCTAACCCACTCCCTATAGTTGAACTCACTCCCTCCCGTGACAGGGGCCCCCTTATACATGATATCGACCTCCTCATCCGTAAACCTATCCCCCATGCTCATCATATACTCCCTCAACACCTCCGCATCAATCGTCCCGGTCTTCCCCTCATCAAAGCTCTCAAATGCCTGCAATATCTCCAGTTCCGGGTCGGTGCCGCTCATTTTCTCGCCCATGAGGGTGAGGAACATGGTGAAGTTGATAGAGCCGGGGGCTTCGGCGATCATGGCGTCGATCATGTTGTCCGTCGAGGAGTCGGTGGGGTACCCGAGGGAGGCGAACATGTCCTTGAGGTCTTCTTTGTCGATGAAGCCGTCGGAGTCGTGGTCGATGAGCGAGAAGGCTTCTTTGAAGGAGGCGATTTGGGATTGGTCGAACATGGCGAAAATGTTGGAGTTTTGGCGGACGGCGCGCTTTTTGCGGGAGGCGCGGGCTGTTGACTTAGTATGGGGGGTTGAGGGGGGGGGGGGGGGGGGGGAAGGGGGGAGGTGGGAAGGAGAGACGGTGAGAACTATCTTCTCTTCACTCGCCAAACATTGCTCGTAAACCCGCCACATACCATCTTGTGCAGCTACTCCAACGAAAAACTGGGAATAACTCGTTTGATGAAAAGTCCAAGCACTTCGTGGCGTGCGTAAATTTGGGGTATGGGATCTCTCGGCGAACGCTCTGTGTATGTACGATGTTCACAAAAGAAAAGAGTGAGCGTCACGGTGAGGCGAAACTCATCCGTCTCGGTCTTCCCTATGTTTTGCAGCAGTGCGTACACACTCGCCTTCTGGAAAGCAGGGAGGAGGGCGAGAGGGGGTGCGGTTTGACCGGATCTCGGAGGTTACGCACGCGTAAAATATAGATAGTGACAACGCGTTCCTCGCACTTCTTTGCCACAATTCAATATCCCGTTCATCTGGATATTAAACCGACACAACCCGCTACTATAAGGAGATTCTCCGTGTCCCACAATCGGCATTAAACGAAGCAGAGCAGAGAACACAGTTTCGGTGGCGGTATCGGCAAGTAGTAGGCTAGGGTGCAGTTTAGTGGGTTTTGCCCCCGTAACCCACCCGATCCAGAACCCACCAAACTACACTGCTTCTACTGCGGGTCCACAGCCCACCAAACTACACCCATGAGCGGGGATGGGTCTCAATAATGAAAGCTAATCGTGAAGAACCCAACTTCGCTCGGCACAGTGCCCAATTCCACCAACATCTTCCTCGCCTCACATGCAAGCTTCCCATAACGCTCCCGAATCTGCTCAAACACCCCCACATCAAACTCCGCCGTAGTCTGATTCCCCACCTTCAGACTATTAGACATAAACGCCGGTCTCCCAAATGCAATTACAATCTCCTCGTCAGCGCACTCCTCAATGATACCGTGGATGATGGGCTCCTCCTCCAGATTGGAAAGGGCTTCTTGGAGAGACAATTTGAATATCTCTTTCATCCGACCGAGGCGATGGTCGTCGGAGGTTGGCGGGCCATGCTCGCGTTCTCGGGCTTCGACGCCGCGGGTGATGCGTTGTTCGAGGGCTTTAAAAAGGGAGGCGCGGTTGATGCGGAGGCCGAAGGTTATTTGTGTAAGGTACGGCATGGCTGCTATCGGCGTTGCGTGGGCAATGCGGTGCAGGCGATGTGATTAGAAGGTTACTGGTTCAAAGATTCATTCGTGTCAGGACATGAATTTGCATACAGTTTTACACTAAATTAGTGTAAAACTGTATGCAAATTCAAGCTGTGTGTAACTAACACGCTTTTCATCCTTTTGGCACTGAACCAATGAAAAGACCGGCTGGGGCTCGTCTCGGGTCCACCTGAAAATCGTCGTCGTCCCATTCTAAATCGTCGCAACCCTCAGTTCCAAGGTTGTGAGTTACCCCCGCGATATGTATGTGACGAGATGGACGGACGATAGGACAAGGGCGTGCCAGGTCAAAGTCCTCATCGTCCCACTCCAAATCGTCACAACATTCAGTTCCAAGCGGATAATGAGTACCCTTCAGACCCTTTCCCCCAAGTTGGTTCCCGCTCTCTGCACTTCGACCTTCCGGGGTGACCGCGCCTCTGTCCTCCCCTCCCCTGGCGACAACATTCTGCGCATCACCCCCTTGCAACCCTCTCGTATCATCACTACTTTCATCGTCCGATCCGCTATCCTCATTCGCAGGTTGGCCTTCGTTTAGGCGACGCCACCGCTCTATGTGGTAGGAACGGTGAGCTTCCCAGAAGATTCTGCGTGATGTGGGATCCAAACAAAAAGACCCGGCATCATATGGACGCGCAGGGATTGTTGCTGGCGGTGGGGCCGTTATGGTGGTGTCGGTGCTGAGGGTGCTCTTCAAGGAGTTGAGGGTCGATGTAGCGGGAAGAGCATACAAATACACGCGGAGTGGGGTTGTAAAGTTGAGATAAAATCCCCTGGGGAGTGCGTAGGGCGGCATAGTTGTGAGATGCCCGGCGACGTTTTTCTCCGATCCCTGATAAACCGGCAAGAAGCGGTGGGCCGACACAGGGTGCTCAGTTCCGAGAAAGATGATTGCCTCTTTCGTCGTCCGATTGTACTGGGCGACATAACACGAATGCGGTTTCGCTGGCTTGCCGGGTGCGTGAAAGTACGAGGTCTCATCGCAGACAGCTACGAGTAATCCGAGAGCGGGAAGGTCTGTTGAGGTTGAGGAGGTGCCTCTACGTGCTTACTTATTAGCTTTAACAGCTGCTATATTAACAGCTACTTATTCGGCTCGTTTAATGATTCTTACGTACATTTTTAAGTGCTGCGAGGTAGGTGGAGAGGGCTGGTTCACATGAGGTGGGTAGATTGCGGCGCACTTGTAAATAGAGTGTATCTGAAGTTCGAAAGCCATTGTTGCTAGCAGCTCAGAAGTTCGTATATGTTGTTGCCAGCAGAAAATGTGAATGGCAAGTTACGGAAACAGATGGGATGGGTGGAGTACCAAAGTTTTCACCTCCTGTCTGAAAGCGTATTCTATTATGCGCAAATGCCTATACAGCTTGCGTGGGAAAAACGCATAAAGGACGAAGAAAAGGCAGAAGAGGACAGAAGGCGACAGCAGAACTAGTAACAGGCATCCGTTTCGTGTTTGGGATGTGAACTGCGCCACGGGGCGTGACTCATATTTAAATTTACGTCTATTCTGTACGTAAAAAATCGGTTCGAATGCATTCCGAGGCTTGTTTACTTGTTAACCCCCGTGGTTTACCGGTATTCAAGAGATCCTCGGTTTTCGTGGATATTACATGCCCGAATGCTCGGGAGCGTTCGCCGGGAACTTGGGAGTCGTTGCTATCCACATTATCGGGCGGGTGCACTCCACAGGTAACAACCACTTACGGACATAACACATACTGAGTCATCCCCGTCGTGGTACAATCGCCATTCACCCGATGGATTCCGAGAATTCGGGCGATTGGGCCTTGACAGGCGGTATTTGTTGGGGCCGCCCTCACCTCCATAACCGTTCCCCGTATATATTGATATCGACCAAGTGTGATGGCCGTGATTGATGTACAAAAGTTGGGGCAGGACACTGACTTTTTTTTCAGCCAAATTTGCCGTCTGCGAGAGCAAGGAACTCCGCAAATATGATATGTATGGATGACTAATGCAGGCCAAATGTACTGTACGTACAGTACACAAATAGCGGCTCCTGAGCTCATGTCTCCCTCCGCCATGTATGTATGGACCATGTGGGAGTCTTTTTTCCGAAGCCTGATTTCCCCGCACCCGACATCATGGGATGTACAGTATGTATATTTAGCATTTTGGACGCGATCTGTGGGTTGAAATGATTAGCCCCGCTTAAAATAAATGTCACGGAAGAAACGTGGGGGGAATGTGAGATTTGGGACGGCTAAGTAGTAGGCAGCGCGTGTTGGTGAGACGTTTGCTTAACTGGCGCCTAATCAGTTGGGCGTTATTGGGCGTACTGGGGCTTAGGGCAAGTTCAACAGAGAAAGCCCTCTCTGCAAATAACCCCAACCCAACTGAACTACTTCCTGACCCAACAACTATCCACGAACACAGACAGGCAGGAAGACTGACTGGCCAGAAGGAGAAAAAATACCTACACTTCACCCACACCGCAGCCGCATTCCTCCGCCGATCTGCATCACTTTCCTCAATCCTGCTCACTCGTCTCATTCTCACGTCCCTTCTTACGACGGCCACATTCGGTACTTTCCCCCCCGACTCTCATCACAGCGGGTTTCACGTCCCCAGCACAGCACCGGTGACGGGCTGGACCGAGCAGGATCTCTCGGTACTCCCTCTAGAGCAATAGCTTCAGCGCAAGTCGCTTAGGTACATTCGACCGCAACAGCAGGGCAGAGTTCATTCTTTCGACGTCGCTGGCATCCGGCATCCAGCCCGACCAGAGAATTTTTCCCATAGAACCTCAACCTCCGTTCGGAGAATCGGATTCTTCCACGAGGCCGATTTCCAGAGCTTCACGAGTGCTACGCACATACTATCGATTCCCGCTGGCGTCGTCACCAGGGTCAATCTTCGAACTAGATCTTCCATTGTGAAGAAGAGTCCTTTGTTGAGTTGAGGAGCAGCCCGTATAGAAATCCACACTGGTCGTCATGAATAATCCACCAGGCTTTGCCGGGAGGCGTCTGCACCCGAAATTCAAGTTGGATAAGCCGATGAACATTGCCGCTATGGGCGGCTTCCCGACGCCCTTTGCGAACTTTTCGAAGTTTGTGTATGTATCTTCTCAGGGAGGCCTCATGGATATTTCAGTCGTTGTCGTCGTTGTCGGTGTCCATTCTTACTAACCCTACATCTTCCTTCACAATAGAGATCCAAGCGGGAAACTGAACTTCAACGGTAAAGCCGTCTTACATGCCTCTGGCGTGGACTTCACAAATGGAAACTCCTACAAAATCAACATGAAGGAGCTGACGCTATTGGAGGAGTTGGGGAAGGGGCAGTATGGGACGGTGCAGAAGGTGCATCATATTCCAACGAACGTCACCATGGGTATGTGAGAGAGGGGACGAAATGGGTTCTCCACGCCCCAAGTGTCAGCAGTGGTAATGAGAACTGACCTCATCCCCTTGTTTCTGACTTAACAGCAATGAAGGAGATCCGGCTAGAGCTTGACCAAACAAAGCTGAATCAGATCATGATGGAAGTTGATATATTGCAAAAAGCGCAGAGCCCGCACATCGTCGAATTCTACGGGGCGTTCTTCATCGAGTCATGTGTGTATCTGTGTATGGAGTACATGGATGCGTCGTTGGATAAGCTGTATGGTGATGGTGTGCCGGAACCAGTGCTGGGGAAGATTACGTGGGCGGTAGGTGGAAGGGCAGCACTGGACAGAAGGAACGATGCAGATTGTTGATACCTCCATCCGTTTCTCCCACAGGTGGTGAACGGATTAAAGACCCTGAAGGACGAGCATTCCATCATTCATCGGGACGTCAAACCAACGAATGTCCTGGTGAATACGAAGGGAGACGTCAAGCTATGCGATTTCGGTGTCAGCGGGCAGCTGGAGCAGTCGATGGCCAAGACGAATATCGGATGTCAAAGTTACATGGCGGTGAGTGAATATACCATTAATCTCGCCGAGGCTAGGCATGGAAGGCACGCATTCTTCATCATATGATGCTGATATCCTACTCCCCTACTCCAGCCCGAACGAATCACGACCGCAACAGCATCCACCTACACCGTCCAGTCCGACATCTGGTCCCTAGGTCTCTCGCTAGTTGAACTCGCGCTGGGCCGGTATCCCTACGGCGGCGGAAAGTTCGATTCGGTGCTTGCGCAGATCAACGCCATCGTGCAGGGCGAGCCACCACAGTTGCCGGAAGACAAGTACTCCCAGGAGTGTAGGGATTTCGTGGCGCAGTGCTTGAATAAGGACCCGAGGGCGAGGCCGAATTATGCTCAGTTGTTGGTATGTTATCGGGATTGGCGCCCCGTGCTTGATTATGTTGTTGCGTGGTTTCAATGGCCATATCATTCTCCAATGCCGAGTCTAACAGCGTTCTTCTTCACAGGACTCACCATGGCTCCGCCGTGTAGAAACCGAACAAGTCGACGTCGGCGCCTGGGTTCGCGAAGCCATCGCCCAAAAGAACGCCCGCGCAACCAACGCAATAAACCAAGCGAACGCAGAATACGAAGCCCGCCTCGCGAACAACTGTAAAGTTAACGGAATAGGATCATCACCCGTGCGGTCATCCACAACAGCACGACCGGACACGGATATCACAGTCACGAGCTTGATGATGGCCCTGCCAAAGACGCAGGATTCGATCGTGCAGCCGCCTGCTGTCAAGATTGAGGGCGCTACGCCGACTGCATAGTTCTCTGCGATTTCGCCGCTACCACTTACCCACTCCGCTCGATACCCCCTACCGACATACATCCCCGCGCCTCTCTTCTCAAGTTTTTCCTCTGCTCTTTTACCCCACCCGCGCTTTTTCGCCACTTAGACTTTTGAGCCCCATCAATGGGGCATCCCCCTCGCCGCTCTCAGTAGTCGAAAGAATGAGCACCACACCACCCACCCAACGCAGATCCGTCTTCTTAATCCCGTTTTCAACAAGCGAAAGCTCGGGTGCCGAAAAAGACACCCTCTCCCATCCAAACCACCGTGCCGCTGCATGCGTTTTGTTCTATCCCCACCGCTCCTACTTAGTCTTCTCCGAATATCACCATCATAACCGCAATCAAACCTCTCTCCCTCTCTCCCTCTCCTCTACCTCTTGCTCTCACTGAGCTTCTGTATGTATAAACGTAACGTGGGCGTTTCGTTCCTTTCTCGGAAGAATTAGTTTGCTCTGCGCTGTGGGGAGCTGGCTCTTGTGGAAAGTGTTGACGCGGATGTCCGAAAACGTCCCAACCTTGCGACATCCGTCGACTCCGCGGCTACTCCTCCACGCCAAGATCATCCTCCGCAAGAGACGATCTCAATGGGCTCAACCCCAGCAGCACGCGTATACGCCGAACATGTACGCGGCTCCTCAGTACATGTATTTTCCGAAGCTTGGGGGAACACGGGTATCGTTTCGCAGAGAGTTATGTATTGTGGGGGATACAATGGCTGACTTCCGGGGACGGCATACCCGGTTGAGCGTATTGGGGATTTACTGGATGAAACTAAGGCTGCTGGAGGAGTAGTATGTTGGGAGAGCTGGCCGGTCGTTGCTAATTTGAAGAGTATGGAGACCTTGGAAAACGCTTCTCCCGATAGCACGATGGTCGAGTACACGACCTTGTCGAGTGGGAGAACATCTTTGACTAGGATCCGCGCGCCATCTGCAAAAGGACTCCGCCAATGTACAGTACCACATCGTAACGTTGTGCCCCAGTGCCTGACGGTCAACTCCCCGCGACGGAGATCACGAGACATGCTGATGGCACTTGTCGATCGAACATTCGTGGATGTGCCAATGCTGCAGGACATTCGAAGATGGACGGCATTGGTCAGCAAGGGTATTCCGGTTTGCGACGCTACGTTGGTTGTACCCGGGACTTCCTGAATACCGACGCACATTTTTGGAGCGGAGATACGAAAGGTTTTGGGACTCCGTAGGCGCCTGGTCGGTGTCAGAAGAGTTGACCGGCTTGGAGTCCGGCGAAGACCCCAAGGTCACCACGAAGGTGCTCATCGCCTGTGGGGCCAGGAAGACGTGGAGTGTGATCAGGAATTCCTCACGGTGCTATCCTTGATGCGGATTCTGCTGTGGAAGCTGCGGTTTGTGATGTCCCGCCCAGGGGCGCCGCTGAGAGCGAAGCCGAGGGGAGCACGGAACAGCCCTTGCAACAGCCGAGCCAGCTGGATCGTTCGCGCCCGCAACTCCTTGTTGGTGCCGCGGACGAGGGCACTACAAATTGCACAACAAGACATGGATGACGTTCTTACCTCCGTGTTCGAAAAAGACTCGGAGCTTGCTGCACTCCGGGGAACGAAGCGGGATTTGGACCTGATTGTGTATCCGAGACCCCGCAGCGACCTGATCAGACGGCCTTGTGTGAGAACGTCGGGCGGCCCAATGATAACTGGCAAACATGAGATGCTTGGGATTGGATCTTCCATCACCCATTCGCTGTCGGGGCGGTATGGCAAAAATGGAACACTCCATAGCGGACCGCCAGTTGCAGGCAGTAAAGAGCTGATTGAGCATTTCAGCAATGAGATGCATACACGTTATGGCAACACCTGTTGCGATTTCGGGAGCACTCCGACTTCACCAACAGACATTATATCGACTCTCTCGTCCCAGGAGTACGCTTGTCTGAGTTTATACGCTCCCTGGAATTTGCGTCGCAAAAGGCGAAGATGTGCAATAACAATCTTGGCCGGAGGACTCATCCAAGAACATCAAAGCCCCGCTGTTCCGGTGGTTGAACATCATTAAGGAAATATGTATGACGCGGGCCGCAGTCCGAAAGTGGAACCAAGCTATCCATGGGTCGTGGCAACAATGGCGTTCACCGCTGCAAAGGCTGCTGCACCCGTGAAAAAAAAAATGGCTTTGGATCGAGGATCTTGAAGTCGTGTTCAAAACTCGAGATCGAATATGATACAGAAGATGCGAGGACCGTGCTCGGGTGCACCTTCACGCCAATTACGTCCGTCTGATATTGGGACGCGGGAATACGTCTGTGGACGGTCCACTTGCACCGGTTCCCGACCTCCACCAAGGAAACGCCTAGGGAACACGAGAACATTTTTTACTTTGGGCTCGATGAGACCGGTGGAAGACGTCTTCGACAGAGAGTGGCGTGGCGTGCGTGGGACGCCCTTGGTCAATTCCACACTCGAGCGTAGGACGGAATCATCCCGCTGGGCAGAGTTGTGCGTTCCGAGGGTAGATGTTTCTGACACGCCTACATCGTTTGGGATGCGCAATGTATGGATACTTGGAGGCTCGGGTTGCGGTAAGGGGAGGATGGGTACCCTCATCATTTTCCCTCGACGGGCGGTTGAGGTGCATTCATTATGACGATCGTCATGAGGGCAGCACCAACAACTTGGGCGCAGAATCTTGGAGATCTTGTGGAGCATATCCGCGACAAAAGCACTTACCGAAGGTGATCCATAAGCATCCACTACGCACTCAGAAGTTGGACGCTTCGGGCGGCTGCGGAAGTGCTACGCAAACGCCCCAACAAGCCCACCCCGCCCCCCATGCACACCGCCGCCATGGAAGGCAAGGGAGGGAGGGGTCATCGTCATCACCATTGTGAGCGAAGCATTGAGGTGGGTGAGGGATTCGGAGCAACCCGGAAGTATCGAATGGGGTCGTGCTTGTGAAGACTGGAGGCCAGGTGGCGAGTACCGTATGCGAGTTCCTGTGTCCAGTCCTTTACTTACACACCTATTCACTACGTGTATGTTTTTTCTATGACAGGACGCCGACCGGCGTGAAGCTGGACACCACGTCCTGTCGTCTCGCAGAAGTGCTCCCAAACTCCATGCCACACAAAAGGGTGAGCAGTTTGGAGGACAGTGTATACCCTCACCAACAACATGCCCGCAAAATCAATGGAACGAGAGTGCAAGTTGATTGGCGAGGACTATAAAGGAATGAAGGGAGGAAGTGCTCGAGCAAAAGTCCACCACCACCATGCGCGGATGGCGGCGCAGGAACATCCAGAACGAAATCACTGAGAGCCAACGCATCTTGGGCAACATTGGGAGTTACACCTCGTCGGAGATCTTGTTCATGGCAGGAAAGGAGGTCTACCAGTTTCCTGCACCCTTGGAGCGACGGATGGAGGCGTACAAGGAGTTTGTCTCCACACTCTGCCAGCTGTCCGCACAGTTCAATAGGGGTTTATGCAATGGACGCGCAACTCGGCCTGGTCTACAGGAAGACTCACGTAGCTACCTCAGCAGAGATGAAAGAGACAAGGTTCTTTCGGCGGCCCTTCCTTTCCGAGAGTATGGAATCATCCAAAGTTCCACGCCTCTGACGATGGATTTTCGCTTTGAAGGTCGAAACAACTTGAGCCGATGGATGCGAGATGCCCAGCATAACCAACAGACACAAATGCACGAAGTGGGGACATGCAGACGGATGTATCAGAGTTGACGGAGGGGGGGGGGGGGGATTTTGGCAACCGCCGCAGAGGAGTTATATGAGAACACGTAGGGGGACACCACAAGGTTGCATGTGGACCATGCACAAACCAGTCTATGTTCGAGGCGTTGGGTTGTCAAAACATGGGCGGCCGAGGTCCCGCGGTGTTCAAAGGTCATTCTCGTTATCAGGCAGCGGTGAGAGTGGCGGGCACGATTGGATGGAGCGTCAGTATATCATTTAAAGCACTTGTATCGCTGCGTGAGTAGTAGGGATTGCACATTATTCTACCCTCCCACTTGGCTCTAATATCGCGGTATGTAAAGCCCATCATTTTTCCCCCGTCTATCATGGAAAGGCCGTCATTTATAGAATACAGTAAGTCAGTGCAAACGGCCAAGACTCGAGAGGTTTGAGCTTGGGCCGACCAGTATAGTTCCCGGCCCTTTCATGGATGTGATGGAACGAGTTAACATCCGACCGCTTACGTAAAATAGAGTTGTTTCAGTTTTAAAGTTTTACGAATGGTTCCGAGAATGAACGACGCCGGGTGTTTGGTTATACAGCAAGGGAATTTCGGCAAACCGTGACTCGGGCGGAAGGAGAGGAGTCAGAGGACCATATGAGAGAGAGCGCACGTTGTCCTCTCATTGGATGATTGGACGGCGTTGATGAAACAAGGACTCGAGCGCGATGAATTGGCGCGCCCAAGTCCCAGGACCCAGGACGTGAACAAGATTGGAGTCCTGAGGGCGCACTTCAGCAGGCGTGAGTCACCGTCACACCTGATCGGCAGCGGGATCCCGGGATCACTTGAGTTTTAAGGTTTGGCTCTCTTCTGGGAAAAAGCTAAACGGGGGTGTTCCGCCTGTTCTGCAGACTGATTGTTCCTTCCCCTCTGCAAACTCCTTAATACCTTATCACCCACCGCAACTCAGCCTCCCTTGGCGAGCCTCGAGGTCACCCGCGACAGAACCTTCCCCCCCCCCTCCCACGGCCGCACTCCCAGAATAAGGTTTAGCGCCCTGTTTATCGCGTCCGTTCCCCTCGTTATATAAGACACGAGGGCCTCCCCACCCACCCACCTGCTGCGGGCTCAGAGAACAGTCAAAAACTCTGAAAAAGCTTATTTAGCCCACATTCCGTGTCAGAACATTCACCACCTGCAAGCCACCTCGAGTCTCCCGAGAGCTCACTTGCACACACCGAACACGGATACGAACGCACACTTCTTCTTCACGACCGCCTCGCTCATCGACCCGACGTCCACCAGCCACCGCAATGGTCCAAAAAACAACCTTTGTGCAAAAACTGCACCGCATCCTCGAAGACGAGTCACACGCAAACCTCATACGTTGGTCGCCCTGCGGCACTTCGTTCCTCGTTATCGATTGTCCCGGATTTGCCCAGAAGGTTCTTCCAAGAGTATTCAAGCATAACAATTATACAAGCTTTGTACGGCAATTGAACCTTTATGGGTTTCACAAGAAGAATAGGAGCTATCATAGGCAGCATCCGAGCTTGACTGCTGCGGGATTGATTCCCACTGGAGAGCAGGTATGTGAGCGATAGCGAATGTGAAGCGAAAGGAGTGAGCGAGTGCCTACCACTGTAATACGGAGCGAAGCGAGGACCTAATCTCGCCCGAGCCACATTGCGCCAAAGGCGCAAGATTCCTTTCGTCCAACCTCCTTATTCGCTTATCGTTTCAACCAACCAATCAACCTTCGCTTCGCTCATCCATCTAACCATCGCTTCCCCTTCGCCTTGCTTCGCCTCCTTTCGAATTCAGGAACCCAGGGAGTTTTCGCACCCGAAATTCATTCGTTTCCGGCCGGACCTTGTTGAAGAGATTCGCCGGAAACCGAGTACACTCGCCCAGCATCAGATGGTGCAGTTGAGGGAGCTGCAGCGCTCACAAAGGGAACGACTTGAGGCCGAAGCCGCGCTCAGGGAACGGAACGATGACACCACCGCGGGGGCTCCTGCCACTGTTCCTGAACGTGATAAGATGAGCCGATCGCCGTCCTCGTCGTCATCGCTGATGACAGTCGATCACGAGCAACACCATCGCCCGCCGTCCATGTCCGTCGCCAACCTCGCCCACAACCACCAACAACAGTTACCGACACGGCGCACGTCGTCGGCGTCGGGCATGGAGTTTGAGTATACCCGCCCGGCTTCGCATGTGTCATCTCCCAACATGCAGCCAACGCAACACGACCGTCGTCGACACCACCACGGCGATGCTGAGCGCGCCTCCCCAACTCATTCAACACACACCCTCCATCAACAGCAACAAGACCACCCCCGCTCCCCATTCCCATCCTGCAAAGCCCTTATCGCCGAAACAACCTCCCACCCACCTCGTCCCACCCACTCCCGCCCGCATCCCGCGCCGCCCGCACCACAACCCTTCTTCCCTCCCCCAACACAACTCCATTCCCCATCCATCTCCCCACCCACGGCCCCTCACACCGCTTCGTCAGACCTCCTTCGCCATCTCGCATCCCTGGAAGCAACAGTCCGAACCCTAGTCCACGACATCCGCGACGCCAAGCGCACCGGGGAGAAACTCCGCACTGACGTCGAATACCTCCTGAATCGTGAACGCGAATCAAGAGTCCACACATCATCCTCTGAATATCCCTATCGCGACCCCGTGGACACCCATCCACGTCGCCTCTCCTCGACGTCGCACCACAAGAACAACACCACAATGTCCCCACCACCAACAGCCTCTTCCACCTCTTCTTCCACCTACCCTCCCGTCTCACAGGCTGCATCGAAGATCCGCCTCCCGCCACCCGCGGTCCTTGCTTCGTTCAGCAGTACGACCAAAGTGAATGGGGGGAGGGATGCGCAGGGCGCGCTGGTTAGTCCTGTTAGTCCTGCGAGTCGGTGAACTTGTTGAAACGATGTATGATGGCATACTTGATACCCCCCGGCAGCGAGCCCTCTATCTTTTTCTGATGTATAAACTTTTATTCTTCGGTTATGTTTGCGTTCAATGAACCCTTTTTGAGAGACAAAAATGAAGGAAATGCCTTTCGCAGATTTTCCCAAAGTAGCGAGAGGTAGCGAGAGGTTGCATGGGACAAAAACTATGGAGGTTTGGAAAAAAACAGGAAAAAGATGGTTGGAATGCTCCCTTCGCGGATCGAACGCGAGACCTTTAGATCTTCAGTCTAACGCTCTCCCAACTGAGCTAAGGAAGCTGATTGAAATTCTGCCTGCCGAGATTGTGGCCACTCTTTTTACGTCGTGACCCGGCATGGAAGTGACCCTATGACGCCCGATGCACCTCCCTTTTGCGCGTGGCGTTTCCCTGAACAGGCTCCCCCTCGCAGTTAGAGCCAAGAAAGAACAAGCTTCCTGTTGGCCATCATGGGCACTCGGCTTGGAATCACCCACGGACGCATGGAAGTACTTCGCACACACAGCAACCACACCTTCGCTCGGTTTCACCGCATACACTGCACGGCTAGACGCTAGATGGGACGCATCTTGACGCACACTTCACACTTCTCGCCGCCGCCGTCTCGCATTGCACCCTACGACTGCTCAACCCCTACGCATCTGGAAGCCACGAGCGACGAACGAACTTGGGGGCGCATCACGCAGGCCTTTGTGTCGTATTCCTCGCGTGATGTTGAGGATAGCGGGGTGCAGTGACGACAACTACAACACTACACCTACACGACCTACCCAGACAACCTAGCCCATCCCAACATGCCCCCCGTCAAGCAGATATTGTATGGGCCGTACGAGGCGGCGTTGTGGAGGTACCTTGTGGTGAGGCAGGGTAGAGTTGTGAGGGTGGCTGTTGGGAGGGAACGCGCGTGGAGGGCTGGGTGAAGGTGGAGGTGGAGCTCGGTGTGTAGGAGGGGAGGGGTAGCGTAGGGGGATACGGCTTGGGTATAGGGATAGGTAGACGATCTAGGGGTAGTGAAAGGCAAAGTAGCGGTTAGCGATAGGGACAGGGATGAGCGTTGAGAAGTACGCGGAAAATGCACGCTTCATCCCGGGGAAGTGAGCTCAAATGGCAGAGCCGCTCGCTTTCCGTGTAATGGGAGAGGCAGGGAGATCGATACGCCCATTCTGAGATCTCCCCACGTACTGTCCACTGCGCGAGTGCGGTCCAGCAGGACTGTGTTTTGATTGTTTGGCGGTGTCACTTTTACGTTTGTACGCATGGGGTGACAGTGGGATAATACTCCTTCTTATGCATAACGGAGTATTTTCTGCGGAAGTACTTTTTCTGAGCATCATCCACGAGGGAATCGAGTCCGCATGGAAATCGCTGGTCGAGGATCCGGATCATTTTGGCACGAGAAAGCAGAGCGATGCCAAAGTGGACTTGTACACCTTGGTATACATTCTCGTGGCTTCAGCCGGTCTCGATATGATTTATCCATTTCGCCATGGATTTTTCCAGGAGAACCGGTAGGGATTGTTCGATTCCGAGACGGGCGCAAAGGTGCGAGATGCGTCGTCCAGATGCATGTGTGTCGCTCAGAAGCCGGCGGTGCATATTATGGTTGGGGTTGGGCGGGGCTTCAGAAGCGAAAAAGGAGAAGGAAAAGGGACGAAGGAGGCCGAGAGGGATGCCAGAATGAAAAGGAAAAAAAGATAATTAGATGCTCCCTTCGCGGATCGAACGCGAGACCTTTAGATCTTCAGTCTAACGCTCTCCCAACTGAGCTAAGGAAGCTGGTTGAAAGGGCGACCTCTTCTAGAATGGAGACCTGTACGGTGGTGGCAACCCTCGAGGAACCTTCTTATCAGATTGTAGGATATCTGTTGCTTCTGGGGCGGGCTCCGGCCTGGTTTTCTGTCTTCCCGTACCATACACAGAGTGAGTCTCAGCACGGGCGAGGTCTATCCCTGCCAAATACATTAGAAGGTGATTGGCTCTGGTCCAAACGAGTGAAGAGAAATCAGATGCAGACGAAATGTCCTGCCATTTCATCCCCCAACCCTTCCTCTCTATTCACTCTTTCAATCCGGCAGTCTCAACCAACACCTTTACCGACCTCTCCACACCCACCCGGTCCTCCTCATCAAACCCCTTAACCAAACAATCAATATCCAACACCCCCACGACTCTCCCACCCACCACAATCGGCACCACCAACTCGCTCTCGGTATTCGAATCACAGGCAATATGTCCCGGGAACAGATGCACGTCAGGCACGAGCTGTGTTGATGCGGTCGCAGCCGCGGCGCCGCAGGGATTGTTTTGAGCATCGTTGCGGGTGTTCTTTGGAGGTGTGATTTTTCTATGCTATGGAAGACCGTCTGCGTTTATGTCTCTCTGTCCGGCGCTACCTGGCGCTTCAGACGGTATTCTTATTATGTTGCGAGACAGGGTTGGGTGGAGGGATGACGTTGAGGGAGGGAGTTGAGTGCGTTGAGTTGAGTTGAGTTGAGTTACCAGTTGAGGCGCGTCATTCGTGGGGGGTAGCAACTTAATCGATTGGAGGCTTTGCTTGCGCTCAATTTTGGGAGGGACTTTGGGCAGCGTCCCTGCAGCCTTGCAACGCAACAGGCGGACTGGGAAGACCCAGGGCAGGATAGGACGACACAGCACATGGCGACATAGAGTCCCCACCAGCCCTACCTCTATCGTCACAAAAGCAAAAGACCTCTTGCGCTCTCGCATCACTACCTTTCCTTCAAGAAACCCACTCAAGTTCCGCCGTAATTCCCACACTCCACCCAATGGCCGACCCACACTCCCCCTCAGACACTCACCCCACCACAACCACCTCCTCCTCCTCCAACGACAACTCTCAACCATGGCACCACTACGCAACCCCAACAACCCCTCTCCGACTAGAGAACGGTGACCTGCCAGAGAGTTTTCCTTGGCACGTCACCGCGACGAAGGAATATCCCGTGGGACTCGGGGTGGGGGTGCCGTTTCCGACCCCGCCTGTGCTGGAGAGTGGGGAGGGGACGACAACGCCTTTTTGGTAGGTACCGCAAAGTGGAGGGAGCCAGCGGAGCGAGTTCCTATTGCGCCAAAGGCGCAACGTTTCCCATAACTGCAGTTCTCAGCGAGCGCCGGCGAGGGTTAGTTCTTTGCGAGCGAAGCGAGCTCAGCACACGCAGCCTAACCTCTTCGTCGCGAGCGGAGCGAGCAGGATGTCGTTTCAACCATCCACCGAACCATGGACCCACCAGCCAACCAACTTAACCAGCCAACCTTGCTTCGTTCGTTTCTCTTCCGTTGCTTTACTCATCCATCCGACTCTCGCTCATTTATTAGGTACCGGGAAGCAACGAGGAAGAGACCAGTCCGAGTGTCCTCACCCGCGCGGTCCCCACACACCCACACCCCCGATGACTCCCAAGAAGACGCCCTCAAATTCCCCTTCCTCGCCGGCGTCGGCACCGCCTCATCCCCATTCCGCCTCAAACCACGTCGCCAAAAACCAGGCAACGGCACCTCGGCCCCAACCTCCTCCTTCCTCCGCCGCACGATCAGCACCGACGCCATGAGCACCACATCGTCCCCGTCCCGCATCCTAGCGAAATACCCCACATCCGAATACGCGTATGAGAGCGAGGACGCGGAATCCACGTCGGGCGAGACGGTGCTCACCACCCGATCAGAGCCTGTGAATCTGTCAAAGGCGGCCATGCGCAATCGACATCGGTATGGCCTTGTGGGGATTGGACTTGGGTTAGGTGTTGGGCATAGGATCAATAACGTCGTGCCGCCGCCCTTACCTGCCCCGCCTATTCCTGCCGAGAGTCACGTTGCAATCGAAGAACGATCGCCCCGCTTCGTCCCAGAGCATGCGCGAACAGCCGGTGAACTCTCCGAACGCCATCTGGCAAAATCTGAACTCGCTGATCGGCGACAGGACGTACAGATGTGGCTCAACACCATCATGCCGGACGCGACCGGACAAACCATTCATACACCCGTATCCCCTGCTCATTCCATCCGCCGTCAAACGTCCCAATCGGCATTGGGTGTGAAGTATATCCTCCCCGTCGCCGCCGTGGCTGCTGTGGATGTGGAGGGGAGCAAGGGCCGGGCGGTTGATCAGGTTGTGCAGAGTGCTGATGCGATTCGACCGACGTTCATTCTGCCGACTGCTCAGGCTCGCCGTTCGGAAGTCAAAGTCGAAGAGGACGCCCACCACCGGTCGGTAGATGGAATCAGCAGCTCGTGCAAAACGATCGTCCCGACGTTCATCGTACCGACAGCGCAGGGCTATACATCTCAAATCGAAATCAACGCGCACCGCGAGGTAGACGGGATCACTAAATCCACCGACGCGATTGTTCCGGAGTTTATCTTGCCGACAGCTCAGGCGTGTACTTCCGATATCTCATACACGCCTAAAACCACGCTTCATGTACTACCTGTACCCTCCACGCCCGTCACCGAGGTTCTTCCCTCTGGTGCCGATGCTACGGTCGTGGTTACAGACACGGCACCATCAAAACCAAAGACCGACGCGTCCACAGCCCATCTTACCGAGATACCTCCACTAGACGTCAAACAAGCGACCCCGCCCATCGCCCCACCCGCTGCAGAACCAGTCGACGGCGGCTTCGAGCCCGGCCCGCGTCCCCATCTCAAACGACGTACTCGGTCCCTCAGGATCTCGCAGGAGCAGGGCGTCGACAGCATTTCCCGTGAACCATCACAGGACGTGAATGCAGCACGCGCGGTAAGCGAGATTCTGGGATCCTACGGTAACGACACACTTGACCGACCACAACAACCCCAGTTTTCGGCAGCCAAAGCGATATCTGCCAAGATCATGAACGCCCGGGGGCAACTGTCACCTAACGGGGGGACCCTGAACACGGATGCCATTCAATATACCGTCCGTAACTCCACTTACTCCGACACCTGCACGAGCGGGGTCGGCACCGCTGTCGATAGCGGGGTTGGCGATCTGCGTCGGTCCCAGGATGTCACGGAGGCGATGTATACTGGAAAATCCGCCGAGGATACGGGTCACCAGGTTATGATGGCCCACAACGACTTAAACGCATCGACGTCCTCGCTCATGAGCCATCTGCGCAACGTGATTGCCGCCCGGGCCGAGGTGGCGGTGACTGATCCGGGGGCGTATGTGAAGCCGGTTGCAAGGGGGTTGCCGAGGTGGTTGGAGGCGTCCAAAGGCCAGCAGCAGAGACGGTTATCCCTCGATATTGCTAGCAGGCCGACTGGGTATGCGGCGGGCCTGGGCACCAAACACCAGTTTAGTAAATCGCAGAACGATGTTTCGCATCATACTCTGGGAGACGGGCGGCAACATGAAGATGATGACATGTGGGCCCGTCGATACAGTGATAGAACAGACACCGAACCCCCGGAACCCCACCATTACCAAGTTCAAGACGTCGAAGCCGCCCCTCCCCGTTCCTCCCTTTCCCACCCGCAACCCAACCCCCTCACAACAACAACAACAACCCACCAAAACCGTCCGGGCCTCCTCGCCTTCCTCGTATCCCTCGCCGCATCCCTCGCGTACATCTCAACCTGGTCAGTCCTGAACCTGACAGCAGCAATGATGATCCGCGCCCCACCGTTCGGACCCGGGCTGACGAGCATGATGGCCGCGGGCTTTCCGCAAATGGCGTTTCTGGTGCCGGGGGTCGGGGGAGTGCCTGTTTGGATTTATATCGGCGGTATGCTGGGGTACGTAACCAACCCGAAAAAAAAATCCTGTGTTCTGCACTCTCAAATGATAAAAAGTTATAGGGCTTTTTGCTGACCCCTGATTTTTTTCCCCTTTTGGTAGTCCATCACGCCCGTTGACGTTTTCACTCATCCTCCTTACACTCTTCACGGCGCTCAACACGGCCACGACCTCCTGGAACGCCGTCATCCTCCTGCACGCGTGCGCCGGCCTCGTCAGCGGGGGCGTCCTCCCGCTGTCCTTCTCGGTGATCCGGAAGAACAACACGACGCGACGGACGGTGCTGTACTCGTTTTTGGTTCTGGTCGCTGTGGTGGTTGGGTTGGTTGTTGGGCCTGTGTGGGCGCATGCGCTGTTGAGGAGCGGGGAGGGGAATTGGAAGTGGGTGTTTGGGATCCCGGCGGTTTTGGCGGGCGGCGCCACGCTGCTTGCGGGCGCGTTGATGTGGCAGACGCGGATGAGGAGACATCTCTACCCGCCCGCATCGACGACAACAGGGAGGAAAGGCGCGGGATTGGTGACGAGCGCCCTGCTGGCGGTGGCGTTGACGTTGCTGGCGGCTGCGATTGTGTGGGGCGGGATGCGGCCGCCGACCGAGGCGGGTGGGAATGACGCGAATGAGGCGAATGAGGTTGGGGCGGTGATTGTGAGGCATGGACCCGGGTGGACGTTTGTGAGTGGCGCTTGGAGGAGTACGACGGCGATACCTCCGACGGTGACAGGGGGCATACCGGAAGCGACTGTGGGCCCGGTTACGACTGTTGTCGGGTCGCGCACCGTGGTGATTACGCCTACTGCTCCGGGGCCTGTTACGACCGTTGTCGGGTCGCGCACGGTGATTATCACGCCCACCGCTCCTGGGCCTGTTACGACGGTTGTCGGGTCACGCACGGTGGTTATCACACCCACGGTGGGGCCATCGAGGACGCCAGGGACGAGCGGGACTGTGAGTGGTACGTCTGCTACGGCGAGTTCGGGGATCACGCCCGCGCCTACCGCCATTGTTTCCGGTGTTGGCGCACCGAGTTTCACTGCGAGCCAACCACAACCCTCAGCGGTCGGCGGCGGCGGCGGGCAACCGGGCGACATTAACGGCGACAATAGCGGCCCGCTCGGTGACGCCGATGCGGAACGGTACGCCATCCTCACCCAATGCCGCTTGAAGAACGCCAACGTCGTCCCCGCCGCGTCAGCCAGCAACACCACCCTCACCAAACGCGCCGCGGACCCGAAACTCGACGCGCTGGATATCGCGTCCCCCACCACCGCCGTCTCCCGACCCGTCTGGGGCGGCATCCTCGGCCTCTTCCTCCTCCTCGCCCTCCTCTCCCTCTCCATCGCTGCCCACCGCTTCATCTCCACCGCCTCGGGAATCGCGGGAACAACAACACCATTACTGGCCTCCATCGCCGCACAGACCTTTGCGATCGCCGCATTCGCGGTCTTTGCCCGATACCCGCCCCTCAGCGTCTCACTGTGTGGATGCACGCCCTCGCCGTCCATCCTGTACCCCCTCATCGGCACCGCGCTGGCCGCGAGCACCATTGTGTTGCTCCTCGCACTCCCCAACCGCTCCAGCCACTTCTCGACCGTTTCCAGCGCGTTGAACAGAGCAGCCCTCCCCGGCGCGGTGATCGCAGTCGCCGGCGCCGTGCTGATGGCTGTGGACGTGGACGCCACCGGCCCAGCAAGCGGGGGTGGGTTCGCGGCGGTGTGTTTTGGAGTCGTGGCGATCCTGGGCGCCGCTGTGGCGTTGGTTGCTGTGCTGGGTGAGGAAGGGGAAAGCGATCCGAGGGATGGCGGGAGGAGTGCGTGGGTTGGGGGTGGTGTTGTTGGTACGTTGAAAAAAAAAATAATCTCATATCACTCGTTTGCCACTGTACTGCATCACTGACAATGCATTATCGTTGTTCAATAGTCGGTCTAACACTCGGAACCCTCCTCGCAACAACCCTCTTCCACGCCTCCTCGGCCTCCTCAACGAGCTCCCCCGACTTTGCGACATCGTTCACGCCACTCCTGGGACCGGAAACATCGACCGTCGACGATCAGCACACCGCGCATGATATCGGACACGCGATGATGACGGTGTATCGGGCGGCCGGTGTGCCGATTGCGGTTGTGGCGGCTGCGGGGTTGGCGGTGGGCGTGGCGGTTGCGAGACGCGGGAGGTGGTGAATACTCTTGTTTCTTCTCGAACGGCGTATCGGACTCTTTCACTTTTTTTGTGGCTTTGGGCTTTGTTGTCAGTACCCTCACCTGGCTTTAGCCGTAGCGATACTGTTATGCGTAGCGTTTACTTTAGACCTTTGGCTTGTTTTTTTTTTGCATGCATGCATGTTGCTAGATTTTTTGTGTAGACATTGAGACTGAGACTGATACTGAATGTTTTTGTTTTCGTTTTACGGCGTTACTGATACTACCATATACGCTTTTCTATGATCGTTTGTAAAATGAGAAAGGTGTGTGTACTAGAAGCCGTGGGTTGTTACATGAAATGCCGAATGCGAAAACCATTTGAACAGTGTCGCCGGAGGTACGAGTCCGACTTCATTCCCCCCGTGCATGTCACAGCCTCCCAAATGGGGCTGACTGGTTTTGATAAGTTGCGGACCGCTCGCCGCCCGCCGCATTCGCGGATCAGGGTGTGAGTCCCACGATGAACCCGCGGTCGGCTGTGCACGCATGAACCGAGAGAGTGCGTGGGGTGAGGGTTTGCGGGTCGGTTCCGGGCGGAACTCGTTGGGGCTGTCGTTAAGAGAAGGAATGTGAACACGGCTGGACTGACGGCCTTTTGACAGCGCGCTCTCCCCGTCCGCTCCATGACGCGTGAGGCCTCCCTCAACTTTCCGCTTGCTGCCACCCGTTTTCGTATTTCCAGACGTCCGATCTGGCACCACGCTTGCACAGCAAACATGAGCAAATCCATCAACGCACGAGGCGCCGGCCCCACACCAAAAGGCCGCGGACCATCGTCTCCCAGCGTATCGAACCAAGTCGTCAAAGCCGCCAACGGTAAGGCCCCAAAGCAAAGCATAAAAAGAGAAACTGCCCTTTTCCACATCCGAAACGCCACTGACCATTTCCGCCTTTATGTTGCACATCCCAGATCCACCCGCACTCCCCACCCACCTCCCCCACACCACCGGCGGCGGGACCGCATACGCCCTCCACTCGCCCGACGCACCCTTCCCATCCCTCGCCTTCCCCACCACCCGATCTCCAAAGACACCGATCATCCCACCCACGTCAACCCTCCCCCTCTCCGACCGGCCCTTGATGTGCGCCGACTACGACCACGATAAGAGGTGTATGGTGGTTGGGTGCGCCGACCACGCGTTGTACGAGGCGACCGTCGTGCGGGGGGTGGTGGGTGGGCCGGGGGTGGGATTGCGGACGGTGCGCACGCTGTACGGGAAGACGGCGGGGCATTCGGAGTGGGTGACGTGTTGCGCGTATGTGCCGGGTGGAGGCGGGGTCGTCAGCGGGGGTGAGGTGTCCCATTCCCCACATTTATTTGTCGGAAAATAAAACACTGAACCCCCCCCCCCCCCCCCCCCCCCTCCAAAACCCCCAGGAATGGACTCCACCCTCCACCTCTGGCACCCCACCCTCCCGACCAGCACCCCCCTGCACGGCCACCAGGGCTCCATCACCCATCTCGCCTGCTCCTCTGGGCCCTCCTCGATCGCTGTGTCCTCCTCCTACGACGGCACCCTCCGCGCCTGGTCCCTCCGCACCCACACGCCGCTCGCAATCTGGGGCGGCGACATCGACGGCGCCCTCGCCCGCGGCGACTACATGGCCGCGACACGGAACCCGGTGTTGGGGTTCCGCTGGGACGGGGCCAGGCTGGTCTCGCTTACGAAGTCCGGGCGGATATGCGTGTTCGATACGGGGGTTGCGATGAGCCGGCCGGTGACGAGTATCCAGGCGCATCAGGGGGCGACGCGGCATGTGGTGACGGCTGTGTCGTGTCCCGAGATATTGACGACGGCGGGGAACTTGGATGGGTGTTTGCGGAGGTTTGATTTGCGCGTGTCTGCGGAGCGGGGGAGGTGTGTGCGCAAGAATGAGAGTTTGCATAGAGGTGGGGTTACGAACTTGTTGGCGATTCCGGGTGGGGGGTTGGTGACGACGGGGGGTGGGGATGGGACCGTGAAGGTTGTGGATGCGGACTCGCTCGCTGTGGTGAGGGCAGTACAGGTGGTTGATGTACCTGCGCAGGAGGTGGGGAGTCCAAGGGCGAGTGTTTATGCGATGGCGGTGACACAACAAGGTGTCGGAGTGTGTGCGTTTGGGGATGGGGTTGTGCGGGCGGTTGATCTTGAGGGGGGAAATACGGTTGCGGTGCTGGATGCACGCGCTGAGGGGATCCGGAACGCTCTACGCGACATCCGGATCGTGGAGGATGATGTGGTGCTGGGGTCGGGGGATGATGGGATTGTTGTTGCGTGGAAGCTGTGATGGAAAAATCGTGCAGTAGCAGCACTACGAAGGGGCGATGTGAAAGCTGCAAAATTTTGTATATACAGTATGTACATGAACTCCCCTCGAACCTTTACGAAAACACGCATGCGAACTCCCTATCCATATCTGCAAACTACGCACAGCATATCTCAATGCGCTATAGACAAGAAAGATCTGCAAACAAAAACGCCCTATACAAGAACAACGACAGAAAGGCATGAGATTTGCGAGTAAGGAAGGGAGTTGACGGCGATATGTGTGAGGGTATTTTCGAGGTTTAGAGCGGTGTCGAGTAGAGCGTGCGTTACTTTTCGGGCATCCATGATCGTCGGCGTCTCATGAACCGGCCTACGCTCCACCTATGGGTATCATTCCAACCACCGCATCGCCTCGCTTCCACTCCAAAAAGGGGCATCCCCTAAAACCCCAAATCCCCAAATTCCTCACAAAACCCCTTCGCCCCACTAAGCCTAAACTCCGCCACCAGCATCACATGATCGCTCGGCACATTCGCATTCGGCATCTTCTCCGTCTCACTCGCGCGGGGCGGTTTCAGGTATCTCAGACACTCCAGCAGCGTCATCTGCTGCGGCGCCGCATCGGCTTGCGTCACAGAGAGGCTGGGGTTGAGGCCGTCGGCGCTGAGGGTTGATTCTCCCGGTACGAAACGGGTGGTGGTCGTTGCGCGGGAGCGTGCTTCGTTGCGGAGCTCGCCCATGAAGATGAAATCGACGACTTCTTGGTCCGCTTCGTGCCAGGTGGTGAAGTAGGGTTCGCCGGTGGTCGGGTCGTTGTAGGGCGCGTAGACGGAGAGAAAATGGAAGGGGTGGCGGGCGATGAGGGGAGCGTCTGATGTGTCGGGTGGGTAGCCGGAGTCAGAGGGCTGGTGAATCCAGGCTCCGTTGGCCGCTGTGCCCGAGTAGGTGGGGATGGAGCACCAGTCCAGCCAGCCGTCGGCTTGTACGGTGGTGTCGCCGCCGATCTGCGGGAAGGCTGCAAAGACGCTGAGGGGGAACATGCCCTTGATGACCGACCATGTCGCTTTCGCCAGCCCGGTGCCTCGACGTTTGTCGGCTAGTTGGCCTGACATGGTTTTGGGGATGGCGGACTTCATGTCCGCACGGCCTGCTCGCAAAAAGTTGTAGATGAAACTGCCAGGGTTGATGTTGAAGTCTCCGCACAACAGAACGGGCAGGTTCATGCCGTAAACCACTTCATGCTGCTCAATCAAGTGTTTCATGTTCTGCATGAGAAGCATGAGCTGCGCAAGTTTAGTTTCGCCGCCTTTGGGTGACCAAAGGATGTGCGTGGTCGTGATGCATATCGGCCGACCTGGGTATTCAGATAGATGAGTACAGCTATGAGGAAGGAAAGCCATCATTCCACGCGGGAATATGAAGCGCCACCCACCTGTCTTTACTGACTGAAGAATGCAAACAATACCAACGTTGTGTTTGTGTGGATGGTATTGAACATGACGGAATTCGACCATAGTGAACCTTGAAAAAGAACAAAGAAGAGGTCAGAAACCTCTGCAACCCACTTCGAAAATCGATAAACCAATTATACGCACTGGCTTGTTTTGACCAAGATTGCCGATCCATCCGTCTTTGTCCCAGTACAAGGAACGAAGGTCCCTTCATATCCGTATGTTTTCAATTGTGGCTCGTAGAAAGAAGTGAAGTGGCGCTCATCCACCTCCTGCAGGCATATGATGTCGCAATCTTGGGCTGCCGAGAAAGATTGAATGTGTAAGGTCCCCGCCTCGTAAACTCATTTGAGATATGAGTGCAATTTACCTGCAATCTCCTTGATCAACCTGGGGCCCCGGGTGTAAAAGTCGATGACTTCCCGTCCATGTGCGCGCTGCTGTGACTTGTATAGATACATGTTCGCATCACAAAGAGACGGTGCGAGGCAGTTGTACGTCATCATCCTGAAAGTGTGAACTGTATGGCGCAAGGTTACATAAGTACGGCTTGATATGGAATGATGTCTGAAACAACTCGCTCACCATTCTCCTCATCCATATTGCTTTCGGGCTCATCAGGTATCCAGGACCTGGTCAAAGGCAGGAATGGCGTATCTCGCCCGGCCTTGATTGGAGGTATTCCCCTTGCAGCGCCCCTTCTAGTGCTGAAGTGCCTCGATTGATTGTGCCCTGTCGCTGCCGCGCCGGCCGATGGGACGTAACAGTGCCTTCGGGAATCCCAGCGCACGGTATTATCCGTCGCGCCTAACGCCATTCCTGCCGTCGTGCCTTCATTTCCTGTCTGGCGCCCGGATCGGGTGGGAAAGCGGACGTAGGAGTCGAACGAGTCTGATGATCTAAAAGTCACGCGGCGCGAGTCGTGCTGGGCGGAACCATTACCACTACCGTAAGGGCTTACGCGGTGATGGCTATGGCTGCCGCCGCCTCGGTGGTCGTGCGATCTGCGACCATACTCATACGAGTCACGGTGTCCTGACGAACCATCCTTGCCGCCGTTCCCACCACCGGCAAGGCCGCCATCCCCGTGATTGTGATAAGTCTCACGCGTGCTGTATTCAGTATCCCGGCGATAATCGTTCCTCCTGCTGCCCTGCTGCCCACCACCATCGTCCTCCCGGGAGTAGTATCCACCTCTGCTGTCTGTGCCTCCACGGTCTCTCCCACTGTGAGGCCGCCCAATGGGATACTGATCCGGCGGGTCCATCCTGTGCGCTGTCGAAGGTAGTCCTGGAGCAGCGAGCGTCCAAGACGGCAGTGGAGAGACACTGAGGCGACCCCAGGGGCAGCAATAGCCAAGCCTGGCTGTGTGTCGTAACGTAATTGTTGGGGTGCGGTGCGGGGGTGCTCTGTTTCTGGGAGGGGAAAAGGGACCCTTCGAGAGAAAGCTGGAGGGAAAGGGGGAACGGGAGAGCGACCCCTTTGACACTTCACACCCCGCCCGGCTCTCGCAGCTTCAACGTCGGACGAGCACCCGCCAAACACATACAATGCCACCAAAGGTCGGCATCTTCTGGGACTACGAGGTCGGTCCTTCCCTCCGCTTTTCGTCCGTTGAGGCTTCCTGGTTCCCTTCATGCTCACTCACCTCACGCGCCAACCATCTTGGCAGAACTGTTCCACTCCTCGGTACGTTTTTTCACACGAAAGACAAGTTCTCTAGAAAACTCAGACTTGCCTTCGCAGCGGTCTATCCGGGACAGAGGTTGTAGCGAAAGTTCGACATGCTCTACGTCAGTTTGGGCAGATTGTTTTATTCAAGGTTTGGAGGAACTCGGTCGGATTAAGGGGAGTACGTTAGGGCAACGAATATTGACGACGAAGTGTTCTCCAACAACCGCATATCTGGTGCGACAAGTCGTATATGGAGACGTCTGGAACGTGGTCTACCGAGAAAGGATTAGCTCTGCAAAGCGAGCTGACATGTTCTGGCGTTTCTCTCGCTATGTCCGCCCCGTGGCCGGAAGGAAACAGGTGCCGACTCCCAGGAGAGACGGGGAATGTGGGCTTCAAATTCACGAGACTGATTCAGTTTGCGTTCGCAGCGGATTCAATGATCATCGCGGACATGATGGCTTTTGCAATTGATAACCCTGCTCCAGCGGTGGTCGTGTTGATTTCCGGTGATGGCGACTTTTCCTACGCCTTGTCGCTACTGAACGGTAACTCAACGAGCTTCGGCAGTTTGCGAAGATCCATACTCACCCTCCAAATTGGGATGTGTGTCCTCGCCAATAGGTCGGCAGTACACCATCGTGCTCTGCGTCAACATCGATAGCGCTCCGGTCGTGCTCACCAGTGCCGCATCCCACGTTCTGAACTGGAGATTGGACGCCCTGAGTCTGACCGCCGGCCCCACCGAAGTCAAGGCCGTCACTTCTGTCGCGGACACAGGATCTGGATCCGCAGCCTCCACACCATCAAGATCACGGACAGCTTTGCTCCGCCCGTCCGAGTTCCCAACGGTCCCCGCATCCTCACCACCAACTCCCGCAACGTCGTCGGGGACAGACACCCCCCCAGCTTCTCTCATCAAGCTTCCAACCTCCGCCACGACTATCACCACCCCGACAAGCTCGACAAGTACCACCACGAAACGAATCCCGGAACAATACCTCGACCTAATCACCGTGCTGCGCGCCCGAGCCCGCGAAGGCCAGAACAAGCCGCTGCGCAGCCAAGTCGGGGTGGCTCTCACCCTCTGCAACCCGATGCTGTACCAACGCGCCTTGGGGCCCGCCAATTTCGCACAGTATAGCAAGGAGGCCGAGGCGCTGGGGTTGGTGGTGTTGGGTGGGGAGTCGGGGACGGCGTGGATTGCGTTGGGGGCGGACTATGCTTTGTGAGGGGGGAGGGAGTAGAGTTAGGCCGTATTGCATTTAGGTAGTCTCCTTTTGGGCGAGAGGTGGTATGATAGTATAGCGACGGTGGGTGGGGTTGAGACTATGCCGGCATTGTATGTAGGTACATCCGGAATTTAGTTCGTTCTCCTTCCTCTCTTTCCGTGACGAGAACCGACAATCGGCCATAAATAAATGAATCCTAATAACGTACCTCGGTGGCACAATCAGCCTGAAGATGAAGACATGTCGGATACGTCTCAGCCAGGGCTCGGGACCAGTTTAGAACCGGACGCATGAACAAGGATGTCCGCTTCCCTTGTGAAATCAGAAAACGAAGGGGGTATCCAACCCAAACACATTCACAACTGTCAAGCAGGAAAAATCCCCTCAAATAACGCCCTATGTTCCGCAAATGGGTAATCGATTCCCGCCATCACACCCGAAAACAAGAATGGGGGCCGCACAAAAAATCTCCTCAAAAAGGTAAAAAAAAACACCTTTCTCTCCCAACCCGCTACGTTCCCCAGAACCATCGCGACGCCCGAAATCCAACGGCGGACCGCTTGTCCTTTCCCCCCTCCTAACTTCTTCCCATGTCTCCAAAACCTCGACCCCACACCGGCTCACCCATCGCGCAACCTCACGACCCCGGGCGCAACATACGGATGATCCCGCCACCACGCCGTCGCTTGCAAGGCCGCGTCCAGCGGCATGATGGTATCCGCCGCGTCCCGTCGACCGCCTTCGCCTCCCTCGTCGTCTGTCTGGTTGGCCGTTGTCGTATCCGCTTCGTTTTCATTTTCATCGTTTTCAGAGTCTGAGGAGGACGAGTCGATATCCCCATCGTCAGACGCGTTGGACGTGATCGCCACATCCACATTTGCTGGGGGTGGTGGTACGATGACGGAGGCTGGGGCTGCATCATCGGTACTCGCAAGCCCGATCGCAGCGATAGTGGAGGTAGGAGGCGTGGAGGAGAGGCTGGTACGCTCGACCACGGACTCGACGGACGAATGTTTCGAAGGAACATATACGAACTCCTCGATCTCGATCTCGCTTTCGGAGTCTGATGATGTTGAGGTGGGCATGTAGTTTTGGTCGTCTTTGGTGGGCAGTGCGGCGGTGGCTTCGTGAGAAGTAGGCTCATCTTGGGGCGGCGGCGATGGTAGCGGGGCTGGACCGTTGCCGAGCACCTGCTGGGATATCCGCCTCCGTTTCTTTTCCGGAGGCGACGCTGACCGGCGTGGATGTGACCGGGAAGGCGAGGGCGAGGGTGTTCGTGTGCGTTTGCGTGCGGCGGGGAATGCGCCCGCGTTCGATGACTTGGCTGTGTCCGCAACAGCTACGTCCTCCTTGCTACGGCGCTCGGGTTCCACATCCACTTGACCTTGATCCTTCTCCTGAGGAGTCTCCCTCTCGGCCTCAGTACGCTCAACCACATCCACATCCGCACCCCTTTTCTTCTCTTCCCTCCTCTCCACTCCCCCGTTCACCCTCCCATCATCCCTCCTCGCCCTTCCACCCCTCACGCTCGCCGACCGAGACCTCAACTCCCTTCGTCGATCCCTCCCCACGTACGCCCTGCGTCCCCTACTCCGACTCCGACTCCGACTCCTGCTCCTCGACCGTCTCCGGCGGTACGCATCGGATGAATACGCCGACGAGACGGAGCGGTCGCGGGAGCGGGAGCCCCTTCCTCTGCTGCGTCGGTCATCATCGTCCCGGTCGCGACGGTCGCGGGAACCGCTGCTGGGCGAGCGGGTACGGAGCCGTTTTCGGGTTCTGCTTCTGCTTCTGCTTCGGCTGCGGCTGCGGCTGCGGCCACGACTCCTGCTGTGCCGGTTCCGCCCGCGGCTCGAATCGCGCGAGTCGGTTGATCGTCGGCGGCGTTTGCGGGACGGGCTGGCGCGCGTAGCCGGGGTGGTGATATTCGCGTCGGATTTCCCCAGCGCGTCATCCTTCCTGCCCTCAACCCTCGGCGTCGGTTGGCCATCCTTCGCCGCTGGTGGGTAATAGTGTGACCGTTTCATCGACAGTCCGCGGAGGTCCAGCTTCCCGACGGCAGCCGGTTCGTCAGCCTGCGGCGTCTGCTCAGCTTCGACTGCCGATTTGCGTGTCGACGGCGCCGAGGGCGTTGTTGCTGGTTGATCCACAGGCATACCCGGCGCAACAACAGGAGTGGGAGTCGGTTGTTCCATCCTCCAGCTTGCGCGCGGGGCGGGTGTTTTCGGTGGCGGCGGGCCCGGGGGCGGCGGCGGAGGCACGCCCCTGAGGGTCTGAGTGATCGCGCCGCCTCTCGCTTCAAACCCCTCCCTCCCGTCCGCCTCCCTCCGTCCCACCGGCGAACCCGGTCTCGACCCCGGTCTCGAGTGCGGGCGTTCATCGCCCACATACCGTCCCGCCTCACCCATCCGATACGCCGCCGCCGGGGGATACGCATCCCTCGGTGCAGGCGTCGCGGGCGGCGGCGGCACGATACCCCCCGGCCCATACAACCCGCCCGCAACAGGGCCCATCCCACCGCCACCGGCGGCCGGTCCGTCTCGCGAGCCCGGGCGCCCATACGCAGCATGCACAGGCGTCTGCGATGAGGGCGCGTACCCTCCACTGCGGTCGTGGTACGGTTCAAATCCGCGATGATGGGGGTGATAGGCGTGCGGAGGCGGGTGGTACGCTCTTGGATCGGTGTGGGGGGGTGGATGTGCTCTCGGATCTGTATGCGCTCTCGGATCCCCATGCACCCGCGGCCCAAACGCCGGATACGCCTCCCCCCCACTCGCAACCCTCCCCCTCTCCTTCCTCCCCCAGCTCTGCCGTCGATCAAACTCCGCAATATGCACCCACCGCGTCTCATGCCACACCATCTCGGTGTACGGATCCCACCACGTGTTGCGGTGCTCGTCCCATACGTGGCGCTCGCGGTTGCGGAGGGGGTGGTCGTGTGGGTGCGGTGCTTGTTGTTGTTGATGATGAGTCTCTCTCATCCGTGGGCCACGCGGTGGTTCCACGCTGGGATTGTATCCCGAAGGCAGGGCGGCGCCGGAGATGGTTGTTGGGGTGTAGTTGATGTGGTCGTACGCGTTTTGATGTTGGGGGTGGTGGGGGTGCGGGTGCTGGCGACTGCTGCTGCTGCCAGCGACCGTGGACTGCATGTAGTTGACGTCGGGTTCGTCGGGTTTCTTACCCGATTTTTGCAGCTTGACGCGTTCTTTGCATTCGAATTCGTGCCAGGAGCCTTGGATGACGGGGATCCTACCAAAAAGCACAAATTAGTCCAAACACGCATAAATGTGCGGTATGATGATCAACCCCCCGGGCCGGAAACCCAGACCAAACTTACTCATGCGGATGACAAGGCCCCGGCAACTCCGTCGTGAAAAACGGATGACTCAGCACCTCCCTGGCGCTCGGGCGTTTGCTCGGATCAAACGCCAAAAGCCTCGCAATCAGATCCACAGCCATCGGCGGAATCGGCACATACCCAGCCGACTTCTCCACCAGATACGCTTCCAGCCTCCTCGGGAATTTGGTTTTGGGAACCCGCCACATCTTGGCCCACGGCTGCTCCATCTGCTGCACTGCGGCCCATTCCGAGTCGGTGGGGTGCCCGATGATGCTGAGGATGCGTTTGACTTGTTCAGAGTCCCGGCCGCGCGGGGTGTGGAAGAGGGGGAATTTGATGAACATTTCTGCGAGGACGCATCTAGAAAGAGTACCCACGGATCAATGAACATTTCAATGTCGGTCCATCATTTCCGGTTTTTCTTTGGTGACGTACCCAGCGCCCCACATATCCAACGGAAACCCATAATGCGTATCACCCAGCAGCACCTCGATGCTGCGGTACCAGACCGTGCAGACGCGGTTGGTATGTCCGTCCTCGTCATCCGCGATCTGTTTCTCTTTCGCGAACCCAAAGTCGGCAATCTTCAATTCTCCCCGAGAATTCATCAACAGATTCCCCACTGAACAAAAATGGTCAAATCATGAGTCCCCAGAAACAAATACGGCAAGCAAATCAACAGAGAAAAACAATGCAAAAACACCCGCTCGAAAATAAGTGTTTACCTTTCAAATCCCGATGCATCACCCCCCGTTCATGCACATACATCAACCCCTCAAACAGCTGCCGGGCAATACACTTCAGATGATCCAGATGGAACACCTTCTTGTCCGGTAGATGCTGCATCAAGCCGGCGAGGTCGTGATCCATGTATTCGAGGACGAGGTATTCGTGTACTTCTATCTCGTTTGCTGATGCTGTGGGGAGGTGAGTGGGTGTGGGTATGCGGGGAAGGGGAAGGGGTTGGGGGGTTGGGATACATACGTTTAGCGAAGGAGACGATCCCGAGACATTGGAGGAGGTTTTTGTGGTGGTATTTTTGGAAGAAGGTGAGTTCGCGGAGGTTGGGGACCGTGAACTGTTTCGAGTAATCAGAAAGAAACCCAATCATCAGTTAAGCCCCCCCGCGCATCCCAACCGCCCGATGGGTTTCCCATGGGTCCGCCTGAAGCTCCCCCCTCAAAAAAAAAAAGAAAAATCAAAACCTACAATATCATTCTTCCCCTTCTTATCAATGATCTGCTTCAACGCCACCACCTGCCCATTACATTTCATCACGGCCTTATACACCGTTCCAAACGTTCCCTGGCCAATCATCTCCAGATTCTCGAAATGCTCTTCGATGCTGCGGAAGATGTCGAAGCGCGGGAGGGGGCGCGGTTTGGAGGTGGGGGTCGGGGGGAGGGAGGTGCGGGTGAGGTGGCGGGAGATGCGGTTGGGGTTGCGGGGGGGTGGGGGTGTTGTGGGTTGTTGTTCTGGTGGTTTGACGGTTGTTGTTGGTGGGGTGCGCTTCTCGGATACAGCTGAGGGATGCAGTGGTGGTGATGCGAACGGGAGCGCCCGATCACCTCCTCCACCGCTGCTGCGGGCATCGTCTTTCCGTACGTCCAATCTGACCGAATTGACCGCAAACGAGATCCGTCTCCGCTCCACCTCCACAGGCCTCGGTTCTGCGACAGCACTCGTCGGCCGATCCACCCGCGGGGTATAGAACCCTTTCTCGAGTTCGGCGACGACGTCGAGATCGGGGAGAGGCGCGTGCGACGGGCGTCGGGGGCCTGCTGATGACGAGGAGGGGGTTTTTACCGGGACTGGGTTTCTTTCTCTATGAGAGCTGGCGGCGCGGGAGGGATCGGGGATAACGGCGAGTTTGCGAAGCTCAGATTCATCTTCACGGCGGGTCGGGGTGGGTCGTGCCTCAACACGGGTATCGGGTTTATCCCTCACCCGTTCCTTCTCACGTTCCCGTTCCCGTTCCCTGTCCCGTTCCCTCGCCCGCTCCCTCTCCCTCGCATCCGCCCCTCCCCGTCGCTCATCCACCTCAGGAACCCGCTCATCCACAAAACTGCGTCTCCTCTCATCCCGCCCACGCGACACATACTCCCTCTCATCCCCGGGGCGGTTTTCGTCATACCGCCCCACTCTCTCGTCCCTCCGGTCATGATGATGGCGAGGTCGGTCGCCCCGTCGGGTATCATCGCCTCGGTGGGCATGGCGGTGGTAGGAGTCGTCACGGTGTCGGTAATCACGTCGGTCGTCCCAGGAATGGTGGTGGTGTTCCCGGTCCCGGTCCCGGTCCCGGTCCCGGTCTCTGTCTCGGTCACGCACGGAGGAGCGTGCATGCCAATCGGGGTCTTTGCTGTGAGGGTAGTCGTGGCTATCGCGTTGTTTCCTGTCCCTGTCCCTGTCCCTGTCCCAATCTCCCCGCCAATCGTCTGCGGAGGCGTGTCGTTCGCGATGATCGTCCAGTCTCCGAACGGTAGGGTAATCACGACTATTCCGGCGGGAATCGGTGGGGTTGTGGGTGGTGGGTGTAGATTCAGGTCGGCGGAGGTGGCGGTCGTCTTCTCGACTTGCACTTGGACGGATCGAGGAGGAGGTGGGTGGGTCTTGGTCGGGCCGTCGATACCTCTCCTTATCGAGGTCAACAAGATCCCGTTTGGCAGCTTCATCACTCAAATCCACACCCCGCCTCCGCTCCCCAGCTTCATCTGCATGTTCCTTCCTCCTCCCTTCCTCCTCCACCCGCCGTCTGCCCTCATCCTCGACCCGCCGTCTATCTTCCAAAACCACCTCCCGCCCTCGTCCCTGTCCCTGCGTGCTCACTTCCTCCTTCTTCACGCTGTTCACATCCTCACCCCTCCTACCCGCCTCACCAGCTACAGAAACCCTCCTCCCACTCCCGTCCCCCCTAGCGCCGCGATCCTCCAACGCCTCCAAACTCAGCCGCCCTCTAACCCCTCCCCGACCCAGCGCGAATGATAATCGGCCGTGGCCGTCGCGTGCCGCCGCTGGGTGGGATGATGCGGCGGGACGTTTGGGAGGCGGTGTGAAGAAGGGGTGCATTTTGGCGGTTTAGCCGAGTTTCCCGGGGGGTATTGAGGCGGGTTGGCGAGCGGTTGGGTCGATGGGATGTGCCGGGGTGTGAAGTAACTGTACACCTCACGGAAATGTGGGTGAGGCCCAGTTCTGGGCCAACAACAAAGGGGTATACCGAATATGCCGTCGTCCAATTCCCTCGTCAATAGTATTCCGGAGATGAAGCGTGGGCAGTTCTTGACGATGTGGTTTGTCGGTCGGGAAGTTGCAATGCAAGTGTGAAGAGTATACACCACACCCGCAAGGGGATACCGACTGCTCGGTCGTAGGGATGGAATCCCTCGTCCAAAGTCACAGGGCAGAAGGTGGTTATGGATGCACCGGCAAGCGTTAGGCGGCCAGTAGTATTCTGATATTGGTTGCGGCCCGGCCTGCCGACAGTCCTGACGCCGTAGCAGCAGTTGAGTTTGGGTAAGGGGAGGGAGCACTTGTTGGAGGGCGCAATACAGCGAAGGTGACTCACTCGCGTCTTTTTGAAGACTGTAGGCATATGCGAGATACTGTACACCAGGCACGGAAAGAGATACACGCACACTCCTACCGTTCAATGATTCCTATTTCAGCAATCTATTCAACAAATCATCGATGTAGTCTGTGTCGTGTGCTGTGTGTGGCGTGCTGACGCCGTCTATTCAAACAAACAGGGAATCAAAACAAAGAAAAAGAGTGAAAGTAAAAGAACCGAGGGACGAGAAAAATGGGGGCGTAGATACAGATACTCGTCACGAGTCCCTGCTGAATAAGGAGGGGGGAGCCGTGAGCGTGGAGGTAGGTACAGATGGTAGGGGCGCACTGGGAGAGGTGGGAGGATCACGGATTTGTGGTTGCGGTGTCGCAAGACGAGCTGTCGCAAGAGGAGGGAGGTATATCGTGCTTGTATCGAATGGTGTGTCGGCTTTCCCTCTTAGCGGTCCAGTATGCCCCAAGGAAAAAATAGCAAAAAAAACGGTGAAATCGAGAGCAGAATTCGGTGAAACGTGGGTGGATATGATGGTGCGTGCGTGCGTGCGTGCGTGCGTGCGTGCGGAGTTGATCTATCGGTTGCGCGGGGTAAATTGTTGATGGTGTCGATGATGGGTGTGAGGTGAATCACCGTGAAAATTGAAAGAAAACGAGAAACTGAAACGATCAACGCTTCAAAATAAAAGGGTGGATATTCAGGTGGTGTGTATGTCGTGCGTGGCTCTTCCTCTCCATCTTCAGAGAATGGTGCATTTCTTCTTCTTCTGTTTATCCGTCGGTGGCGGCACGCCGTTCCGTTGATGGCGGATGGCTCGGACTACTTGATAAAACGCCCTACACACAAAAAAACACAATCCATCATCAATCACCACGATTCACACATCCCGACCCCGTGATCTCCCTCGACCCCTTACTTGTCGACATTCAAACAAGTCTTGGCAGAACTCTCCATAAAGTCGCAATTCAGTTTCCGGGCAAGGTGCTGCCCTTCCTCTTTCGAAACTTCGCGTTCGGCTACGCGGTCGCATTTGTTGCCTATCAGGATCATTGGGACCTTGAAACCAGCACGAAAAACAATAAGATATCTTTGTGGTGAGTTCCTGACCGATTCTCTACACCCCTACCTCATCGGTGTCTTTGACCCGGTTGATCTGCTGCTTGAACCGCTCCACCCTCTCGAACGTGCTTCGGGATGTTATCGAGTATACGAGTAGGAACCCTTCCCCATCTCTGATCCATTGGTCGCGGAGACTAGAAAATCACACATCCGGAAATCGTCAGCTCCCACAATCCCCTCAAATATCCTCCCAGAAGCAATCTCCCATCATCATCTCCACGCAGAGCTTCCCGCAACGTACGCAGTGTATTCCTCTTGCCCAGCGGTGTCCAGCACTTCCAGGATACAAGGTTGGTCGTCGATGACTACCTGCTTCCTGTAGGAGTCTTCGATGGTTGGGTCGTAGGTTTCCACAAAGTGGTTAAGACACAGCTGTGACAATGAAAATGAGTGGGTATTTCAATGAATAGGTCTGTGCGATCGGTGACTTACTTGGATGGTGAGAGCTGGGAATCCAAGAAAAAATCAAAATTCCAAGAAAGTCCTTCATCAGTAAACAGTATATCTCCCAACTCTCCCACGGAATCCATTTTCATTTCCCTCACCAGTCTTCCCAACCCCTCCGTCGCCCAATACGACCAGCCTATACAGCGTCATGTTCGAGAACGGGAGAAGGTGGTGGTGTTTGCGAGTCTATTAGTCTCGTCTCTTCTTTTTTCTAAGCTACAATAGTTTTCGCCGGCGAAGGCGTCGTGCTTAGTTAGGGGATTGTCGAAGGGGCCGGCCTTTTCTTGTAGGTGATAGGAGTAATCTCCGACGGCTGCGTGAAAAGCTGGGGGTGAATGGAAGCGCAGTGAAAGGAGTGAGGGGTCTGTCACTCTGTGCTAAGCGGAGTGGGTCGGAGGGGGATACGGCGGTGGCTCTATCGAGTGAGGGTGTATGCTGCAAGAGTGCTTGCTGTTGTTGTTGTTGTTGTTGGATGCTTGGGGGCTCTTCCTTTGCAGTTTGTTGTCGTTCTCACGGCGGTCCCCAAAATGGCATTTGGATTCTTCGCTCAGAGCGAGTCCTTAGGTATAGGGAACTCGCTTGTGGGCCGTAATAGCTATGCGGAAGATAACATCATCTCTTCATTAATGCACGGCAATGGAAGGAGGGTGGCTCGCTTGATTTAATGCCCAGCCAGCCAATCACGCACGCGACCCACGCGTTGAGGGTCAATGGTCATCGTGTTTGGCCTTTCAAATGAGGGCGGCGATCACCGTGTCATCATATTAACACGCTATGGTGGGGTATTATTTCTCGCCTACATCCTGGCACGTGATCGTGGGGTGACAGCGCATGCGCTTTGCGCTCTCTTTTGTGCTGTGTGTGTGTGTGTGTGTGCATGCAAGTCGGACTGCTCTCCCTCCGTCTTCCATCTCACAAAAGGACCACAAAAGCACCACCACATGCGCTCGTCCTGCACTTGCACATGCATACTGTACATGCATGCATGCTGGACCCTGGCTCATGCATCCAACCTCTCCGAAAAATTCACACATATGGACTACAGTCTTGCATCCTACAACGAAGCTGTTGGACGGCCATCGGACACGGACGTTGACGGCGGTGCATTTGGGATGAGGTGGATCGAGGGATCCAGATCTCTATTAAAAGCTCTGCACTGCGGTTATTTGGTTGCTTGATGGGAGGGTGAACAGATTAGCCACCTCCGAAAACACCGCGCACACTGCCGCCGTTGCGATATGGATCAGAAGGTAGCTGGGGATTTGCGCATGCGCTACCAATGCCCCGACTCTGCTTCCCAAAAGATAGGAGAAATGCTCGATGACTCGGAATGTTGTTCAATCTGCTTTATCGCTTCCAAGTGGGTATCTTTCCCAAATGACGGGCTTAAACATACGGACGGTTTTCGACAGCGCGACTCTGCGATGACTTGACAACCATCCTCTTTCCCTCCGCTCTGGGTCTCCATTCTCCACCCCAGGGACTGCTGGGACGGTCCCTTTCTCGACGGCAACCCTGTCGCAGACCAATGCTCTTCATTCGCCACCCCCCACATGCCATGTGAGACTGTCGGTTTCAGAAACAGCTCCAGCAGCAGGATATATAAGGGACGCCCGTCCCCCTCTCCCACTTCTTTTCCTCACCTTCGTCCCGGCTTTAACTTTCGACTCGACTCTCATATCCGGCTGGGTGTGTACAACACCCCCCCTCGCCGCCTCCTCTTCCATTTCCTCACCATTGACGCGAGTGATCACACTTTCTCGTTCACAGGTTCGATATGACGGTCCTTTCGTCGGATAACCCTCACCCATGAAGATATCAACGGTCTAGACCGGAGGTACGCCCCGTCTAAGGCCCGCGAGTCTTCTCGTCTCTCGAACCGGATCACCTTTCGAGGTTCTGGTATTTGATATGACGGTCCCTTTCGGACAACGTTAAGTTCTTGACACCTGGACTCCTTTCAGGGGGGCGAGGTGTCTGCAATGATCAATTCAGCGGGATTCCAACCCCCTCTCGTCTCTCGAACGGACGATGCTTCGATGCTTGGTGAGTGGCCAAATATCTGTTTCAGCGAGTACGATTATGTTGACTCATGAAGTTCGGTTCTGCTTTGAGTTCTTCACATTCCATATGACCGGTGGCTTCAAGTCCTTGGCTCACATAACCCTTCGGACACTAACTTGTCGTCATTCTTACCAACTGCTTCACGCTAGTAATCTAACACCCTTAAAATACGATCATCAAACCCGGAAGCCTGCTTCGGGCCAGTTTGGCCGTTGCTATACTTTGGCGCCCATCTTAAGTGCCAACCATCAACGCTGAGGGGAAAAATACGTTCGGACCATTTTAGTCGGCGTCCCTTTTTCCCCTCTCGCCTCTCGAGCCGATGGCGCCTCACGGCTTTCGGTAATGTGAATGCCGCCCCTTCCTCTCTTTGCTCATGTTAATCTCTTCCGCGGCTTGCAGGTCTCGATATGGCGGTTTGCTTCAAGCTACCAAATTACAATGCCCTTCAAACCGGTATCGCCAACCACATTCCGAGGGTGCGCTTAGGCTTCAAGCCCGAGAGACTTGGTGGCTCCAACGACTCGGGGCACTCTCGTCGTCTCTCGGACTGAAAATGCTTCACGGCTCATGGTCATGGTCTGGCAGATGTGGCTCAATCGCTCATATTCTCCTTTACTCACTTCAGTTACTGCGACGGCCACAGGTTTGATATGACGGTTGTTGCGCTTCACCAACATTTCATCGACGTCAGCAATGAGGGTCGTTTTGCCGCGAGGTGAGCGAGGCTTTGTTCTGCTGTGGGGGATCATAATCCAACCGATGGATGTCCCTACCAGGGCAATCTCCCGGCAGAGGGAAACACCACGACGCTACTCAGCAAGACATCCTCTCGTCTCTCGCGCCCAACCCTCCACGATTGCAGGTATTGCCAATGTGTACCATCTCATTTGTTGGATTCATTCAAGATGTGTTGACATTTTTTGCGCCAAGGGCCCGACATGACGGTCTGACAACGTCCACGTCACCACCCGCACCATCTTCGGGCTGGCTTGCACGCCGGATGTATCTCTCGTCAGCATCTCTGAGGGCGTCTCTGTTTTTACTCATCATCCTGGTGAGACGGAGCGCCCTCTCGTCTCTCGAAACCCGATGGTCTTCACAACGATTAGGTATGTGGCCCCCGGGTCCTCCCAACATCATCATTTTTGAACTGATGCCAACCGCATGCACTTTGATTCAAGGGCTCGACATGACGTTTCCGAATATTCCAAGCACATTGCGCCGGGAGCGCCGCTAAGGAACCTCCTCGTCTCTGGAGTTCCGGAGTCACTCGAGGTAATGTGTCAACATCTCTGGTAGTCTGCCACCACTTTTGCGCTTTACTGATGGCCATCATACTTTCACTCCTCAGTGAAAGAACTCGACATGACCGTTCAATGGAGGGTTTTCGTTCGGAGAAGTACTCAGGTACGTAGCAATGAGCATTTGAGTGCAGGTCCTTTGCACTCACGACAGTTCTACGACAAGTCGTAATCATTTTACAATCAGCGGCGGTCATCAATAGATGGCTGCACAATCATTGTAGAGAGATGATTGCAACGGCTGGCCTTAGGCCAGCCCGTCCCCTCGTCCGACCATTCCTCACCTGTTGCGTCGAATCGTACGGAAGTTCAAATGGGGAACATTGGCGTAGGTCAACGGCCCAGGTAACGATGCGCTTCACCATCGGTCATGAAACTCCTATCTCCATACCAAACCCAGGATTCAATGTCGACAATCCCGGGTTGATGTCAACATCAAATCAGTCAAAGACCATAGCGGTCGAGGGCTCGATGCGAGTCCTTCCCCCTCGTTCAGCGAGGGGACACCAGTCCAATTCTGGGCTGTGAAGGCGTGAGTTTCATGCATAGGACGTGTCCCCATGCATCTCGACGTGACATTCACTGAACGTTTTCCCCACCTTAGGGCCGAGAACGATCGTCTACATTCCGTCTCTCAAAAGAGGGCGGGCACCAGCGCTGATTTCTCCGAGGGCCTGGCGTGTTCTCGATATGAGACCATTTAGAATGAACGGATCAAGTACGATAGCGCAAGCGGAAGCCGGGTCACGACTTGATTCTCAAGCGTATCCTTTCACGCAGCCGCCCGACAACTTTGCCAGTGATCGGTGTACGATGGAAGACGATGAAAACCTCGGACGACACTCTGAATTCTTCCGTGCATGGCCTTCTGCCCGCACGCCGAGCATTGGCAGGTTGGGTGCGTTCCCCACTCGGTACTGCGAGCGTCACTCATGGAGTAATGTACCTCGCGTCTCCCGCCTGCTGCTTCCGCCGTGGGAATGCACCATCAAAATAGTCCGTCAAGCCATCAAACCAAAACAAGAAACAGCAAGCCCTCTTCTACCCAGCAATACAGTACGCATAAAGGTTCGATCCCTCTTCCATCCATAAAAGGAAAGGAAGGATCTTGGGGAGTCGAGGCTCACCAAGCCTACAAACCTACTCAACAAACCCCCAAACCGCGCTCAACAAGCCCTCAAACCTCGATCAGCAAATCCACTTCCACTCGCCGAACAAGGCCACCTCGACTCGAAACCATCTCACCTGGCTCCGGCCGCTCTAAAACAACCCCCCAGCTCCGGTCGCGCTACACCTCTCTAATGGCCCCTACAAAACACCCATCCGACTCTAGCCACGCAAATCTCCCCCTTGAAAACATCCAATCGGCTCCGGCCACTCCGTCCTCAACAATCCCCACCAATTCGACAATCCCCACCAATTCAACAATTCTCCACAATTCGCACCGACATGAAGCTAGAACACCCCTCTTCGATTCGATTGAAGAAAGGAAATCTCCAAGTAACTACGAACACGAAGAATTATGGGGTATGGGAGCGCTTCATATGTAAGTCAAAAATTGCTGGAAAGGGTCGACGCTGAAACCTACTCACCAACCCTTGGCGTCAGCGTTGCACACTGGTCGATCAAGACCCTCCTTCAAATCAAGATCCTACCGCAAGTCAAGACCCTAACTCAACGTGGATTGTCAAAGAACGCTCTGTGATGCAATCTCCGGATTGCTTTAATTCCTTCTGACGCAGTCTTCCGATTGCTTTGTTGCCCTGCCTGATGCAATCTCCCGGATTGCCGCTTTCTCGCCAACGACACACCGGTCGGGTCATCAGCGCTCCTTTTCGCCATCGAATCAGTTTGGGCTGTGACTGCATTCGGGCCAGTTTGGCCGTTTGCTCCACCTTCCCTCTCAAGCCCCTCTGGCCGTGGAGCCGCATTCGGGCCAGTTTGGCCGTTTCCTCCGCTCTTCCTCCGCTCTTCCTCTTGCGCCCGACTGTCCATATCTTTACGGTTTTAAACCGACCCCTTCTGTCGGCCACTCTTCGATCAATAAAACGACTCGAAGCAACATGGGGCGTACCAAATCTTACCCCGATTCCCGCAAAACCAAATTGTCGCTGAGACAATCTTTCTCCGTACAAAACACGGGCGCACAGTCCATTCCTCAAGAGCCAGCCCGTTGTCGGAGTCCGCAGGTGCCCTGCGGCCTGACGGCGTACTCGGCGATCTGGCTATCTCAACCCCATCGGCCAGTAGTGCAGTATTGGCGCTCTGGCTTTCCCCATCCCCACCGTCCGTGGTGCAATGTCTGCTCCCGGACAGACATCCCCTCTTCGATCAGTCAAAGACACGCGGGTATATGGGGATCAACAACTCCATCTTGTCGGCTTAACCACAACCGCCATACCATCAGCACGAAGGAACTGGACCCTCGGCCTGCACCGTAAGCTGTCACGCGATGCTAATCATTGGATCTCTTTGGAGAAACATCACCGAATACCGGAATACCAGGAGTCCTCTTCGACTGGTGTAACCAAAGTCAGTCCTGCCTGACTAGATACATCCCTTCTATAGAAGCCGGCAAAACCATCCCCACTCTCGTCGACCTGGACCTTTTTACGATCATCAGCACAAAGACCCCCTGGAGGCTCCCCCACTCTCTCCGCTCTCACCCATATAGCGATCATTGTGGAGAAAGGTGAACTACGGATGAGCAGTCCTCTTCGACTGAAGATCCGTCTGGTGGGGCGAGGTATGTAGCTGGGTTGCACGTTGATTTGAACATTTGGCTAGCATCTTATAAGTAATCTCTTTTCAATCAGAATCCCTCAAGCCCATTTCCCTCGAACGAAGCACCCCAATATCCACTCTTTCAACAAGCGACGGGATCGCAACCTCCCCCCTCTACAACCTCAACAGCCTCACGTACAACAGCATGAAGACCTTCTGGAAAGCCCCTCTTGCATTCTCCTTTTGCGGAGGATGTTCCCGCTGGGCGCGGCATGGGTTTTCCTCTTCCACTGATTCTCGTGGTGTTCGGCATGTGGCACAAATGGGGCGACTACAAACCATCGGAAATCAATCTGTCCGGTCGGTCGTACGAAACGAAGTCACGGAATCATCGGAAGATCAACGCCCTCTTCATCCTCAACACCCCAACGATCAGAGGCGCGAAGGCATCCTGAAATCCACAACCGCGTGTTTTTCCCAATAAGGCACGGAGACTTTCACTAACGCAATGATACAGCGACCCTCGGTCGAGACGGGCTTGGCTCATAAAAGAGGTCATCTCTTCGCCCGGAGGTTCCGTGTTCAGAATGCAGCGCAAATGGGGCAAAAAGGGACTACCGAATTTGACGCTGTCATCTATTCAGTCAATCTTACGAAACGAAGTGACACCGGCGGACATCAGTCTCATCAAGCATCGGGTTTGCTCCAAAGTGGTACCATCGATACCGAGAGTGGACTCGCCAACTCCATCATCAACAAAGTATTATCGGCGCCGCGCCAGAGATTAACCCCTCGCCCACCCCACGCCCAACGACGATACAAAAGCACGAAGCCTGTCTGGACCCCCCCGCCGGGGTTGTCAATCCCACAACCACAAAATTAGCCATCCAGGAGGGATCATTGAGTGATGGGGCATCCTCTTCGACTGGCGCCGCGATGTGGGGAAGGTTGTTAACATCGGGTGGATGATAGGATCACTGGGGATCAATCTGTGTTCCCATCCCACAGCCCCGAAGGATGATCATATCACTAGGCATCAACCAAAGTTCCCATCTCCAAAACATTCCCTCCTCGATTCATCATACGAAAACGAGGCGACATGGGGCGAATCCACACTTTACAACAGACGAACGACATTACCGATGGAATCTAACGGGACTATACATCCTCTCCGCTTCACCTCAAGGCTCACCAATCCACAGTGCAAAGGCACTCGGGAGTCGGTACCCCCAGATCCTTAAACCTGGATTCTCCAAGGAACCGCGCGCACCGGCACATCCATTACCCATGTCGGGCTTCCTCTGCCACTGCAGGTATCCGGGGATGAGAAAGGTAGTCCAGACGCTGGCAATGCACCAGTTTCCATCCCCGCCTCCAACCAAATTGTCTGGGCCTCCGCAACCGAAGCAATAAGCACAATCACTCCTCTAGAGGCATGTTCTCCTCAATCCATCTGCCGACAACAAAGCGGATAATCACTCTTGCGCATGACCAGGTGCACGCGACATCACTGGGTGTTAGCCTGAGCCTTCATCTGGAGTCCTTCAAGGAACTCACCTCGATTGTCTTCGAAAACAAAGCGTCCAGCGCACTTGCTGATGTCGCAACAAGCGTTGGCGCACCACCGGAACACGACAAGTGCACGCAAGATCCTACCCTCCACAACCTCAAATCGAAATCAACAGCACGAAGTATTCAGGAGCCCCGCCCCCTCTCCATGCCTCGGATGCTCGGCGGCTGCGATCACCGCTCCGCGTCTATGGAGCGAAAAGCACTCTTTGCGACGATCTCACCCGCGGCCTCAAGCCTCATCCCAACCTCATCGTCCTATCAACTTCGCTGCCAAACTCCAGCTACAAGCCTCATCCCAACTCGCGCACCCGGCGTCGCAACCTCTCCCACCCCCTCTTTAATAGGCTCCGACACGAGCACCGCGGCCATCGCGCCGTCTGGATCCGGTGCTGTCTTCGACTGGAAGTCGTCATCCGCAAGCACCCCTCCACAACCTCCCCACTCACCATCAACAGCACGAAGCGCCCCTCAGGGAGGAGCCCGGCCATCCGCTGTAGTCCTTTCACGAGAAAGGCATCGCGCCACGCGCGGGTTGCGGAATTATAAGGTTCCCCTTCGACTGGAGATTACGGTGGTGGCGAGGAATGTAGTAACATGGGGCAAAATATCCATACAAATCACTTGAAAAAAACATAAGTGAATCCATCTATTCATTCCTTTGACACTATGCTTTGGCTAACTTGTTTGGAAGGTTTACGGAACTTTTTCCTTGTCCACCCCGGTGCGACAATTCCCTCTTCGATCTCATCCATCACGATCGCCACCGGCACGAAGGATACACCAGCTTGGCACGGATTCAATAAGCCGTGACGGATCCGTACTGATGACACGGTTTCGTACTGATCACGGATTCGTACTGATGACACCACACTCCCCTCTCCAACCTCAATACCCATGACCTCGACGGCACGATGGTGCGCGCGCTGGAGCCCCCCGCCAGCCGCCGGCCTGCTCCAGGAGACCGGTCTCCAGCCTGCAGCGATGTGACAGGTCTCTAGCGAGCGGGCCGACAAAGTCGCGGGTTCTCCGCTTCGACTGGCGAAATCTCTGATGCGGGGAATGGAGTCTATGGGGCGTACTTATCTAGGGCACTGTTCTGGATGGGATGATGGCAGGGCCCGGCGTAATCAGAGTACGCAGTATAGATCTCCAAGTCCGTGCAGATTGATTCTGTTCAAGTATGATATCATGTTCCGCTATTTATGTAATTGCTACCTGTCTAAGTTACTTGGTAAGCCTACGGTGGATGATGGATATTCACGTCGTGCAAATGGATCAGTGTCATCCACTCTCTGTCCAGGAACATCGGTCAGTCGATGGTGAGGACTCGATCAGTACCTCTCTTCAACCTCGAGATCCATGAAGTCGACGAACAGCACGGACCGCACTGGGAGTTCCGGTCAAGTACCTTCGCGGCCCCTCCTCCTCAAACACATCGGTTCATTGCTCCTCCGTTCCGTACCCCTCTCCAACCTCGACATATACGACCTCGACGGCACGACGGTGCGCGCGCTGGAGTTACCCCCCGCCGCCCTCGCGTCCTCCCATCTGGAGGTCGGGTCGCCACGCCGCTCTGCGCCAATGTGGCGGGTGCGGGTTGACTCCACTTCGACCGGCGAAATCCCTGATGCGGGGAATGGAGTTACATGGGGTGTTTTGATCTGATGGGACCATAGCATACAGGCGGTTTGGGAGATGCTTAAAGAGTCGTCGGCGTATTCGATGATAGTCTCAGCCTAGAGCTACAAAATCCGTGCTGATTGGTAGTATGTAAATACACTAGGATATTCTACGGAAATGGTCTCTACGAGTTTCTACACATCTAAGTTACATGCGGTGGATGGTGTCCACGTCATTGAATGCCTTCAGATTGTCCAGGTTGTCCCACCACTTGTAGAGAAACTTTTCTACGATTAGCCGGAACCACGGTGTGAGGAGCATTCCTTTTTGATCTGGTATAACAGACGGATGTTGATTAGTGACTGCATCGCCAAACGACAGAGGTCCGAGTAAGTTTCTTCACACCTGCTGTGGTAAAGATCTCCTGTAACTCGGCCTTGCTCACGTAGCGAATGGATTTGACTTCGTTGGGGTTGGGGTTGCATTCAACCTCCCCTTGGTATACGAAAATGTAGTCGACTGCAAAGAGTTGGTAAGGCTGTTAGCCTCTCAAAAGCTACCCAAGGCCTCTGCCAATCAGCGGAACATACTTTCATGCTCTCCCCATAACCCGTCGGACGGCGCCAAGTAGTGTATCCTCGTCAAGTACTCGAGGCGGTCTAATGGGACCTGGCTAGGTGGTATGCCCAACTCGTGCTCCAATTTCCGTTGTGCCGCCCGTCTCGCTCCCAGCTGATCTTCCTCCTCCGTCTCTTCGGCGGTCATGAGTGGATGTGAGCAGCAAGTATTGGTAAAGTATCCCGGGAAGGTGATCTTTTCGTCTGCTCGCTGCTGAAGGAGGAGTTTGCCTTCGGAGTTGAAAATGAACACGCTGAACGCACGGTGGAGGAGACCCTTTTCAATGTTTGCCATGAGATGACCTAGAGGAGATGGAGGTAACTAAGTCAGTGAACAGCCCTGTTGATAGGAGGCGAGACGACCGCCACTTACAGTTCTCCTTGCTGTCGCCGTTGAGCGGCTTGTCGTTGTGGTCCACGACAATGCATTGCTCTGCCATAAGGCGGACCTGCTCGACGTCGTATGTAGCCCAGTCGACGCTCATTGCTTTCCGTCTACCCCGGGATGCAGTTGTGCTTTTGCGAGGGTTGGTGGTGCCTGTGGGCAGCTGTGGGCGTGGGGAAAAGGTCGCGTGTATTGTCAAATGCGAGTGGGGATTGTGGAGAGAGAGGGCGAGAGGGTTCTTCTTCCTTGTCATTCCTCCCACTCCGAGAGGGCCAGGTGGGTACGAAACCAAGTAAGTATTCATTGTCGACGCACCTTCCCTCTCCCTCTCCTCTTCAACCTCTGCACTTCTCATCCAACGGCACGACGTTGCAAAGGGAGTCTGCCGGAATGGAGTCCGCCGGCTTGAATACCACGCCGCATTGACCGCATCGCGCAATCTTTGAGGACTCCTCGTCCACCAGCGAATCACATGATGCGAGGAATGAAGCTCAATGGGGCACATCTATTCCTCCAACTTCGGTCTCTTCCTATCGGTCTACACAACGTCATATTCTGGTGCTGATAACGATATTCTTTCCTCTATTCGCAGGCCTGCACAATCCACAACGCCGTCGCTCCGGCGCACGGATCAGCACCGTGGCAAGAAGGCGATGTAGGCTCCGCCGTCGTTGACGATCGTATGGATCCCATGACGTGGATCCCCTTCGATCATCCTCCTTCTCTCCTCACACCAGAGGGGGGGGGGGGGATGACCAGAATCGAGATGACTCTTCGATAATCGACATGACGAAACCTACCCCACCAAGCCGCTCCTCTTCAACCTCCTCATCCACAATTTCGGCAGCACGAAGTAAGCATGCACTGGAGCCTGCCACGCCACAGGGTAATCAAGCGGTGGTCACGGCGCCACCCCGTAAGCCACAAACACGCGGAAGTGCATCTGCCGCCAGTTCGTCGCGACCGCGGAACGCAGATGGGTCGACCTTTCGCCTGTGCAGGGCCGGGGTGATGTGCACGTGCCCATCTCTTCTTTACCCTGCAGCGTCCGCCTACTCCTCTTCGACTGGCGAGATTCTGTAAGGAGGCATGAAGTTCCATGGAGCAACGGCCCTCCTCTGGCCCTTCTCCCTGAGGAGGATGGGAGGGTCCGATAGGACACTCAATGCTGATGACCGGCGTGATGAAATGAAATTTTGTACTATTCGAGATTCCCGCACGATGCGCGCACGCCCCCCCCCCCCCCCCCCCCCCCCCCCCCCCCCCCCCCCGACAAGCCCTTCTTCAACCCGCATCCGCATCCATTGAGTTCGTCGGCACGAAGTATTCACTGGAAATCGCGCCGCGACCGCCCCACGCCGCCCTGTTACGTATACCCAGGGGCACGTGGCAATCTTCCCAACCGGTCAATCCCCCCTTGTTGGCGGAGTACGGACGGTTCCTCTTCGACAGGAGGATAGTGATGCATGAAGGTGTGTATTTTGGGCGATTTAGGTTTCTCGTCTCGTGATTCCGCCCTACACCTGCACTTTGGGACTGATGTGTTTTCCTATTCTGTTCTCTATACTTTTAGACCAGCAAGGTCTTCAAGCTGGCATCATGGGGCAACAACCATTCAAGATCATTCTCCTCCGACCACAAGCCCCTCGATTACCATTTCCAATCACAGTAAGTCATCCGCCGAGCAACCGCTTCTCCCTCTCCTTTCCTCCCCTCTCCAACACCGCATCACAATTCCACCGGCAAGAAGTGCTCCGGAGACCCAACTCTATCCTTTCTTTCTGGAAGCAGTCTATCACCGTCCCAACTCCGCAGCATCTGGCCGCAGGAAACCGGTTCAGTTGCATCCGAGCTTCATGACGTCAAAAGTGCGGATCTCAGCTGGGTCGACTTCCCCGGTACAAGTGTTATGAGGGTTGTGGCGCTTGATTTCTGTTTCTTGGGAGCGAGGATGGGCTGGACTCCTCTTTGACCAGTGGATGGTGGTGTGAGGCATGGAGTTACATGGGGTGATTTTGGGTATCATACCCTCTTGTTGATGCTAGCTATTGCTGAGGGGTATGCCACAGCTCGCGGACTGATATTCGTTCTTTCGTTCATCTCTCTGTTAACAGACGACCGACCCCACCGCGGCACGTCAAAGACCGTTCGGAAGCCGGATCTCTCCCTCCGGATGTGACACGATAGTTACCCCCTCCTTCCCTTTCTCTCTCTTTCTCTCTCCCTCCGTCCCTCCCTCTCCCTCCACCACCACGAGTGGCAACGGAGTGGAGTGGAGGACGCCTCCCAACCCCATAGCGGTACAAAATTGCCCTTGATCGACGAAGCCTCCGCACCAAGGTAAGGTTAATGACCGGTTGGAGATTACTCCCAGTCTCTCATAGTATTCAAACGAATCTTCCACCAGGACCTGTACCCGCAGCCTCTCGCAATTCGCAATAGCCCCTCTTCAACCCTTGTCTCTGGCATCGATGGCACGAAGGGCACAAAGCCTCAATGGAGTCCCCGGCGAGAAGTGAATATCACTTTTCTGCATCGGTATACGCGAGCGATAGTACCATCTGTACCATCGCTGGCTTTTGTTTCGGCGAGGCCTTAGAAAGGTCTCGCTGGAATCAACGCGAGCGATCGCGCTCTATGCGCGATGGCTTGCTTCCCTTTCAGCGAGGGCCCGTAGACCCTCTCTGGAACACTGGAGCGACCGTGACTCTATGCACGATCGCCCGCATCTTCGGCGAGAGCAATGAAGCTCTCACTGGAACACCGCGAGCGATGACGTCTTTGCATCATCGCTAGCTGCCATCTCGGCGAGATTTTCGAAAGTCTTCACCGAGATATCGTCATCCGCCCTTACCTCAATGTAGGGGCGTATGCTACGACTCCTCTTCGACTAGCGAGCCGCACAAGAGAATGAAGCTACAATGGGGCGAATCTCTCAGTCCTTACTTGTTGAACATCCGGAATCAGGTCGTGGTATGCAGATTACATCCCGTAAACCAAAACCCAGCAAGCAATCAGCCCACTTCAACCCTCACGGGATCTGCCTCGATGGCACGAAGTTTCATGGAGTTTCCGACGAGCTCAGTCACTACTGACACCTCGTGTACCGGATCGCGATCTCCTGCCTGCGCGGACGTCCGGTCGATGGGACTCCTTTCCCACCATCGAGCGCCCCCATATGGCATGAAGTTACAATAGGGTTCAATAACGTGTCGACACTACCGTTCTCCATGACCGATTCACCCGTACCCCGATTCCACTCCGCATCAGCGGCACACAACGTCACGACCAATTCAGTGGCCTTTCCCGATCCACCAATTCCCATGTCTTCATTCCGCACTAGCGGCCGACAAGGAGAACGTCACGACAAATCTATGTTCCCTTCCCGATCTACCAATGCTCGTGTCTCCATTCCGTATTTAGCGGCCGACGAACGACAAATCCATTTTCACTTCCCGATCCACCAAACCCCATGCACCCATTCCGAAGCGGCCCACAGGAATAACGTCACGACAAAACCATTGTGCCTTCCCGATCCACCAGGGCTCATATCTCCATTCCGCATCAGCGGCTCACACGACCACGAGGAACGCCCACATTCCTCATCCACAATTAAGTGGCCCCCAACTCATTCCGCATCAGCGGCTCATACGAAGAACGCTTATACATTCCACATCCGCAATCAAAACAGCCCAAACCTTCGAGGGATTCCCCAACACACCCCTCGTCTCCCGTCCCGTGAAACCAAAGCACGAAGCTACCCTGGAGTCACTGTGAACGCTCACCTCCAATCGATACGATCTTATCGACGAGGAGGGAATCTCTATTCGAGGTTTCCGTCTGCGCGCGAACGTGTACTATTCATGTACGCGGGTCGCTTCCTTACCAAAACGCCCAATCAAACTTGCGGCGAAATTTGACCTTCTTTGCCGCGCAAACAGCCGGATTCAGCAGTTTCATGGACTTTCGCAGCCAAAGCCCCCAGTTCCACCTTCCAATCTTCTGGATTCGACGGCACGGAGTTTTCTATTAAGGAGTCACTCGCTGTCTGGGGGGGTTCCCTTTACATACGATATCGGGGTTGCTGTACTGCACCCTCGCCGAGCCACCCACCGTTGGCGAAGAGTTCCGGACCTGTTTGCCAAACGCGCGCGGCCCAAATAACTGGGTTAGTGGGTTTCAACCGGGCAGATGAATACTCTCCTCTTCGACAGTCCAGCGCCCAATTGAGTAACGAAGGGCGTGAAAGTTCCCATGGGGGGCGGATTCAAGCTTTTCATGTCCGGCGTACGGGAGCCGATCGTTGGCACCCAACTGCGATGCATCTATTACGCGTGTATCTGTAGCGAGATGTAGTCCACTTGGCATAGTGTGGTGGTTCAGAGTTATATATGTTGTGCGATTATGAGCGTTTTACGATTGAGTGTGAAGATTCGCCAGTGTTTGTTCTGCGGGCATCAGTGGAGCGCGTTTGACTTACGTGAGCATGATCCGGACATGCAGACGGGCGGCCCTTCTTGTCCGGTCTCCCACCCACCATGTCATGAGTCCGGATGCAAATCATTTCTTGTGACGGACGCGTCCAGAGGGAGACGCGCATGACATCATTCTCATCATGGCCTGGCCTTCAACTGCAAATTACAGCCATGGATTTCGGACGGGAAGAGATGATGAGACAAACTGCACCACCCACTCTTGCAACTCCACCCAATTGCAAAGGATCCGTCTACGGCCGTAGGAAAGGGTGGGGTAGACGGCTATGCACCATGCACATGCACATGCACATGCCGCCCATAGAGCTACATAATACATTACAGTTCTTGAGGATTGCCATGCCATGATGCCATGTCGGAGTTGCAAGCGAGGCCTGTCTAGTATGAGTTGCAGCCACAACCAGCGCACGCCCCAAAGCTGCCGACGCGCAGACGGAAGGAGGCTGACGGCCAAATTTTCCACGATTTTCCCTCCCATAAAAACACATCGCCCAAAGACAACGGTCCCCACAAGGCAAAAAGCTATCTACTATCGCTGAAAGTAGTATCCTTCCTGAAGCAGTGAGAGAGACCCTGAAACATACCACCCACACATTCGAGCCGCCCGCTGATACCGTTCGTTACTAGCCCCAGCCGCTCCCCGTCCCCAACCGCAGAAACCAAAAAGCCATGTATAGCATCCTCTCCTCAGTCGGAAGCTATCTCACGGGCCAGGTCGAAAGCGGCGAGCTCGACTACAACGAAGAAAGAGGCGCCCGCAAACTCCGCAGAGCAAGTCTCTCCGCTGTACCCAAAGAAGACGGCGATAACTCCGACGAGGACGACGCAGCCAGCAGCGACGAGGACTACTCCGACGTCGACGCCTCAATACTCGACTTGGAAGCTCTCTCGCAGGACGAACTTCTGAAGGTCACCCTCGACGAAGGAAACGACTGGCGAACACCCGCACCACCTGCCCGACCTGAACTAACCGCAATGGCCCCTTTGTATCTGTCCGCGGCGCTCAACAAGCGCGTCGAGGCATTGCGCCACGACGTCCTGCGCGGAAGGCTGATCGAGATGACCTTGGCGAGAGAGTATTACTCCAGTTACGGGGCGAACGCTGATACTCTGACGGCCGCACCGCTACTGGGCTACGACGGGTCAACGGCCGCGCTGGCTATCGCGCCCGTCATCAGCGACGACTACCCGGGCTCGCCCGTGCTTCCACCGCTCACCCGCGCCCTCTACGTGCGCCTCCTCCGCTCCCTGCCGATTTTTGCAGGGAGGGGTCCCAAATACATGGTGGATTTCGACCGATTCATCGATGAAGATTTCCTCGATTTTGTCGGAAAGTGGATGCGAGCGTCTCGCTTCGATATCCTCAGCTTCACATCCCACTACGTGACTCTCTTCTCCCACCTCAAGAACGAGGCCTGGTACGGCGCTGACGATACCCCGCTACCTTTACCGCTCGGCTTCGAAGCCCCCGCCATGTTACCCACCACAATGTACCCCGACCTCCTCACCTTCCACCGCGCCTCCCTCCCCGGCGGCGGCTCCTTCCGCCTGCACAAACGCCACCGCGCCGAAGGTGGCGACTCAGACGCCGTCATCTCCCTCCGCGAATCCAAAGCAAAAGCCTTCACCGAAGCCTGGCGCAAAGTCCTCTCCACCGGCTGCAACGTCTGCCGCGACATGATTGGCCGCGGACCCGCCTCCAAAGATGTAGTCCTCACCAAATTCTGGTCAACCGTCAAAGCCGCCCCCAACGTCGCCGACCTGCCCCCCTCATGGCAAGCCTTCATCTACGGCCTCTGCACAGCAATGGCCCACACGATCGACAACGTCCTCGACGACGCCGAATGGCGCGCGAAATTCGTCTCCATCTGGAAACGCATCCCAGTGACAATCATGCTCACCTCCCTCCGTCTCGTCAACCCGATCCCCTTCGTCGACCGCGTTATCAAACTCTTCTGCTGGAAACCCCCGGGCATGTACTCCCTCCTCCAACGTATCGGGGGGATGATCTGCGCCGCTGATAAAACCGCTGCCACCTTGAAACGCCTCGCACGCGAAGTCGACACACCGACCCGCACAGCCGTCGAAAAGGCCGTAGACACCGCCTTCACATCCTCCACCTCCTCAACAACCCACATCCGCCCCATCTCCTCCCAAGCCCCCGCCCACAAAATCCTCTCCTTCCTCCAAGAATCCCCAGATTTCACCATAACACCCATAGGCACCGCGACCCTCTCCTACACAAAAGCCTACATCCGCAAACGCGAAAAAGACGAATTCGTCGAAGTCCTCGGCTCCAAAAACGTCACCGACTTCCTCACCCATTTCGCCAAAGCCGTACCCCCCATGTTGGATGAGATATGGAACTGTATCGATTTCGCGAATCTAATGTCCAAACTCGTCGACACGGTTAACCAGATCATCACCGCGCTGTCGTTATACGACACGGCAGCCGAATCCAATAAAGACACGGTGCATTTGGACGTGACGAGAGCGCTGTATGCGGCACTGTTACCGTTCTTGAAAGCGGCTTACCCACTCATGCACGCCCTCGCGCACAAGGAACGCACAGGCGACGCAGGGTTACATGCCCTTGTCGAATACATCGTCATGGAGATCAATCTACCCGACCCTGACGGCATCGCAGCGTCACCGGACCTCTCCACCTCGCGGAATAAATCCTCTGCGAAGAAAACAGCACAGAAGAGCGTGAAGAGCACGAGGGCGCCGATACTGACGGTCGCGAAAGACGCATCCCCGGTCCTTCTCCACCTCTCCCCCGCCGATACCACCCAGCTATTGCACAACGAGGTAGATGAGATCATCGCCTGTCTCGAGTCCGGCACCGACCCGCGGGAGTTCCCATCCCACGTCGATTCTTCCGCGGACGATGTCCTGACGTCCAAAGCGTTCCCGGTGTTCTGGCACGCGATCGTGGCGGAGTTTGTCGGGGGTGAGAATATCGTCAGTCCGCCACCGTCACCGGAAGCGAGCAGGAAGGGTGCGGCGGCGGCGTCACATACGGGGACACCGAATCTGAACGCGACGCATGTGACGCAATTGACGCCCGGGTTTGCTTCGAAGCGCTTTGCGAATGGGGCCACGGCGACACCGCCTCCCGTGGCGAATGTCACTGATGACGTAGATTGAGGTGCCCGTCGGTTGTGCCGGTCCCAATGGATAGCATAACTTAGGTGTAGACAGCACACGCAAACCCCCCCCCACTTTGCACGTACGGCACGACACCCCCGTAGGAAGATGAACACAAACTGCATACGATTTTCAACCTCACACTGTCGATTATAATACCTCTAATAGTTTGTACATATCCCCATGAACTCGATCACATCCACCTTGCAGCCACCGATACTACACGAACTAATATTGCATGTGATTCTGGAGTCTACTGTTTGTGTGCCGCATTCCCCAAAAAAGGACCTCTTTTGGCATTACCCCAATTCCTCTACGCCGCTCAGACACCCGCGTTACAGTTCGAGAGAGGACATCCACCGGCATCCAGCGCACATTCCGCACACCAAAAATCTTCCCTACCACGTTTCCGCAATTCACGCGCCCCGACTGAACTCCTCCGCAATCTAGTCACCAAATATCAGGATCGCCGAAACGCAAACATGCAAAGGGGGTACAAAACAAAACGGCGCTTACCGCCGCAGCACCCGCGACCCGGCGTCCGACGTCGCCCGTCCGGGTGCGTATCGCGTCTTGGATATCATACAACACCTACTCACAAAAAAAAAAAGTCAAAAACCCACTGAAGAAACCCCGCCAATGGTGATGCACGTCGTACCTTAGGCGCCAACAAAACCGTTTTGGATGTGGCGTGTTCTTCCGACAATCTCAGCAGCGCCGCAACCGCCGCGTCCAGGTCGTCCACGCCTTCCGCCACCCCCCCATCCGCGCCGCGTGTTTGTTCCCGTGTACGGAGCCACCCCGCCAGACCACTCTTCGGTTCCCCCGTCGCGTCCGCGCCCAACAACCGCTTCACATGCGGCGCAAGGACGTCCCGTGGGGCATGCGTGCCGGACCCGGCCCCGGCGCGGGTGGTGTCCAGCAGGTTCCTGAACTCGTCCCGCACGGCCTGGACGATGTGCGCCTGGGCGCGCACCGCCGCCTTCTCTGCGACCAGGAGATGGGTCACCAGTGTCGTGCCCGCGAGAGTCGCGACTAGACTATCCAGAACCTAGACCGCATCACAATGGGTCAGTCAGTCCCCCACGAACCCACACATGGACATGTCGCGCACGGCCCCCACATACCTGCTGGCTGTGTTCGAGTTCCCGCGCCCGTCTGCGCTCCGCGGCCGTCACGAACGCCTCCGCGACGCGCGCACGTACGCGTAGCCGCGCGATCTCGGTCCAGAGCGGTGCCAGCTGTTCTTCCACGGCGGCTGTTACCGTTGCGCGGAGGGTCTGCCGGTCTGTGTCCCGTTCATGTTGTTGTTGTTGTTGTTGGTGGGTGGGGGTGCGGAGGGCGTCCAGTTGTGCGGAGCTGTACGCACACCGCAGTTTGGCGGATACATAGCCGCGTTCGGTTATCGGATACCTACACAAAAAACGAACCCACGTCAGCAATCGGTGCCGCAGGAGGAGGATAATGGAGTATGCATCGCACGTACAATAGACCCAACCGTTCGATTTCCGCCCTCGTGTCGACGCTCAGGAGGGGATCGATGAGCTCCGGCGCGCGCGGGAACGGGTGTCGGAGCAGCTTGTGCATTTTCACATCACCCGTCTGCGGCAAATCACCAGCAAACAAACATATCCATAAGTATCAATCCGTCAAAAGTCTCAAATTGAGTTGGGGTTAGTTACAGTACAGTACAGTACAGTACCTTCCCCCAAATGAGTTCCACAGCGTGTTTGACTGTATCTTCGAAGGCTTCGGTAACGGAGCGGAGGGCACTCAGCCCCGCTGTCGCCAGGAAGAGGTACGGCGGCGGTTGCGTCTCTGCACCCTGTGTCGTGGGGTGAGCCAGGGCAGCGAGTGTAGCCGTCATGCGGGATGTCTCTGATATTGCTGCATCGAGCTGTTTGTTGCACAGATAGTCGTAAGGTTGTGCGAGACAGGAATGGGGGAAATGGGAAGGGGGATGGGGGCGGGTACGAACCCGTAACGAGACATTCCCGAGCTCCAACTCCATCTCGTTCAACAGCGTGTCCATTTCGGCGTGGCGGTGGCGGAGCCGGGTTGTTTTGGAGGCGATGGCGTTCTTGCTTTTGCTGTTACACATTATCGCTCATGTCAAAATCCATGTTTCATCCATGATCTCGATGGGAGATGAACCCAGACAAAAACGCACGTTAACAACCCCTGCTGCTCCGTCAGTGTTTTGACGGCTGTCTCGGTACGCTGTAAGTCCGCTTCCAGCGCTGTTATCTGCGAGCTTGGCGGATATGGGATGAAGTATTATGGTGATGTCGCGAAGGGGTTCCTCAACCAAGAACATCCCGATCGCCAATATAGGCTTACCGCAATTCGTCCAAGCTCGTCAAGTCCGTATTCGCTTCCTCGTCCTCGCTTTCATCGATATCGCCTTCCTGATATACATTGCATCGGGTTTAGCGGCGGTTTCCATTACATCCGCGATGATTGAATCGACTTACATGGCTCACAAACCCCTTCTTTCTAAGCTCCTCATACCTGAAAGAAGCTACCACAATTACACCTCCCACTCTTCTCCCACACTAAGAAAGAAAGGAAACACGCGCAAGAACTCACGCGTCAACCTCCTCTCCGTCCAACACACTCCATTTCCTCCTCGCGCCCCACTGCCCCTCCTCTACATCCGCGTCCGCAAAAGCTTCGCATAGCCATTCGAGGACGGGCTTTGTGTCGGGGAAGGCAAAGGCCCATTCGAGGGCGGGGGCGAGGGTTGTTGGGGTGGTGGCGGGGTAGTTGAGATGGTGGAGGATGGTAGCGAGGCGGGCTGCCGAGGTGGGTGCGGGGGAAGATGGGGAGAGGGCGGAGAGCATCGTGGTGCGGCTTCCGGGGTCGAGAAGTTGGGGTGTACCGGGGCCTTATACTGTAGCTTATTGCAGAGGAGGACGTTCAAGGGACGGGGCCTTGCATGCTTTGTGCGAACGAGTCCGAGAGCGAGGGCGTGTCGGAATGAGACGTGGCATGACCCATGCGATGCCTTTCTCCACAGCCAAGAAGGAAAGGGTTGATACAGACGAGCATTGCGCTCTCACCCGCTTCACCCCCGTTCACCGTCCTTCCGACCAACATTATCCTCCCATCTCAAGTTATCACCAAACGCGACAATGGACACTCCTTCCTACACCAAAGTTCGCCTTGTGAAACCCATCAAACGCACCCGCAAACCCCAAGTACCCGCCTCCTTCATATCGTCCTCTGAAGCTATTATCGCTTCCACACTCGTCTTCTTTTTGTTTTTGAGTGTAGTAATCTTCATGGTCAGCTCTATGGCCAGCTTCGAGCGCGTTGCGAGACCAGTCGACATGAAAAAAGCTTCAAAAGCGGAACAGGACGACTTTCTGAAAACACAGATGTTCAAGTATTTCGATGGGATGAGCTTTGTCAAGTCCCAAATGCCGGGCGTAGACTTTTATCATTCCACTCTCGGTTTGAACGACAGTCGCCTTTGTTCCGATGGGAGTCGGTTGGCGATACTAGTTCCAGGGGCGAACAGTCTGCCGGGGATTTGGTCTAGATGGTTGTCGATCCATCGCTCTATGGAAGTTGGGTCGATGGCTCACTACGTATCCCGCATCCGTGACAAGGGGATTCCCACCGTCGTCGTTCAACCTACTAAACGCAACGACAGTTACTTTAGTGACGTTTTGAGTTGGGTGGAGGCAGAGTGTCCAAACGCAGCAGTAGACATAATAGCTCATTCTCGTGGCGGTCTTTCGGTAATGAGGGCTCTAGGACAGCTGCATCCGATGCGGTTGGACTACATTAGGACGGTTAGTTTGTTGGATTCGGTGCACGATGAAGAGCCCGAGTTGGATAGAGACTGGTTGCATTCTACCATTTTGCATTGGGTGGCGGATAGCGGCATCGTAGAACCAAAGGATGGAGATGCAGTCAAGATATTTTCAGCTGGGACAGACAGACACGAGGAGACGCCTTGGATCGCGATGGAAGCAGTGTTAGCACGTCTTTAGTAGCCGCGTTTCGTTCCCCGTAAACACTTTCTCCAAATACAGTACATCAACCATATCACAATCGATGCGATTACAGAGGCAACTCCATTCGCCGTGCAGCCGGACAGTACGGCGGTTTGAGTGCGTTTGCCAAGTGTGACATCAAGAAAGGCGACCTGATGTTAGTGGAAGAACCCTATGTCACTGCGTTTCATCCCGAAGTCGAACGGATTTGCCGTTGGTGCACGCATTTGAACCCAGAAACCAAGATCCGTTGCTGTGTAAACTGTCTTCGGACAAAGGCAGGCGTGTACGACATTATAGCCGGCGAGGATGAGATTTGTAAAAAAGACCAACAATGGCTACCTGTACAACATCCTCTTGGCACGACTGCTACAGATGGAGAAATGGGATGTGATACGAGACAAGCTGGATGCTAAAGTCGTTCCAAACTCAACAGAAGAAGCAGATGATAAAGAGGTGGAAGATGAAGAAGCTCTTACTGTTCCTTTGGAGGATGAAGAGACTGTGGACATTTACATCACCACTCCAACGAAAATGCACAACTTGACTGAAGACCAAAAGACCTTCTTGGAAAGATGGTCACTCGAGGACATCCAAAAGCTTCATGTTGGGCAATTTAGTGCGTTTAGATTCAAACAGTTGCTACAATTGTCGGCTTCAGACACCAAGGTGCCAGAGGATGGCATCAAGAGTCTAAAGATCAACAAAAAGGCAGGGGATCCGGAACACATCAGGCGGTTGATTCGTGCATGTGCGTCCAATGAACCCAAGGCGCTACGGAGCAGGTTCAAAAACGGTCGCGGAATGGAACACCTTTTTGCGCGAAGTGACAAACGCGTGCGCTTTCGCCCGTCGGACTGCAACCAGGACTTTCGCTCCCTATCCCCCAGACGAGACGAACGAGTACAACGAACAAGAGGGGACCATGCGCCCAATACCAGTCTTCCGCCTGCTCGCACCCCGCCTGCCTCATACCTACCATCCGCGCCGCCCCCCGACCACCGCTCTCTCCCCACTCTCCCGCCCGCAGATCACAATGTCAACCCACACCCGCTCCTCATCGTCACTCTCAACCTCCGTCAAAACCCACACAGGCAAAGACCTCACCCTCCCCACCGGTCTCTTCATCAACAACGAGTTTGTCCCTTCTTTGAGTGGGAAGACGTTCGCTACTGTAGACCCGTAAGAGTAAGGGGGTGCTGCACCGGAGGGGTGTCGGTGGGACGCGTCTGAAGTGTGCTAAATATTTGCGGGGGCTTTTAGGTCCACGGGGGAACCGATAGCGGAGGTAGCGGAAGCTGATAAAGAGGATGTGGATAGGGCTGTGGACGCGGCCGAGGAGGCGTTGAAGGGTTGGCAAATGTACGTGGTCGAGAAAACATCACGTCGTCACATCTTAAATCCAACTAACGCGCACACACAGGCTCCCCGCCGCCACCCGCGGCAAACTTCTCTGGACGCTCAGCGACCTCATCGACAAGCACACCGACTCTCTCGCTGCGCTCGAATCCCTCGACAACGGCAAACCGCTCCGCGACGCCATCGACGACGTGCGCGGCGTCGCGGATGTGTTTCGGTACTATGCCGGGTGGGCGGATAAGATTGGCGGGCAGGTGCTGGATTATGATCCTGCTTTGCATGCGTATACGCGCGTGGAGCCTGTAGGGGTTGTGGGGCAGATCATACCGTGGAATTATCCGTTGCCGATGTTGGCGTGGAAGGTGGCGCCGGCGTTGGCGTGTGGGAATACTGTTGTGTTGAAGGTGGGTTCCGGGAGTGAGACCTAGTGGGGAAGTAATGGCGGATGAATCCCGGATGTGGCGCACCTCACTTATGAACTCTTTCCTCAACAGACCTCCGAAAAAACGCCACTATCAGCCCTCAAACTCTGCTCTCTCCTCCCCCTCGCCTCCATCCCCCCCGGCGTCGTCAACATCCTCTCCGGCGGCGCCTCCACCGGCTCCCACATCGCCCTGCACCCGCGCATCCGCAAAATCGCCTTCACAGGCTCCACCGCCGTCGGCCGCAAGATCATGAAGATGGCCGCCGACTCCAATTTGAAAAAGGTCACCCTGGAATTGGGCGGCAAGAGCCCGAATATCGTGTTTGACGACGCGGATCTGGATGGTGCGGTTGCTGCGTGCTTTGGAGGGGTTTATGATAATGTTGGGCAGAATTGTTGTGCGGGGAGTAGGATTTTTGTCCAGAGCGGGGTTTATGAGGAGTTTACGAGGCGGTTTGTGGAGAAGGTGGGTGTGAGAGAGAGACTGTGATACTCGGGATATATCTATTGCTCACTCCCCACCCCGCTCCCCAGCTCTCGCAAACAGTAGTAGGCCCCCCCACGGACCCCACAACAACCCACGGCCCCGTCATCGACTCCCTCCAGCTCTCCTCCATAACCTCCTTCATCTCCCTCGGACAAACTCATGGCGCCACCCTAGCATACGGCGGCACGCGCCTCGGCACACGCGGCTACTTCATCCAACCGACCCTCTTCACCAACGTGACCCCGGAAATGCAGATATACACGCAGGAGATCTTTGGGCCCGTGGCGTGTCTTGTCAGGTTTGAAACGGAGGAGGAGGTGTTGGGGATGGCGAATGGGACGGAGTATGGGTTGGCAGCGGCGGTGCATACAACGGATCTGGACAGGGCGACGAGGATGGCGAGGGGGGTGCAGGCCGGGGTTGTTTGGGTTAATTGTTATAATCGTAAGTTGAGGGGGTTGTCTTATTGGGGTTGGGGTAGGGTGAACTTATGATTGTTTTTTTTTGTGGATTAGTGACACCACCCCAAATGCCCTTTGGAGGATACAAACAGAGCGGGATTGGACGGGAGTTGGGCGAGGCTGCTATTAGGGAGTATACACGTGAGTTTTGTGTGTCCCATATCCCACTTGCCGCCCGGCGATATTTTTTCAAAACTGATTTCATGGGGTTTGACGGTCTTATAGAGACGAAATCTGTGATCATGAGGATGCGTGTGTGAAGAGTGGAGGATGGGATATACCCCAGTCGTCAAACTACGACAAAGAAACGAGAGGAGAACGTCCACCACGGCCTGGCTACTCTGAAGCCACCGTAACATGCCATACACACAAAATCATATCGGGCTCAATTTGCACACCTAATACAGTTGTCCACGAATGTACAGCCCCCACCGCCTCAATGCATCACATAAACCCCCACCACAACGTGACCCTCAAATCCATATCTTATCCCGCCCACCAGCATACGCATACCGTCCGCTCCCACCAAGGTGTCCCTGCCCCTGCCTCCCTTGACCATTCTGACTACCCCCTTGTTGACTCCCCTGATTGCGGAAATACTGCAACCCCTCAACAGGCACGCTCTCGGCCGTCCGCACGAACCACGCGTTCTGAGGTAGTTCGGCGCGTGTTCCGTTGTGCCGGTAGGTGTGGCAGGTGGTTTCGTATTCGAGGCCAAAGTCGTTTCTATGCAACAATAAGCTTGGTTTAGAGTTTGTTGGGTTGGAAAATGGGAGTGGAGCGGAGGGAGGGGGGGAAGTTACCTGACGACATAAGCCCCATCCGAAGCAAGACACTGCCCCGTTAGACAATGGCGGATCAGGACCGGGTGGCGGGCCTGCATTCATTCTCAGCCGTCACTTCATACAGTCTCACTTCCCCCCCTCATGACGAAAACGCTCACGCTCGGTACTCACATCAATCCCCGTCCCCTCCCGCTCCGGCCGCTCCCCAAGCTCAAAATGCTCCAACTGCCACACCGCGGTATAGTCCCGCCCCGCTGCGACGCACACGGCCTGCTGTTTCGAGTACTTGGAGATGTTGGTTGAGAGGTGGGTTTGGGCGGATTTCAAGTACATCTACGGGACAAAAATATCACCCAAGTTTAGAAATCGGTGCGGAAGTTGGGAATCATGCGACCTGTGAATTTTAGAGGCACTTACGGGCTCGTCACCTAAACCCTCGACGAGGATGCACACTTTATCGCCGTAGCGGATACTCGAACCATGTGCATGAGCGTATTCGTGTCGGTCTTCTATTGGGTTGCCGTTATCCTGCATCCCCCACACAAAAAAAGGCAGTCATCAGCTCTTGTGAACCTCCAGCACGACCTCGGATGAGGAGATGAACGTACATCACACAACACAAACGTCCAACAACACCGCACGACGGGCATGGTTTCCCGCGCGGTTGTTAGTGTGTAGGTGTCGGTGGGTTGCTCGGGGACGTCGACGGAGAGGACGGTTTTTGTTGAGAGGTTCTGTGGGTGAGGTGGTGGTGGTGGTGGTGGTGGTGGTGGTGGTGGGGTTAGACGACGATTTCGGGGGTCGGTGGCAAAGGGAGGGTTGGGCTTACCTGAAGCATGAGGGGGGCGTTGTAGCTGTGGGTTTGTGAGAGTATTTGCTATCATAGACAAGAAATCGCAAACTCAGAGTGTCAGCAAAGTTGCCCATCCAAAGCCACAACCAACATTCCCATCTCTCACCTCCCGCCTCGCCCCGCCAACCCGTCGCCTCAACCTCGCAACCTCCGCCTCGCCACTCTGATACTTCTTTACGAACTCAGTCATGCGCTCATGGTACAGCACGGCCTCCTCGTTCCAGTTTCCGATGCGGTGGGGCACGCCGGCGGGTTGCGAGCGGGATAGGTGGGTGAGGATGTCGGCGGCTGTCGAGTGCAGGGCATGTGTTTCGGGGGTTGCTAGGGGGGGCATTGCGGGAGTTGGGCGTGGTGGGGAGGAAAAGGGAGTCTATGTTAGATCTATGACTGGAGTCTATGTTAGATCTTCCCAGACCTCAAATTCCACATCGGACATGTCGGGAATTGCTGCCGTAATTGCAGCTGACAGCAATTTGACAGTGCGGCCTCTTTACGACCCCAAATTCTGCAATAGGAACAACCAGAGGAACAACCGACCGCACAAAGATATTTGCATACAACGCAAAAACCGTAAAATGTGCGGTCAGGTAGTAGCTTGTCCATTTGTTGCCAGGCCGGTGTCTCCGCCATAGGTCGTCCAGTGCCCGACGTCCCTGGACAGTATATATAGGCGCAATGGCGGAGCCCAGGAGCTGTGGGCAGCATTCCCTCCGGTACCATATGCAGAAAGAATCGCGTCCAACTACGCCTGGGGTTGAAAGTGTTACTTTGGCAGAAGGGCACAAGGACAAGGGAACAGTTCGATCCGGCGCTCTACTGACTGCACACGGTCGGCACCTCCTTCGCTGGACGAATAGAACCACCGCCGAAGTTTCGTTACGGAAACACCCACTGCCACTGCAATACCGGATCTTATAACCATGCTCGGAAACCTGACGGAGCCTCACCGCCCCAGCGGGGCATCATCGGCCGGTCCCTCGTCCTCCACCAGTATGGGACCGGCCTCCACCAGTATCATACCTGCAGAGATCCCACAACCATTCCTCGTTGCTGTCCTCGGCAGACCAGGCGCCGTCACCACCTTCGTGCTTCCACCGACAAGCACCACGGTCGCTGACTTGGCCCAGCTCGCCGCAGACGACCACGACCTCTTCCCACCAACCGCTGCAGAGACCGAGACGCAGAACAATGACCAGAGCAGCACACGGAGCCTCAGTCGACACTCCAGCTCGTCATCTAGGTCGTCTACGAGTAGAGTGCATCCGGACGTGCTGAGGTTCTACGATGTACGCGCCGAAAACTTAATGGCCCGTGATCCACGGTTAGCGGACTCAGAGCACGGCCCGGACAGCGCCACTGAGGTTGAACAGGAAGATGAAGAGTCGCACCTAATGCAGTTGTTTGCGTCAGCGGTGCGAATGCGGCCTACCGCAACGCTGCATGACGCTCTACCGCAGTTTTGTAAACGCGATCTCGATGGAAGGGTGCACGTACTGATTGTGCAGCCCTATGAGCCCCGTCCGCGCCGGGCTGGTGCAGCTGCGGTTCAGAATGCGGACGGGAGCATCGAGATGCAGACTCTGGGTGGACGCAATGGAGATCTCGAGGCTGCGGAGGAGGTGCGACATATCGATCCGCCACCCGCTTATCGGGCGCGGCCGCTCAAGTCAATCACCATCCCGCCGCTGACCAAGAAAAGGAAGATATATCTGAGTGTCGGGGCGCTGTTGATCGCCGGTATTGTGGCGGGGGTCTTGCTTTACCTCAAATTCCGCCCGCCGGTCCCGGGCACCGTCGTCCGTGTGTTTGAAGAGAACCCGAACACGGCATGGACGCAACTCTTGCGGACCGGGTCCTCGGCCAACAATACCGTGCCGCCTACCCTGTGGGCCCTGGGGAACGTGCAGTCTATGGGGAGGCTTATTCCGAGTCTTGACGGCCCGACCGTTTGGCTCGATGGTGGATGGGAGGATACGTCCCTATACGAGGAGTACCGAGTCGTATCCATTGCTCCTTACCCCGACACCGACAATTTTGAACGCATCTATGCCACGCGAGTCGTCGACGCCATATCCACCCTTAGCTACTTCACAGTGGACGGCACCCACCGCAACACCGATAGTGGAGACGTAGCACCACCGCTAATGATACCGGCACCTTATCCGATCAAACCCGTCCCTCTCCCGTTTCCTGCCAAAATCATCGGTGTTGACGGGGTAAACCACCGCCTGTTCCTGATTAGAGAAACTACCGATTCCCATCTCTTCGACGGTCGTGATAAATACAACGTACTCGTCTACGACACGAAGGAGGACAAGCTGCTCTTTACTCTCGAACTTTACAAACCGGACGCGAACCCTGAGCACGGGAATAATCCACAGCAAGTCGTGATGGACGCGTCGGGCACCCGCCTGAGCCTGCTATATTCCCAGCAGTTCGTACAGTACGAGATTCCGCCGATTGTTCCCCAAACTCTTTATCGAAACAGCAGCAGCCTCATTCCGATCTCGGCCTTCTCTAACGTCACGATCCCGGGATTCCCGGTTGTTGATGGTCTCGGGTTTGCGGTTGTTGATGGTCTCGGGTTTGCACGGCACCCAGGCAATCACAAAGATGGGAAAGTGCTCGTTAGGAACGATACTGGTGTCTTCGCTGCCGAATTCAACACTCGCGAGTGGCGTACCGTCGTCAGGGATTATATCAGCATAGGCGTTACTACCCTCTCCATCAACGGGGGAGAGTTGTACACCGCCTCGGCCAGCAGTCCAGATCTTCATATTTATAGCTTCTATGGGGAGGGCTTGAAGGCAAAGTATAACACAGGATGTGAGTGGGGCGTAGCCGACATCGCGGTCACGGAGGAACCGGGCTATGTTTACGTGGCGTGTATTGCTAAAGGCGGACTGCGGAAGATCAAGATATGAGATTCGCAACAGGCGTACGCACTCGCAGATTGACCCAACCCCATCACATCTTGTACAATATATACCTTACCAACGGCTTGCAGGCCGCGGGTGTTCCTTTCTACGGCTTATCGCCAACCTGCTGCTGCTGGGTAGATACTGGAGATAGATAGATAGTAGACCCTAATCTTCGCAATTAAATCAACCCAAATATCATATGCAACATCGTTCTTAGTTCTCCGGTTGACTTGAGGTGAGGATGTGCTAGTAAGTGGAAGGGTGTGCGAAGATCGCAAACTGAGGATCCTGACGGCTTTTGATATCCAATGGGCCAGCGGCATTCACATGTTGGCATAGTGCTCTCACAGAACGGACATTGCCCATGCGCTGGTACTAGAGAGATGGTCGAGAAATCCGCACCGGCCGCCGGTTCGTGCACGTCTTGCCGACATGGTCAACGGAATGGTTGCACCACTTTACGATGCCGTAGAGGTGATCCAGGATGTCTGTTGTTTCAAGAATGAGACGTGCGTCCTGCTAAGAGAACAGACATTTGAGATATACGTGCGCCGGACACCATCTCCTGCGCCGGACCACCCGCGCCGGACACCAACTTATACTTGTTCCACACCGTCGTCAGAACGTGGATCGGCTTCCTGAGGAACGATGCATGATCTAGGGGCTTCAAGTTAGTACATCATTTCGCGTTGCTTTCTTTTCCCATACGTAAGAAGGGAAAAATACCAGATGGATGTTCGTCCGCTCGGTGAAGACGGCAAGCCTCTTCGAGAAGCCTCTGGAGAGTGCGGTCCGGTCATTGGTTGATGCATGGCGTAGAGGAGCGGATTCATACATATGTGCACGTCTTCCGACTTGATTTGCTGATCGACAGTACCATGTTTTTTCCAGGGGAAAGGCAAAAGGAAAATCTCCAAAGTCAGAGGTGAACGTGAAAATGACAGCATGCAAAAACTGTCAAAAAGAGGCCAAAGGGGGTCTTATTAGGGGGTTGGCTAGAACGGTACAGTATATATATATATGGGCTATGGGGGGGTGCCATATGGATCCATTCCCTATAGATATTGTACAGACGGCACAGTACGTAGTGCAATGGATAACGGACGGAGCTCCACGTTGCAACTGTAGACAACAGGTCGTGGCTCTCTTCCAATTCACGCATCTTGCACACGGCCGCGTCAATTAGAGGTGAGGTCACATCCTCGACGCACAGGGATCTGGCCCCGGATTAAGATTGAAGCATCCCTCTTGAACCTCACAGCGACCAGCGACCCGCCTCCAACTCCAAGACAGAGTGGCTGCTCGTCATCCTCAGCGCGATGCCACACACTCGTCCACCCATCTCCCTGATCGCCCCAACAGGCGCGTCCGCCTCCCCCTGCGGCTACTGCTCCTCCACAGCCGACACCTCTTCCACAATCGGCTTCTGGGCTTACGAGCTCCACCCGTCCCACTACCAACAACTGATGGACAGAGGGTGGCGGCGCAGCGGGAAGTATCTGTACAGGCCGTGCCTCACGGAGACGTGTTGTCCGGCGATTACTATTAGGTGTCCCGTTGCGGAGGTAGAGGTGGGGAAAGGGCAGAGGAGGGTGGTGGGGAAGGTTAGGAGGTGGGTGGCGAGGGGGGGTGGGAGGGGGAAGAAGGGTGAGGGTGCGGATGGGGATGCTGGCGGGGACGGGGAGGGCGAGGAGGCAGGCCCGCCGCCGCCGAGGGAGCAGGAGCAGGAGCCTGCTAGGAAGCCGCCTGCTGCCCCAGATAGAGGGGCTTTGGATGCGGATGCGAAGAGCACGGTGGATGAACGATCGGGGCGGAGCTTGGGCTTGGATAAAGCGGACGGGCCACAAAATCCACCACCACCAGCGAAACGAAAACCACCCAAACGGGCAAAAGTGTCCACCCCACGCGACATCCGCGACCTCATCATAGAAGCCGAGCACCCTCCCCCAAGTACGAGTCCCACCACCCCGACCACCGTCAATCCACCCCTCCGAACCGAGCTAGTCCGCGCAGCCTATGACCCCTCAACCTACGCCCTCTTCACCAAATACCAAATCGCCATCCACAAGGACCCGCCCCACAAGCTTTCCCCCGAAAAGTACCGCCGCTTCCTCGTCGACACCCCCTTGACCTTCATCCCTCCTCCCCTGCACCTCTCCCCCACCTCCGCCTCCTCTTCTTCCAATTTCGCAGAGTTTCCCGGGTTCGGCTCCTTCCACCAGAAATACTACACGGGGGATAACACACTGATTGCGGTGGCCGTGCTGGATATACTACCCCAGGGTGTGTCGAGCGTATATTTTATGTATGACCCGGATTATGGGTTCTTGAGTCTGGGGACGTATAGCGCGTTGAGGGAGATTGCGATGACGAGGGCGTTTATGGAAAGGGTGGAGGGGGTAAGGTATTACTATATGGGTATGTTTGGATGGGTCTTATCGTACCGCCTTTGTCTGTGTATCTGAACTGTTCTTCCGTTTGCAGGCTATTATATACATTCGTGCGCCAAGATGCGGTATAAAGCGCAATACAAGCCTTCAGAACTTCTGTGTCCCGTAAGTCCCTCATCGTCTCCTCCTCTCGCAGTGCCTTCAATCACTCACTCCTTCTCTCCCGTCAGGCAACCTACACCTACGCCCCCCTTTCCACCGCCCTACCCATCCTCGAGGCCGAGAAGATCGCACCGCTCGCCCCAAACAGTGCGACTGCAGATACAGCAGGTACGGGTATTGAACGCCTGCGCGCCATTGAAGCGGCACAACTCGCGTCTGTAACGGACGCGGATGTGGAGGGGCTGATGGCGTTGAGTGACGGCGTTCTGGTTGAGTTTGGGGTGAGTACTCCAATGCGGTTGGTTATGATATGTTTGGGGTTGAGAGAAGGGAAATGTTGATGCGTTTGCTGATAGGACACGGAGGCGTATGAGGAGAACCGGGAGGATGCGAGGATGTTGCGGGCGGTGTGTGGGAGGGAGCTTATGGGGCGGATGATCCTTGTTACGTAGCCGTGTGGACTGGATGTAGCGGGGATGGGAGGCCGTAGCTTTGGGCAGGGGATTCGTCTCTCTTGGGCAATAGACGTGCATCTCCCCGACGCGTTTGTCATTCCCCTCCAGCGCCTCTTTTTTCTTGGCGTTCGCTCCCTTCTCAAAACCCTCCCTCGTACTGTATATAAGACCCCCGCTGAACGACTGCAGATACGTGTAGCTTCCTCCGACTATACTCTGCAGTTAGAAGCTGTAAAGCAAGCCGCATATCGTCCTCCCTCATAGCCGCCCTCTGGCACTGAAACCAGCTTCATTAGCCTCATTTCGTCACCCCTTGTCGGCGACAGAGAAAGGGAATGCAAACGGAAACACTCTACGCCAATGACGACGAGTACGAGGACAGCAAGGCGGCGAATATCCCCGCTTCAGTCGCCTCTTATTTCACTCCACCCACCACCGCATCCAATGAACTCGCGCTTTCGAATCCTCAAAACACCCGCACATCTCCCCTCGAATTCCCCTCTCATCCAGCCCCATCGACCCTAATCCTAACCACGTCACTTTTATTTGCCCAATGGCAGTACACATACCTCATTCCCCTGCTCGTGGTGGCGTATATGCTGATGTTGGGGTTGGTCGCGGGGTGCGGGGTGGGGAGGGCGCTGTGGGATGTGTTGGTTGGGGTGGGGGACGCAGTTAGGGATGATGTGGATGAGGAGTTTGAGGTTAGTGAGGAGGGGCGGGAGAGGGGGGTGCGGGGTGTTAGGTGAGTTGGTGGGTGATTTCTAGAGTTTTCAAACGGACAAGACTTATTCTTCATTTCTAGACTGGTAACGGCACCCGCAATCCTGGTGTACCTCACCGCCCGCGGCCTCACCCTCGGCACCCTCGGCACGTTGCACTATCTCTACTCCTTGTTTCATTCGGGGCACGCCACGGCGATACTCCGTCACATCACCAACACCTCATATATCATCACGACTGGGATGTGGACGGTGTGGGTATCCCTCCCCGCCCGCGTTGTGCGGGTTGTGGGCAAGGAGGTGGGGATGACGGTGTGGGGAATGACGAGGAGCGGGGTGAGGGTGGCGACTGGCGTTGTGGGTGAGGTTGCGGGGGTTGCGGGCATGTCTGCATGGATCGGCACCTGGGTTTTCGGGAGGGGGTTAAGGCTGGTTACGCTGACCCGCCCTGTGGCGATGTACACCGCTCGGACTGCGTATGGGATGATGGTGCGACCGCTTATGTTGCGGGTGGGGAACGCTGCGTTTGGGGGGTTGCAGGCCGGGTTCCAGGTAGCGCATGTCTGGTCGGCTGTGTTGTTGCGGACATGGACGGTCAGCGGCACCATCACCGTTGCCCTCGCGAATCGACTCACGCCCATCGCCACAGCATGCCTATGGGCTCTGATAACGCAAGCGACTAGACTCTGGGCGCGCCTATCGTTTCCGGCTTTCGAGGTGGATGAGGACGCGGTTGAGAGGGTGGGGAGGGTTTTGGGGGCCGTGTTGAGAGCGGGTCCGGGTGCTTATGAGGCGGTTGTGGAGCCGATGGTGGAACGGGCTGTCCGTGCCGCGTCGTCACTCGCCTCGTCTGTTGAGGTATCACCATCGACATTGGAGCACGAACAGGAAGGAGAAAGCGAAATGCCACAAACACCATCCGTCATGACACATACCCCGGCGTCCACCACCTTCACACCCATCACCACCACAACCATCACGGCATTTACCTTCCCCACATCGCCTTCCCTAACCGTCCCGACCCTCACAGCACTCAACGACTCCCTCCTCACCGCCGAATACACCCTGTCCCTCATCCTCCTCGGCATCTTCAGCTTCATCCAACACACCCAACACCTCGCACTCCAGTCCCTCTCTTCGACCCCGTCCGCGACGTTACAAACAATATCGCTACCGACACCCCACCCAATCCGTCTCCTCACTCAGTCCTCGCATTCTGTGAGTCGCATAACGCGGCGTTGGGTGGGGGTGTGGACGGTGCTGGCGGCGGTGAGGGGCAGGGTGAGGGAGGTTCGGGAGGGTGTGGGGAGGGCTGGTGGGAGCAGCGGGAGTGTTTTGGTTGGGGGTAGATGAGAGGTTGTATGAAGAGGGGGATTGTAAGTAGTGCGTTTGTTTTAGTTGTAGATTCATGGAGTGGAGGGTTTACTTTCTTGGAAGTAACGGGAGAGGGTGAATGCTTGTATATTCTGTATGTTGTAGTAGAAGATACCTCGGAGGAATGGATCGCCATAACATCGATTCGAAAAACGTGTACTGACTGCCCTACCAGTCCAATGGAATCCTCTGGTTCCAATCCACCTATGAATGCACCACATTCACCTCCGTCCATTTTACCCTACCTATCGCTTGCGAATGCAGCTAGCCCCGCCCGCTTGCCGAAACCGGTGGTGTCCGACTCCAGCTACCCTCGGGGTTGAATATGTGAAGGCGACGCGAAATGCCCAACGCGTTTGTCACTCAAGTTTGCTCCCACCCTCTGCCTGTTTGGGGACTCCAACCTCCGACTTACTCCCGTTCCCCTGAGTGCATAGAGACCGTTCCCCCCACAGCAACCAGCCCAACCCAACTCCACCTTGCCGGTGCAGCTCGCGCTTCCCATTCGTCCATATTGCCAGGTTCAGAGGATACGGCAAAACACGCCGTTTTGCCCGACGTGGGAAGGATTTCGGGGGCACTAATTCCACTCATCTTGGCGCTCATCGTGGCACGCATAGTGAGGGGCAGGGGTTGAGCGTTCGTGAAGGTCACACTGTGGAGACCTGTCGAGGCTTGCAGGACTTTGCTGGAAATCAAACCACAACCGGTGCATAGGGAGCTACAGTGGAAGGGTTCCCATTTGGGAGGATATGTCACAGTTGTAAAAGCCCATTCCCAGCCCACCCGCTTCGCAAGTGGGAGAGACCGCAGCCATGACGACCGGCAGCACCTACCTGGATATCAACAACACCTCAGACGTTGTCACCGACGCAACGGAAACCGCCGTCTTCCGGATCGCCGATCTCCTCCGGCACCCGGACGACCTAACCAACAAGCTGAGCTCCATCCGCAAACGCTTCAACCTCGAACGCGCCTCCATCGACGCGCAACTGAAAACGGCAGTTGAATCGCAGTTGGACGACGCCCAGCGCGGACTGGATAATCTCGCGTTCACGTATGCCGAGAATGAGAAAGTAAGGGGGAACCTGAAGAGCATCGATGAGCGCTGCACGGCGGCGCAGAACACGATTAGGAATTATGCACGGATTAAGAAGATTTCGCGCACGCATCAGAATTTTGTGAGCACTAAGGCGATGGTGGAGCAGTTCCAGCAGTTGAATAGTCAGGTGGCGAGGATTAGGTCGTTGTTGGCGGATGATGAGGAGAGGTTGCTCGGCCCAGCGCCGAATTTGCTGTTGGTGCATTTCAAGCTGCAGGGGTTAGAAACGTTCCGGAATACCACGCTGGCGAAGGCGAGACGGTCCCCGCCGGACGTGCTCAACACCCTCCACGATTATTTCCACAAAGTCGACCAACTGGAGCAGGATTTCGAGAATCACTTGTTCAAGGTCGCGCGGCAGACGGTCGACCTGATCAAAACCGGCCACGCATCAACGGTCGTCCGCATCGTCAAGATCATCGAAACCGAAGAACGCGCCGACGAGCTCGCTTCGATCCAAGAAGCACCCGCATTCGCAACATCACCCACCTCCAGCGCCGACGAAGTCTCTTCGTACGACGCGTCCCGCCCGCGGCCGATCAAATCCTACCGCATCAAGTTCTTCGACGCCCTCCGCGACTCGATAGTAGAGGAGATCGGGCAGATGTACGTCAAGAACAGGGACAACCTGCCCGAAGTGCTGGCCCAATTCGACACGATCGTGGATAACTTGATACTAGTACATGACGAGCTAGTCCCGCGGTTCCCGAAACGGTACAATATTTTTCACTTTTATGTGCTGGAGTACCACCGCGCGATCTACGACGTCGTGAACCAGATCACGGCCGCGGCGGAGATCGAGCCCGGGTTTATCTTGCAGCTGCTCACGTGGGTCGGGGACTACTACGCGTCCATGTCGTCGCGGCTAGACGTCTCCGAGGAACTCCTCGAGCCGCGGCTCCTCGACGGGCAAGAAGAGCAATTGACCGGCGAGTACGTCAAACTGGTCCGCACGAAACTCGCCGAATGGCTGTCCAACATCCTCCAAACCGAAACCGTCGACTTCCTCCAACGCCGCACGGCCCCCGAGACAGACGGGTCAGATAACTACCTCCTCGCCGGCTCCGTGATCGTCTTCCAGATGTTCAACCAGCAAATCGACCTCGTCTCCTCCTCCTCCCGCGGGGAACTCCTCTACAACGTCGTCAAGGAATGCTGCCGGATGCTCGATGAGTTCCATAAGGCTTGGACGCGGATCATGGACGCCGAGTACGCCAAATTCCTCGACCCCGCCCCCTCCAAATCGCACCACACATCATCAGAAATCGCAGAAGGCTTACCGGAATACCTCGTAGCGCTCGCCAACGACTGTCTCCGCTCCTCCGAATTCAGCGAACAGCTCTTGCAGCGTATCGAACAGCTCATCGACGCCTCGTTCCAGCCCCTCCTTGAGGAACAAATCAAAGCCGCCGCCGACGGGTTCATGAAACTCTCACGCCGCGCGTCGCAGATCCTCGTCGACATCATCCTCATCGACCTCCGCCCGGCGTTCAGTCTCTTACACACGCACCCTCAATGGTACGACCAGGACATCATGCGCTTCGTCGTCGGCACCCTCGAGGACTACTGCGAGGATTTCGCGGCCGTGATGGCCGAGTACCTGTTCACGCGCTTCACGACGGAGCTGATGGACCGGGTCGTCGGCGCGTACATCGAGTCCTTCCGCAACAAGACGGTCAAATTCCGGATGCCCGCCGCCCCCGACAAGATCCGGTCCGACCTCGCCCAACTCACCACGTTCTTCAATCTCTACAAAACAGCGAAACGCGTCACGGCCGCGTTCGAGCCCATCGAGAAGATCGTCGCGTTTGTGGAGAGTAATCCGAGGATGGCGTTTTTGGACTTTTACAGCATGTGGAGGGCGTACCCGGACTGTCCGTTGGAGTTTTTTGAGTGGTTGCTTGGGAGACGGGATGATTTGGACAAGGCGACTGTGAAGGAGGTTATGGAGGCATGTCGGAATAAGGTACAGGAGGAGGGGAGGGATCTGAGTGGGGTGCAGCCGACGGTTTTTGGGAGGGTGAAACTGAAGTAGGGCAAGGGGAGACGGCAGTGATGGGCCTGTCCTTTTGGGACATTATTGGGGGCACAGTTTCCGTTTTGTAAATATGATTTTGGAAGGAATATACATACGCTGCAAAGGCACAACGCGAAAGAAAATGTTACACCCGAAGAAATAGTGAGACTGGTGATGCAGACACGCAGGTCTCTGCTACGCCATGCGCCAAGTCCTCCCGATCCCCCCCCCCCCCCCCCACTTAGGCAAAAAGCTTGCCCATCTCCTCACTCCTCTCCGTGGCCTTAACCACAGCCTCTCTAACGGCCTCCCTAACCCCACTCGCCTCCAACGACACAACCGCCGCATGCGTCGTTCCATTCGGGCTGGTAACCTTCCTTCTCAACTCGGCCGGATCCTCCCCCGTACTCACCATCATCCTCCCGGCCCCAAGACACGTCTGCCTCGCCAGCCCATAGGCCACATCATACGGCAACCCCAGCTCCTTGCCGGCGTTGGCCATGGCTTCCACGATGAGGAAGAAGTACGCGGGGCCCGAGCCGGAGACGCCCGTGACGACGTCCAGGAGGTGTTCGGAGTCGACCCAGTAGAGTGCTTTGGAGACGGCGGATAGGACGGAGGCCGCCAGTTGTTTCTGCGGGGCGGTGGTGGCGGCCGTGGCGTAGAGGCCGGCGGCGCCTTCGGAGACGAGGGCGGGGGTGTTGGGCATGCAGCGGACGAGGGAGGGTGCGGAGGAGGAGTCGGACGATGACGAACGGAGCCATTTGTCGAGGTCGGAGAGGACGATCCCGGCCGCTATGGTGACGACGACCGGTTTGTGTTGCAGCACGGCGGCGGAGACGCCCGTCGCGACGTCTTTCATGATTTGCGGCTTGACGGCCAGCATGACGAGGTCGGCGCCCTGGTCGCCTGAGGTGGTTGAAGCGGTGGAGAAGGCGACTGCGGCGCTGTTGTCGGCGGTGGTGAGGACGCCGAAGGTTGCTTCGAGCTTGGAGCGGGCGTGCGCGTCGGGTTCGGAGACGATGATGTTTTTCGGGGAGTAGCCGGCGGAGATGAGACCGCCGATTATGGCCGCGCCCATGTTGCCGCCGCCTATTGCGGGGAAAGGGAAAGAATGGCGTTCAGTGGTTCCCCTCGTGATAGATGAAAGGACCCATTACAAGCTCCCATTTCCATCCAGAGCCAACACCGCTTCACCTACCGATGAAGGCGAGACGCTTGGTGGTGTCGACGTCACTTGCAGACATGCTTGCGGGAGCTCTCTTCCGGACCAGGTCGATTGCACGGAGAGGGAAGTGTGGATTTCAAGGGTCCTTGGAGGTAACTCTTCTTCGTTGTGAAATGTCCTGAGAGTGGCTTCATCCAGTCACGTCTGTTGTCACGACGCCATCACAAGCTGCATCACAAGACTCCAACCTACGCGCGCGACACCTTTGCAGGCTGGCAGGCAGCTTGACACTACGATGCATCCCACCAACAGTCTTCTTCACGTAAGATCCAACGCTTCTAATCATCAGCTGCTGTCATCCGGCAGCAGAGTGCAAGCGGGATGGGATCCCCGCCATACGCAGCCTGTCCAGACGACCAAACGGATTGATTCATGTTAGAATAGTTTATTGATGTGCTTGCGACAGTCAGCTGTTGGCGAGAGCCGATAACATCATCTCACGGCGGCGGAGATGCGGCGGCATTCAAATGACCAGTCGACATGGAAGTGCAGTCGCTTGCATGCAGCAGCTGTCTATAGAGCCTCGTCAAATGAGAATGAGCTTGTAAAGCAGCAGCCGCACTGCGCCAGTCGCTAATGCATGACCGGCTTCGCGTTTCAAATGTAGAGCTCAATAGGCTTAAAGGAGTCGTCTCGAATCGTACTCGCCTTGAGTCGATAACCGACCGGGTGAAGACAGAGTTGGACTTGCGACTGCGGCGCTAGCCAAGGTCTTCGATACCCGGGTGGGGAAAATACAAGGCCTTGAGAGCCCGAATCGCCGCTCGCGCAGAACAGAGGTACCACCTCACCCGGATCGAAGTCTTCACACTCTATCAAAGGCACTGTTCCCAAGTTCACGCATCACACAGCAGCGTCTCGATCGCAGTCACTACAGTACGCCCGGGGAATTCGCACTCATGCGCGAACTATTCCAAAATATCGTGCTTGACAGCATGAGGACGTCTCCACCGTATTGACGGGCAGTGACAGCATCCCGAAGTTGCAACTTAGTCAAGTCCAAGTTCAACCGGTTATACGCGGCGATTGATTGTGCTTGCGCTGACCTCTAAAGGAGTACGCTTGCTGTTCGGCCGCCCCATATTATGAGATCTCTCTATGCGGGGAGTAACAAAAAATCGAGTCATCGCAATAGATTCCCACCTTATATCCCCGTTTGCCGACTGCAACATCATCGAAGGCGTCTCAGACGCATGCAAGCGTCGCGTTGGTCACCATGGTAGTGGAGTACTCATGATGGGAGGAAAGGAGAAACCGGACCGCAGGAACTCCAAGGTAGCCCGCCTTGCACGGACTTGTCTCACGTCCAAAACGTGCTCTGCCGCATCCCGCTAGAAAGCCCCGTCAGCAGTACGTTTCTTCATTTCCGACGCATCCCGAGACCGCGCATTATCTACGTGAGTCCTCGAATAAAGAGTATCGACGGGTGGAAACAGCCGAGTGTCCTGGGAGACGACGTGACTTGTTGGAGAGCAGGTGAAGTGCATCGCCCCGGCGTAGAGATGACAGACCACTGAACACCTCGCGCGGGCTGGACCAGAAACATTTTCTGTGGTGAGGGGCTTTATACTTACGAAGGCCTGTTATTTTGTTACGCAGAGGGTTGGAAACTTGCAGGCCAGCTCCCAAACCAGCTTGTAGCAGTATACCTAGATCTAGCACAACGCATGTCTATAACATCTCCATCTTGAACGTTTGAGAACCCATTTGTTCCTTTTGTTCGGTTGCTTTTGTTCGGTTGCAAGCAACTCTGAGGGTTTGGTCTTCTTGTCAGTGAGGGACGTCTGAGGACGTATATCACAATTGTCAGTAATGGTCACGACATGAGCGACAGGTCGTGTATATGTACAAGACTTGAGCGAGCCAGCAAGTGGCTAGGTATAAGGTCCAAATCGAGCCCTCTAGAGGAGTCTGCAGCGTAGAATCCACATCCAGGCCCTTAACCTTTTCCAGTTCCCCCGTCGCCCACTTTGTCTCGTGTCCTATACATGGAAAACTTCTTTGGTGACGATATTTCCAGGAACCCTTGAGTCGTTCTAGATGTGTGGTCACATCCCCTCTATGAAGTAATGACTGTGTCTCGGCGTGACAAATGAGCAGATGCGGCCTACTCAGCGAAAAGCGGCACATAGGGGCGTCGCGGTGTTATCCTAACTCCTGAAGGGATCGTTTATGGCTGGAGCCTTGGGTTGGAGATATTGCCTTCACGTCGGATTGGTAGCGCAGGATTGTGATGGTTTCATTGAAGCACCGTGGAAATCTCCCAAAGATCGCAAAAGCGACTATATCAGTGATACGCGCGGTCTCCTCATGGGTGAGACGATGTCCGTGCACTTTGCCGCAGACTTTGACGGTCAAGACTCTTTCGAACTGCATTACCGTCAATTTCCATTTCCCCGCACCGCTGGAGATCCCCCGCAGCACGTACTGGGTTGTCAAAGTTGAGCATAGTTCGGACGTTTTTAATTTCTTTCACGGTAGGCTGTGCAAGTCGGGTACGAAGATAGACAACGGAACGTCGCTCTCGGGTTGATGATCCACGAATGGGACGATGGTAGAGACTGGTTACGAATGGTTATAAATCCTATCCTTCCAATGCCCTGCTATCTGCAGAGCGTACAGCCCCTGACGACGTGGCCGGAACCCTACCGGTCTGTCGACCGTATCCCACTTTGCCAATGGTTCCCTCGCTATTGCCGTCCGGCCACTCATCCTTCCGGATAGCTCTTCGTCTCCGCATGTGATACTGACGGCGTGCCTCCTAGAAAATGGTCCTGGACGCGACGTGAAGACGGATCGGGCCGGCATCGTAATGTCTGCGGGGGGTAGTAAACGGGGGGCATGAATATCTTGAGGAATTGCCGGTATTGATTACACTTTTGAAAGAAGTGAGGGTGAATGTGTGTCGGGGATCTGGTACAGGGAAATTTCCAGTGCGCAGACTTGTTCAGGTATCAGATGAGATGCGATGGGCAGGGCGAACGGAGGGCTGGTAACTAAGTGACCTATCACACCCGATTCGACGCCTCAAACGGGCAGACATCGGGGAGGTTCCACGGTGGTGCTTTGTTCCCAGAATGATCAAAGCTTTTACAATCGTACTTGGCAACGTAATATGAATGTGGGTTTGCGGGTTGCCGTGCCTTCAGCAACCAAAGAAAGACGGATGGTCTCGTCCGACGTGTCCAAAGGAAGACCAAGTTTGGACATGGTTGTTCTTGCAGCTGACGAGGCCTCTTGCGATGCTGGTTAATTTGTCCGGGGCGTTGTGCGAGGGTCAAAAACGGGTTCACAATGGGCAACGAGCGACTTTTGGTCTCTTGGCGCGTCAGAATCCTTTCCCCGCATTTCAGCCAGCATTTGAACACTTGGGCAGGACAACGACCGACCCAGACAAACGACCGCAAGAAGAGCAGAACCTCACTTTCCGCAAAGGCAACCCTTACAGCATAGAGCAGTCGCTTCAACCCCGACCCACCGCCATGGCCTCCCTCATGCAGTCCCTAATAGGGAAGAAACCCACCCCCGAAGAGCTGGTAAATACCCCATCACCCCCGCTACCCATCTCATCCCCATCCCCACCCATCAAGCTCACCCCACCCCCCTCATCCCCCAGGTAAAAAAATGGCGCCAACAAATCCGCTCCCAAGAACGCGAGCTCGACAAATCCGCGCGTGGGATCGAAACTGAGGAAGCGAAAGTCAAGCGGTCCTTGAAACTCGCCGCAAAGCGGAACGATGTCACGAGTTGCAGGATACTGGCGAAGGAGGTTGTCAGGAGCAGGAAAGCACGGGATCGGATTGCTAGTTCGAAGGCGCAGTTGAATTCTTTGAATATGAGTATGCAGCATCAGCTTGGTGAGTTTGGGAGGGAACTGGGATTTAGGGGATTTGGGGGAGGGTGTGAGGGTTGAGGGATCGCGGTTTCGCCAACCGAACACCTCCGCGAGCTGAGCGAGCCACATTGCGTCAATGTGGCAATACTCTCCCCACTGCTCATCTTGGTTGACGGTTGACGTTCGATGGTCCATAGCTGATAGCTGTTAACCCTCTCTCCCTCCCCTCCAGCAACAACCAAAATCGCCGGCACACTGCAAAAATCCACCGCAATAATGTCCACCGTCAACAACCTCATCAAACTGCCCGAGATCTCCTCCACCATGCAAGAAATGTCCGCGGAGATGATGAAGGCTGGTATCATCGACGAGATGATGGAGGATACGTTGGAGAACGCTATGGGTGATGAAGACGGCGTTGAGGAGGAGGCGGAGGAGGAGGTTAATAAGGTGCTGTTTGAGCTGACGGATGGGCGGTTGGGGGAGGCGCCGGGGGCTGTGGATGGGGGGTTGGAGGTGAGTATGCGATTGAAGGATGGTGTTGAGATGGTTGACGAGGTGTGTTGATGGGGGTTTCTTCTTTTTTTTTAGGTGGAGAAGGAACAGAAGAAAGTGCAGGAGGAGGATATAGACAGTATGGCGGCGCGGTTGTCTGCGTTAAGGGCATAGCCGCGTTGATAGGTTTTGGTCCTGGAGGCATCGCCATCTTCCCCACGCACCGCATAACTGGCACATTTCTCATCTTCATCTGTCTCATGATCTCTCACCGCCATCCACACGATCACCGATGGACATCCAGTCAAGTATCTTAGGCCCTTGTGTGTGTCGTACAATTATGCAAAGATGTACATATAATTCAAAAACATGCCTTACAGAATCATGCAAATGTTTTGCTGTCTATGATCAGCAATTTATCATACATTTACTGTAACCCCAGGAAGCACACCCCACTCCAACTCAACGGGACCCCTTATGTCGTCACCCTCGACCTGCAACCCCTCGAATACCCCGAACTCTCTCCACACATGACGTTTTGGAGGGGAGAGGCTCATAGCGTCAACCCGTAGGGCTGCTGCGTATGAGACCGTGACCCGTCTCCGCTTTGGAGTGTATGTATCCCTCAATATCTCATGATATCCTTGTGGAGCGATAATGCCGCCATGCATCCCCCCGCTATCTTGCGGAAGCGAGAATGTGGAGAAATGCTTCCTGTGACGCGTATTACGTAAGAGCTCCGCCTGTCAGTCGCCTCGTCCTCGTATATACAAGTCAACACGGCCTCAGTGACCCCCTTTCTCTGTACCTCTTCTGCCACCATCAGGAAAAAGAAGGAAGGATGCCCACAGATACAGCAACTCCGCTATGCTCCCCTGAGGACATGGCTAAGCTGCATAACGCTCTTAACCCGGGCGACCGTGCGACGTTCCTCCAAATTGTCCGTTACTTGCGCGACTACCAGCGTGACGATGTTTACCGCTTCCTCCGCCATTGCTTCTTACCCTCGAAACCTGGCCACCCGCCTCCAGCAGGCATCGAGAGGCCCACGGCCACGGGAAAAAGCTGGACTCTAGCTGCTATCGCCATATATTTCCAGTTCCGAGGGTTGAAAACGGCGGTCATTCAGCCCAACATCACCCTACGATCGCAAATTTATGAGAAGTTTATTGAAATCCGCGATCGACTTGTGAAGGACCGTCGTGCCTGGAACGCTAGTGGTCTTCGTACCCTCTCTTCCGAACCGGCCAATGCCACCAACCTCGAGTCGCTGCAAGACCCCAACGCGACGCAACGCCTACAAAATTGCACTATTCTCATCGGAAACTATCACAGATTTGCTGGTGTCACGAGAGCTATGATGGAGAACTGCGGATTTATCCCTGACTTGGTCATTATGGATGAGGCTCATCACGCTGCGGCGTCTACGTACATCAACTTCATACAGGAATTCAGCCATGATACTTGCCATTTTGTAAGCGTTCTCAGAATTTTTCTCAGTATAGTTGGGGTTTTCGTGCTAACGGTCTTCCTACATATACAGCTGTTTATTTCGGCGAGGCTCACCCGCCACGACGGACAAACGATCGAATGCGAAATCATATCTTCGTGGTCTTTGAAATGGGCGGACAAATACAGGGATGCGAAAGGCAGAAGGATCATTAAGCACCCTGTGCACATCTGTCTCGAAGTTGATGACCTGCAAATCGAAGTCGAACAGATTTTGGACGGGGTAGTGCAGGAGCCTGAGTATGAAGTCTACACAGCCGCGGAACTAGACGACCCAGATCTCAGTAGCGACGCCCGCCGGGCGCTGACCACTCTTCCGGCCTTTTGGCACGTTGCCAAACGTATGGTGGAAGCCCTCAAGGCCAATAGGGCTTTAAAGGGTACGCATCATCAATTCCTTGGGACAGCCGCCAACACGGATCACGCCCAGTTGGTGTCAGGTCCCATGAAGACCTTCGAAGTCCCCGATGAGCTGGGCAATCCGCGCAGCGTGAAGAGCAGCTATGTTTCGTCTCGAGACCACAGTGTGACGACGAACGAAGACATCCTCAAAAGTTTCGGCGGCGGAGAGCTGGATGGCCTGGCGCATATCTTCAAACTAACGGAGGGATACGACAACAAGTAGGCGCTTGGTTAACCAAACAGCACGGAAGTTCATTGCCTGAAACCCATCTGAAACTCGTTTCAGATACATCTCGGTGATAGGATTCTTTTGCGGTATGACTTCAGTCAATCAGGTCGAACAAATCATAGGGCGGGCTTTGAGGCCGTTGCCAAATGACGAAGATAACATTGCCTACATCATCACCTTGAAGCCATTCAAGATGACTAAGGTGCTGAAGAAGCTCGGAATCAGGACCGAGCATGAGAGGACGGGGCAGCCGACAAAAGGGAAGAAGAAAGCCAAAAAGTGAGTTTGAGTGCACGGTCTTCGTGTACCTTCTCTGACATCACCCTTTGTTGGAATCACAGGAACAAGAAGAAAACTGGTCAACACACTAGTGGTACCGAGTTCGTCAAGAACGAGAAAATCGTGACAATGCACCTCATGAAAATGACCGGTGCTTCTGTTCTGAAATTTTCGGTGACGCCCCCGCTCAGGATGTCGCGGCGGCGTTGGGAGCCCCAGGGTCTGCAGCCGACGACAATCTTGCGATGACTTGCGATGTGCGGCCGGACCGCCATCCAACCAAGCGCAAGAGGACGGGAAAGAAGAGCAAAAAGGGGACGGACGACATGGCGAAGAAGATTCAACAACAAATGACAGACCTCCAATGTTTCACCGTGCAACGAATGAAGGCGATGGAAATTGATCTGGCAGCATGTAGGGAAGACGGGGATAGCAGCAGTAGTGACGATAGCAGCGAATCTAGCGAGGAGGATGATGGCTGAGGAAACACAAATGATGGTGGCAGCGGGGGTGGGGCCTCAGGTTTTAGGGGTAGTGGGCAGATGGTCACGGCGTAGGCTAGCTAGCTAAGATACGGCTGCAATCTGCTACTCAAAGCACTTTTACATCAGAATAGGGTAAATGCATAATGGTTCCTGTATCCACATTCTACAGCGGATAACAAAAATTGGTGTGTTAAATCATCATTTGCAACGCATGATCACCAGTCAGGAACTCCTTTCAAGATGTATCCATCGAATCACCCTGCGGATGCTTCGATGCAAGATGACTCCGCAACCGTGCTTCGTACATCGCTCCGTAATGACACCCTTCATGTGGGCAAGAAAACTTCTGGCTGGCGGCATGTCGCTTGGGAAGGGGTGACGAATCGTTTGCGCGATGCTTCTTCTCTGTATGCAGCTCCAGCCACCGCTGTTTCTTGTACGTTTGCTTGCATTTTTCGAAAGGGCACTCGAGTCGGTCGTGCGAGTCGGTGAAAGCAGTTGACACATTCGAAGACGTTGGCGCTTGAGCGACTTTGGGATCGTCCCTCTTCCTCTTCCGGACGGTTTTGGGGTCGATCTCGAGGTTGAGCTCCCGAGCAAGCGCCTCGTGTCCACCAAGAGAGTACAGAATTCTGTTGTAAAGCCCTAGGTTTTTCGTTTGCACGAAATGGGTGAAAGACGGCATTACACGTCCCAAGCCTCTGACGACGATGATTTTGTCAATTTCTTTCCGAACATTGTCCATTGACGATCAATCTTGTGAGAAAAGAACGCGCAAGCAGAACCAGGATCAGCGGCAAAGACTGATAGGCTATCAAAGTGGTGCACTTACAGTCGTCGGGTTTCGTGAGTCTGACATATTCTAGCCCACACACCCGAGCAGTTTTCGCGTACGCGTTGCCTTCGTTGTCGTCGGGAGTTGGCCGAAAACATTCCGGGATGTTTCTGGCCAAAGTAGGTCCCTTCGCGTCCTTGGCAGCGAGAAGCTCGTGTTTGGTGGGCATCAAGTTCTGCATCTCTTCTTCGAGGGTTGCAACGAATTCCAAAATTTTTCTCTGACAATATTCCGGCGTCCACCATTTCCGAGCTCCCACTTTTTTTCCCGTTGTGGAAGATTGAGCGTTCGTCTTTCCGTTCCCTTTGGCTGCTTTTGCGCCTCCGAGATCCGCTTTCAGACCACTCGCTGCCTTCTTCCCTTTACCTCCGATAGCACCAAATTTAGCTTCAGGGAAACCATGGGTATCATGTACCGAAGCTTGTTGTTGAGCTTGCTCGATTCTTCTGCTTAATTTCATTCTCTGTGTCGCTTCGGGTGGGTGCATGCCCAAAGCGATGGCACATTCTGTGAAACCGCCGTGATAGCTCCTGATTGCTTTGTTCAAGTCGTGGTTTTCGACATTGACGATATCTGGCTGTGGCATGACATTGGGATCCAACAAGAGCTTGGCGATGATGAGATTCAGTTCTTGCCGAACGTTGGAAAGATCCAACCAATCTGTTATATGGTCAATTACTGATGACAGCAGTCAACCGAACTGAACGCCCCACTGACATTTTGGCGGCCGACGCAAAAGCGTGTATGGAAGACCGTAAAACTGAGCAGCGGCTGCATATGCGCTACAATCTTTGCCGATACCATCGTGGGCGAAGTTGCTTTGTATTTGGTTCGCCAGGGCAACATAGCCTGCTTTCACCAACTCGGCCCCTCTTGGCATGCGCGGGGGTTCACCAGGGCAGCACTGCGCCATATATTCGTTGATACATCGCAAGACGTACTCATAACTGAAAAGACACAAAGATTAGATGCGAAAGCTTTCGGTGCACTCCATTTAGAATACATGCCTTTGCTCGGGTATTCTGGTCGATACGAGGCCGAGTTTTTCCTCTAAAACTTTGTCGCCCCACCGTTTCCTCGCGAACTCGAGGGCGTGCCTGAGATCGCCCCGACCCGCAGCCTGAAAACATTTGGTGCTCGGGAGTTTCCCGGGGTCTGGTTCACCGCGGGCGACAAGTTCTTGCGCGAACTTGTTGACTTCTTCGGATAGGGCGGCGAGATTGTCCCACCAAAGTCTCACACGAGCCATATGCTCGGTCGGGAACCCGAAGGCTGCGGCCGCGGCAAGTCTCGACGGAAAATGATGGGTAATGGCTTGCAGGATGCCTCCGCCAGCAGCATGAATTTCGGCTGATGATGGCATGCGTTCCATCGGCGCCCGCCCGAACAGAACATTGACGGACTTGAGTGCATCCAATATCAAGCTAGCGTCCGAATGCCAATAGCCGTTTGGAGCCTTGGGGAGCCTTCCCAAACGTATACTGCAAAGTTCCTTGTCATCACGATGATTCGCCGAGAGTAGCATGATCGCATCCTGGAGTTCCGTCCCACTTCGCAAATCAAACAACCGCCGAACGAGGCCAGTCAACACCACCCCGATTTCGACCATGAGAGGGGAACCATAGCGCTCCACATGTTCCGTAGACTTGGAGAAGATCGTGCTTATATGCCGTCTCACAAATTCGGCGTCACGGATCTGTTCATCCGTCCAACCTTGAAGCGAAAGATAGATCCGAGTGTTGATTGTGACAGTAAATTGCCCGACTGTTCTGAAACGATCTACGTCGTCGATCGACAGAAGCTCGACAGAAGGTGACTGCAGAGGTTCTTCAGCAAGGAGCTCAGACAGACTTTCGACGCGACTCTCGAAAAAAGCTTGTTGTCTGGCACGTAAGCGAATAGATCCTAAAACAGTATCATATGTCAACCGGAATGTCCAGAGAAAAATCCGGCAAAACAAAATATACCCCAGCGAGCCTGAAAGATATTCGGCTGGTCTTGGTCGGTCTGTACTAAAGTTTGTCGCACAAGGCCGCTGAGAAACGGGAGGTCTTTGATACAATAATTACCGGGGCCCGTCTTTTTGAAGAGAGCTTCCGGGAAGTTGAATATCGGACGACAGAAATCGTTGAGAATTTCCGTAACTTTCCTTTCCCAGTGAAAGCGGCTCTCCGCACGCTGAGCCCAAAAAGCCATTATTGATTTAAAGCCGTGAAACCACTCCGCCTAACGAGACGTACGTTTTCCTCAAAGGACGGGTCCCAAACCGGGCGTACGGCGTAATGGCGATGTCCTACCAGGACCTCAAGGATCTGAGAAGCCGTGAAACAGTCCGGCCGGTCTTCCCGCAGCGGCGAAAGTTGCACTGATGCCGACAGAACGGCCAAATCCACAGGAATGATAGAAAACTCCAGAGGCTCCTCGTCCCCCGAAGCAAAGTCGCCTCCGTCCATGGTGCTAACAGTGGAGTGAAAAGTGTCGGTCGCTGCTTGCCAGGTGAACTCCGTGCATGGATATACAGATGACCAGTTTCGGCACGCTGGAAGATGGTAGTGACAGAGTGACTGCCACGCGTCAATTGTGACAAAACCTTTCTCTCAGACCCTATCGCGGAACTGATGTTGGTAAGAACAATGAGTGCATATACGTATGTACTGTACAGCTCATAACACCCTACTCCCCATCGTTGCCGTCACTCTCCCTTTCCTCCCTCTCCTCCTGCATCCCCCTCAAATACCCCTGAACACTCTCAACCCCCGCCCACGTCTCCTGCAACCCCTGCAACACGCTCACAGCCCCCACAAGCAAATCCTTCAACCCCTCACGGAAGATCCGCACTTTTTCTGTTCTGATCGCGTCTTTCGGCGAGTGTGGGTGGTCGTGCTCCGATGGGGCGGCTTCGTTGGTGAGGAGGAGACGTGACGTGGAGTCGGTGACGGGATCCACATCGTCGGTGGAGTTGTTGGGAGGCTCATGAGCAACAAGTTCGGCCAGCTTATAGGTGACCACCCCCAAGAGCACGGCCCAAACGCGGAGTCTGATAACCTCATAATGCTCCATCTCGTCCACCATCTTACAAAACGCCTCGGGTGTGCATTCCCGAAGCCGTTTGCCACCCACCATAAACATCCCGTCCTCCTCCCCCTCACCCTCAGCCTCCTCGGATGCCTTGGATACCCTCCCAAACCCATCCTCACCCGTCAATACGGCAACATACATCGCCACCATCCCCTCCTGTGACACGATCCCGCAAGTCGGGTCGGGTGTATGTGGTCCGATCTCACTCAGAGTCTCATCGGTCACGTCTCCGGTGGGTGGGGAGAGATAGATCATGGGTGGTACACCCAGACGAGCCAACAACTCCATTTTCTCCTGAATCGCGTTTTTAATAGCTGTTTGGTCGACATCAGGGAGGTCATCATCCTCGGTTTGGAGGTAGGTGCTTTCTATAAAGGGTACGGGTGAGACGACGAGAGCGTTATGTGGGTTGGAGGGGATGACGAAACCGTGGAGGAAGAGGAACTCGGTGTTGGGTTTGGCGCCGTAGGAGATGAAGAGTTCTGTGTTTTCGGGGAGGGTTGTGTCGTTTACTGCTCGTAAATCAATTACTGGTGATGGGGAGGAAGAGGGGGAGGAGGAAATATTCCAGCGGATGGAAGCGTCGGGGGAGTGGTTGCAGAGGTCGATTAGAGGGATGAGGTGGTAATCGTCCGGGCTGGCGGCGTTTTCGTTGACGTCCGGCTGGATCTGGAGGGCGGACCCAAGGGAGAGGACGCGGGACCAGAAGACCGCGTCAGCCCAGAGGAAACGTTGTTCGGTGATTGTGACTCCTGGCGGTTGGAGGTGTTGGAGGTGTGGTTTGAGTTCTCCGAATTCGCGGTTCAGTTTGTTCTTTTTGGCTGCTACGGCGGTTGCCAGGGGCGTGCCTTGCAGGAGCGCGAGGGCCGGGCTGGATTCGGGCCAGAAGATGGGCGTGTCGAGGTCGTCTAGGTCGGGGAGGATGCGGATGTAGGGCAGCCAGAACCCCGCACTCAGCCGCTTCTTTTCGCCATCCAACTCCTCACCACCACCGTCCTCCTCCTCTTCGTCCACCTGCCCGTTACTCCACCCCCACAACAGAAAGACCAGCAAAAAGAGCCGTTCCAACGCCGCCTGGCTCACACTCATCTCCACCGCCTCCAACGACGCCAGGCACTTCTTCAGTCGCCGTGCCGCGGGGGTGTCCCCGCGGGATATCCGGAGGACGAGATCAGAGTTGATGAGGAGGTGCGAGGGCACGTTGGCGATTGTTTCCTCGGCGGCCAGGGAGAGCGGGATTTGGGTGAAGAGCCCGGTTCCTCGGGGGGCGCTGCCTTCGAGGGAGGGTTTGAAGTCGAGCGCAGGCATTGTTGCGCCATTTTGGAGGAGCCAGGTGCGGAACGCTTCTAGGGGGGTTTCTTCGGCGAGGGTCATGGCTGGTGGGAACTTTGGAATCCGACGAAGTCTCTTTTTGGTGGTTAGTTCGGGTGACGATTCCCGGGGCTGGTACTGCTGTCCAAGAAGGGGAAAGACGCTGCGATTCCGTGGGAGTCTCCTTTGCGAATGTCCGTCCAGTCGAGCACGAGTCGAGCAAGAAGGGCTTTCGAGTCACTTTCGAGTCTGTTCCCAACGCGTCGGGCTCTTCCTCTCTTTCCCTTTCCGTTCGAGACAGAACTGGGCTTACAATTGCGCCCAACAACGACGGCATCCCCCACACGCGCACACACACACACACAGCCGAGAGAGTTGTCACTAGCACATACAGAGGAACTAGCGAGCGGCCACTGAGACAACTTCACGACGTTCGCACTCTCGAGTTTACACCCTGCGAGTTCACAACAGAATCCGGTTCCACATCTGATCTTCAAAACATGGGGGACGCAAGGCTCCTATCGCTGAAGAAGGAGCTGGGGAAGGCGCTCGACAACCATCGACCTGAGGTACGTCTCAAAGCCGTTCTGTGATCCACCCCGTCTCCTTCGGTGGTCTAACTCCTGCCTTTCAGACTGTAAACGATGTTCTAGCACAGCTGAGAAAAGTCACAGCGACAAAAGCGTTGTTGAAGGCAAGTCTGTACAGGAAACGGAATCATACAACTGGATCATGTCTAATCATAGACTTGTGAATGTAGTCCTCGGGAATCGGGGTGGCTGTAACGAACGCACGGAAACACAAAGACATCACGGACGAGCAGAGGGCAATATGTAAAGACTTGATTACAAAGTGGAAGCAGGATATAGCGGTTGGAGAGAGCAAGCCGGTTAGGGCAACGTCGAATAATACGAATGAGAAGGTCCCACAACCGCGGGGTAAGCGGGACAGAGGATGGGATGTGCAAGGACGGATACATGGAACTGACCAATGTCTTCTCCATTAGTGGACACATCGGATCCTCCAACCCGGCGAACGTCGGCGTCTGGCTCGACTCCCACTCCCGGAACACCACTGTCTTCAGGCCCGGCGCGGAGCATAGACTCGGATAAATTGAAAATGAACTCGACAGGCGAAACACTGCGGGACAAATGCATTGGGCTTTTGTATGCTGCACTCGTCAGCGATACCGATATGGGTAAGATTTCCCATCATTCTGCAAATGTCCGTCTGAGGACCGACATGCCCCTGATTCCTTGAACTCCTCGCAGAAGGGACATCGATCCTACGAAAAGCCGAAGAACTCGAACGCCTAACCTACGAGCTATACCCCCTCGACATGACTCCCGCACCACCAGGCAAAAAGACAGACCCGGCCCTAGTCTACAAAAACCGCATCAAGTCTCTCACTTTCAACCTCAAAGACCGGGACAATCCGGACCTTTGCCTCAACGTTCTGAGCGGCAAGATCTCGATCGAGAAGTTGGCGAACATGACGACGGAGCAGATGGCGTCCAAGGAGCGCAAGGAGGCGATCCAGACGGCGAAGAACGAGGCGCTGTCGGAGGCCATTTCGGCGCAGGACACGCAGGCGGAGACGGATATGTTCCAGTGTGGGAAGTGCAAGCAGCGGAGGACAAAGTACTTCCAGATGCAGACGAGGAGCGCCGATGAGCCTATGACTACTTTTGTGACCTGTCTGAATTGCGGGCACCGTTGGAAGTTCTGCTAGTGTTTGAAGGCGATACGGTCACTCCAATGTTGGGTTGGGCCTTGAGGGTTTTTCCTGCCTTTTAATCGTGTACAACGGCTTAAGTAACGTACAGTATGTGTCTGTATGTCTGCGACCTCACGTGACTTCCAGGCCGGCCCCCCCCCCCCCCCCCGCGACGCGACCGGCGACTACCAGGCAATTCTGCCGGCGACTACCAAGCAAGCAGACGAGAGATGCTCGCCATCGCGAGATTGACCCCGACGTCTTGACCTCGGCCTTGACAATGCCGAGGAGAATGGCTGCGGTGATAGCTGCCAACGGGGGAAGCACAAAGTATTTAGGAGACTGATGCCGTGGTCGACGCTGTCAATTCAATGGTCGACACTGACTTAATCACATGAGGTCGCAGACATATAGCCACATACTGTACAGTACTTGATTTAAACGCCTCGTGAATCACCCGTCAATGTGAAACCTACATCCTGTCGATTGTCAATTTGACCTGAATGTGGTTACGCCTTCCGAGCAACGGGGATCGCAGCATCAGGTTCTCGGAAGGTCCACTCGAAGTTCTTCACCTTCCCATAGCAATGCGAAAACAGACTGTGTGATTAACCACCTGTGCTATCACCTTCCCATAGCAATGCGAAAACAGACTGTGTGATTAACCACCTGTGCTATCACCGGGCCATGATGGATTGCCATCCGGAAGACTCTTTGGTTCCAAGTGCGAATCCGCCACCAGGAAGCTAAACCGAACGGATTGGCATGTTCCGCAATACGAAAGACCCATCACCGTCACAATCCGTTCGTTACTCGCATTCGCACGTACTGTACTTGCGCGAAACTTGGGCATCGAAAAGTACGGCTGGCCCGGTCTCGATGATGCGGGACTGAAGCAGTATTGGAACCCACGGATAGGCACTACGCTGTGCTTGGCGAGAGCGAATAAGGCTTTGGTGAACAGCGAAGGGGCCGGGATACTGTATTCTCGCGCACGGCCACATCCGGCTCCTGCGAGACGTTTGGCGGTTACCCTACCATGATGAACCCCCAGTCGGGCTTGTACTCGCCACGCAAACAGCTCAATCGGGGGTCGGACGTCATGGCCTTGCAACAAAGTGCGCCGAAATCGGACGCAATGGGTCTCGCACTCAGATGAGAGCCCACCGGGGCGGGGAACCACCTCCACGTACGCTCTAATTCTTCGGATCACGGGCCGAGGTTGGTCTTCCGGGGATCTCGGCTCGTGGGATCTTGACTGCCTTCGCTACCGGGCGGGGGCCTTACCTGCGTCCCGTGGCCTGCCGAAGAAACGTGCGATGGGGGCTTGAATCGCCCGGATGGGGCCTGCATACGGTGAAACCCTACGAATAGGTACAAATGATGGCGATTCCACAAACCAGCATTTAAAAGGTCAGAGGGGGCGGAGACTGGGCATGATTATGGTGGATTCCCCCAAAGCGCAACGTTACGTCTGGCATGTCCCCATATCCGGTGCTGCACATCCTTTCAATGCCTCATACACCCCCCTCAAAAGCCAAGCCCCAATCAGAAAATGGCACCTCGCATACCATGACAAACTCCATTCCCACAAAGACTCCCCAAACAAAAACCCAGATATCGTATTTTTCAAAAGAAAAGTCCGATGTTTTTAGAGAAAGAACGGTCATGTAGATGTGGGATCCAAAGAGGGGGGTGTGTGTGGTGTGTTTATACCAGGCGGGGATATGAGATTTGCCTGTGGGGGCACACAAGATGCAGAAGACATGCCCAGTCTATCGGTCGCTATCGGGCGGTAGCAGTCAGCTGCTGCGAGGGGGCCGTTATCGTCTGCTGCTGCGTTGCCGCACCACTCGCCGCGCCACCCGCCCCACTTTTCGTTTTCCCCACCTCGGCCAAGGCGGTCAGGATTTGCGCTGCCTGGTGCTGTTCACCCCCCGCGCCCGGCTTCGCTTCCGCTTGCGGCACCGGTACTGCTGATGATGATGGAGGCGGAGCAGCGAGAAGGGCAGCAGGTGTCCTCAAGTTCCTATTCTTGACCGCGCGGCAAAAGGTCATGAGGGTCGGAATCTCTTCGGCTTCAAGGCGGGTGTGGTCGAGGAGGATGGCGGTCGGGTGGGGTCGACGGTGCTGGTGTGTCGTAGGAGGTGTGGTGGGGGTGTGGTGCCGTGATGAGGACATGTGTGCCTTTATCTTCGTCCCTGATTTAGGTGATACCGGATCATTCGGAGCGCTCGTATTATCTACGTCGTCTTCATCATCAACTGCCGCATCCCGTCTCCGCGCCTCCTCAACCGCTACCTCCTGTGCCTCCTCCCATCTCCTCACGGCTCTTACAGTCTTCTCAATAACGCTTGCCATGAGTGTATCGCACCCGTCATCCTCCTCCTCCAACTCTCCCAGCACCTCCTTCAGTCGTCGGTTGACCGCCTCGCTGACGAAAAGTCGGTGTCTGAAATGCAGGATCTGCTGCTCGAGTTTCGCTTTTGTTATCGCGGGGTTCTCGTCGTCGGAGGAGGATGAGGTGACCGACGTGGCGGTGGAGGTCTGGCTGGTGTGCGGGGAACCGGGGCGGGAATGGTAGGGTGTGGAGGGGGCGGTGACATTGATGAGGGCGGACGGGAGGACGGAGTCGTCGACCTCGTCCATGAAGGCGCCGCTTTTGCCGGTTTTGCGCGCGGGGGGTAAGGGTGGTGGTGGGGCGTGTTTGGATTTCGAGGAGGAGGAGGCGGCTGTTGTGGAGGGTTTCTTCTTGTGGGATTTGGAGGTACTGCTGCTTTTCCCACCCTTTTTGCCATTACGCGATGCGGGTTCATCCTCCCGTCGGCCATGTTTCCCTTTCCCGTTCCCATTCTTACTACTCTGCCTCGCGCCCCGGGTATCATCCGCTTTATCCTCTCCCGTAACGTCAACATCCTCATCCTCACTATCCAGATCCCCTCGCCCCACAACCACTTTGCGCCGTTTCGTTTTACTCCCGTCCAGATTGACCGCCTTCGTCTCTGCCCTCGCAGCTGCCAGATCCTTCTTGGACGGCCGTCCGCGCTTTTTGGCGGCACCCGCAGCCAAGGGTACGGTGGAGTCGTACCGGCCGTCGCTGGGGAGGACGAGACGCGGGTGCGGCGGGCGAGCGACGATCTGTTTCCGATGTGATGAGGCAGGTTTCGGGGCGAGTTTGTTGAGATTCACCCGACCCGCGGCGTTGCGTTCTGGGCCTCGGATGATGCGGATGGCGTCTGCCGAATCGTCCGACTCGCCGTCGGAATCGTCGGAGTTATCATGGTCACTATCCTGGTCGGATGTCTGTTCACTCGAATCCGACCCCCTCTCCTCTTCCTGCTGTGTCTTCTTGGCAAGCAGTCGGTTCCTGATCTCCGCCCGGTTCCTGTTTTCCGCCGTTCGGTTCCTGATCTCCGTAACCTTCGCCGGCCTCTTTTTCTTCTCATAGTTGTCAAACACCGACTCGTCAAATCCGTTCAACGCATACTTGACTCCACACGCATTACACAGCGTTTTCGGACCCTTGGGACCCCGTCTCCACTGCGGCGTGTCGTCCGTCCCACACACCGTACATCTCCCATTCCAATCCGGCGGCGGGTTGTTATTCTCGGTCGCATTTTTACGGGACGGCGGTTCGGTGCGACGGGGCACACCACCACCACCACCACCACCGCCACTGCTGCCCTCGTCTATCGACGGAGTCCGGCCTTTCCGACGCCAGGGATAGTCTCCGGAATCCACCCGTTTGCGTTTACTCGGCAACTCCACCCGCTTGCTGTCGAGGCCCAGGAACTCGCCCGCGACGATGGTAGAGGATATCGGCGGCGGGGCAACGGTCAACCCGTCGTCTCTCGCATCCGAGGGGTCAAAATCTTCCTCGCCTCCTTCCAGCCCAGCACCAGACCGCGTCTTGGCGGTCATTGCCTCCAAATGCGCGCCTGATTTTCGGAATCGGTTTGACTTGTTTGATGTGGGGAAAACTTGTTTGGGAAGGTCCGAGAGGGAGGTTATGGCTACGGCCGCTGGCCCGGGCGTTTCCCCTATCCCCTTGACCGGTGATGCTGGTTCAGACATCGGGGCGGGAGTTGTCGCACCCGGCACTTCCACACTTTGCGACGGATCCCTCTGCGTAGGTTTCTGCGGACTCTGAGCCTCAGTTCTTTGCTCATCAGCAGCATATCGCTGTTTCTGCGGCGACAGTGAACGCATATCCGATGGTCGTGATTCCACATACGGCGATGGAGCGTGAGACCCAGGCGGCAACGGCGGTGGGGAGAATGCCCCTGAATGTCTCCGCAGTGCCGGCAAAGACGTATGCCCCGCGGAAGACCGACCCTCATGCCTCAATGGCCCAGGCTGTGGTTGCCTCGACTCGATCTGAGGCGGTTGTTGCGGAGGGAGCGGGGGATAACCATGCGGATAAGGCGGAGGATATGGTGGCGGATAATGCATCTGCGAGTGTCCATATGGCGGAAACGGCGGTGGTGGATGGCTGTATGCCCCGCTTCCTGGTGGTGGTGGTGGTGGGTGTGGGTAGTAGTGCATAGGCGGAGGAGGCACACCGGGAGGGTAGGGCGCGTACCCGCCTCCCACCGGCGGCATGTGACTTTGCTGGCCGGGTGGTGCGCTGTGGCCTGGTGGGGGCCGGGGGTAGGGCGGGTAATACGGCATGCCCTCGTTGGGCGGCCGGTTGTTCATCGTTGCCTCGGTGTTTGGCGCCTGCCTGCCTTCTCTGTCCGCTCAATCGAATTGCGTGGCTTGGGTGGGAAAATGACAGTGGAATCGAGAAGAGGCGTTGCAGATTTCTGAGCGAAATGATGATGGTGGACCAGACCGAGATAGCTGCTTGCTGCAACGAGGGTTGTGTGTGCGTCCTGACAGTCCGTTGTGGTAGAGACTCAGTGTAGAAAGGTGTGGTTGGAGGGATTCAGTTCGTCATGCCGTCAATCCGGAATGCAGGTCGTCACGGTTGTGGCCACGTTGCACCTGCTGCTGCTGCTGCGAGACGTCCCCCTGTACTGAGGACAGCGTAGGTTGAGGAGACTATTAGGGTGTCCGAGTGGTGGAGTATGGGGTGAAGGGGCCCAGTGGCTTTCCAAGAGCAGTGTGAGTGTTTAGGGCAGCCCGTGTCTGTGCCTGTGCGAGTTGAAGTCTGGCTGGGTGTTCCCTGGCTGCTCCATGCGGACAACGGGAAGGCCAAGCACGCAGGTGAGGGGATTCAGTCGTCGTGGGGGCGTCCAATGCGAAAAAATTCGACAGTGCGTATCAGGGCACGTGATCACGTCAATTCTCGCCCCCAACCGTCGTTCTCCAAACTCCATATGTAACAGATGCATGGGACACGGAGAAGAGGAACACAAAAGCAGATTAGATACGGTCTGCATACCCTACGTACACATACCGCTACTAGCTACAAGAAATCAACCAACATCATTCCGTATATCAATACCTCCACAATACGCCGAATCCCCACCACCCTCCTCAAACGCCTCCTACAACTTCGGCCCCAACATCTCCTCCGGCCTAACCCACCGATCAAACTCCTCCGCCGTCATCAACCTCAACCCCACAGCAGCCTCCTTCAACGTCGTCCCCTCTTTATGCGCCTTCTTTGCCACCTTCGCCGCATTCTCATACCCGATCTTGGGGTTCAGCGCCGTCACGAGCATCAGGCTCTCCTTGAGCAGTTGCGCGATGCGCGTTTCGTTGGGTTGGATTCCTACGACGCAGTGGGTCGTGAAGGAGCGGGAGGCGTCCGCGAGGAGGCGCGTGGAGTGGAGGAGGTTGCGGATGAGGAGGGGTTTGAAGACGTTGAGCTGGGATGTAATCAAATCAGGTTAGATCATCGAGTAGGCCATCAGGACGCAGGGTGAACTGTAACGCACCTCGAAATGCCCGTTGGACCCTCCGACGGTGATCGCGACGTGATTTCCCATCACCTGCGCGCACACCATGGTCAGCGCCTCGCATTGGGTCGGGTTGACCTTGCCGGGCATGATGGAGGAGCCGGGCTCGTTCTCTGGGAGGCTTAATTCGCCGAGACCGCATCGAGGGCCGGAACCTTTGAATGGGAGATGGGTGTGAGGAGGGAGTTCCAAAAGTCCCCACGTAGACATCAGTGGCATACCCAGGAAGCGGATATCGTTGGCGATCTTCATCAGGGACACAGCGAGGACATTAAGCGCACCGCTAGCCTCCACAATGGCATCATGGGCGGCAAGTGCTTCGAACTGTAAATGTAACATTTGAGAGCCATAAGTTCAGTCCGGGCGCGGTCCAAAAGCCGAAAAGCAATAGGCATCCACGCATCCGTCCTTCCACCGACCTTATTCGGCGCCGTCCTAAACTCCACCCCCGTAATCCTCGAAATCTCCTCCGCAACCTTGACATCAAACCCCACCCTCGCATTCAACCCTGTCCCCACCGCCGTGCCCCCCTGGGCTAACAAGCTCAACCTCGGGATCACAGCTTTGACCCTCTCAATCCCATACGCGACCTGTTGGGCGTACCCCGAGAACTCCTGCCCGAGGGATAGGGGAGTCGCGTCTTGCGTGTGGGTGCGCCCGATCTTGATGATGTGGGTCCAGTCGTGCGCGTGTTTGGCGAGAGAGGTGTGGAGGTATTGGAGGGCGGGCAGGAGCCGGCGGTGGAGTTCGAGGACGCCGGCTATGTGCATGGCTGTTGGAAACCTAGCAGGGTTCTCATACGGTTTAAGATTACTTTCCTCAATCGGGAACCAAAGAGCATCGACAAACCCCTTACGTGTCATTAGACGACTGCCCAAAGTTGACATGATCGTTCGGATGGATAGGCTTCTGAGATCCTAGCGGCTGCCCGAGCATCTCGTTTCCACGATTCGCTATGACCTCGTTCACGTTCATGTTGGTCTGGGTACCCGATCCGGTTTGCCAGACCACGAGTGGGAAGTGGTCGTCGAGTTTTCCCTCCAGGACCTGCGAGGATGTTTCTTGGTTAGATGGTTAGATGATTGGATGGTGGAAACGATACCCTGCTCGCTCCGCTCGCGACGAGGAGCTTGGGCTGGTGTGTGATCCGCAATCGTGGGCCCCCGGTCCAGTAGGCGTGGCCTCGCCGCACTCAACCACTCCTGCGCCTCCGGCGCAGTGGGCACGCTATCGTTCGCATTCTCCTCGCTTTGCTCGCCGCAAAAATTACAATCGTTCGCGGACCGTACCTCATTGGCGGCCTTGGCGATAGTTTCCCCCAACTTCTTATCCAAACCAAACTGAACATTCACAGTCGCCGCAGCCCGCTTGAGGATAGTAAACGCCCGGATGAGCGGCTCAGGCATGCGCTCTTCATGGCCGCCTATCTCGAAATTCTGGAGGGATCTGTGTGTTTGCGCGAGATTTGAGTTTTGTCATCCATCACCAGCCCCCCGATATTCAACTGGTTGAGTATCCCACCGTTGCGTTTGAGCTCCTGAAAATAGAGAACCGTTAGTATGAAATCAAATTTGAAAGATGGAGCTAGATGGACTCACCCCAGTATTTGTCCTTGGGAACTTGGATATCCCCGAAAGTGTCGTGTTCAACTCGAAAACCCTGAGAAAGCGAGAAAGGTCAGTTTGGGACTTACAAGATAATCGTTATGACTGGGTTTCAATAAATATGGTCCCATCAAAGTTCAAGACAGAAGGCTCCCCAGCACTTTTCTAAGCAGAGACTGCTGTGTCTGCACCATGACGACCCATACGTACCGTCATCGTGGCGAGATCCTTTATGGTGGTGAGTGTCCAAATGAAATGCTTACCAGCCAGCCCAGCTTGTTGGGCGCGTGACATATGGAGGTGCTATTAAATTCAGTCAGTTGGTCACGTGAGAAGAGAAGGGAGGCGTGGCTTTCTCCACGTCCGCCCCATATCTCCACTGTCCATGATCCCGCATGGTGCGCTCCGCTATGATCCGACTGAATCCTGCTTGGTGCGCCACTCAGAGAGGTCCTGCGCTTTCACCCATCCCACAGGTGCGTGACGTGGTGCGTTACACAGTACCCCGCGTCTTGTGTCACGGTGACGGCCTTGCGCACCCCCCACAGTCCACCACAAGAGCAAGCAAGAGCGCCCAAAGAAAGGGCTTGCAAGGCAACGCAGGCAGGCAGAAAAAGTTTCGGGCAGAAAGGCTGAGGGAGTATCCAACCCACTGCCCCCGCTTCCCATTTCCCACCACCACCACCATCCCCCTCAACGTCCTTCGTCCCCCGCCACACACAGCTTTCGCCCCCCCCCCCCCCCCCCCCCCCCCCCCCCGATAGAAAGGCTCAGTAGCACCGGCCACTCAGAAGCTTTGGCGAGTGGGAGGAACGGAGCTAGCTGCTTGCGAACGCTGTCAACACAAATAGTGCGCGCGCAAAGCTCATATCCGCTGCAGAGGTGAGTACGACGGAATTACACTTCCGTCAAAGAACCGGGGCGCTTGGAGGCCGGTCATACGGGGCTGCAAGTTATTCCGCAGGCCTTTTCAGGAAAAGCAGACGCAACTTGTGCTTTCGTCAACCCTGTGCACTGACACCGCCTACTGCTTTCTTTTCTCAGGCGTCATTCGTGTGGACTTCCAACCGTTTCCCCATAGTCGGAGTCACCCCACCAACGAGTGACACTCACCTCGAACTCTCTGCGGAAAGCTTAGCACCTCTTCCAGCGGGTGTGTAGAACGGCTTGGAAGTGAACTTGGCGTCGCCAATTGCTTCACCGGAGGAACCGCTCCGAGTTCCCAACCTCCGAAAAACAGCACCCTGGTGGTTACTGGAAGGCAGGGAGTAGTGGAACCGACGAAACACTCCACAGCAACCGTCGCTCTCGATAGTGTCGCTGGTCTCGGGGGTCGGGAAGCTGCGAACGTTAGACGTGGCCTCTAGAAACTGTCTCACGACACGCGAAAATTAGTTATCAACACAGACATCCATCATGTCTTCGGTCGAAATAGCGACTGAGGCAGCACAGCAGCCGAATGTTGCGGAAGAGGTTTCACAGGAATCTTCACTGAAGATGTCTGTTGTCGCTCCGACTTCGTGGGCCGATTCGGTGGACAAGCCTACGGTCCCAGAGCCGAAAGCCGCCACGGCCGAGGAACTGTCTCCAGCGGCTGAAAGTGATACAAATGGGCTGGCGGAAGCAGCAGGTTGGTGCAAAGGACTCATAACAGGCACATTCTCGTTTTCCTTTATACTCACCAACCTCCTCAACGTCCTACTCCATCCATTACATCAGTATCCACACGGAAATCGGAAAATACTCCCAAAGCCGAAGAGCCAAAGGAGGAGAAGAAGATAATCCCAGCTCCTGCACCATCAGTAAACATCTGGAAGGTGCGGTTAGAGGAGCAACAGAAGCACGCACAAACGCATCCCCGCCAGACATCAACACTCACATCGAGCGTGGCCAACACCGCTGCGCCATCATCCAAAGCATCGGATGAGCCCCGCCAGCCTCGCGTGAGGCAGCCGTCCGCAAAGGAAAAGGCGCGGAGGGAACAGGAGGAGCGGGATGCTGCTGAGGGTTTCGTGAAGGTTCAGTCGAAAAAGACACAAGCTAAGAAGGAGCAAGGCGGTAAGAAGGATCGAGCGCGCCCAACGGGTGGCAAGGCATCATCAGGCTCGCCAGCTCCCGGTGCATCGGCGAAACTTGAGAATGGAAAGGTTGCAGAGGGGCAAGTGAAGGCTGCCAAGAAGACGACGAAAGAGGAATCACCTGTGAAGACTGAAACATCTACTGCTGAAGCGTCTGCTGTCAAGGAAAACAGCGAGGAGAAGGCCGCTCCGGTGCAAAAGCCAAAGGAGCCCGTTGCTGCCAAGCTTGTGCAGACAGCCGTGCGTAGCGAGAACCTGCTCGCCAAGGAGTCCAGCACATCGAGCAAGAAGTCAGGTGCCTCTGCCACGCCTTTGAAAGCTGAGCTTTGGCCGACTCTCGGCAGTGCTGCTATCAGCCCACCGAGTTCCGCATCGCGCACCGCTTCAGCTGCCAGCGTAAGCCCCGTCCCTGCTCCCGCCGGACACAGCGGAACCAAGAAGGCCGGCTGGGCCAAGCTGGACGTGCCAATCCACTACCCACCACCTACCTCCGCAGCCCGCTCTATTCGTCCTCCCAGCAGCAAAGCTGCTGGCGGGAAAAAGTCCGATGACCACGCTCCCCGTGCCAAGCAGCTCGCGTCTGCGCCCGCTGCTGCTAAAGCGGATGCCGTCAAGGAAGAACAGCCAGCACCCGCAAGCACATCCGCAGACGCCGTTGTCGCTCCTTCCACAGCCGAAACCCTCCCTTCTCGCGCCGAGGCGAGCAGCTCCCGACCCCGCAGCGGCCGCGGAGGCTCCGCCGCTCGCTCCACCCATGCCACCACTTCATGGACCGGCCCCTCGCAACATCAGCAGCAGCAGCACCGCCAAGGTCCCCGTCGCGGCTCCAACGCCTCCGCCATCTCCACCACGTCCACGCACAGCATGTCTAGGCACGGAGAGGACGCCAGCCAGTACGCCCAGCCATCTCAACAGCAGCGCGTGTCCCGCCGTGGCGGACGCGGCGGACGTGGGCATTCGAATGTATCGCGCGGTCCTCGTCCATTCTATGGCCAGTATGGAAACGGGTACCAGGGTCAGCAGGGCCCTATTCAGACCATGCCTTCCGTGACTGGGGCGGGACCGGTCAACGGCTTGGTCAACCCTTATTATGGATATGCCGAGGTGGATGGCACCGATGTGGAGACTTACAAGTGGTGGATTCGTGCTCAAATGTGAGTTTGAAAAGTTTGCTCCGTCTTTTGCTTTCATAAGTTCACGGTAAATTGACGCTTTTTTTCTCCTCCCTTCCGCCCCACAGTGAGTATTACTTCTCTGTCGAAAACCTCTGCCGCGACATCTACTTCCGTCGCCAGATGGACTCGAACAACGGCGGCGTGCCACTCCTCCTCATCGGCGGTTTCAACCGCGTCCGATCCCTCATCAACGGCGCCAAGGTCAAGACCCAGTACAACATTGCGGCCGAGAACCCCGAAGCCGTCGAGGCGATCGCCGCGGTCGACTCGCATACCTGGGTCGAGGAGTTTTTGAAGAGCGCTTGTGTTGACAGCGAGGTTGTTGAGGTTATCGTTGAGGGGCCCGGCGAGGCGCTCGTCAGGCGCAAGGATGGGTGGGAGTTTTGGCTCTTGCCGAAGGACAATGCGACGCCATCTACGTCCTCGCAACACAACGGCGATACCGCTCACAACAACGTCGCCACCGAGGCAGCCCGCGAGGCCACCGCAGCGACTCTGCTGACCCCGCCGCAATCCCCGGGCGACGTATCGACCGTCTCCGTGAACCCGGCCGAGAGCATCTCGGAAAGCATCACGACTACAACCACCATCGAACAACCAGGCCACCCAAACGGGGGTAGCCCAGCCGCGCGAGCTGGGCGATTCTCAAGGAGCGAGGCGGGTGACGAGGGTGCGGATGGGAAGGTGGATGAGGATGGGTGGGAGCAGGCCACGACCCGTCGGCGCACGTCACGGGTCCGTGGCGGGGCGGGGAGCGGTGCGAACACGCCTGTGCTGACACCGGTTGTCTCGCGCAACGGCAGCAGCAGCGGGTTCTTTGCCAAGGTGGAGGAGGAGACGGGGAACAGCGATGGGGATGAGTGGAGCGGCGTAACCATGGGCGGTCGCGTGCGGCGGTTCAGCAACGCCGGGTTTGAACAGCAGCCCGCAGTGTCGACGAGTGAGGAGAGCGAGAGCGAGGATAGCGTGGACAGCGATGACGAGGATCCGGACATTGTCGTTGTTGCGCGCCACATCCCCGCCGGGAACATGGCTCCGAGCAGCGGCGCGACGTTTGCGATCGAGGGGGCTTCGTTCGAGGACGAGGAGTGGGCAGATCTTGACGACGAGGACGTTGACGGGTTGTTGATTGTCACGCAGCGCAAGTCGCCCGTGCCTGGTCAGGGCCCCGACGCGGAGGACGAGTACGAAGCCGTGCTCTTCACCCTGCCCAACGGGCCTACCACCTCCACCCAGGTCACGGGCAAATCCACCCTCGCCTTACTTCAATCAACGCAGCACCAGCCGCCTCAACAGCAAGCGCCCGCGGGGGCGCAATACCACAACCTCCCCCCGCGCAAGCATGCCACGGCCCCCTTCGACCGCAACCGCAACGACGAGGAGATCAACGAGATCATCAACGAAGGGCTGTACTACTACGAGCACGACTACCTGACTCCCAAGAAGCCAAAGAATAAGGTCAACAGCGTCGCTGGCGACGAGTTCAAGGCGATGTTGAATGGGATGGTTAGCCCGGCGCCTCTCTACGAGCATTCCAATCATCATGGCAATGGAAGGGTCGTTAACCCGTACTTTGCGCCCTCGACAAACACACGCGGCAATTATACTGCGGGTGCGAGTGCCGTGCAGGTGCCCAAGACCCCGAGACGGTACTGGGTCGGTGCAACAAGCGCTAGTCCCCCCGTCGGGTATCTGATGAACAGGATGGACGCGGAAGCGGATGAGGATGAACATGATAACCCCTTGGGATCGTCGCCGACGCCTGGACGGGGGGTGAGCGTTCCCGCTGCTAAGAATGAGCCGGAGAAGAAGGATGCGACGGGGAGTGTTGCGCATAGTTTCAACGAGTTCCCGGTGTTTCAGCATCCGTCTTATGAGCTGTTGAGGGAGAATGGGTTTATTCAGCATAAGTACTCTAAGTATAGGGCTAAGGCTATCAAAGGTATGTGAGATCGAGATAAGGAGCTGATGAATTCGGAAAAGAAATGCTCATCGCTTCGATATTTTCAGAACGCAAGCGCCTCGGTCCAGGCCGCTCCCCCGAAATGAACACCATCTACCGTTTCTGGTCCCACTTCCTCCGCGACCACTTCAACCCACGCATGTACGCCGAGTTCCGAACGCTCGCGGTCGCAGACGCCGAGAACAACTACCGCTACGGTCTCGAATGCCTGTTCCGCTTCTACTCCTACGGCCTCGAGAAGCGGTTCCGCCGCGACCTGTTTGACGATTTCGTCGCCATGGTCACGGACGAGTACACCAAGTCCAACGGAACCGTGCTGTACGGTCTCGAGAAGTTCTGGGCGTACTTGAAATACCGCAAGGACAAGTCCCGCCGCCCCGAGGTCGATGTCGCCGTGCAGGCCAACCGCGTGCTCGCCGACGCGTTGAATCGGTTCCGAACCATCCAGGATTTCCGCCGCGCTACGGGGAGGAGCGTTAACAATGCTACCCACCATCAAGCGACGGTCGCGACCCGCGGTAAACCCCCGCACACCAACGGCGTCTCCCACCACCACCACAAGAACACCGCCCCCTCCGCAGCGAACACCCAGCGTCGACCGAAACAGCACCCACGCAGCAACCATAACAACGCACCGGACTCCTCCCTCTCGTCTTCATCGCACGGTTCCCGTCGTCACCCGCATGGGCACCACCATCACCAGCATCACAACCCGCCGCCTGCGATTGAGGAGGAGAAGGGGTTGTTTGAGATGGAGATGGAGTTTCCGCCGTTGGGGAAGTAAGAGACGTCACCCACTTTCGCGTAAGGGAGACCGGCGCATGGGGCACCGGGGTTATTTTTATTTTTGGTGCGGAGCTACAATGGGCGAGCGGATGGTGGCGGGAAGGTGTCCCCTATTCTTTCTTTTTTCACATTTTCAGTTCATTCCGCAACACCATGGGTTGCACGATACATAGAATTTACCCCCTCGCCGGGGTCGTCCCCTTTTTTTATTGATGCGCGGGAGGAACAGCACAGCGGGGGGCGCACACCACATCACATCACAACAAAAGCAGCATATACACCAATTCACATACACGCCCCCCTCCCCTCCCCGCCCCTTTCACATTTTTTTTTCTGTTCACGCACACCTCGTTTGTATTTGGTATATCATGACCTACAAGTTTTTTTCTTTTTGTTTGGGCTTTGTTTTTTTTTGAGAGGTTGATTTATCTATGCTGTTGTTGGGGAATCCATGCGGTTCTATGAGGCTTTTATATCGTTTTGCGCGGTTAGTTAGGTCTGGGAATTTGCCGGGAGAATGGGGAACCTTTCTCTCCACGGATTGTTTGGGAAAGGGACCAGGTGTTCTTTCACGACGTCGGGACGCCATTTCTCATGCAGGATGCATAACAATTTTCAGATGGATTTACCAACACATCCCCCGGTGTATATCATTCGCGGTGCTGATGCGAGTTCTTCATTGAACCGGCCATGGTGATGATTCTGATGCCAGTTTGCACAACCGCCAGCTGATGGTGCGGTCAGGAACGATATCGCCCTTGTTCTCCATGGCGCCATGCCCAGAAATGGGACCGGGATCAAGTCGCGAATACTGGCTCCATTTGCTCGGAACCGGCACATTGGTGGATTTTGTCCTTTGACGAAACCTCCGACTCCGTACGCGCGATGCTATGACCCTTTGAAAGGATCTCCAGTAAATGATGGGGTTTTGGATGCATGGTTGCGAACGCTATCTGTTCGTGATCCCGTGCAGAGTTCCCAGCCGCCACAAACCACAATGTTGCGTTGAGTATATGCCGGCAACACTTCTCGATGATGAGTCCAATCGATGTAAACCTTCAGATCTGCCGGACAGAAGATGGCTTTGGCGTATGGGCCGGGAATGTAGGGCATACACCCTGGCGAAAAAGGTATATATATGAGACCTTTCCCCTCCCCGCCCAAGAAGAAATGCGTTGGAGTGCGGAGCAACGCGCGATGGAGTGCCGAGCAACGCGTGTATGGTGCTTACGAGGGCATCAAATCATCTACCGGAAAGTCACGTGGTGCTGCATGACCTTGGAATAGAATTGTGGCAAAGACGGTTGGAGGTCGTCCTCGCTTTGCTCACCAACGACGATTTTGCATCGCAAACGTCTAATACTCCCAACTAGAGGGCACCTTATTCATCGCCTTCCCGGTAAAGGTCGATTCTCCTCCGCACGATCCAGGCCTCTCGTTCCTCGGGTCCAAGTTCCTTCCAAGATCACTGCATTTTCCCTGGTTTCGCCACGCCATATAGACCAAGATGCCACCAGCACCGGTGAAGCAGGGCAGGGAACTGCCGTCCAAGGAGTCGGCTACATTCAAAGCCATATTGGTACGTGGAGGCTGGTGCTTTTCTTTCCTTCAGTGGATGCCTAGGACGCGGACGCTTTGGCTGGTTCTTAGGCGAAACTGTTGCGGTGCCAATGTGATCTCCACGGGCTTTCCGGCGCTTTTGCCTTACTCATATCCTTCTCCTTGCGTGAAATCCAGAAACTATATGAGCATAAGCAATACAAACGCGGTCTCAAAATGGCGGACCAGATTTTGAAGAAGTTTCCCGAGCATGGAGGTTTGTCCAGCACTTCAAGGCGGCGGTAGTAGCCGAAAGGAGAGGAGGCTGATGGGATGATTTTTCTCATGGGACTATAGAGACGCAAGCAATGAAGGGACTGTTTCTCAGTCATTTGAACCGGAAAGAGGAGGGATACGAGTTTGTGAAGAAGGGGCTGAGGAATGACTTGACAAGTCACACCTGTATGTGTCCTGATGCAGATGGCAGTGAAGGGTGGCCATGATCCTCTGGGAGATACTAAATGATGGGTTTGTAGGTTGGCACGTGTACGGACTGATGCACCGGGCGGATAAGAACTATGACGAGGCGATCAAGTGCTACTTGAATGCGTTGAAGTTTGACAAGGTTAGCCTCACGGGAATGGCACAACGTCAGTAGTTGAAAGCTCGATATTTATTCTAACGTCTGTACTCCTCTTTGTCAATCAGGAAAACATTCAGATCATTCGTGACTTGTCTCTCCTACAAATGCAGATGCGCAACTACGAGGGATACAATGTGAGTTGGGCACATTCGAAAAACGTCTTCCGATTCGGGGATCGTCAGCTAATCGTATCTCATAGGAAACGAGACATCAACTCCTCTCCCTTCGTCCGGCGAACCGAATGTACTGGGTCGGATTAGCGATTTCCTACCACATGCTGCAAAAGTACGACACGGCATTGAACGTCCTGTCAGCTTTCGAGGAAACACTGAACGAGCAACCCGAGCAAGTCGTGGACTACGAGAACAGCGAGATGCTAATGTACAAGAACTTCATCATCGAAGAGTCTGGCGACAATGATAAGGCGCTTGCCCATCTCGCGGAGATCCGGTCTAAAGTCGTTGACAAGCGGGGGTGGAAGGAGGCAAAGGCTCGCCTGCTTTTGAAGAGTGGCAAGTTGCCACAGGCGGAGGTCGAGTACAGGCAGTTGTTGGACCTGAACGCGGATTGCCATGCGTACCTTGATGGTCTGCTCGAGGCGAGGCAGTTGGGGACCGCGGTCGAGAAGATGGACAATATCCAGATTGAGAAGGCTCAGCGATTGATGAAGGAGCTGGGTGCCAAGTACCCCAAGTCGCATGTCATCCAACGGACGCCACTGAAGTTGGTCAAAGGTACGTTTGATTTTGCCCTCCGGAACGGATTAGAGTATCTGCAAACGGGCTTGCTAATGCACATCTACCACACTAGGTGACGCTTTCCGCCAACTCCTCGATGCTTACCTCCGGCCCCTGATCCGCAAGGGGGTCCCATCCCTCTTCGTCTCGCTCAAAGACCTCTACGTCGATGCCGAGAAGGCCGACATCGTCGAACAGCTGGTCCTCGATTACGAAAAGAATTTGAAGTCCCACGACTCATTCGATGCCGCTGCGAAAAGCAAATCGGATACGGAAGCGGTAAAAGAACCCCCCACGGCGTACCTTTGGGTCGTATACTTCCTTGCCCAACACTATGACTGGAAAAGGGATTCGTTGAAGGCTTTGGAGCTGATTGAGACTGCGTTGAAGCATACCCCTACGTTGGTTGAGTTATTGATGACGAAAGCGAGGATTCTGAAGGTTGGTGTTGTTAGAAGACTTACCTGATGAGGATCAGGGGTTGAGACTCACGCGAATGCTTTTGTCAGCACGGTGGAGACGTACAGGCCGCCATGGAGGCCATGAACCAAGCGCGCGAACTGGATCTGCAGGACAGGTTCATCAACTCTAAATGCACAAAGTATATGTTGCGGAACGACCAAGTCGAGAAGGCCGGACAAACAATCTCGCTGTTCACTCGGGTACGTGCATATATTGATTCAAGGTCCTTCCTTTTGACCGTTTCGCTGTTCGTGCTTACCGACATTTCACAATAGAGCGAGTCTACGGACCCACTAGGAGACCTGGTTGACATGCAATGCATGTGGTTCGCCCTCGAATCCGCTTCGAGCCACGTCCGAACAGGGAAATACGGGCCAGCGCTGAAGCGATTACATCAGATTGATCAGGTATGTTCTCCTGTTCTTGGATTGACGCCTCACACAGGAAAGGATTACTGACGGGTCTTGCATTGGTCTTTTGCAGCACTTCAGTGACATATATGACGACCAGTTCGATTTCCACTCATACGCGCTCCGCAAAATGACTCTCCGCGCGTACGTCGACCTCCTCCATGTCGAAGACCGTCTCCGCGGCCACCCATCCTTCTACCAAGCCGCGACCACCGCCGTGCAGGTGTACCTGCAACTCATCGATAAGCCCAAGAACGCCAACGGCAGCAACGACGCGGCCGGGGAAGGGTTGAGCGAAGCGGAGAGGAAGAAAGCGGAACGCAAGGCGCGAAAAGCCGCGCTGAAGACCGCTGCCAAGGCCGGTGACAGCGCACAGCCGGCGCAGCAGAAGGACAGCGCCACGCCCGATGCGGCGGCGTCGAAGGACGCTGCTAAGGATAAAGACCCTGATGGTGCAAAATACCTCGCTGCGACGGACTATCTCGCCGAGGCCGAGGCGTTTGTCAAGCATCTGCTGGCTATGTCGCCGAGCAAGGTCGACGCGCAGATTCTCGGTGTTGAGGTTTACTCGCGCAAGGGCAAGTTTTTGCTGGCCCTGAAAGCCCTCAAGCACGCGTATGCCCTTATCGAAGGCGCGGCCGCCAAAGGCGACAGTGCATCGCAAGGCAGCGCAGCAACAACGGCTCAGGCCAAGCTAGCCAAGCAGCAAGCCGACGTGCACCGCGTCGCCATCAAGTTCTGGACGCGCTTGAACGAGTACAAGAAAACCGCGACGTCAACACCGCTTCACCCCGCGGTCGCTGCTGTCGTGGACGAGGAAACCGCCAAGTTGTTTGGTGGCGCGAAGACCCCTGCGGATTTCAACGCCGTGTTCTTGAAGCAGGCTCGTACTGAAGGACATCTGGAGAAACTGCTGGCTGCCGTCGAGGCTGGCGCGGGCGTCGAGGTCTTGGACGAGCCTATAAAGGCCATCAAGGCGAACAGGGTTCCGTTGGAGGTATGTTGGCGCTATATTCTTCGTAATTTGATCTCATCGCTGAAGATCACTCACTCCGTTCCCTTTCCGTCCTCTTTCTATAGACTGCCATCCGCGTGCACAAGTACCTCGCCAGTCCACCATCACCGGAGAACACCAAACGCGCCGCGCAGCTCGCCCAAGTCGCCCGCGAAGCTTTCCCTGTGGCCACATACTTCCGGGATACGAAATGATTGTGGAAAATATCCCGAATTTCATTCCATGCAAACGCAGTGGGAGATACGATACAATACGCAACCCACGGACTGGTAGCAGCCTCAAATCACAGTTCCAACCCCCATCACCCATCTTCTCGTCACCGACCCACCCTACATATGTAGTGTCATGTAGGATTCCATAGCACGATACGACCTCCGCGGCACAGGGCTTGTTTCGGGTCTCTGGATGCATCGGGACTACGGGCGCGACTCGAGGAAGAGGTTACACGAAACCCCGCACCCCATCCTTTCCTCTCCCCCTCCCCTCCGTCCTTTCCTATGCATTCTTTTCATCATTTCTGACCGGGGCGGTCTGATCCGCGCCTGGAAGGAGATGTGTATGTACCCGTAATAAATATTTGGTACGTGCTATATGTACAAAAAGCATACCCATGTACGCAGTGTGAGGAAATCATCGGTTGCACGCCCCCAATCACACACTCACTCAAACCTCGCAAACCCTCAATCCCGCCTCTTCGTCCGCCTCTTCGCCCCACCGGTCCCACTCGCCCTCACCCCTTCCCCACCCGCATTGTCCGTCGTCCCACCCTCCGCCTCGTCCCCCGGCCCCTTCCCCTCCCTCCTTCCAGCAGCACTCTTCGCCCTCCCTTCCCTCGCACTCCTCTCCAACGCCTCCTCCCCCATCCACTCCGGCACCTTCTTCAACCCCGCCCACTTCCTCACCTCCCCCTCGACCCCCTCCAAGGCGCGCTTGTTGGCCTCCCCACGGACGTAGGTCTCTGTCAGCGGGAGGTGGTAGTACCCGTGGGAGGACATGAAGACGAGTTCGAGGCGGTGGAGGGCTTTGGATGGCGATGGCGGGGGGGTGGAGGCGGAGGTGGTGGGGAGAGGGAGGAGGTCGATGGACACGAGTTCGTCTAGCTGTGGGTGATGTGTGGAGATGGGGGTTAGGAGTGGAGAGAGTGAGATGGGGGGTGGGATTTGTGATACGCAACTGGAGCGACGCGCACGTAGCGGATGAAGCCGAGGGTTGTTTTTGTGACGGTGACTTCCTGCGTGGGTTTGTCGAGGGTTGTTATGTATTTATCTACGACTGGGTGCGGGGAGGCGGGTGTTAGATGCATGGGGTTTGGGGGATGTGCATGCATGCATGCATGGAATCGGCACCAGTTAGCAGGCAATGCCCGCTGTGCGCTCGCACACCCATCCTCCTCTCAACCGCCGCAGATGGCAATGGCCACCGTCGCCGCGAACGAAGACCAAGGCCCCGCTCCCACCGTCGCTCCTCCACCCCCGTTCTCACGCGTACGCGCACACTCCGACACTTCTCATCCACACTCACTCAACGTCGACGCCAAATACACGTACAGCCCGCCCCCCGCAACGCTATACACCAGATCCCTGCTCGTCAGGGCCACCATCACCACACCAAACTACAAAAAAAGAAAATTCAATATCCAACTCCTCCATCCCCCTCCGACCAAAGCGCCGTGAAAACTTACAAGCACGATAGCGCCGACAAGCGCCCAGTCGGCGACCGCCATATCGACGGGGACGATGGTGAGGCGGGTCGGGGTGGCAGTGAGGGCCGGAGCGAGGGTTTTGCGGTGCTTGACGCGGTCGAGGAGGGGGGCTAGGAAGGACATCTTTGGGATGAGGGGCGGGGGGTGCTAAGGGGTTCGATGAGGGCGATGCTGGTGTTTCGAGGAGGGTGGTGATGAGATTGGAGTACGTCTGAGTGCGAGGGGATGGGAGCAGCGTGGTGTAGTGTCCAAGCAAGGAAATTCAAACTGGAGGTGAGCAGGCCCCCGCGTAGCCCCGAACCCACACCCACAAATAAATTCAGCACCGGAAATGTTTGACCACCCTGGCGCCTTTTCGAGAAAATAGAGGGAGGAAGTGTGAGGTGATGCCAGACGGTGGGCAGAATAAACTGATTGTTCACGGGCGATACCCCCACCCTTGTGCCAGCGCCCTAAAGAAGACTCGCACGATTTCAGAGCGAAAAATGAAGCGGTGAACGGTGCCAGGAACGACTATAGCGGCGGTACACTAAGCTATCAATATGGATACACCGCGGGTAGGGGAGTATTGCGTTTTGTTGTTACTCCCTCAACTTCACGGCACAGCGTGTCGACATGGGATGTAAAGCGAGATGGGTGCCAGGGTGTGAATAGATCTGCGTTCCCAAAAAGCAGTCCTATTTTGTTGAATATGTACAAGCAACTCGAACGTTCACTCACGCCCATCTATCTGTACATCTGCGGTGTGAGTGTGTTGTTTTCCCGCATGTCCATCCCACTCGAACGTCCTCATACGCCACCCCAAAAAAAAGAAACCCCCAAGAAAGGAAAGAACAAAAACGTCCGTTCTCATCTCATCACACCATCCTCAACCCTACCTATCTTACACCCCACCCTTCCCATTCCGATCCCCCCTCCCCTTCTCCCCCCTCCTGATCTCCGCAACAGCAACCTCCATATACTTCCCAATCAGCTTATTGCTCACGTCCGGTACGGGAGGTGTTTGAAACAACCCCCTCGCACTCCCACCACCACTCCCCACCCTCGCTGCCCTATCGTCATCGTCGTCATCGGATAACACCGTCATCGCCTGTTGTGTTCTCGGAGGCCGCTGATGATGTTTAGCGGGGAAGGAGAGATCAGCGTCGGAGTGATCCTGCTCCTGTTCCACGTCGGTGTCGAGGGTTAGGTCCATCTCAATGGGTGTGAGGAGGGCCGAGGGGTGTGGCGACGTCGCCGACATAGATGTCGGATTCACATTGGGTGACAGGTACGTGTTGATCGCATCCAACCTCGGTTTCGTGCCCTTTTTTCCCCACCTTAGAGCGCCACCCATCCGTCCCTGCGCCCCACCAACCATCTCAACCACAACGCCGACATCATAACACCGCCCAGGTAAACTCTTGACAACCCTCACAGCGGTCAAATCGGCCAACTTGGTTTTCAACAGCTCCCGTTGATGCACACTGAGGAGTGTCATGCTGAAACGGTAGATGACCTTGACGCCCTGGTAGGTGAACATGTCCCAGAGGCGGAGGAGGGAGTGCGGGGGGAGGGTGGTGGTGAAGAGGGTGAGGAACCAGGAGGTTGTTAAGAGGGGGAGGGGGTTGGTTGATTGTTGTTCGGCGTGTTTGGGGCGTTTGTTTTTGGCGGGGAGGCGTTTTTGGAGAATTTTGAGCGTGAATGGTTGGTTGCGGGCGGTTGTGGGGGATGAAGACGAGTAGGCGGTGGAGTAGGTGATTGGCGAGAGAAGCATGGCGGCCTCCTCGACGGCTAACCACTTCTCGACCTTCTCCAGCCCGTACTTGTGTCCATTGCGGCCGACAAGGTGCGTCCACAGCACCTCCTGCGTGGCTCGTGCACCCTCCAACGTCGCGCCGTACATTTCCTCGGGCATCAGCATCTCGACCACGACGACCAGCATCCAGAACACCCGTTCCTCGACACTCAACCTCGCCGCGTCGTGCCCGGTCTCAAACTCGAAATCGTCGTCCGCAAACACCAGTAGGAGGAACCCGGCTAGGAAGTTGAGGGATTGGCAGTACCCGATGTTGTATTTTGGTTTGCGGAGGTTTTGGGTACGCGAGAGGGTTGAGTTGGGTTGCGGGCGGGAGTAGTAGGCAAAGGCGACGAGGATGCGGCGGAGGGAGAGGAGGAAGGGGTTCTGTTCGGTTGTTATTGTGGGGTGTGGGTGGGAGGGGGATGGGGGGGTGGATGGGCGGGGTTGAAATTTTAGGTTGTCGGGGAATGTTCTGTACACGTCTGAGAAAGAAGGAAAAGTTAGCAGTGAATTTCTCGTTCTGCGGTATCCCCCAGGTCTCTCGCCAATTCATAAAAAGAGACCGCAACGTACCTCTGTCGATAACCACAATATCGCCCATAACCTCGTTCTCCTCCCTTGTCGCGCCATTCCTCACATCCTGCTCCTCCCTACACGTCAACAGCATATACAGCCCCATTTCCTCCTTCCACAGCGCCTCAGCCCCACTATAATGAAACCACACGTGTTTCCTCAGATGATGTGGTACACCCTTTCTCAGGTACCGCTTGACCTTCTCCGACGGCGGCGGAAACATCAACTCGTTCGCAGCAGCCGCCGCAGCAGAAAGGGATACGTTCGATGCATTGGCCCTCCTGCCGTACATCATCAGGTTGTGGGAGTGCGCGGCGCCTCCGTTGTATTTTGAGAGCCAGTGGACCCATTTTGCGGCGCGTTTCTCGCAGAGGGCGTTGTAGTGGGAGTCGTAGGCGAGTTGGTTTTTGAGGGAGGTGTGGGTGAAGGATCGCTCAAAGCCGTATTGATCGTATGTTGGGAGACATGCTTCGCTTGTCGGTGTGGGTGTTGGCGCTGGCTGTGCTGTTGCGACGGGAGTCTCGGGGGTTATTTCCAGGGTTGGGTTGCCAGCGTTGGAAGAAGACCTTGGCGGTGCGCGTGGCGAGCGTGGTGGGGTTGGTGATGGAGTAGGCGGAAGCTGCTTCGAGTTGAGTGTTGTGCTGCTGTCGCTCAGAGTGGTAGTAGTGACGAGGGACTTTAGGGTCCGGACGTTCCGGCGCACGTCGCTGACATTTGGGACCAGTCTGTCCTGCGGAAACGAGGCCTCATCCTGCACCAGCACAGTCGAAATGGGCGGCATCTCCGCAGATTACTGAACAAAGCGGGCCGGACTATCGACAGTGACAGCAACGTCGACGGAGAAAAGGCCTTCGAGTGCTTTCTGCGAGCGAAGAAGCTTATCGCTAGAGTCAATCAGATGCCCGTGGGAAAATGGGAAAAAGCGCAGCAGCAGCTGGAGCGTCGAATTTCGGGAGTCGGACTGAAAAGAACAGCGGACCAAGTGAGCAGAGCGGACTGACTAGCGGCAAGATACGTAAGGGCGGGCGAGTACTACCTGTGGGACTTTTGTCTCAGCAGCTGTGCGAGTGGGGGACTATAGATGTGTGGGGAGCGTCGCCAATGCCAACGAGGGGAGCGGGCGGCCTTTGCTTGCTGCGTCCATTGCGAGAAGGAAAGGCGGAGAGAGCGCGATGACACACACGCACATCAGAACAACGGGAACCATTAAAATGCAACGCGTCCGCTCACACGCAGTCATGTGACAGTGTCAATAAACTCCGTGGCAAGTTCCATTGGGGGCTGTGAACTCCATCCATCTCAGGGCACTATTTGTAATCGCGATGTGAGCAATCGGAGAGTGATCGGCACACGCCCTCTTTGCGCCCGCCCAACACCCTCGGAGTGAGTCGGAGCCCTCATATTGCATTGCGCTTCTGTATTACGTCGCGCTGAGAGAACAAAGATAATATCGGGCGGGGGGTGGCAAGAAATGTGGACAAGCAAGCCCAACTCTAGCGCACCAACTCCCCCAATGAGTCCCCATTGTCCCGGCGGTGAAGCCTCTCTCTGCGGTATGGGCGTTACCGGGAACCGAAGGAGCAAAAGGCCAAGGATGTGAGCCATCGGAAACCAATGAATCATGTGTGCCACGTGTTTAACAGGCTTCCCACTCATCAACAGACGTGTGATTGGAGTCGCTAATGCAAACCGACAACATTTCGCTCCGTCTCTAAATCGACATTTCACGGTCCAGTCCATGGGGTATCGTGGGGGGAATCCGGACGGTGGTATGGGCATGCCAGCCATCCCATGACTTTCTGCGTCGATGAGGTATTAGTGCCAGTTGATTGGGGGGGGGGGGGGGTCGTCGCAATGGGAACAACAGCGAGAAGGCGGCTCGGCGTGAATCGGTGAATGAGACGAGAAAAAAAAGGGACGTGGGAGTGGCAACTCCGAGGCCGGCCGGCTGCTGGGGGCGTTGAGGACAGCGACCTCCCCCCCCTTCATAACCCCCAGACTCGCCGCCTCTAGCCCCCGCCGGCCTTTTTTCTCGCTACCCCCCAAACTTGCCTAACTGCAGTTGCCCATCGTCGGCCTGCTTCCATCTTCCCCTCCCTTTGCTCTCGCAGCTCGCTCCTACAGGCTCAGGGCGCGCTACAAGCAGAAGGAATCGCAAGGTAACAACAGCACCACTCCCCCGTAGCTGCCGATTCAGCTACCCCCTCCCTCAACGAGGTATTCGACTCCCGCCGTCGAAACGTGACAGTTACGTCCAGCAACCGCTTCAACAACACCAAACCAACACCTCCGCAACGGATTCTTCTCGGACGACCCTCTCTTTTGAGCTCCCCCGCTAGCACCATCTCGCTACTTCAACAACAACCACCACCAACTGCTCTGAAACCCAGTGCACTTGTCACCTTGACGACTACCTCAATCAGTCCGACATCAACCCACCCACCCCTCTCCGTCGTGTCGTCACACTTCACATCCCCCTATTCCACCTCCAACTCTGTTATGAACTTTTCGCCTATCGACTTTACCTCTGACTCGTTTGCTTGTGCTCCTACTTACGGCGCTCAACCCCAATCGACTACCGACCTTTTGTTTAACTCTACCGACTTAACCCCACCTACTGAATATATCAACGATGGCTTCCTACACTATGATCCCCAAGCGCCCTTCGGCCTCCAAGGCCCCGCGCACGATCCAGTAAAGGATTCCCTGATCTACAACAACGAACAACATCAACAGCACCAATTCTTCGATAACTCGCTGTCTGCTGTACTCGCTCCGCCTCCTTACGTTTATCCTACTCCGGCTCAAACACCGCTCGATTCTTTCGCATACGATCTCACCTCCCCGTTACCCGACCAGTCTCCCTTCCTCGGAGATTACGACGACCCGCTCTTGAGCGATCTCCTCCACTTTGACACTTCCAAGAACACTTTCGCGAACGCTGCTTCCCCTGAAGTCTCTCTCGAAGAGCTTTTCGGCGACTACCCACTCTTTGACAACACTGCCTCCCTCGGCAACCAAGGCGCCCTCTTCCCCGACCTTGAAAACTTTGGCGCCTTCGACGTCGGTCCCTCTCCGGCCCCAGCTCCTTCCGCTCAGTCCTTTGACACTGTTGATCCTCTTGCAGAGACCAACATCACCCTTTCCATCGGACAGCTAACCGCTCTCCTTGCCGCTGCTGCCGAAAACAGCAAGACAACCGCTGTCACCCAGTCCCCCGCTCTCGACCTTTCTCCTCTCGACGCCTTCCCGTCGCTCGACACCTTCGAAGCCTTCACCCCCGTCAGTCCCGTCCACGACGACTTTGACCACCACCCCGTCGCCGAAGCTGTACCAAACCCGGAACTTACAAAACCAAGCAAACCAACTACCGCCCGTCGCACGACCAACCCCGCCCAACCCGCAATCCACACCTGCCCGCACCCCGGCTGCAACCGCCAATTCTCCCGCCGCTTCAATCTCCAATCCCACGTCGAGATCCACGACCCCAACCGCGCCCGCGCCTACGACTGTCCAACCTGCCCCCGCAAGTTCTTCAAGCACCATGACCTCGCTCGCCACCTCGTCACGCACGCCCAGGAGAAGCGGTTCGTGTGCAATGACTGTGGGAAGCGGTACTCAAGGGTGGATGCGCTTAAGCGGCACATAGTTAGCAAGGGATGTAATGTCGACATGTGAAATGCCAGACATTCATCGTTAAACCTATCTACTACTTTCAACAACCCAACCGACTTTCGACGGGGACTTCCTTCAACGGAAACCCGCAAGGACGGAAACCAAACTAGAACCCCGTTTCTAGCCAAAGAGGCGTCTTATCGACCAACCTCCTCCCAACCAAACCCCCCATCATTCGGACAACTCGTACAACCGAATAAACCAAGGAACGGAGGAAGCGTTATCGGCAAGACCACGTCCGGGCCTTAGCCCCCCCGGGGGGCCAGGATGCCGCGCAGGGCCTCCTCCCGCAGTGCAGGTCGTGACAACAGGGTTGGTTTGATTACCTCCCTCTGTTGGAACGCACCTTGATGTCTAGGGAACCCCGTCTGTGGTTTTTGTTTCGTATTTTCGTCTTGTCGCCCCTTTCGCAAAACAAAATACACACACACAAAAAAAGGGACACCCCCCCTCTCAAGTCCACCCCGATCGGCCGAGCTTAGACCCTGCCACCGCTCTTACGTCAGTTCAGTTCAGTTCAGCTTATCTTTTCATTCGGCCAGCGCCCGCTCGATTCCCTCGTCTGTTCATCGAGACCCCTCTACCTACCTACTAAAAAACCCCCAAAAAAAATTAGTTTAGTTTCTCTTCTTTCGTTAACGGTTTCTGACATGTCTTGTCATGACCCCCCTTTGTTTTATTTATACGCTTCTACTGTTGGTATTAACAATAACAAACACAAAAATTCAATGAAGACGGTGGTGGTTGATGAGGGTGGGTTTGTGAACGGGGGGATGGATGAGGGTGGGGTCTACGATTAGAAGGAAAGGCGAGTCGGCGATTCCAATGGTGGGGCAACCCCTCCCCACTCACCATGGCTTGATGCGTTGTGATCCGTGCCGGTTCACGGTTCTATGAAGACGACACCCCCCTCCCCGAGACGTGTTACCCCAATCCTTCAGCAACCGTCCCGTACGCCGCCGTGCCTGCCATACAGCGGGTGCAGTGCCAACGTTCTCTTTGAGAGCATGCCGACCTTTTCAGACCCCCGAAAGCATGATCGGCCGGTGGTTTTTGGACGGCGAGTACAGACAGACATACAGGACCTCCACGATGAAAGTTCAATGAATGAGGGATGGATGGGGGGCCGGCGCCCGTAATCACATATTCGACAACCCCGTTTTGCGTTGCGTCTGTCCAAAGAACGTTCGAGTAACAACTTCCCCACTCCCCACCCCCCCCCCCCCCCCCCGCCCGGAGACGTGACTCCATTGGAAGGGCCAGCTGGAGACGTACTGTACATACCTACGGTGTGCGGCGGCGGGCCATCCCGGTCCTGGCACGCAAACGGGCAGCTTCAAGCCGGTTGGGGATCCTGCGTTCGGGGGTGTCACAGCGTTGCTCCCCGCAGTATATCAGGGCTTGCAGACTGACAGCATGCCGTCAAAGAAAGTCTAGCGTCAAAAAAACGCGCCAAAAAGGGGGGAGCCAATCACCACGCGTCGAGAGGATTTTAGAGTTGGCGTTAGGCGGACGTTTGCAATGCCTGTCGTTGGTTCGGACGCAGGTTTTTTCGGGAACGGCGAAGCGTTGGGTGTGCGCTTACGGCGTATCCCCCCATCCCGACATCCGTTCAAGGTGAGGTGAGGAACGCTCGCCTGCCGACAATGCATGAAGTTATTCTCGCACGCCACGTCAACGGCTGGCTGGGCATAACATATAAACCGCGGCCGCCATTGGCAGGGTTTCCCTGACCTCCCCAATTTCTCCCACCCATTGTGGATTGTCTGCAGAACTGGTCCTTCCTTCTTACCCCCCCTGCAGCACAGTGACGACATCTCAAAATGCCCACCTGGCCCTCCCTCCTTGTCATCGCGCTAGCAGCATGCAGCTCGGCCGTGGCGGCCTTCAAAGTCGACCTGGCCGTCACAACCGTCGCGCAGGCCGCCATGGACGCCGACTACCGCCTCTCGCGGCCCGTCGACCTCGTCCAAGTCTCCGCGCGCAGCCCCGCAGCAGCAGCCCGCAAGAAGGGCGGCGGGCACGGGACCGGGCGCGGGCACCACAAACCGCCGACGTTCCCCGTCCCCAGACGGTCGGTGGTCTTCAAACAAACGCCGCGGCGGATCGGTAGAGGGCAGGACTACGACGGCCGGCTGATGCGCTTCGACCGCGGGACGCGCTGCACGGGCCAAGTCGAAGGCACCGACACGGCGGCGGTGTTTATCCTCGAGGACGGCGCGACGCTCCGCAACGCCGTCATCGGCGCCAACCAAGCCGAGGGCGTGCACTGCCTGGGCGCCTGCCGGATCATCAACGTGTGGTGGGAAGACGTCTGCGAGGACGCGCTGACGCTCAAGGGCGACGGCAACGCGCTCGTGTACGGCGGCGGCGCCCGCGCGGCCGAGGACAAGATCATCCAGCACAACGGGCTCGGCGAGGTCTGGATCGAGAAGTTCAGCGCCACCGATTTCGGGAAACTGTACCGGTCGTGCGGGAACTGTAAGCGGCAGGGCCGGCGGGTGGTGACGATGAAGGACGTGGTTGCGATCAGGGGCAAGGATCTGATTGGGATTAATGTCAACTATGGGGATGTGGCGACGGTGCTTGGGGCCGCTACGAGGCAGGTGAAGGAGACGTGTGCGAAGTTTGTTGGGAATGATAGGGGACGGGAGCCGGTGAAGGCGCCGGTGGGATCGTTCCCGAAGGCGTGCTCGCTGCATGGTGTTAATGTTTGAGGAGTGGTTGGGCCTGTCGTGCACTGGGGAATCTTGTTCTTCATTCGTCTCCTTACATAGAGGATAAAAACACATACCTAGAAAACCCACGTAGAATTTGTATATACCCTCGCTATCCAAACTTACATAGAGCCGTTGTACAGTATATCCACTCTGACTTGGTAACGTGTGAAGAGTTTCTCTGTCGATGAATGAATGAGACAAATGCTGTGGGCAAATGAGCTGCAGACCCTCGACGCTTTCAGCCCGCCCCATTTTAATTTGCGCAAGCCGGAGACAACGGGCGTACAGTACTTTCCAGGCGGCCCACCCAGGCCGATAAGCGGGAGATCTTGGGTACAAGGAGGACGTTCATACACATCCGTGATTCCGTGACTCTCCAGATAAGACCAATTCGTTCGAGGCCCAGAGCGAGGCTGAATTCAATCAAGCTCGAGTCCTCGGAGAGTCGACAGTCACGGTGGTGCCAGCTCAGCGTCGGATGCGCAGGCAGCGCAGCGCAGATTACTTTTTGAACATGCTTGTTGTACAAGGGCAGACCGTTCCAGATCTGGATCGACGGAGATAGGGGGAAGAAGTTGCACAGGGCATGTGAGGACCCTACACTCGGCTGTTCACCGAAAGCTCGACGGGAATGACAGCAGATAGAGGGGAAACTCGCTGCACTGTTACATACTGCTTTGCGGTGTTTGAAACCAGTGCACCTTTGACTTCACAGCTGGCTCACCGTTCCTCACAGTGTGGAACTTCCCAACCTCGCGGTCTCGTATGGGATCCAAGCGATGTTCCGTTTAGATTTGTGACTTCATACCTAGATCGCTTCTTTCCAGCTTTCTCGCGTGGTTTTTCGTGCCGCAAGCTAAAAGAAATCTTATTGCTGCTGTCAATTTTCGTTTTTGTCGGAAGAGAACGGAGACGGGATCAATTAAAGATTATGATAAACGCTGATTGGCTGCAGCGTGAATGGATCCACGATCTGGGTAGCACATGTAAGATCAAATGACGGCCGCGGTGGGGGCGCCGGGACGCGGGTAAGCCCTCTTTGAGGCGTCTCTCCCTGTGCGGTAGTGCCTTGCCAATGTGCGGGAAATGTCTGAAATTTTTTGCGCTGTTGGGGAAAGAGACCAGAGGGCCAGAATGCTTGCTGCCACAACGGCGCCTAAAATCGGCAATGTGAGGCGCTACAATACACAAATGATCAGAGGGAGGGGGGGGGGGGGGGGGGGCGGTGAAAACACTTGTGGGGTCGGGTGGGACAGCAGCCATCGGCCATGGGGTGCGGGCGGAAAGTCAGCAGTCAGTCATCAGGCAGCCACGGCTTCCACGGTGTCTTGCAGGTGCAATGCCGAATGCGAGGTGTCGACGGTGTTGGTGGTGTTTGTATTCGTACGGAATTACAGGCAGATGGCACCCTGTCACAAGGCACCCCACAAGGCGGCCGTGATACGGGGCGGGATATCTGGTGCGCAAAAGCCCTGGCGCTTTTCTTTCTCGTCACGCCGCGGAATCGTATGCCGTTAATCGGCGCGCTCGGGATAAAAAAGGCTTCTGCTCTCGCGGGCCCCCCCAGCTTTCCCTTCCTCTTGTGCCGTTCCAGCCCAACCCAAGTCTACCACATCCCCCTATATTCCCTCCAGCAACCATGGCTACATCCGTGCCAATTAACAGGAGCGAGTCTCCCGTCGCTGCTGCCCCCGTCTACAGGAGCGAGTCTCCCGCATACAGGAGCGAGTCTCCCGTCCATGTGTCGCACGACACCGTCGCTGTAAGTACTCAGCCCTGTTTTTCGGGGGATGCGGCAAAGTGAGCCGGAGGAAGGGGCAGATTTGGGGGAAAAATCAATGTGTCCGATGCCAATTGTTTTTCTTCTTTCATCCTCAGGACAACATCAGCGAGAAGATCGACCCCTCAGAGAAGGTCATGGAGGTCCACTACGCTGAGAAGCCCCACGTCGCTGGCGACGAACAGGCTGCCAACGTCGAGGCCCAAAAGCCCATGTTCGGCAAGCGCTCCGCAAAGGTCGCTGGAATCGAAATCGGTCTATGGTTGTGCCTCACGGCTTATACTATTGCTCTCTGGGTGCTCGGCAAAGACGACGGCGGTGCCAAGAAGGACGGTTTCGAGTTCTGGACCGTCTGCTGGGTCTTTGTCACTCTCCGTGTCCTCGCTCGTCACGTTTCCGCTACACAACTCTTCTGGAGGCCCGCCGGTAACGCGTGGAACAACACCTTCGGACGCCTGATGCACTTTGGTCACAACATCGTTTTCGGAGGAGTTTTGATCGCCACCCTTGTCGCTCTCTTGTTGACGGCGTTGTTCACCTCCAGCGAAGAGTCCACCCGTGCCGAGCGTGTCCAGTCGTGGGCTGGTATCATTTTCCTTCTGGCAATCAACGTCGCGCTGTCTCGCAACCGTCGCGCTATCAACTTGCAGACCGTCGCCGTCGGTTTGCTGTTGCAGTTCGTGTTTGCCTTGCTCGTGCTGAAGTGGGAGACCGGTGCCACCATCTTCAGGTGGTTTGCCACGTTCATCAACAACTTCCTCCACTACTCCCACACTGGTCTTGAGTTCTTGTTCGGCACCGTTACGTCGCACATCTTCGTCGTCTCCGTCTTCCCCGCCATCATCTTCTTCTGCTCCTTCATCTCCATCATCTACTACTGGGGTGGTATGCAGTACCTCGTCTCCACCCTTGGAGCCGCCATGATGAGGTTGATGGACACTTCCGGTGCCGAGTCCGTCGTCGCCGCCGCCTCTCCCTTCGTTGGACAGGTGGAGAACGCCCTTCTGGTTCTCCCCTTCGTTGAGTACATGACCAAGTCTGAGCTCCACGCCATCTTGACTTGCGGTTTTGCCACCATCTCCGGATCCCTCCTGATGGTGTACGCCGACATTGTTCAAGACCCCCGTCTCATCTTGACCGCTTGCATCATGTCCATCCCGGCCTCCCTGGTCCTGACCAAGCTGCGATACCCCGAGCAGGAAGAGTCCCTCACCAAGGGCAAGTGCGCCGTCCCCGAGCACGGCGAAAAGTCCGTCAACTTCCTGCACGCCGCCGGTAACGGTGCCGCCACGGGAGCCCAGCTCTGCATCCTGATCGCCGCCAACCTGCTCGCCATTATCTCCCTCTACAACGCCGCCAACGACCTTGTCGGATGGATGTTTGACATGATCGACGTCCACCGTTCCGAGGACATCATCCAGATCGCCGCCGCCAAGGCCGCTGCCGCCGACGGCTCCGAGTACATCCCCCCGTTGCACCCTACCTGGGTCACCATCTCCTTCATCCTCTCCTACCCCTTCTTCATCTTTGCGTGGTTCCTGGGAGTCAACGGCAATGAGGCCCGTATCGCCGGTGAGGTGCTCGGACGCAAGGTCGTCATCAACGAGTTCGACGCCTTCCTCACCCTCAAGAACCTCAAGGCCGCCGGATACGTCAACAACCGTACCTTCCGTCTCATGGCGTTCGCCCTCTGCTCGTTCGCCAACATCGGTTCCATCGGTATCCAGGTTTCCGCCCTCGGTGCCATCTCCCCTTCCAGGAGAAAGGACCTTGCGGAGCTCGCCGTCTCGGCCCTCATTGTCGGAACCATGTCCACATGGTTGACCGCCTCTGTCGCTGGATGCCTGCTCTAAACCACACGCTCCCATCCCATCCCCACATCCCCACACTCTTTCTCTCTCTCTCTCTCTCATCACCCTACATTGCAGTTGATCTGCAATTCGGCACATTCGGCACCCGGATGCAGTTCAGTCCTATTTAGTAAACCCGTTTGATCTGTCTCCGGGATCGTAGGCGTATGCCGCCTGCCTGCCGGGTACCTCTTTTTTGTTTTCGTCGCCGCATCACATAACCCGCCACAAATGTCTTTATACTTATAGAGTAGTACATAGATTTTGTCTAATATCATTGTCGAAAACAAAGCGCACAACGATCATCGTGGTTGAAGTACGGCGAAAACTTGGGCGGAGGGCGTTCGTGTCCGAGTGCCTCGAGAAGCGAGGTGTGTTGCTAACGGCTTCCAAACAGATGCGCTGCATAAAGAACAATAAACAACACCCACGTAGCCGCCGTCACAACTGTCCGCCTTTTGGCACCTTCCACTTTGGCCGCAATCTGTCGTTCACCAACGACCAGCGAACCACCTACGATCGAAAGAAACCGGATACCTGATACCCTTCCCTAGGGCTAGTCTCCAACCACTTCACACCTTCCCCGAGTCCTTCCCAACATAATGGCCTTCCGCGGAACACCCCACTACACCAGCGTTCCCGACACCATAATACCCATCCCGGCTGCACCCACCCTCGGCCCCCTCGCAACCTCCTCCGCCTACGACCAGCACTCACCACCCCCAGCAGCAACATGGGAGTCCCTGCGGCGGCAAGCGCGCTCATTGGAGAACGAGATTGAAGCTAAATTGGCAATGTACGCGCGGCACGGCACCGCGGGTGACGGTGGAGGCGCGGGACGGGCGGCGGCGAATGGGGTGGAGTTGGAGGTTGAGCATTTGATCAATAAGGTGGGTGTTGGGGTATTTGGGGGGTAGAACGAGGAACGAAGGACTAATGAGGATGAGATGGGTTGTAGCTGACGTCGACGGTGAATCTGATGGCGCAAAGCCTGGATAATGCGCCGACGGGGAGCAATAACCCGTCGATGATGCATATGTTGCAGCGGCATCGGGATATTCTGTACGATTATTCGAAGGAGTTTAAGAAGACGAAGGTAAGTTGCAGAAATACGCCCTTCGACATGTATCCTTGATCTCACATCCATCAACGCATGAATATACACCAGGCAAACATAATCGCCGCCCGCGACCATGCCGACCTCCTCTCCGGCTCTTCCACCTACAAATCCCCCGCCGCAGCCTCCTCCAGCACCCAGGACTACCTTCTAAACGAACGCGGGCGCATCGACGGCACCCACCGAGTTGCCGACGAGGTGCTGCAGGCGGCGTATGCCACGCGCGCGGACTTGAATGACCAGAGATCGATGCTGTATGGGGCGAAGGGGCGCGTGGGCGGTGTTTTGGGTATGTTCCGTCATTCTACTTTTACAGATGTCGCAGGTGGTTGAGGCGGAAAAGGTCAATCATCAAACCAACCCCATTTTTTTTCCCCCGCAACGCAGCCCACTTCCCCCTCGTCAACGATCTCATGTCCCGCATCAACACCCGCAAACGCCGCGACTCGCTCATCATGGCCGGCGTCATCAGCTTCTGCATCGTCTTGCTGTTTTGGTACATGCTGCGATAGACCCCAACCGCCCACCTCTCTTCCCGGCCTCCGCTTCTTCCCGCTGCGACACTTCCCCAATTTCCGAGCGAATCGCACGGGAGGGACACACATTTTTGGTTTATTGATGGATTTAACTACCTGGTTGGACGTATATATGCCGACCACACGGGCCCCCAAGCGCCTTCGTACCACGCCCGGCCCACACGTCCGTATTGTTAACAGTATCCGCGTCCACCGCACAAACCTCGCCACAACCCGATTCCGCCGTCTCTTCTGCACCTTACAAGAACGCAATGGGGGGTGAAGAGATGCTGGCACGGGCACGGGCGGAACGAGCTGGCTGTCGAACAGCGCGATGGATACTACAACGCAGGAACCACATAGGGACGCGATGTGCATGTGAGAGGTGTGATGGGGTTGGATTGCGACCGCAACATCGGACCTCGCAGAGTCGCTGAGCTTGTAGATACCCGCGGCGCGCGGGTTTGGGGATCAATATGAGAGAGACTGCTTCGGTTGTGGGGCTACGGATTGGATCGTATACCACCATCGGCAGGAGCACCAGGGATGCGGACGCATGCAAATGATTTATGTACGAAGATAATGCAAGATAATACATAAGCGATACCCTTTTTGCGTAATCGCCTTTCGAACCCAGTTCTGTTCAGAGATGCGATGCTTGCGTGCCTGAAGGCATAGTCATTTCCTGAAAGTTCGAGTCTCCTCTACATACAGATTTTGTTTTGTCAACTCTATGTCAACCTGAGTAAGAATCCATGATCTCCGCAGGCTAGTGGAAATGTGATCTTCGATATACAGTATCAGGGTATCCCGGTCAGCCAGCGTCCGTCCCGTCGCGGGCCATTGATGAAGCCATGATGGGATGAAAACCTGGCAAAGAATGCGGTGGAGACGAAACTACCCCTTCAGAAATGCAAGGATTCGTGCTTGATTTTGGACTATAGTCGCTGGTCTTTGCGCAAATCCGGTACCTCGAGATGCGCTTTATTTGGTGTCAGCGGCTTCCGAAAGCGTCCACGTTGAACGTGACATGGAGTTCAGCAGCTCCCTTGGAGACGTTTCGCGGTAGCCTTCCCCATCAAGTGACACCGAAGGACACTGTTCCTCATATCGCATTCGTGCGTGAGGACGGTGATACCGCTAGTCCCCAGCCACGACGGCGCCGTTCACGATGGGGCGTTTGCATGCGATCTCCATCTGCTTCCAAGCGCATATTCCAAATGCAACAGTGAAGCTGCTCAACTCTAGCCAATGCACCGACTCCACCGACTCCACCGATTCCAGTGCTTGACAGTTGGGAAGTGCGCATGATGGAGGCGTCGCCGTTAGCGCCATTCTTACTGATCGCAAATGTGGCGCACCCTACGCGTTCCCCACCAAATACCTCCTCTCCTCCTCCCCACCTTTGCCATACCGCCTACTCCACCCCACAAATCCCCCATCCAACACACTGATCTCTGGAATCTCAACCCCTGCACCTAACCCAACCTCCTCCCTCCTTGCCCGATCCCTTAGCACCGTATCCAAAGCCCACCGAACCTTCACCGCCGCCGTCGGACCCCGTACAAGCGAGAGGGTACAATGAAAAATCAGTCTCCTCGCCAATACCGCTTTATCATCCTCCCGATTCACGTCACCTCCCGAATGTGATGATTTCACGGCGCGAGAGTTGACATCGACGAGTTTAGCGATTACGATAGGGGGTGGCATGGAGACGAGGAGAGGGTACGGGGCATTAACCGCGGTTGTGATGTGGGATTTGGTGTAGTCCCAGGGCTCGCGGACGTCTAGGAGGAGATAGTCTATACTACGGAAGCAATAGTCATTGGGATGCATGTGATTAGTGGGGGGGTCTGAGATGAGGGCCTACCCTGGTGTTTGAGAGTCGATGATACGTGTCAACTCATCTTGGCGGGTGAAAGTCCATGACGAGGGGTTGTTTGGGGTTGCGGAGTGAAAGTGGCGGCGGCGAGGGGGGCGGTGAGACTGGCATATCCGGGAGAGCATTGAGGTGGGTCGTACTGACTTTATCATCGTAGCTGTAATGTCGAGCGTGCTGGCGCAACTTCCCAAGCGAAGGAGCCTTTCCCAGCACTCTCGTCCGACTCTCGTAAGTCATGCTCGTACTGTATCTTCCAAACAAACGCGTAACCACGGGCAAGACGGGCAGACCCTGCAGACAACGGGCTGATTTCCACGATACGGACGCTGGGAGAGGAGGGAAGTCCGTTTCTTTTCACGTTCGTTCTCCAACTGCTGTCGCATAGTCCTTCCCACTGCCTAGTCTGCAAACGGTCGACCAGGACACTGAACGTCGAACCAGCTCTCTAAGAATTCCATAAGCGTCGGAAAAGAAAATGCCCGCCTCCAAAAAGTCCAAACCCTCAAAGGGCAAGGCCGCTGGCACCAGCATCACCCCCTCAACCACCATCCCCTCAACCTCAACCACCGGCCCCCCAAACCCCCGCAACGCCAACCGCTCAAAACCCTACACTCGCCCGCAAAACACCCGCGGCAAATCCCTCAAAAAACAGCAAGCCCCACCCACCTTGCCAAAACAACCGAAAGGCAAACCCTCCAAAACCGCTTCAAAGCTCTCGGCTCTTAACCTCTCTTCCATCGGATCATCTTCTTCTCCATTCACACTGCCTCAATCATCATCAACACCGAGTACAGCGGCCCCCAACCCGAACACACTTAACCGCAGTCAGTTAGCGAGTCTGAAAGCGAAAGACGAGGCGATACTGGACACGTTGGACGCGGAGCTGGGGAATGTGATGCAAGCGTTGTCGGAGCGCGCGGGGGCGAAGAAGAAGAAGGGTGGGGCGGAGGGGGAGAGGAAGGCGAGGGGTGCGAGGAAGCAGAGCGAGTTTGAGAAGACGGAGGGGGATCTGGATCAGGCTTTGGCTATGATGGGGAACCTTTGATCGCGCGGATTGCCGAGCAAATTCTCTTGGGGAAACCCTGGAGTGCCTCCAGTTTTAAGATTATGCTGGGAGAACCATGCGCCGTATTGAAATCCCAGATAGCACACAGATTCCTATCACATCATCCCCCATGCATCATTCCTTAATTTATATCTGCCAATATTTATTACGCTTCATCTTGTATAAAAGATCCCTACGCAGTTCACTTACAAAATTGAGGGGGGGTATATATCTTCGAATATGTGGAGATATTCAACATTGGGGTTCCCAAAAATGTGACATACGGCGTTCCTCAGTACGCGCGAATAATGGGTCGAGATACCGGCGCATGTAGGGGGGTAATAAAGATAATGATAGTACGCTCTGGTTTCCATTCCGTTGAAACTTGGTCGTTGTGGAGGGTTCAAGCGATGGCGCCCGCGATATTATTGCCCAGTACGCTTTGACGGGTCTTCTTGGTGTGCATGGTGGCCGTTTTTGTCTTGAGTCGAGTGACCGTTGCTTGCTTCTTGTCAATGCTGTGGCGGCCGGTTTCGATGTTGACGCTGTCTGTCTGCTTCACAATGGCGCTGGGTGTATCGTCCGCAGGCGGGATGATATGCATGTCGTGGGCTCCGATGGGCAGTTTGAGTTCCTGTATGAAAATAGTCAGACGGCTTGCCTATGCCTCCATCTGCCCGCATCCCGCAGCGGAACGACTCACCCACGCCTTCTCGTCAATGATATTCAGAAATTCGGCAAACAAAGCTGTCCCCTCGAGCGTCGACCTGGATCCAAAAATGACCAGCTTCTTCTTCGCACGAGTGAAGCTAACATTGATTCGGCGCCAGTCCCGGATCAAGTCTCCCAACTGTGCACAGATGCATCAGTATGAGTCAGGTGTCATCTCGCCAGCGAACACCCGTTGAACAACGAAACGAAAAACATACATTCTGCTTCGGGTTGGACCTGACCAGCGAAATCACTACACACTCCTTGTCACTCCCCTGGAACTTGTCCACGGTATGGATCGCCAAGTTCGTGCGATGCTTAAGCAAATGGTGGATAATCTTCAGTTGGGAGCGGTACGGGCTGATGACGCCCAGTGCCGATTCGTTGACGCCGGATGCGATCAAGGATTCAACGAGCTAGGAGCATTATGAGTAGTGAGTATGGGGTCGCGATTCGGCTCGCGCTGCGTGGAAATCCCGCATACCTGATGCACCATGGAGGCTTCTATATCATTCTGCACAAGATCGCCTAGTCGCGAGTCGGGCGCAGGTACGTCGTCGGTGTTGATAAACACCACTGTGCGTCTATACAAGCACGAGCCATCTCTTATCAACAACGACCTCATTTGCAGCCCCGAAAAACGCAAAGACATACCTCGGCTCCAACACATCCCTAATCCAACAGATCCTCTCCCCCTGATAACACGGCCTTGCAACCTTCCTCGAATGCACCAACGACATTCCCTCCTCCAACCTGGGAATGTCCAGCCTCGAGTTGGCCACAGCAGCGGTCCCACAGCGGAGCCGGTTGTTATAGACGAGGATGTTGGAGAGGATCATAATGTCCTCGTTCAGTCGGTACTGATGTTCGAGAGCCACGACGGATTCGGGGTGCGCTTCCGAGAGCCGTTTGAAGAGCGAGGCGGACATGCCGGCCTCGCGGGCTTCGGCGTTGCGGACCAGGGGAGGCAGCTGGTAGTGATCGCCTACCAGCACAAACACGTTCGCAAACCGCAACGGGCCCAAGCAGACGGGTAGCGTCAACTGAGCGGCCTCATCGACGATACAATAATCGAACCGCCGTTTGCTGAACAGCACATGATTGATCCCCAAACAAGTCGTCGCGACCACGTTCTTTGACGCGTAAAACTCCTCGAGCTTCTTCACGGTGTCGATCTCCTTATGTTCCGCAAGTGTGTATGGCTGAATGCGCTGATGAATCTTCTGTCCACTCCCTAGCCGCAAGAAATCAAAGCCCTCCTCGTGCAATTTCAGCAACACATTGTCAACTGCTGTATGTGTGTAGGAGGTAAGCAGCACCGACTTGCCCCGCTTGACCAAGGTCTGGATGATGTACGAGATCGTGGTCGTTTTGCCAGTGCCAGGCATGCCAAGAATCAAGGAGTAATCGTTGGCAGCCAGAACTCTCTCAACCGCCCGCCTCTGATCCGTATTCAGCTTCTCATCCACCGGTCCACCCTGGACATCGTGCGTATACCCCGGTGCTTTGAGGTCCACAATCAGGTCACGGCGCCTCGGATCGCCGTCAGCGCTTAGCAGCGACACCATGTTTGCTCGCACGAGACCCATGCCGGACGCCATCTCATCCTTATCGATCCTGTACAGCGTCTTGTCCGGACCGCTGCCGAGACTGCCAGGCCATGGCGTGCCGCTTGCCGTGCCTGCAAACTCGTTGCGACGCGTTGCAGTCTTGCGCTTGGATAGGAGGTTCAGCACGCCTTCAAAGTTCTGATTGTCGCACTCATCAAAGTCGTTTCGAACACGTTTCGGCGGTCCGTTCAGTTCCCTGTTTAGCAGAATGGTGATGGCGGCAGGTTGAAGATCGCTGACAAACCCAGTCGCTAGGCCATAGTGACCCTGTTCAGTGGACACGACGATGGCGTCACCGACTGTGATATGCGAGTTCAAGAACGACGGCAAGGGGGTTCCATCGGGGTTCTCAGCGGCTCCCCGGACGAAGCGGTACTCCCGCTGTTGCGCTCCCACAGCTGCGGCTTGCGAGCCAGGCTCAAGGGGCTGCAAACGCAAGCCGCTGAAGCACCTGCGCAGATTCTCCCTCTCGCTGCCACGCATGGTCCAAATCTCCTTCCGCGACCGCTGCATGTCGCCCTCCTCCAGCGTCAGCAGACGGTCCCAGTGCTCAAAGAACTGCAAATGCGCGGGTGTCAGGTGTCCGGTCCGTTGCTCGAACAATGTGCTCAGGCCGCTGCTTTCGGCTGTTCCGTTCTCGACTGCCTTGTGATACACCATGCACTTGTCCAGCGCGTAGCATCGCTGACACGCAAACTGGTTTTGGATCATGGGAGGTAGTTTACCGGTCGTATTGTTCTTGAAACCCGCCATCTCGTTACGGGCAATGATCAAGCCCCGAACTTCGTTGCGAAACGAAGGGATTTGGATCATTTCGTTAGCTTTCAGGTAGTAGAGGATGCCGCCTGCTATATCAACACCTGCAGAAAGTGGAAGTTACTCACTGAACACACGCAACAAACTCAGGGAGAGACCAACGCACCATAACGATCACCCATCATAAGCGTATAAAGGGTTGTCTGGGCCCGATGCGAGACCACATTGGTGCTCTTGCCCGTTTTCAGCTCGAACGGCGCAGCCAGCGTCCTGGTGGCCCCAAATATACCTTCCGTAACGTTGATCTGTATGCTAGCATCGATATTTCCCTTGATTCCGAACATCGGTGACCAAATCTGATCCTCGATGTCGAGGACTTTACTGATGGACAGCGATGATTTCTCACGTCCGTCACCACGATGCTGCTTCACGATAGCATCCGGCTGGAATCGTGAAGAAGAAAATGGTGAGATACATCAGTCTGATATGACGAAACGTGGATCAAGACATTGTCTGAATTCACCTCGGGCGAACCACGCATAAACATCTGACTCCACTGCTGCAAACTCGGCACAAACTCCTTCAAGTGCTGCCGAGCCTTCTCCTCATCTTCTCCAGCCGCGTACAGATCCTCAACGCTGCTCTTCACCAACTTATCAATCTCGTCGTCCATTCGGACATCCGAAAAATCCCCATCCTTCAACCCAGCTTGCAACAGACAATGCAACAAGCTGCCGTACACCAGCGGTGGGGTAGACTCGCCGAGGGATCGGACACGGTCCTGCAGAATCGATTTCCTCAGACAATCAAAGCTCTCCGCGACCAAGGTGGCAGAGACCAGGTTGTCGGGGTGCAGGATCACCAAGTTCTTCTCGTTATCGACGATGCAGCGGTTGAGGTTCGGGTCGAATGTCCCAATGACGTGGATGTAGTCGCCGACGTTGACGTCCGTTGTCCACCAGTCTTCGCGGAGGTGGAGGAACCGTTCGTTCTGTTCTTGCTCGTTGAAGAGGCGTAGTTTCTTCTCTTTGTTGCGTGCTGGACCGTCCGGGAAGCCGTATTCGTTCCACGACACTTCGAGAACCAGGAAGCGCGTGTATCGCTGCGGTTCAGACTGCGAGAAGAGAGGACGTTCTCAATATCCCGAAAAGACCAGATGGTGTCAGGACGGAAAGACAAACATCCAATTTCACTCACCTTCACCGGTTCATCGACAAGCGGTACATTCGTATTCGCCCTGGAATGTGTCCGCGTGCTCGTTTCCGATTCGCCTTTCACCACAGCGACTTCACCTTCAGCCATAAACGCGTCCAACGCCATGGAACACGCAAAGTCGTCCGAATCGTCCGGGTCCGAGAACTTGTCCGAAACTTCAATCTCCACCTTGACTGTGTCACGTTGCTTTTGTTGGAGCTTGCGGGTATCCTTCATAGTCAGTCTGTCGTCCTTCCTGTGACGAGGATTGCTGTCCAACAGGCCCGCTTGCTCAAGGCGCTTTTGAGCTCGTTGCCGTTCCCAAGGGGGAATGTTCTCCTTGAAGTTATCATCATCGAATGTACTTGATTTCCCTTTGGGACTTCCAGGCCAAGCCGACGAGGGGTTTGGGAAGGTGGCGGACCTATTCAGACGTCGGCGCTTTACGCTATCGGGTGTGGTTGCCGCTGAACAGCGACAGCTCTCTTCGCCACTTTGACGGCCATCAAGCGTCGTTGGACCCGCCGAGCAGTTTGGTTGATTGAAGAGTTCCAGTCCCGGCACGCTGAAACTATTTGGCCGTTTACCTCCTGTACTCCAATGAGTAAGCCTCTCCCGGCGAATCTGTTTCGGGTCAGTGTTGCGGAATAGAGCGGAGGGCGAGCCTTCTAGATTGCTAAGACTGAAGCTTCTCTTGTAGGATGTCTTGCCGTGTGAGGGCGTGAGCTCTGGATTGGAACGTGCTGGGTGACGAGGCTTATTGCCGAGAGTAGGAGAGTTTTCTTTTGGAGTGGCCACCTTCTCGCCTGCAAGAAGACTCGCAACGTACTTTGCCTCGGCGCGCGTGTCTCGCTTCCTCCCTTCTATGAGGAACAGAAAGCTTGATGGTAAGACGAAACTTCCTGACACAATTATGCGATGCAGCAGATGGGGCGATATGCCTCTTACCAATAGCAGAAGCAGCCGCATTCAGCTTTCCAGAAGGCGGAGAGTCTCTCCAGTATATTCTGTCTTCTTGATCAGTCTTCTTAACTGGCGTTGCTTGCGTCAATGGCAGATCGGGCGACACTGCCGAGGTGCTTGACGCCTCCTGTGACTGTCTAGGCTGCAATGTTTCCTCGCTGAATCCAGAGTCGGAGGGCTTGAGCGGCTTTTTGGGGCTTCTCGCGGTTCGCCCTTTCTTCGGACTTCCCTCGTCCACAGCAGGGTCTTCGAGCGGAAGAGACGGGCGTTTGTTAGAGCGCTTCGATCCATCTACACTCGTCCTCCGCCCTGCTTGTTGCACATCTATGGTAGCAATCTTAGCAATCTTGGGATTTCAAGAAGTACAGGACAGACCTATGGCGGACACCTACCTTGCGATGGGACAACCACAACCACCGGCGGTCCGGCAGGCTGCTGCACCGCTCTCTCCACTATCACACTCCTCGGCAACACTTTGTTCACGGACTTCTCATCCATCGAACCCAAAGCTTTACGCGTGCTCGTGGTAGACGTCTGACCCGCGTTACCCGTTCCACCCGCGAGTCCCAGAATTCGCCGTTTCATCTTGGCCGTCGCGCCTTCCCTATCTTTAGGCTTTGCTGGTGGTGGCGCGCTCTCAGTATTTTCAGAGGATGCCCCTTTTAGGTATTGCAACATGCCGGCCTTGAGGGGTTGCGCGTCCGAGGCGGGCTTACGGGATGCGCTGTCCTACGTGTTCGGCGGAAGTGTGAGCATTCAGAAACGTATAAACGTACACTGAACCGAAGAGTCGCACCTTTAGCGGAGCCGCTGGCTGCTTGCTGGTTTTCCTGGCCGTAGAGTTCTTCTTCATTCTGACTGGAACACTTAAGGCAGGGCTCAAAACACTCGACCTCTAACCCGGGGATAATGTAGTGGTGGAACGGACACTCCGGCTGGAGCCCTGCCTTTGAAATTGACAACAAAAACCAAAAGCAGCCCAGCACACGCTTTGTTTAAGATCAAGTGGCCTGTTGTCTCTACTGAACCAGAGACCCGCAGACCTGAGGGGTAAGGGTGCCCATGGAGGAAGCAAGGGTAAGCTTCAACTGCAAGCGCGCGACGAGAAAGTCCCCGCCTTCGGACAGCTTGGTGACGTGTGGCCCAGACGCGTGCAGAAGGGTCGGCTCGTTGGTGCGCTCGCTGTTTGACAAAGTGAACAATTTGCCCAGAAGCGACCATATAGAAGACTGCTCGACGCAAACGGACACACTTTATTTCATACGCCTATGTACTCCTATACACTTGCGACCATTTGTTCGCAATGTAATCGCCAAATGTGCCGGCTACACCAACATCTACGCTATTTGCCGTCGTCCCGGACTCCCCATGCCTTTGATCGGCAAACAAGCTAATCTTCTGTACGCTTCCCTCGGTATCATCCTTCATAATGGGAATTCGTGCGTCGTAGGTCTACAAGACTCGACTTGTTGAGTTGAGGGTGCCTGCAACATCAGGCGATACGGCAGAACACTTACCGGATAATAGAAGAATACCATCGAAAGTCTCTCCTCCTCGGACGTAATAACCCTATGCAAGGGCGACTTGACCCGTCCTCGCGTCAGCAGTGCCAAATAGTCCCCAGCGTTCACAATCAACGTTCCTGGAATCGGGGGCACATCCTTCCATCCTCCCTCCCCATCTGCCACTTGCAACCCAATCACCCCATCCTGCTGGAGAATCAATGTAAGGAACCCCCAGTCGGTGTGCGGGCTCGATCCTATCCGCTCGACTTCCCCACCCGCCACGGACCCTGCGGCGCGGTACGGAAAGTAATGGAAGAAACGCATCAAGCTGATAGTATCGCCTTGGGTGCAGAATGACGGGAAATGGTCCTCCGGGAAGCCTAGAGAGACGGAGAGCGCCCGCGTGACGGCTGTCGCTATCTCAACCATCCCGGCGTAGAAGTCGTGGAGAGTAGTTTCCCAGTCGGGTGGCAAGTGAGAGAGATCCGGCCACTTGTTCGGCCCCTGTAGGCTGTTTCCGGGGGGCTTGTCGTCTGGCCAACGGTATCCATAGCTGAACGCTTCCTTTACCTCCAATGCGCTTGAACCCGATTCTCCGCCTATTCTGATGTGTCCCGCCAAATTGGTTGTGCAGAGTGAACCCAAACGCGAGCCGCCGTCAGTGGGCCCCTGGCAAGTTGAAAACAGGAAACGAAGAAGTCCTCACCAATGCCAATGTACCCTCTCGTAAAGCCTCCGGGGCTAATTGGAACTGCCTTTTTCACCTCTTCGGGTAAGGCAAAGAACTGCTTCGCAGCTTCGAACGTCCGCAAGCGCTTCTCGTTCGTGAGCCGGCCGATATCACCGCTTTTGAGATAAAAGACGCCATGTTGAGAGCAGGCTTCTGCTAATTGCGCCCCAACATCCCGCTTTGCTGAAGAATCCTGTCCAGCAGGTGCGTTCGTTGAGAAAGGAGTAATGTCGATGACGGGAAGATTGGGAGACATCTTGGACATCCTTTTTGTCATGTCGTTGCAACGAGGAAAACGGCACAAATAAGGCTTTGCAAGCCGTCAAGTCGGGAGAAACCGGGAGACGGCCCCGCCTTCCCCTTGCTGATTTCAATCTGAAAGGGCGATTATGCACCTTCTGTTGATTAGCCGTCGGGCCCATTTCTAAACTGGGTGCCCATTCATTATTCATCCGCATCCTTCCATTCCCGCGCTTGTCTCCGCCCATCACATCGGAGTATCAAATTTTGGCAACAGGCCTCCTCTGTGGTTTTTATTTACGTAGCGCAAAGCCAACTCTCGCCGTTTTCGCACCCTCGCTTTTATACATAAAGACGTCACCGCAATCCCAGTTCTCACCAACTCAACTCACAACCAACAACAGCAAAAATGGGTGGATCTCTGACCAACGTTCCCTTCGGTGTATGTATCCTTTGTCTTTCGGGTCTCTGGATGGGTGTGACGACGAGCTGGGAGCTGTGCCGGGCCCAGTTAGCGAGCGCTAAGTGAAGGGCTCAGGGCAGGACGGCACAGGACAGCATTGAGCAGGTCACTCACTTCCACTATTCGTCTATTCATACAGGTTTACCCCCTCTTCGGCATCATGGCTGTCGCCGTCGGTGGATGCTCCTACTTCGTATGGCACAAGTCTACCGGTCCCGACTGTGTTTGGGCTCGTGGGTAAGTCTCCCTTCCCTTCCCGTTTGTCTTTACTCCCATCATATTTGCAGTCTGCTGATAATCCACTCAATCCACAGTAAGAACCCCGAACCATGGAACACCGTCCAACCCCACCAAACCTCCAAGCTCTACGACGTTGTCGGAAAGTCCGAAAAGTGGTCCCGCTGGTCCGTCCCCGTTTCCTCCGCCAACGCTCCCCAGCACTAAGTTATATATTCAGCGACACTTTCCGGCTGTGTGAAACAACCCCGTTTATTAGTGGGAGGATTTCACGGCGGTAGAAGAACAGCGTCGTTTTCGACTACAGCCTTTAGATAGAGAGGCTAGAACCGAACCGACTTTGATTCGATTTGAGGTTTTCTTAGATAACCTTTTGATAATTATGATATTTTGAGACTATCTCGAGAGCTTTTGGCGCTCGATTCACCTTCGTCAGATGGTTGACCTGCTATGAACGAGAAACCAGCTGGAAGCGCTTGAATGGCTCGTTGTGAGACTTCTTCAGAACTGCATCTGCGCACCAAATGGGAGAGCTCGCTGCGCTCGCTTTGCTAGCACACCTCGTCATTATATGGAGGCATTCATTCTCATCCGATCAGACCACGCAAAAACAGAATCAGCCCTCGCAATATATATATTGTCCATCTCTCATGTACAAAGTTACCTTGTCAAACAAGGTGCAGCCAAAGCGAACGACAGAGATCAGGCATTAAAGTTATGTAAAGGAAAGGAAAAAAAAATGGTAGGGGGCGGAAGAGAAGGCGGGTTTAAAGAGTGAGGTCCACATTTCTGTCCTTGAGTTTTGGGGCGAGGACCACACACGAACGACGACCCCTGGGTTCGACGGGGCGCATTGGCGGATCGAGATGTTTGGTGTTTAACGAGCCTTGATGAAACGGGTACGGTCGAACGAGTTGAGGTTCTTGTGGCAGACGAGCTGGTAGACTGTTGCGCTTCCTTGCCTGGCGACGATGGTAGAGTAGGCCAAGAAGTACTGATGGTGTGGAGGAGAGAACGAGTGAGTACAATCTGACAGATTTTATATCCTGCCGACAAGCAATAACATACCTCCCAGATCCTGAACCAGCGGACACCGTACTTAGCAACAATCTTATCCTTGTTCTTAAGCCAGTTGGAGTACCAGCGGTAGATGGTCGTGGAGTAGTGAACACCCAGAGTCTCACTGGACTCAATCTCGAAACCGGCGCGCTCGAGCTGCTCGATGTACCAGTTCAATGGCGTGGACGCGTCAGCTCCGGGGAAGACGTACTTGGCCATGAAAAGCTGTGGAGAAGAAGATATTACTATCGGTACTCGTTTCCTCATGGTGCTCAAGATACGTTTTTCAACTTACACCCCACATGAGGTCCTCGTACTGCCAGGTACGACGGAGACCGGCGATCTGGAGGAAGAAGATACCGTCGTCCTCGAGCATCTCCCGGACCTGCTTCAAGAAGGTCTGGAATCGCAATACGCCGACATGCTCGGCCATCTCGAGGCAAGTGATCTTGTCGTACTTTTGGAACGGGATGTCACGGTAGTCCATGCACAGAATGTTGACGTTGGAAGCAACGTTGGCTTCCTCGGCCTTGCGAGTTCCCCACGCAGTCTGGTTCTTTCCAAGGGTCACACCGGTGACCTTGGCGCCCTGCTTAGCGGCGTGGACGGCGAGAGTTCCCCAACCGCAACCAATGTCAAGCATGCGGTCTCCGGACTTCAGCTGAATCTTCTTGGATACGAGCTCCAGCTTATTCTGCTGAATCTCCTCTAGGGTCTGACGCTCGTCCTTCTTGGTCATGATGCCAGACGTGTAGATCATCATAGGTCCAACTGTGGTGAGACAAAGCCTCGGTTAGTTTACTGTGCCTATTTTGTTACGGCCGGCGGAATTTGACTCACGGAAAGCGTTGTAGAAGTCATCACCACGGTCGTAGTGATCGCGGACCTGGTTCTCGTCCTGCTTCTTCGAATGCCAGAGAGTCTCAGGGACCCACTGGGTCAAGAAGAACTTGACTTGGCCGATTGTCCAGGTGAACGAGGCCCAGTCGTAACGAGCCTCAAGCAACTCCAGCATGTCGTCCTTGATGTCGATCTTCTCATCAAAGTAGCTCTCGAAGAACGTCTCGATGGGAATCTTGGACTTGGTGTGGTAGTGCCTCTTCAGCTCAGCATCCTTGATCTCCATGTACTCCTCGAGATTTTTGCCTGGCAAACCCCTCTGAGGGCGAAGCGGAGGAGCGTAGCGCGCAAAAAGGACATTGAAGCCGGCGAACACGGGCAGACCTAAAACGGCAAGCACCAACGGGTACCAAGACAGAGACCAGCCGGTCAAGACGATCACGGCGAGCGGAACTCCGGCAATGGCGCCGAAAAGCTGGAGGTTCGAGAAGGCGGAGTTACCCGAACCTTCGATGTGGTGCCGGGTAGGCGCCACCTGGAGGACGTCGTGGTTGAGGACCGTCATCTGGGAAAATAGGTCAGATCACGGATATCGCTTCTAACGAGAGGGTTTTGCGGATAGTCTAGGAATGGAATCCAGGATGCTCCCTAAGCGGTCTCCCAACTCCCACAGTCTTCGCGATATAGAGGCGGTTCACTGCTGCCCTAAAGTGCTTCTACTTTAGTGAAGCCTTTCAAACATACCTTTCTACTTTGGGGGAAGTCTCCGAAAGCGAAAGGCTGGGAACGGCTGCGGTGCTGCTTTATGGTTTTCTTTGCCTGCTTGAAGCGCGCTCCGCCGCTCAGTCAGGGTGCCCGATGGAGCGGAGCTTTCGGCTACCCACTCCTAAACTAACAACTAATCAAAATCCGTAGTTGCCATACGATTTTGATTGCAACGGTTTTTTGGGCCGCTGTGGGGCTTTCCGACAAGAGTTCAACCTGCTGCGGAAGCGATCACCCTATCCCCGTCATAATTTCTTTGAAGGCCATTGCACAAACGCGCGATGGGCCCTTGCCTGCAGGGAAGAACCCTCGGATTGTTGGACGTTCCGCGTGGCCGGCAAAGCTACCCCAGGTGCCCAAAAGAAGGTTTGCGTTGTGGGAAGTTGGAGTCTGTTGAACCTTGGAACGGCATCATCACAATGCCGCATCATCATGTTGCATGTGGGGTTCACCAATTTGAGGTTGGTGCTGGATCCCAGGGATCGGATGGGGAGATATTCGGTGGCCACCGGCTCCCCATTTGTTGCCAGCAGCGGCGTGGAATTAACCCAGCCCATCTGCGGCTAGCTTCGCCGATTCAATGCCAGGTTTAGGGTTCGGTTTAGGGGTCCTAACGGAGGGGTGACGTAGACGTGAGTTCTCGCTCCACTCCAATTCGCACGTCAGCACGATAAAGGTCGAACCCCTATCGCATATCAAATCGGCGATCTTGGTGATTTAAACCGACAAGGCATCAACCTAGAAGTCGACGAAAAGGTGGGGTGGATCATCAAATTCGTTGTCACTGGGTATCGCAGAAGAGCATCGATTGTCGTGCGCGGAAGTTTTCAGCGAAATGAACGATAGAGTGCCCCTACTAGCGGCGTCCGCGGCATCAGTGCCAAAAAACCGACAAGGTGCAGCTTGGCTCTTCGGGCATGCACACTGTGGCACCTTTCTGATCCCTTTGACTTAAGGCTCCGTACTATGCCGTCAAACGATTCTGAAGAGTGATCACTATGAGACATCTGAACGCTTTCTTCGTGCCCCGCTCAGACTGGAAGGGGCTCCAAACTTTCGTAGAGCGGATCCACAAATCCTGGGCGCCGCTCAACCAACAATTACAGGAATCCGTACCATATTGATGCTCTTGCAGATCCGCGGACAGAACACAACTCGCAAAGCCCTATGGTTCTCTGCTCGCGAGGAGCCGATCGTCTATCTCGATGGCAAGCCTTTTGTCCTGCGCGAGAATGAGCGCCCGTTCACCAACATCAGGTCGGTGCAGGGCATCAGCAGCACACGTTTAGAACAGATGGAGGCGAGGTTGAAAGAGGACATCGAGAGGGAAGCTAGCAAGTGGAACGGGATGCTGCTGGTGCATGAGGAGAGCGAAGGGAAGCTGGTGCCAACTTGGATGGCCATCGACCGCCCACATATTCAGACACCTCGAGAGGTTTTTGATGCGTTTGTCGCGGAAGGGTTTCCCGTTACCTATTTCCGTGTGCCTGTAAGCGGAGAACAAGCGCCCGAGGACCGGTTCATCGACACATATATCAATGCCATAACGAGTTCTAGACCGGATGATGCGCTCATCTTCACGTGCGGAATGGGCAAAGGCAGAAGTATGTTCATTGAGGTTGCACGGACATCGCAAACGAGACCGCGTAATCATAATCAAGAAGCCTCTTTCTTCCTCTTTGTTGGTGTCATGCAGCTACGTTTGCCATGGTACTTGCCATGATCATCCGAAACGCGCAATACGGTGAACGCAGCGCCCGAGCATCGCTCCATGCCATTAGAGCTGATTCCTCACGGATCGATCTGACTGCTTTGGAGGAGAGCGAGTCGCAAAATACAGCTATGCTCCGTTTGGTTCATGTTCTCGAACAAGGTAGAGCTGAAGCTGGTTTGGACGCTTATCCAAATTGGCTTAGGGTCACTTACGCGTTCCTCAGGATTGGCGTCGTCTGACTCGGCACGTTCCGCTCTCGACTGGATATTTGCCCGAGCGCCGTTGATATCGGATATGAAGAGCGCTTTACTGGGAGGTTACAGATGCATTATGGAGCTGGCGAGTACGATACATAATGGGACGAAGCTTAAGAAGGTAGTTTCCTTGTGAATCACGGAGAGTGCGATAGCATCTTGAACTCAATATGTTCATCCGAAACAGAAACTGGATGAGATCATAGACCTGTGCGACGCAATGGTCAACATGCGCGAAGACATCCTTCTTCATCGCGTGAAGTACTCTGTCAATGGCGAATCCAAATCTCTCCGCGCAGCTGTTGCGTGCTTGGGAAGGTATTACTTCCTTCTCGCATTCTTTGCCTATGCGCGGGAGGTAGCACCACAGGGGTTTGATGTGTCATTCACTCAATGGCTGGAGAGACGTCCAGGTATGCCTCATTGCAAAAGGCAACTCTGGCCAAGCGAGTGATGGTGTGCTAAAGTGTTGCCGGTTTGTGTAAGAAATTGGAACGATGTTGCGGAAGTTCCGCGTTTCCACACCCCAATTGATACTGTTTCGGCCTTTGGACGACCTCTCCATGCTTACCGGAGGAGACTTACGCATGCAGAACTGGCAGGATGAGTCGCCATCGTCCTTCGAATGGGAGAAGCATGTCATAAGGGTGGGTGGTACGAGAAGTTCGCATGGTTCGGCGAGCAAAAGACTGAGGTTGATGTACTAGTCGCGACATGGAGCTGTGCTTGCACCCCACAACATCCTCAAAGTAGACCACTGGGACGCCGTCAAGGACGTCATCGAAGGCGCCCCACGGTTCCGGAAACTACGGACCGCCAATATCTACGCGACCGCGCAACCTACGATTCAGGGTATGAAAAACGTGATCCAGGAGCTGCAGCAGAGGTCAGGGGACCGACGCAGAGCGGTGTGGATTAATCTGCGCGAAGAGCCGCTAGTATACATCAATGGAATTCCTTACGTTCTTCGAGACGAGTTTGTGACCTTGCGGAACATCAAATCGTACTCGGGCATTGATTCGGCCCGTTTGGAACTGATGGAGGAGTCTCTGAAGCGCGACGTGGTGGCTGAATTGTCTACATACGATGAGAGCATCTTGCTTCATATGGAGACTCCCAACGGCGAAGTTGTCGCGCAATGGGAGCATTGTTCGCCAGAGAATGTACACACTCTTCAGGAGGTCTTCAATCTCGTCCGGGACGAACAACATGCGTCCGAATCTGCCATCGAAATGGATTACGCGCGGATCCCGATCACGGCAGAATCCGCACCATCACCCAGCGACTTCGCCGACATCCAGAAAGTCATTTGCGCGGTCGATTTGAAGGATTCTGCGATACTCATGGTGTGCCAGACGGGCAAGGGCAGGTCGTCTACGGGGTGCGTTGTCGCCTACTTGGTTTTGCTGTGGCTCGGCGCCGTTGAGCCACCGCAGACGAAATCCGTCACTCGACCCAATTACAGCATCACCAACAGCCTGCTGAGAGTCGTGAGGGACGGGGTGGAGAGCAAACGGCTAGTTGACGACGTCATCGACGAGTGTGGGGAGTACCTCAACATCCGAGACGACATCGAGGCGTCGAGAGTCGACGCTATGAACGCGCCGGACGACATGACGCGGCGGGCGGCGACTGACAGGGGTCTCGTGCAGTTGAAGCGCTATTTCCTCCTTATCGCCTTCCAGAGCTATCTTGCCCAAAATCCACCGGGGCTGAGCAACGAGCTGCAGAGTTTCTCGTCGTGGTTGCAGAAGCGGCCGGAGTTGAAGGGAATGGTCAGAATCATGGGGCAGGAGAATGATATTCATGCTCTGACGCCTGTCGAGCACCTGCGTCCCGGTGACGGCATGGCCCTTTCAACTGAAGTGCTGGAAGTCGTGAAGAGCAGGAAAGGTGCGGTTCTCAGCCAAGGGTCGATTCTGAAGGGCGACATGTTCCCAGGAGCGCAGAAACTGTCATTGACGGAACGTGTCGATGGCGCACCGAATTTTCGCCGAATTTCACTGTCGAAGGTCCAAAACCAGCTGGGCCGCAATGCTATTCTTACTGGCACGCCTTCGAGCGATAAGTTGGCGTACATGCAATTCCAAGCGGACGCCAAGCAGGACCCGCCTGCGTCGTCATCGTTGTACGGGATAGGCATGCCCACCAAGCCGGCGATCAGACGGGCTTTGGAAAAAGTCGGCGCAGTGCCCGATGGATCCCGGAGATTGGTCTGGACGAGTCTGAGAGAGGAGCCGGTGCTGTATGTCTCAGGCGTGCCTTACGTTTTGAGGCTGTTGCAAGATCCCTTATCGAACCTCGAAACAACCGGCATCGTCAGGGAGCGTGTGGAGTTGATGGAGTCCCAGATGAAGCTGGATGCGCTGGCGGAGCTCAAGCATTATGGTGGTAGGCTGTTGTTACATGAGGAAGAAGTCACTGAGAAAGGGTTTAGCATCGTGCCGGTGTGGGAGACTGTGTCGGAAGACGCCGTTCAAACCCCATCGGAGGTGTACAAATGTTTCCAAGCTGAAGGATATAAGGTCGATTACCTGCGGATCCCCATCACGGACGAACAGGCGCCGATACCCGAGGTCTTCGATCTTCTAGTAGACCGTCTCACCCGTCTCCGCCGATTCACTGATATCATGTTCAACTGCCAAATGGGACGCGGTCGCACGACCACAGGGATGATCATAACCTGTCTCGTCGAAACTATCGTCGGAAACCATCACCTAGTTGCTCACAGCAACCCACCACAAAACGAGTCCGCGCAGCTCACTCCACCGTCTTGGTTCCCGTCTTCCACTTCGCCGTACACGGAGACTGACGACGATCAGCCCGAGCAGGTGCGCCGACGCTACGCCCGGGGCGAGTACCGCCTTATTCTCCGCCTCCTCGCGGTGCTTACACACGGCAAGCACGCGAAACTAGTCACGGACAACGCAATTGACGCATGCGACCATGTGCAGAATCTCCGTCTTGCTGTCTATGATTACAAGCTGCGGGTGGAGAGCATGGCGGAGAACACCCCCGCGGAAAAGGCCAAGAAGGATAGGATGATGAATGTGGCGAGGAATTACCTCGTCAGATATTTCTACCTCATCGTCTTCGCGGACTACCTGATGGAGGTATGGGCGGGGTGGAGGAGCGAAGGGAAGCTCACCGGATCGCCCACGAGCACGGCACCGCCGTCGTCTTTCGGTTCCTCGGTTTCGTACCCGCCTGCCGTGTACGCGGAGCCAGCTGGCGGTGACACCCCCGACGACACCGCGGAAGTCGTCGCGGAGGAAGTCGACAAGGCCAAATCGCGGGGCCAGTCCGCTCTCGTCGGCGTCGCCAACCTCGCTCGCAAATCGCGATCGCTGGAACGTCTCAACACCATTGCGGACGTTGAGGATGATGAGGATGCTGATTCAGGGGAGGACGCCGCTGCTGGTGGCGTGCTGGCGTCCAGTGGGAAACCGAGACGGATGCCGATCAAGTTTAGTGAGTGGTTGAGGGAACGAAGGGAGATTGTGAATTTGGTGAGGAATGCGGATAACCAGTCGTTGGACTGAAGGCGGATTGCGGGAAGTAGGGGGGGATATCAGACGGGCTATTACTTCACAAATTGTGCTATTGTATCTATGCAGTTTCATGTGAGATGATTGTCATGTACATACTTTGTGCCAGCAAATCGATCATGAATGTGAGATCGCAAGCGAGATAGAGTAGAATACAAAATGATCGATAGGAATAATGATAGACATGGTCGCTTTTATTTTCAAGTGACGGGCGACATACGCCCAGCACGAATGGGCATTGATCGAAGCGAGGCTTTTCTACGTTGGACGACCATGAAGGCATGTATCGCCCGAGTTACCGCTGCGGCGAAGACTCTATAGCAGCGACAAACTACTGAGTTCGCGTCTGTCTCCTCCTCAAGTGGCACAATCCACGTGCCATACCTGATCGGCCCGGAATATGCGGATCGCACGGGATGAAGCAGCAAGCGATGTCGCGAAGTGCTCAATGAACTTCCTCACTGAGATACACTCAACTCACGCCTTTGACGTCGGCGTCGGCGGCTGCACAGCGGCGTTCGTTGGCGTCACTGCGGCCGGTGTACCACTCCCCAGCAACCCCTGCCTCTCCTTCTCCTTCAACATAGCTTCATGCTTCTTCGTAAAGTCCTGATACCTGTAAGTTTATCAAATAATCAGCACGCAACGTTCTATACACCTACATCCGCCTACGGAAAACCCAAACAACACACCAGATCCCACCAACAAGCGCCCCAATCGCCAAGAACTGGAACGCGACCCTCGTCTGCTGCGACTGTTGGAATCCGACCTTGTCCGATCGGAGCATCGACGAGGTCATTCTGTACATTGCGTACAGCGTTGCGCCGACGGAGGGCAGGATGAAGGGATTCTCGGCGTTCTTCCGCTTTGTGCGGGCCCAGAAGCCTATGGGTAAGAGGAGGTTAGGCTGTGCAAGAAGTTTTTGGACGACTTGTGGGGTATGGCTTGCCTTCTTCGTATGGGTTTACACTCGACATTTTGTAGGCTGTTCACAGAGAAGAGGAGGTGATCGCCGGGCACTGAGGTGCTAGAAGATACTATGCAGTGAGTGCTTTTCGAGTCTGCTGTTGGCCTTCGACAGTCGACGAAGGGATGCGGTGCCTTCGACGATGGTGCGAAAGCTTCCCAGTTCCGTCAGTTCTTGCTCCCGTTGTCAGTGTGCCAGGCTTGCCTCACGCGTTTGCTCCGACTCTCCGCTCTCTCACCAACCAGATCACCAACCAACCAACCAACCACAAAGCTGCACATCAGCCTCCACCGCTTCATCTTCAAAAGTCCTTCGGACAAAGGCAAATGACATCCGCTGCAGCCAATTACAAATCGTTATATCCCGCTCCAGACCTCCTGTCTCGCATCCTCTGTCGCGCAGCGCTCACCGGCTCGCCATCGGATCGGCGCAACTGCCTCTTGGTGTGCAAAGCATGGAGCGTCGCATTTTCCAGTCGGAAACCGTTACTTGTCAAATACAACTTCCACAGAACGGAGGGACTTCCCGATGGAGACATCTATAACCTGAACAGTGCCGGGGGTAACATAGTCTCAAGCTTGGATTGGGGCATCGAGACAATAGGTTGTATTTGTGTGTAACACATAGTTCATCAATGACGATCAAGGAATAGGAAAGTCCATTATACATATAAACCACCAAGAAAAGATTACCGAGCAGCAGTTGTCGATGCTCCACCAGCCGGCTGAGCCACCGACGACGACGGCGTTGCGGTCGCTCCCACTGTAGAAGCAGTCTTCCCACTGTTCCGGAGGAGGTATACTGCAAGGTATTCACATGGGTTTGGTGGTCTATGAAGCCGAGGCGCAGATTAGTATGTGAAGAGATATTGATAGATGTCGCGGATGTTGGGATATGCACCTCTCTTTAGCAAGCGCCTTCAACCCCTCAATCAGCACCGGCACGACCGTTTGATCCAAGTAGCTGCGTAATGGCAGGCTGTTGATGTGGTCTGGATCCGTAGATGTCACACGTTGTCGGCCTGCATCAATGGCTTCCTGAAGACAAATCCATGAATGCGATCAACAACTTCACTGCATACTTGCGAAGTTCCTAGACATTTACCAGTAACTCCTTGGTCAACCCAAACGACTCATGTGGATTAACTCCGTTGTTTGCCGGGTGCGTATCACTTATTGTGGGTGCCCCACCGTCCCCTGATGCTGCCACCAAGCCCCCCATGCTCCCGCTTGCTGCTGAGAGGCTGGTAGTGACCGGGTCGGTGTTTGTGCTGGAGGGTTGGGCTGGGGGTGGTGTTTCTGAATTAGCGGGGAAGGTATTAGCTCTGATATGGATGCGAGCGGGATGCGAGCGGGTACCTTGCTTGTCTGCCATGATTGCCAGAGACCTCTTGTTTGTGCAGAATTATCGGACGACGCTGGCGGACGTTGACCTGGGGTTGCTTTGTGTGTTGTTTTTCCAGGTGGAAAGGCTTGTCTTTTCCCGAGCAACTTTCGGCGGCGACGCGTCAACATGGAAGGCGCGTTTTCCTGAGGCCACCTGACAGCACTGCTGACACAGCTTGCTCTGCACTTGAGTCTGCAGGCAGACGGACATCACAATCACCTCCACCATTCTCTGCTTGCGAGCCTCCAGATCCACGCCGAACGTCGTCCGCCACCACCCAGCTGCTCTCGTCCCTTCGCTAATCTCGTTTTAAACATGTCCACCCTCCGCATCCTCGCCCTGGCTGCCCGTCAACCCTCCCGTCTCCCCCCACCATCCCGCCTAATCCCCGTCCAATCCCGCCACCTCGAAACCCGCCGCACCTTCTCCGCATCGCCCTCGGCAAAGTTCCCGATCGGCGTGGACCCTAAAACGACCGGCGGAGTGCCTTGGAGTATTGGGGAGTTGAATCATGTTGCTATTGGTGGGTGACGTTGAGGAAGAAGGAGGGAGTAACCGGGTTGCAGAGGGGGCGTGATAGTATTTACTGGCAGGCGAGAGGACGGTTCATTGAAGCTTGGATATTTTCGTATTATGCAGCGGTGCCGGACATCGACAAAGCAACGAGTTTCTACCGTGATGTTTTGAAAGCCAAAGTGTCGGAGAAAGTGGTATGTGAGCCATGTGGCTCTCTATATCGTTTGAGGAAGGACGACAGTAGTCATAAGGCGCCCGCACCAACACCTGATCTCGTCATTCCCTAGGCACTCCCCGACCACGGAGTCTACACCGTCTTCATCAACCTCGGAAACACCAAAATCGAGCTCCGTAAGGCCCTCCTCCATCCATTCCCCACAATAACTTCCTCTCACACCTTCCCTCCCATCCCCGTCCCACCAGTCCACCCCTACGGCCCAAAATCACCAATAGCAAACTTCCTGGCCAAGAAGCCGGACGGCGGAATACACCACATTTGCGTGGAAGTCGATGACATCAAAGCGGCGATGGCTGATCTGAAGGCAAAAAAGATCAGGGCGCTGGATCCGGAGCCGAAGATTGGCGCGCATGGGAAGCCGGTTGTGTTTTTGCATCCTAAGGATTGTGGTGGTGTCCTTGTGAGTTTCTGGCCCGTGGAGGAGGTCTCGCAAGAGGAAAGTTTACTCCAGCTTGTTGCTGACACGTTTTTTTTTTATTGATTCAGGTCGAGCTAGAACAGAAGTAGTCGCGGGATATCCTATCTAGATTAGCGTGCCGTAGCATGTAGCATAGACAGAAGGCAGTCACTCTCGATATGGCAAATCATTCATGACTATGGCCTCGCAATTGACGAGATTATGTGATATCAATCATTGACGTGCCAAAACGACCACCAAGTTGCCTTGAAGCCAACACCTCTCTAATCTGTCTTGCTGCGGTTTCCGGAACCCGCTCCGTCTTTGTTCTGATCTGATCCGCCTACGCTGGCGATCAAGCCCACCACGAAGCTATTCGAAAGGAAAAAGAAAGAGTACATAACGAGCCATCAGCAAACCAGTGACATTTCCAAGGAAAACTTAACCCGCTCGACTCACATAAGCGTAACAATCAACGAAACACTGGACCAGAATATGATCTGGAACGAGACCGAGATGTCCTGGTACTGGCACGAGTCGCCGGTCCACGTGACAGGGCCCGAAAAGCCCTTCACGGCCTTTCCGTTGTCGTCGGTCCACTTTTTGTTGCATGAGCAGGTGTAGCATGTGACGTTATTTGCGTCTGTTTTGGGGACGCAGGCGCCGTGGCTGGTGCAGTTCGCGAATGCTCTGAGGAAGGAAGGATCCATTTAGGGAGTGTATCTAGGGTACTGTTTGGCAGACGTAACTTACGAGATGCACGCCGCTTGCGAGGTCGCGCACGTAGTTGTAGCGAGTGTGGAAGCACGACGGGAGAGGGTTGTCGAGGCAGACGGGGCCAATGCAAGAACCTCCACCAGCACGTTCGACTTATGGATTTCCGAGAAACGACCGGCGATCTACGACGAACACCAGAAATGGGTTCACATCTCCACAATCGTCAATCGTCAAAACGACCACATGGGAGCATACCTGCTCCACGATCGTAGCGGTGATCTCAGCTCCAGTCCGGTATTGCGCCGACGTTTCGCCGTACCGAGCTCGCAAGCCACTCAGACCCGACAAGGTGATGGCAAGGAACTTTGGTGTCGGCAGTGTCTGAATCTTCTTTCCGTCGTGCACTTGCTGGATAAACAAAGCCTCAAAGAAGCTGCCGAGAAATTCCATTTCACCCTGTGTCCGATGTTAGGAATTGAGCTAATCAACATGTCGGAGTAGAACTAACGTACCAGGAACTGGGCGTCGTCCTACAAGATACAGATGTGCCAAATTAGTGGGACCATCCACATCATCCCTTCCCTTCAATGATGCAGCACTCACTTCTTGGTGAATCTTGAAAACGGAAGCCTTCTCCCCAAAACTCTCAACAGCGTGAGCCTCCATATTCACAAACGTGGTCGACCCGATTTCCTTGATAGTTCGCTCCAAACTCGCCGGCAGCAACCCCGCCGATCTGTCCTTCACAGCCTAGACCCCAAATGCATGTCAGAATTGAGCGCCTGCCCCAATCCAGGTGAACGACAGTTCTCTCCATACCCTGTTGTTGATGGTCACCCGAGCCGCTGGTCCATATCCGACTAACGACTGATCTGCCGTGATGATGATAGGCCAGCTGCTGGGGTCCACATCAGCTGCTAGATCGGCGACTCGCGCTCCAAATCCGAGCAGTTCGTCCCCAGCTTCCACTTCCCCATTGATCTTATATGCGGGCGTCCTATCGAACAATGTTTGCTCTACGATGTCAGAGAACCCCGGGTTAGCGATTGAGATCGCGCTGTTACATCCTCCTATCGTTTCAGCATACCCTTGGGAAAATCTTCCACCACAAGATACAGATTGGCTTTCGGCTTGTCGAGGATATTCACGCCCAGCTGCCAACGCCCAACCTGTCAGCGATTTCTGCAGAAAGAGACGCGTACGGTGCCTCCATGAAGTCCGAAAACGCCTCCACGAACCTCCTTAACAACATTCCCCAGCAATGGCGACTCGTCCCCCGGAAGTATTTGCGAGAAACCCTGAGCAATCCCAACAACTTCCGAGACAACGGAAGATGCCGACGTCCAATCGATTTCACGCGTAGTTGCGTCGCTCAGAGGAGGATAGAAGTATACTGAAGAGACAGAATCTGTACATAAGGCACCGCCAGTGAGTAAGAACTCCAACACCCGGTTCTGCAGGTGACTTTCAACTTCAGAACTAAATATCCGTACCAGGAGCTTCCGCTCGGCAATGGAGCGCCGATGCCACCAAAGTCAAGGCGACCCATATTGGGCGAGGAAACATGGCTTTACGGGTTTATGAGAGTGGTCACAGCTCCTTTTCGTCGAGGGATGGTGCGGAAAAGAGCGGCACAGCTGGGACCTTCTATTTGCGATTGCGGGCAGCGTGGTGGGAAGATGGCTCGCTGGCTCGCATTGTCGAACCTGGTCGTCTGGGTGCCAAAATGCGTGGGTCATCACCTCATTAAATCTGCTTCAGATCACGTGACTGCGCATGACATGATACCGGCCTGTCCCTGCTTTTGATGTTGGCTTTCCTCAAGTTTTCTTGCTCCCCAAGTGCCTGTGTTCAACCTTTAACATTCCTTCTGTAAGTGCTGCTCGATAGCACTGTCCCATTAGAGCTACGCTCAGAGGAGCTTGTAGCGCTGACAGGCTTCCACTTTCTAGGCTTACTTTCGCACGGAACAACGCAGAAATGGGCAAAAAGTTGAAGAAAGGAGAGAAGGGTGCGGTCACAAACTATGTTACTCGTGGCCAAGCTATCAAGAAGCTTCAAATCAGCTTGGCGCATTTCAGGTACGTAGTTCTGTGATTATTAATTGGGTTGGAAGTGTCGGCTCATGTGCCGTTGCATTCGGAAAGGCGTCTGTGCATTTTAAAGGGTGTGTACCCCCGCGAACCCCGCAACAAGAAGAAGGTCGGAAAGGGTTCTACCGCGGCGAGGACGTACTACTACCGGAAAGATATCCAGTACCTTCTTCACGAGCCTGTGCTGCATAAACTCCGTGAGCAAAAAGTGTTCGCGAGGAAGCTTAGCAAAGCCATTGCCAAGCAAGAATGGACACGGGCGAAGAGCTTGGAGGAACAGCGACCAGAGTACACTTTGGATCACATCATCAAGGAGCGCTACCCAACATTCGTCGATGCTCTCCGTGATTTGGACGACGCTTTGTCCATGATCTTCCTCTTTGCCACCCTGCCGACCACGGATAAGATCAAGGCGGAGCACGTCCGCACTTGCCAACGGTTGAGCGCCGAGTTCCAACACTACATCATGGTCTCTCACAGTCTACGAAAAGTCTTCCTGTCCATCAAGGGGATTTACTACCAGGCTGAAATCAAGGGAGAGCTGATCACCTGGATTGTCCCTTACCAGTTCTCCCAACACGTACCCACCGACGTCGACTTCCGCGTGATGTCCACATTCTTGGAGCTGTACGAGACATTGCTTGGATTTGTGAACTTCAAGCTGTACCGCGAGCTGAACTTGGTCTACCCACCAAAGCTCGACGAGGAGCGTGACTCGGCCGCTGCCGGTTTGACCGCGTACGTCTTGGAGAATGCGGGGGGACAAGACGTTGTCAGCGAAATTTCCGCCCAGATTCCCCAGGGCGGTTTGGTGCGGGCCGATAGGTCACAAAGGAAGCAGACAGCAAAGCGCTTGGAGTCTTTGGCTGAAAAGATTGCGGAAATCAACGAGACTGAGGAAGCAGATGGCGAAGAGACGACCAAGGATGACGAGGATGTCGATGTATCTGACGTGCCACAGGCAGCGGTCCCGGCTACCTCCCAAGAGGAGACGGTACCGACCCTCACGGCATGGCAGGACAAGGTGTCCGAGCTCACCGGACTCCAGAAGCTCTTCAAGGGCTGTGTGTTCTGGCTGTCCCGCGAGGTTCCTCGATACTCGCTTGAATTCGTCATCCGGGCCTTTGGCGGTGAAGTCGGCTGGGACGCCTCATCGGGAGCTGGGTCTCCTTTCGCAGAGGACGACACCCGCATCACCCACCACATCATCGATCGCCCTCCCGTTGCCACACACACCCCTGCCGCTGATGGAAAGCCCGCAGCAGTTGGCCCGAAGCGCTACGAAAGGAGAGAATATCTTCAGCCACAATGGGTGTACGATTCCGTGAACGCCCGCAAGTTGGTACGCACGGCCGGTTACCACGCCGGAGAGACCCTCCCGCCGCATCTCTCACCTTTCGCCAACCCAGGAGAAGGTGACTACGTCCCCGAAGAGGCTATGGATGTGTCCTCCGAGTCCGATGAGGAGGAGGTTGCCCTGGCCGCCACCGGTGCCGGTGAAGACGCGATGGAGGTCGACGAAGAAGAGGAGGAAGAAGAGGAAGAACTCGACGAGGAAGAGGAGGCAGATGCCGAAGATGACGACGAAGAAGCCCTCCACCAGGCCGAGCTTGCCGCGGAAGCCGCCGGTCTGTCGTTCAGCGAGTACCTGCAACAGAAGGCGGCTGGAACATTACCGGCCGACGGAAAGAAGCAGAAGAAGAAGGGTGCTGATGTCAAAGCGGCCAAGAAGGAGACGGCGGCGGAGGCTGAGGAGCGGGAACGTAAGGAGCTTGCCATCATGATGATGAGCAAGAAGGACAAGCATCTGTACAACAAGATCCAGTTTGGAAAGCAGAGGAAGGCTGATGCGGTAAGTAGTTGCTGTGTGACACTCGGAATATGTGCCGTTCATATCATCTGACTAACTCAATACTTTGGTACTCAGGCCGACAACTTGCGCGCAAAAAAGGAGTCATTGCGCAAACAGCAAGGAGCCCCAGCCATCCAGAAGAAGAAGGCCGCGACGCCGGAGAAGGCTGCAAAGAAGTAGACACATCCCTCCCTGTTCAATCGCAGTTCTGTTCTAGTCCAGAGTAGTCGCCCCTCGACTAGGCCCACCGGCTCCCCCAATGTAACTTAATATGCCCACCCACGCACTTTCAATTTTTGTATAGCATCGATGTGATTTCGATCGTATTTGGCTTGTTGAAACGCACTTTGGAATCTGGCGGTTTTTCTCAAATGGGTTTGAAGCACTGCTCTGCGTTTACGGGAATAGGGAGTGGGAAACTCGACGCGCCCAGCTCCCGTAAACCGCAATCGCGTGCCACTCCGACTCTGATAATATTCTGACGGTTTCGTCAGACTCGAAGACTCGTAGACTCGCAGTTCCGCAGTTATTTAGCCATGTTCAGTGGGTATAAATACATCTCGCATGGCATCCACCCCATCGGACCGAAAGATCCTCTCTGCCAGCCCACCCATACAAGTATCAAATTCCGACCGTATGTCCCCCATACTTTGCCCGCAATCCCTCCTTTTCCCCACCACTATATATATCCCAAGCCCAACTGCCAAGCTCAAGCGTCAAACTCAATCCTCATAGACGTCGGAATAGGCGTCTCGGAGCAGTTGCGGTCGAGGTAGAGCTTGGCATCGATGCCGGCGAGCTCTTCGGTGATCACAGCGAGGCGGCCTGGGCGACCTTGGGCACGGCGGATGTTCTTCAATTTGAAGATCTAAAGTCGGGTTTGGAAAAGATGAGAATTTGGATGGGGAGGTCCGGGGCGTGATGCACTGTGGTCAATGAATACATACCTCCTTCATCATGGTAGAGAGGGTCGCGGTAACGAGACGGGCGCCGACTGAAGGGAAAAAACGGGGATGGATCAGCGTTCCGGAACATAGATGAAGTCATTAAGGGGAGGCATACTCACAGCAGAAGTGCAAGCCCCATCCCAGCAAGAGGTAAGAGTGACGGGGACGCTTGGGATCAAGCTTCTCCGGGTTGGGGAAGCCCTTAGGGTCCATCGACGCCTTAGATATGGCGATCAACACCTTCTCACCCTTTTTGATCTCCACCACCTTATCTCCATCCTGGAACTTCGTGTCCTTCGTACACACGCGGGGCAAGCCAGGCACGGTGCCCGAGTGACGCATGCCCTCCAAGACCCATCCAATCATCTCCTCGTCGGACTCTTTGTCGTCACGGTGGGCGAGCTCGACGATGCGCTTTTTGTATTGCTCGTAGCCGTCGCTGAGGAACAAGTCCACCAGCAAAGTTGCTTGCTGCGTGACGTTACCCGCAATCGGCACCATCATTCCGATGCAGTCGCCTACGATGTCCGCCGAGGACAAGCCGGACTTGTTGAGCCCGTTGTACATCTTGGTCGCTTCCGGAGACACCTCATAGGCGGTCCCTTGCGTCAACCAGTCGACCGCTTTCTCGGTAATACCGCCCGTGTTGGTCTGCACACGGGCTTTGAGGATGGCGCGAAGGAGGGATGACATTTCGATCGCTTTGGCGCGGAGGGTCCACTCGGATTTGGGCAAGATGTTGAACGAGCAGTACACGAAGAGGACCAACAGGATGCCAAACAGCTCCGGAGTTGCCAGCAACCCCTTGGGGTGCTCGTCATCCTTGATGGGGATGGCGAATTTCTGAGCCAACCAGAGGATCGGCGCTGTGTTGCAGACATCCCTGACAATGTCAATTTGGCGCCTCGTGCTGTTGGCGAACGCTAAAGTTTTTTTCTTGATCAAGACGGGAATGGTCTGCTTGTAGAATCTGATAAGATCATCTTCGAATTCAGGGTAGTAGAACGCACTGTGAAGGATCTTGGAGCGAACATCGTGCTGTTGCTGGTTGTCCCATCCGATAAGAAACTGTTTGCCGTCGCTGACAGTAGGGATGGCCTTGTTGTACATGGTCGCGAACGTTGCCCGATCATCAAATGCTTTCTTGCAGCCCTCATACGAGTGGATGCCGACGATACGAATATTGCTGGAAGTCCTCGTCGTGTCGTACTGCTCGAGCACTTTGTTATCCTCCAGGATCTTTTTGATCGCCTTGGGCGTGTAGAAGGGCAACAACGCATAGGTAGACGTGCCCGTGAAACCTTCTGGGAACGCGGTGAAGAGCAGAGTGCCGAGAAGCCCTCCGAACCCTCCGGGGGTGGAAGTGACCTGGGCCAGACCCCAATTAGTGAGCGTTGTCGTGTTCCAGTCGTAGGTGAGAAACCTATCGCCTCGAATAAGTGCGATAGCATCATCCAAAATACCCCTTCCTGTTGTTTGTCCAGGGCAAAGACCTATGAGTAAAAGCAATCGGAAATTAGTCTCTCAAAATGCGAATCATCGGTGGATGCGCAGTGTACATACCACTCCCGCCCATGAAAGGCTTGGTCTCTTCAGCAGCGAGCCCTGGGTATAACTCCAAGTTATCAATGTGGCCGTACAAGGCTTCAGCTGCTGCCGCGACGTCCGTATCTGGGTTCCACTCTTGGAAGGACTTGTACTGAGTGAGGTTGAGATACTTCCTAAACTCGTTCAGCGTGCAAACGTTGAATACGTTCCTCGCTTGCAGTTGCGACATGATCTCGACGATCTTGAGCGCAGACGGGACACCTCTGGCGCCAAGAGCATGAGCTGGGCTTTCCGTACAATCCTTGATCAGATTGACCAGCTCTTCATCGTTGAAACGGCCATCTTTGTTACGCTCCAAGCCCCCGAAGGTCCATTCCTTGGCCGGTGTTTGGTTAAGCTTTTTGGCAATTTCCCCAGCTGCTTTGTAGAACTGCCCCGGAGTAATCTCGTCCGCGTTTTGAACGCCAAAGTCCTTCCTGAAAGTCTCATCAATCCACTTGGCGTCGGCGGCAGAGAGCGCTGCGTGCCAATGGTAGAGTACGGCAAATTCGACCGACACTACATTCCCCGATCCTCGGGCGAGGCGCTTGCCGCCCAGCCCAATCTTGAACTCAGCGCCGAGCGGGAGATACCAATCAGTGTCCTGACGGAGCGTGTTGAGAATCGCGGACACATAGTCCCTGAGCACCACATTCGCAAAGAACCCAATGTTGATGTTGCGGGCAATCTGGAAGATGTCGTTGTCTTGCCACTTTTGTTTGTCTTCGTCTAATGTCTCCCAGGGCTTGTACTTCTCAAGTTCGTTGATTTGGTAAAGGCGACTGGCGATGTGATTGTGGTTTCGAGAGAACATGATGAGGATCGCCACGACGCCAGGAGGCATTTGGATCAACCTATCACTGGCGATAGTATCTGGGAAGATCCGCCCGTTCTCATACGTGCGCACGCGTTTCTGCTCTTCCGCATTGTTCCCGTAGAGGGTACTCAGGTCGACGTAGCTAGAAGTGTTGTTTTTCCACGGTTCATGCGTGTTGCTTTGAAATAGTTCGTGAATCACGATGGTCGCGAATGAGAAGAACAGGCGATTGAGCCCAGAAGGGTGCTCCCTAAACGGTCCTCTCCTCCTCAGAAGCTGATCAAAGACAAGTTCGGGATCGGGGAGGGAAGGCGATTTGGGCTTGCAAGGCTGCACACTGCGTGCATACGCGGAGCCAGCCTTGCCGAGTTCAGGAGTCCAGATGTTGTTTCCGGACCCATCCGCGCTGTGATACTTGTCAGTCGCAGAAACCGTGGTGGCGGCGGGATGCGGCAGATCATTCCAGAGCATTCCGATCAAGGACCCACTAATCTGTTCGTTCAGGCCGGAACTCGGGGGAAGCTTTTGTAGCATGATGAGAATATGCTCCAAAAGCAAATCGCGATCGTTCATCGGCTCCCCACTGGTGAAGGCCGCGATGAGTTGCCCGAGGGTATAATCCCCTTTCGGTCCAAGGTGAATGATATCATGTAGGGCACCGGTTTTCTTTTTCTCGACCGTTGGCCCCGCAGCCTCGGCGTCCGTTAGGCCATCCGGGGCGGATGATGGCTTGCGAAAGACTGTCTCCACAAGCTGACGAAGCTAGAGTGGCAAAGATGGGTGGGAAACGAAACAAGATGAAATGTTAGCGACTTCTAACATTTGAATATGACTAACGATGAAATCATATGTCGGTCGTGCCACAGGGATGGTCGACGTACTTTCTCAATGCCTTGCATGATGGCGACTAAGGTTGAAGGGTATCGCGCAATACTACGCACTGATGGAAGTTGACAAGACTAGTTTCACAATATGCAACGAAAATGCTGCGAAGTACGCCGTCGTCCCTCTTTATATACGCCGACGGCTGGGCTTGGGGAGGGGAGGGGAGGGAGGGATGCGCTTGAAGAGAAAGAGAAAGCGGCGGCAACCCATGGATCTATGGAAGGGTTGTGGTACAGAAGGCTCGAGGAGACGGGCGGGACAGCTAGGGGGGACGCGTTGACTATCCGACGCGTTTCCATCACTGCGCGCCGAGCACTGTGAGAGCGCTGTCGGTTTTTTTGCGGGATTGTATCGGGTCCTAGACTCGTGGGTGACATCTTCGAGGGCACTTGGCACGAGGGAAGGTTCGCCGCAGGTTCAAGCAAAAGGAACGTGTCGACGCAAGTTTTACATGGCTTCGCACGCAGCACGACGGACACCAGGTGGATGGATTCTGAGCAGACCGGGCTGGCCCCTCTATATACTGTACAGTACATGTCTCAGCTAGCTCACTACTCAACTCTACATCCATTTCATAGTTATTGTCCAGTATCTACTGTATGTGTGAGGGAGGGATATGGGCTTCGAGTTGACAGAACGCAATTTTCGATTTTCCCAACTTTTGAGAACGCGCGATTTCACGCTCACCCTGTTTTCAATCTATCTACCGATCTATCGATATATTACAATCTATCTGCAGAACCGAGTCAGTAGAGACAGAGGCCTCAGGAGTTTTGCGTATATCGTGTTCCGAAGCTTCGATCTTTGCCAGGGATCTTACACTGGCGCGCGGAACTGCTAAGAACCCAAGATCGACTCCTCCCTCGACAGAGGATGCAAAAGCGCACTCGACAGTGATGGATGGGACACAGAGTTCGAACAGGGTAGTGAGGGTTTCCTCTGCAGAATCGACAGCCCGTTCTGACGCGGATGCCAAGATAAGCCGTGTGAAACCCCTGTCTTGGGGAACCGTGAGGGCCGAACTGAACGAACGAGAGGGGTCCGGAAGGTCTCAGACTGCAAGCCATGCGTCTTCGAATGGCCAAAAGGTCGGGAGACGCGGTGAATCCAATGACCCATTATCGGCCTCAAATGGGGGAAGTAACCACCGGCCGGCTAAGCGACCTCGAACAGCGGAGACTGCAGCGGCACAACCTTCCATTCGAGACCACTTCCAGGCGACCTCGAAAGACCGTATACAACTTGCTGAGGCACCATCAGAAACCACCAACGCCACCTTGAAGGAAATTTCGATCCCTCGATATTTCTACTTGGACAGGAGTACTACGAGTGCTAAGTTTTTGAGGGATACCCGACGGCGAACGAGATACGAAACAGAGATTGCATGGCGGGACCAGCATCATATCTTGACAGTATGTGCACATTACCGATCTTCGCTTGATCATGGCCTCGATCGTCCCAGCTCATTTGACTTCAGCTCTGCACGGATATGTCCTCAGAAGAGCAAATACACGTTTACAACATGCAACACCAATATCCACGGGCCTCCATTCCATTATTACAGTCGCATTTAGTTTTGTGCATTCGAGCGGGAAACGCTCAACTAGCGAGGCGAACGGCGTATGAGTTCATGAATGTGGATGCGGCGGCATTCTTCCAGTCCCTCTCAGCTATTATTTTGGCAGAGGCTGTGCCAAATTCTCAATATCCTGGTAAGAAGTTCAAATGAGGAGAAGCACAACTGGGCTGAGGGACATTGCTGATCACCTCATCAAATCATGTCAGTCATTGTATGGCTTCTTTGCGCAACAAAGAAAGGGTTCCGCGTACCATATAAGATGCAGGAATGGGTGATAGGGCTTGTCGGCGCCCTTGCGAACGCCTACTTTCGTGACGATACACAAACCGCATCACCACCATCGCAAAGCGTCACATTGGTGTCCACGGCTATTGCACGACTACCGAACAGCAAACGCGATTTGATATACTCCTTACAACTCTGTCGGCAGTTCCAACCGCTTTCCGGTATGCTCGAGTATCGTTTTTGATTCTATGCGTGGCCATCAGCTAACCATGATTTACCCCCCACAGCTCACCGAGACATGATAGACATCTTGACCGAACGCTGGCTCCATCGCATGCACACGGATCCGCTGGACAGCGCCTACTCTCGGGCACAGTATGCCGTATCCAACATGGCGCTCGACAATCTTCATCTCGGTGTCGAGACCTGGGACGTCACGGCTGTTTTGCCCCACTGCTCCTCGATTGTGGATCTGTTACGGCTTCATCTGACTGCGAAGGATCAAGCGAGGTGGAAGGATGATCAGGTGCTCAAGGAAGCCATCATTGCTGGGTGTGCAGTGAACAAGAGGCCACCCATTAGTTCGTTACGGGCAGGCGCCCCTAAGAAGGAAGTCAAACTGTCAGAGGAAGCCGAAGCAGTTAGAAATAAGTATAGGAAGGAGATAGCCCGATTGCAAGCCCGCATTTTGAAGGAGCTCTTGAAGAAACCGGAACCCGAATTGGCTTAGCAATGGAATGGCCTCCCTTCGTACAGTAGTCTGATGCACGATCTGGTACAATAGTAGCCATATGCATTATATAGTCACAAACTGTCGGGTCGCCGCTGACGAAGGAGACGGAGGAGGCCGGCCAGAAGCGACGTTTGATTTTCGATTACATACGCAATGGCTTCCCATGTTGCGAGTTTTGCGTTGACTTCCTCTCAAACGACCTGTTAAATCTTGAAAAAGCAGACAAGGTGTCTAAAGGAAGTCTATAGATAGAAAGCAGAGAGCTCTCTGTACTCTTCAAGGTCTCCCGCCAACCGACGATAAGAAGTCTGTGACGCCAGATATGAACGAATTTATCAAACGTCGGCCGTTACCTGCTCGTGCGGAGACCGTCAGCCTTCATTTCGAAATTGAACAACATGAACGGGAGCGGGAGCGGGAAGTGGAGAACCTTTCGAATGAGGTTCTTGCGCACAACCCATATGTGGACTCCTACCCGGTAAGCACCGTTTCGTCTCCCAATCCCGATCATGGCCCACCCTGACCCACGTTTACACACTCAGAGAACTTCAGCAATGTCTCCGTACGGCGCTTCGTTCCCACCAGCTCAAGGGCAACAGGTCCCGCAATTCCATGTATCGCAGCTCAGAGCGCGAAGGGGTGGACGAGCAGGCGTGGGAACCAGGCAGATAGCACCGCAGCGAACGACGAAGACCACGCAGAAATTGGTGCTTTTCCCTGACGAGAGTGGGCCGACGCCGGTTCACCCCCCAACGGGGATAGAGGAGAGGGATGGTGTGCCGTGGTACATGAACTACAATGAGGTCGTTGTGCCGGATGTCGTACCGGATGCGGCTAGGACCGACGCGGAACGAATGAACAAGGAACAAAGGACGAAACTGCCCCGAGGTATGAGGCGTTGCTCAGCGGAAGAGCTTCACGATGATTGAAAGCGTGTGAACTGACGGCAAACTCGCAGTCACGAGTTACTGCATTGCGGAAGGGTACAAAATCGAGGAAATTTCCAAACACCTGCGAATCGCTCACCATGTAACGCCAAAGAAGTACGACGAGTGTTTATACATTTACTACGAGCCTGAGGCGCAAGCACGGTTACTGGGGGGTCGACAGGTTCCTGCAAAGCCAGTGAAGATGACAGCGTATGTTAGACCTCTGTTACGATATACTGAACATTTGCGCGACGGACGTTACATTAAACATGTGACACCCCGTCTCGGCACAGTAACAGCACGCCCAGGGAGCAACAGAACAGTCCTAGGTCTCCGGGTTTCATGCCGGGGAGCTATGTGAACTTTCCAGAGATTCCTCATGTGTACAATGACGAGAATGTGATACAGCAACATCAGGGGACACCAGATGGGGACGAGTCGATAAGTCAACCTCCGTGGATGTTACGCGGAGAGGTGTTTATATTCGATTACGGAGTAGCAGGTAAGCGTTTCGTATTCAACTGTTCTCCTGCGGTTGGCGTAAAGCTGACCCCCTGCGTTGCTCGTTAGTGTTCTGGAATCTGAGTGAACAAGAAGAGAACAAGCTACTAGAGATCATACAGAAGTTCACCGTCGGAGGTTTACCAAAAGGTACGCTGCTGAAGTCACGCGGAGGCTTTTTGGGACTATGGTTTCGCATCTGACCGTCTACTTCAGATGACTGCGAGAATGAAGACTTTCATTACCAATACGACATATATGGTCCTCACCAGCCGCGCATTTTCAACGACATGATCACGTACGGTTGAGCGACGTTTCCATGCATTCACTTCCTGTTATTCTGACTCGTTCCGCCCTTGACAGCCTGAAGAGTGGAAACGAGCTCATCAAACTTACGATATCACACGGATTGGCACAATCAGTGAAACTGGCTTTCTTCGAGAATGTCATGGAGGAAACGATTGACGGCACCATCCCACTTCCACGAGCGATGGCGACCCATGGCGAAGTCAGGATGACGCGTACCGATGTGATGAAGATTGTTGGGCAGCTGTTCAAGCTGAAGATGAATGTGAACCTGATCAGCAATGTTCTTGGTGGGTTGTGAGAAGACGTTTCCGTGAACGATGGTCGTCAGGGAATCTGACGGTGTCGGCTTTGATGAACAGATACCCCGGAGTTGTTCTGGAGTGAGCCGGAGTTGGAGGGGTTGTATTCCGCCATCAGAGGTACGCCAACGTGAGAGTCGTCCGACTCTGAGAAGTGGCAGCTCACCACCCTCTCTTTGTAGGGTATCTCGAAATCTCACAGAGGGCGAAACTGCTCAACACCAGAGCGGACATTATTTCGGATTTACTCGACATGTGAGTGGTTGGCAGATTTGGCGATCCTCTTTCGCAAGCGGTCTAATATCTCTCGCTGAAGGCTCTGCGACCATATGAATGTCAACGAAATGACGTACATCACATGGATCATCATTATACTAATCGTGTTTGCCGTCATCATCGCGGCTGCTGAGGTCTGGGTGAAAGTCCTCAGGGTGAGAGCTGGGATGGATTGAGACCATCAGGTTACCCGACTGCGTGGGCCCCATACCGGGGCGGAAGCCAGGTTGGCTGAGAAGGAGGAGCATTTACCGCAATCCAGCGGAGTTTGCGAGCGCCTGCGAGCCCCCTTTTGGGTGAGCGCCTTGGAGGCCGAGCAGTGCCGGAATTATTGGTTGGATGGGATGGGGTAGACCGTCAGCCAGTTGGGCAGTCTTTCGGTCCATCTGCATATGTATATAATCACGCGCGCGATGTAGGTATATGGCAGACCAGCTCATATAGTGTAGTGAGGCGTGGACTCCCCATTTTCGCGGCGTTTTTCTCGGCACTCGAAGTCTAATAAACCTGTGGAGTCAATTCTGTATATATCCTTCTCATCCTTCTCATCCTTCTCATCCTCCTCGTCGTGTTGAAATTGGAAGGTGAGAGAGATGCATTTGCCGAAACGCATATTCTGAACGGGCACGGACAACGCGTCAGGGGGATGATCGTGGTATGCAACGCACTGTTGCACCACCAGCGATGTGTATTTAAAAAATTGAAATGATAAAGCTTAAATAGGATAATTGATGTATGCTTGAAGATGGGTGAATGGCTCTGACGGTGTTGCGGTGTGCCAGTTTATCGTGACTTCGTTGGGAAACTGAGGGGCACCACCAGTGAGACCCATCTTCGCTGTTGTGATGTCTCGTCTTTCTTGAGCTCCGATCGACATCCGAGCTCGCGCGCGACCTTGTTCATTCTGCGTACGATTCCCATATCAGCGCCCAATCACCCTCAACCCCGGAATCACCAGCAAGCGGGCTCACCTTGTAAGGCCAATGCCCATATCCCCCGCCAAATGGCTCAAATCCAACTTGAAATCATTCAAGCTCAGTGCCAGGGCAATGATGAACGCTAACAGAGTGTCCTTCAGTTTCGGGGATATCCTGTACTTTGTGCGGCCCTCGTCCGACTGGTACTCGGTGAAGCGCTGCATGAAGGTGTCGGCAACTATCTGGGGTGCATTGCCGATGTTTGCAGCTACGGATTTACTGTTGAGGGCTTTGTCTTTCAGGGTGTAGAATTTCATCATGTATGCCAGGTAGAGAAGCTGTGGTGAGGAGGGTGCAGGATTAGCGTAATGGTCAAGGTTTCGGCAGCATAGTGAGACAGGAACTCTGTGCCGCATCTGTGTTGGCACCCACCCTTTGAAACTTGACGATGTCGGTTTTCACTTGGAGCAGAGTATGGATGCGCTCCAATACCCAGGAAGTCGGACTGGAAACAGCAAGGACATCCGTCAAAACGATGGCTATGACTTAGAGAGTAATTACACCGACAATGCAAACCTAATAGGGGCCAAAAGCTGCTTGGCTTCGTCGAAGCTCGCTGCTTTCCAAATTGGCTTCCAAGTGAGAGCTTTGAGCTCTCCGGGACTGCATAGTTGGTTGATATCGTACACTTCCGCCGGCGTTTTTGCCTATATGTTGCATATCAGAATCAGATCATGAGCTGGCAACTCGCACTCTGCTCTTCCTCTCAGTACACGTACATCAGGGTCGTAAGGCGGTATTCCTCGGTCCTGTTTCGCTGCTTCTCGCATTTCCTCTGTTCACACGACCCAATCAGTCCTCCTTCCAGCCGAGCAAGGACCCAAAATCACTTTATTCATTACCGCGTGTGGGCATAGATGCGGTCTTCTCATCGATCGCAGTTTTGATCACATCCGCGACGCTCGACAAACCACCAACGTCCACTTGATTCTTCTCCAAAGCCCTGATAGCCTGCTTCCGCTTCTTCGTTCCAAAAGCCTCTCCCAAAGCATTCCTCGCTATCCAATTCTTCTCGCCAATGTGCTTCGATTCATGGCGCTTCAACGTCTTTACTGTTGTCGAGAGGTGGAAGACGTCTGCCTCTTTAAGGGTCAACTTTTTCGTGTTCTTGTCGAATACCCCAACGATATAGCTAAAAGACGCATCCTTCGTCAGCCCACAGTCAGCTTGCATTTAATGCACGCTTGTCATTGCATACCGGCAGTATGCTTTGCCAGCTGTATTGCTTCCCACATATTCCAACTTTTGGTTTTCTCCCACAATAATACGTCTTCTCTTTCGGCCTGCCTCCGGTTGACCAGCAACGAATGATTGGAACTTCACAGATTTTGGATCAGTAGGATAGTCTGGGAAGGACACTGTATACGAACATGCTTCTGATCAGTTGCCGACACCGAGGATTCTATCTCATAAAACACAGTCTTACCAAGGGCAGGCACGTTTGCCGTCTCGTCCAAGACGGCGGGGCCGACGACGGCCGTTGCTGCGACTTTCCGCTTCTTTGTTGGTTGCGACATTGTTGCGTTGTTGCTTGTTAAAGCCGAAGTCTGAAGTCTTCAAGAGCATCGAAGTTCAAAGTCCAAAATGTGAAGTCGCGGGGTATGATGGATGCTGACTAAGCGCCTCGTAAGCGCCACCTGCCCATCGAAAAAGGACCCTTCCTTGCAAAACAAACAAATCCTCATTCCTCGCACTGGCCCTTTTTCTACACCCACCCTCGAAAACGAGCAAGAGACCTGCACGCATAACGCAGCTCTCAACTCCTCTTACATCAGTCTTACAACAAACACACAGAATGGGCTTCGGTATGTACCCCCTGCTCTGCGCACACAGATCAGAAGTCAGAGGGTTTTGTTTCGCTAACGCTAGGGTATGCAATTTGCAGGTGACCGAGGTGGTGGTCGTGGAGGTTTCGGCGGTGGCCGTGGCGGAGCTCGCGGTGGAGCTCCTCGTGGTGGTGGTCGTGGAGGTTTCGGTGCCCGTGGTGGTGCCGTTTCCAAATTCGGAGGAGGTGACCGCGGTGGCCGCGGAGGAGGTCGTGGAGGGGGTTTCGGAGGCCGAGGCGGAGGCCGTGGTGCCCCCGGTGGTCGTGGCCGTGGCGCACCTCGCGGTGGAGGCCGTGGTGGAGCTCGCGGTGGAGCCAGGGGAGGAGCCAAGGTCGTCGTCGAACCCCATCGTCACGAAGGAATCTTCATTGCACGAGGCAAGGAGGACATGTTGGTCACCAAGAACCTTGTACCTGGTGAAGCTGTTTACGGAGAGAAGCGTATCAGCGTCGACGTAAGTGTAACTCGCTCAAATCGGGAAGAAAGTCCGAATTGGGGTGTTCACCAACTTTCGACAAAATATAGGGCGCTGATGGGACGAAAATCGAATACCGTGTGTGGAACCCTTTCCGATCGAAGTTGGCCGCCGGTGTTCTTGGAGGAGTAGACAACATTCACATTGGCCCCGGAAAGAAGGTCCTTTACCTCGGAGCTGCCAGCGGAACATCAGTATCCCACGTTGCCGATATCGTCGGTCCCACCGGTCTCGTATACGCCGTCGAATTCTCGCACAGGCCAGGACGTGATCTTATCAACATGGCCAAGAAGCGCACCAACGTTATTCCTATTGTTGAGGATGCCCGTCACCCACACAAGTACCGCATGCTGGTCGGTATGGTCGATGTCATCTTTGCCGACGTCGCTCAACCAGATCAGGCCCGTATTGTCACCATGAACGCACACATGTTCTTAAAGAACGGTGGACACGTTGTCATTTCCGTCAAGGTGAGGAATTATTGAAACCACGTCTTCCCTCCCTCAAATACTTACTGTTCTGCATCCTCGTTCTAGGCAAACTGCATTGACTCAACGGTTGCTGCCGACATCGTTTTCGCAAAGGAGGTTAAGAAGCTCGAGGAGGAGAGGGTTAAGGCACAAGAACAGCTTACACTTGAGCCATATGAACGTGATCATGCACTGGTTATCGGTGTGTACCGCCGGCAGAAGAAGGCCAAGGCATCAGAATAGAAGGACATAGCTAGCTGTTACCTCACAAATGCATCCGTAAGTAGGATGTCGCGGTGATGCCACTAGGGCGTCCGCAAGTGCGACACACTCTCCTCTAGATCGCACCCTCATCTGCACTCGTTATCTTTTTTGCATCCCTTTATGTATTTGTACGTATCTTATTTTTTCGATAGTTCTCTCAAAATGTGTTGATCCTCTCGTTTGAAGAATAAATTCCGAGTCCATTCCCACGTGATCTTCAAACCCGACGGCGCGTATAGGTGTTGTCGACCTCGAAATGGCCAGCCCACCCTCGGCTGCATTCGGATTGCGACCATTGTTGTGAGAGCACTTCCTTTCCGATCTCCAAACACAGGTATGTGTCCGTGGGCATAATAGTACTTGGCAAGGCCTATATTTCTTCAAGTACAAAGTCTTATCCAGCACCCTCGCTCTTCTTTCAAAACCACCACCCTTTCTGATTCTCCGCATTCACCCGAAACCCATTTCGAACGTCCTCCTTCCGCAACCGAACATTCTCGACGAACCTTCAACTTCAACGCACTCTTTTGAACGACCGACATCTTTTAGACAAAATGGCACAAGCTCTTCTGCAATCGCTGCGCTCCCTCCGTAGCACGGAGGTGGTGAAAAACCTCTCGGAGTGGCATCACAACCTTATGGGCTACAGGAAGATGGGTGCGTTGATAACAAACAACATCGGGGCGGAGGAAAAGCACTTCAATATGAGCTTACAATCCTCTAATCGGGGGAAGTCTGGGAGCTCCGAGGAGGATAGCGAAGGAAGATTGGTACTGAGACATTGTTCCCGTTTTCCGCCGATTCCAGGCCTGCGGTACGACGACCTGATTCCTGAGGAGAACGACCTTGTGCAAACCGCCCTCAGCCGTCTTCCGCCCAAGGAGCACTACGGTATGGATCGGCGTTTAGTATCACCTGGCCGCTAGGTGGAGCGGAGTTCCCAGGCGATGGGTCTGATCCATTTCCTTTTCCGACCGCTGCAGACCGTATTTTCCGTCACAGGAGGGCAATCAACCTCAGTGCTCAGCACGCGCAGTTGGAGGCGAACGAGTGGACAACGGCTGCTCAGGTAAGGAATCGACAGTACCATGGAAGATGGAGATTTGGAAAGCATGTAACAGGCTCTGACAATCTTATCCCTACCTAGGACGTTCCATACTTGACGCCCTTGATCAAGCAAGTCGAGAACGAGATTGCCACTAAGGAATACTTTGACACCCTTACCACCATCCCCGCCGCCCTAAAGAAGCGTAACCACAGCACTGCATAAATGTACTGTGGCTAGATATCCAATACTGAACTCATCTTCACATAATATTGCGAGTTCTCACCTGTTGCTGGAAGAACAGATTAGGTCGATAGCCGAATTGCGCCATCAATTTGGTCTGAGGGGCAGACTTATCACTTGGTGATTGGAGGATGCTGGGGGACATTGCAGGCGGGAGCGTAAAGAGCAATGGGAGGAACCATGTCCTTTGGAATGCCCGAGAAGGAAGGATATTCCCTTCAAAGGTCTTTTCATCTGATGTAGGTTTGACATGGCTGGACAATGAAGCAGTTGGCCAAGATATGCGCATCTGATGCTCTGATTCCCAAACTGGCACGGCGACTCTTTGCCAGGTTCCATCAACGATCTTCATATTGCGATAAGGATCCTTGGGTTTCGCTGACCATCTGATGTACCCTGCATTTGTCCCGCAACGCGGCCTACGATGCTTTCCCATATTCTCGCACTATCGTCTCTCACGATGAGATGGCCATTTTCCCCATAGCGGGTTTGCATTCATCACCGGTTCGAAGTGCAAAAACACCCTACATCTCCACACTGGATCATCCCCGTCTAATAACACTTTTCGGACCGAAGGAGGCAGCCTCAGGAGCGTTTTTCTTTTTATCCTTTTTTTTCGATTTTATTCTAAAAAGCGGTATACACGGTCGTGGCGGGGTTGCAGAGGAAGTCCGGTGTGGTGGGGTTTGTGTTTATTCGCTGCTGCCGGCGGCGATGGATCCACGGATGTCCTTCCATTGACGCTGAAAAACAAGAAAGAGGCAATGTTAGGGACGGACCAGGTTTTGACGGAGTGTTGAGATCGGACTTTCCGAAAGCCTAAACTTCGTCCAACATCGCTGCGATCTCTCTTCCACGTCCATCATCCATGATTTCCCGAGCAACAGTATCGCAGCCCCCAGTAAGTCGTAATAAGTCATTTCCTGCCTTCAGCTCCCACTCTCCCGTTTCCATATCGATATCGACCCGTAACTGCCTATCCGTCTTGCCGCATCGACACTCACCCCCTTGTTAAGCCTGTCCCAAATCAGGTCTGACGACTCGTCGAATGCAATTTCGAAAGCGAAAGCCGAGGCGAAGATTCCAGCCATGTAGACCGACGACTTGCGGAAGAAAGCTGTGGGTTGGGAGGTACATAAGAGACAGATCCGCGAGCACTTGGCAAACCAAATGACGTGGGAAAGCTTTCCTGCCGACGCATCACCGGCATTGAGCTGCTTCCTTGTGCCCTCGCACGCACGAATTCGCCGTCCAAGGACAAAATCCTGGCATCCATTATGATATCCACCGAGGCATGCTCTTGATACTTACTGTTGTAGATCACCTTGGAGAGCATCCTTGCTATATGCGGGTGGGTGTTTAAAGCGGTTGATGTTCGGGAACGGAGTTTGGCGCAAGGTGAGAATTGCAAGGGTTGTTCACAGCGGGAGAACCCGGTTTGAATTGATGCGAGGGCTACAGTTAAGGATCACGTGTCTTTAGTCGGGTTTATACTGTACATCTTCACTTCCTTCCTCCAAGCCTCCATCTGAAGTCTCTTCTGATGACGTGTGATCGGCTATATCCGCCGTATTCCGCTATATCCGCCGTATTCCAGGTCGCATGCAGCCTCACAATCGGTTCCAGCAGTCCTACATAAGCACGCCACAGCCCACTGGGAGCTACCAGAACAAAGTTGCAAGTCTAAACGGAAATGTTCGTTGCTACCTCCTCTGTCATTGAGCACGAAAAAAAGGCCAGGCCTTTCGCAGAAACTTTTAAAGTCCCACGCGTCTCGCTGGAGTCGCTGCCCGCCGCCAGTGAGGGGTCCTTGCAGCTAGTAGCGGAGATCAACTCTCGCTCATACAACTCGGCCCGAACCTAGGACTGCATATTCGCTCCTTTGCGGTCGCAGACCGCCGTTTCTTTTTGGCAAGGATGTCGCTCTCAGACGAAGTTTTGCGAACCCTTGGCAAAGGTGTCGTTTTTGTCGTTTCCTTATGGATTTTCTGGAATGTCGTCCTGCGTCTTGTCAGCTACAGATTTGGACTGGGAATACAGCGGTTGGGCCTATTTTCTATAACTGGCTTCAACTATGTGCGGAGACTCCCGTCGGCGGCAGAGGAGAGGTGGCGAGGGATAAGGCATGCCTGGGGAAAGAAGCCGGCGGCCCTAATGCTGTCGCGACTTAGTTTCGAGGCCGTATGGTTGGATTTTCATCGTCCCACCCCGGAACGACCATCTCGAGTGAGCCTCCGCATTACCAAACCTACCATTGTGTTCCAAGGGAGAGAGGCTACCCCGCTCGCGAGAGGCGTGGTGAAGAACACAACACCTCACAAAGCGATAGATGTCAAGCGAACGTTGACGTCCATGAGCAATCTGGCGCGCAACAACTTCATGAAGGTCTTCTTCCGCTTCTTCGACGTCCAGGTGGATGACCTTCAGGTCATATTCCAAGACCCTGCTGGTCAGAAGGTCTTGCAGTTGAACGAGAAGCACATTGGAGTGATGCTGCATTCTAGCGTGAGATCTGAGAGGCTAGAAGCGTCGACCAAATCGGTCAAAGGGCCGAACGTTCGCGCAATCATCACCTTAGATCCGATAGAGGTGGTGGCTCCGATGAGCCCATCTGAAGATCCACGGATCCTCACAGTGGAAAGCATCGGCCCGATCACGCTTGCGTCGCGCATCTCTGTTTTGGGGAGGGTCGAACAACCGAGCCTCGATTTGAGCATCACGGGCTTGTCGCTGGCCGTCAACGACTTGATGCAGGCATTCAGTACTATTCTTGGAAAGGGTCTGCCACGCTCCAGGAGTGCAACCGATGAACCGCAAAGCCGTGAAGCTGACAGCCGTTCGCCTGCTTCGCCGACGGATGATCCTATCGTGGAAGATATTTACGTGGCCAAAGCTCAGATGGAGAAGGCGAGCCGACAGATGGCAATGATTTTCCTGGTGGACAGGTTCCGGGATGAAATAGACCACCTACGGCGGCAGCTGGAATCTATCATTGACTTGAAACCGACGGTCCGTGTATCCTTCTTCAACACATCGGTCACTTTCGACCCTTCCCTCAATTCGGGGTGCGCCCTGGATGCCTCTTGTCCGGCTGTGATGTTCAACGTCGACGAAATGACATTTCAAAGTCAAGCAGCAGATAAAGAAGATGGCCGAACTTCTCTTGGTTTTAGCGTGGTGATTGGCGAATTCCACGTTGACCTGTGCCGGATTCCGCACTTTGAGTATAGCGCATATCAAATCTTTCTCGTGCCGCGGACCTTTCTCGATGTTGAGGTTACCGTGCATAAGAAGGGGCACAAGCGACAAAAGGAGGGCTCTGGAGTTGATGTACGCGTCAATCTCGATGTGCACACCCCGCGACTCAGCGTTACAGACCAGCTGGTGGTCATGTTTGGCGAGATCCGCTCTCACAAAACGCAGAGTACAGAACGAGGCCATGAGACACCGCAGGGCAGTACGACGTGGCAGGCACGATTCCACATGGCAAAGATACTGTTCGGTCTTTTATCGTCGCGGCTGAGTGTGCAAATCATTAGCCCGACAGTCATGGCACATGTCGTGGGATATGATGGGTGTGATACAACCCAAGACGCCGATATCTTTGCAGTCTCTGCCGAAACCCTCGCACTGCAGGCCAAAGTTGCTTCCCAAACCCCGCAGGGAGCGTTAGGCAATAAGGCATCATTTCATGGAGCCGACGATCCATGGACGGTGGAGGTTCTAGCAGAAGTGCAGAATCTGGAGGTTATTGGCGCTCGCGGACCATTGGATATCATCCGAGACGAACTACCCGAAAGGCGGGATTTGCTATTCAGCTTGGAAAACGTAGCAATCAACAGTCACGTTCGGCCAACAGCGGACAAAGGTAGCGACGTGTCGAACATGGGCCATATCAACGTCGAATGTCATTTCGGCTCCGCTTTCGCCGATTTTTCACTGCTGCCGCGAACCGACCACATTGACTACTTCACCTTCATGGCCAAAGTCGGGGCGGCTGTCGTGAGATTGCGAGAATTCACAAAGAAGCCGCAGGCGCCGGTTGCGGCGAAATTCATAAGCTTCCCCTTCGTGAGCACGTTACAAGTCGCATGCTCGCCAATATCGATTCTCCTGGTGGGCGAAGATTTGCGGAAGGCGATACTGCTCGAAACTAAAAGCGTGCTCCTCCAGCTTACCGGACGACCGAAGGAGCTGTTATCTGCAGAGGGCGGATCGCGCCAGCTCTCTGCGCGTCTCGAAGCGCAGGATATCGGTGTTCACACTACTGGGACATTCTATTCTACGGAGGAGCCGTACTTTGCCAAGCAGGAGGCCATGTCAAATGGACTTGACACGGAATCTTCCCTCCGGATTCGTCGGATTGAAATGCTCCATGTGCGCGAGTTTGGCGCGACGGACCGAAACGAGCTCACGTTGCGCTTGGATGAGGTCGTAGTTTGCTTCAGTTTGCGGATGTTCTACGTTACCTTGATGGCGTCGATATACTGCTGGAAGCTCGTGAAACTGCTGGATATCGAAAAAACTGAGAAGAACAAAGGAAAAGAAATCGGAACAAAATCGCCGGTCGTTCATGTGGAAGTCCAAAGCTTGCTGGTCGACATCACGCTGCCGGGCCATGTCCACCTGCGTGTAGGCATACAACCAATATTCATCGACACCGGCGAAGGACTCCTTGTGCGAGCGCAAACACAACTGGCCACCGTCGATGTCCTTACAGACGAAGAGCAGCTCATATACGAACGCTTGACACAAGTCACCGAATTGACTGTTGAGTGCCGCAAACCTCCCGGCACGTCGGCCACGAAAGTCGAAGCTGAGGTCATGTCTGCAGAAGTACGAGTACCATATGGCTTCAAAATGGCCAAGGTGATTGAGAATGCCATCAGTATGCAGAAGGCCATCAAACGGCTTTGTGCCGCAGAGCTCGGGCTTCGGCTGAAAACACCAAGCACGACAGGCCATTCGATACCAATCTACGACACGATACCCATCATCAGGGTGCAAATCTCCACGCTCTGTATACGCTTCGCAGATGACCCATTCGAATCCGCACTGTCACGGAACTACTTATTGGGGTTCGAAGAGCAGGAAGGACGTATAGCCCGCGACAAGGCCTTTCAGACTAAAGCCGCGGCTTTGCGCTCGGTTGATGAAAGGAGACGAGGTTCTGTGCATGACGAGCATAAGCAATCAACTGCGGTCGAGAACGCCTGGGGGCTCTTGCAGGAGTTCAATGCTAGGGCGTGGATCGACCGTTTGCGGAAAGCCCATAAGGAAACTGAAGGGCCCCCGCCGCTTATGCACACCACCATCACCAACATACAAGTAGCTATAGATCCACCTGTTTTGTTAGCGAACTCGATCGAGCAGACGCTGCATATTATTGATCCCGCAACGCCAGCAAACGCTCTGTACGACGAGCAGATTCCCCGGAACGTGACCATCAGCATGCACTCCCTGAAGATGCAGATTAGAGACTACTCGGCGCCTCTCGTGTGCTTACCGGCAGACGGGAGTGTAAAGCTGGAAACGAAGGGGCTGGTCATCTTCGCAGAGCAGGTCTCCGCCGCCGAAGCAAACCGCACAGTCGTGATACCGGTCGGCCTACCCACGGGAGAGGAGGTTGTCGTTGCACGAACTGTTAACCCGAACAAAATGTACAGCTCCTTGACAACTACCATTACCACGTCGTCTACGATACATGCAGCGTGGGGAGCGTCGTTAGAACCTGGTATATCCGATATGATTAGCGTATTCGACACGTTCACCAAGCCAAACGTGGATCCTAGCCAACCGCTAGGTTGGTGGGATAAGCTCCGACTGATTATGCACGGCACGCACACCTTGATCATCACGGGGGGCGGTGACATCAGCTTCCGTGTCCTCGGCTCCACTTCTCCGTACTTCGATGGCCACAAGCATTTTGGCACCGAAGGCATGCAGGTCTCGATGCGAGACGGGGTTCGAATCGAGGTCAACGGCAGTCAAATTCCGGGCGAGGACGTGACGATCGAATGCGGCGAATTGGGCTTTGCGCTCCCTTTCAATGCGCGCGCAGGGCATCATCATCGGGCAAAGGAGGAGGACACTGTTGCGAGGATGAGGGGCGGGGTTCGACTGGTGTTCGGGTTTGGCTTTGTCACGGAAAGGAATAGGAGAGATCCTGCGAGTGGTTTAGTAAAGAGCCATGCGGACATTTGTTTGAGAGCTCCGGAATACATCGACTCGGATCAATTGCGAAAGGTGCGTTTCTCTACATGTACGACTTGGGACGAAGAGAGTTTGATAACCGTCTCTGGCTATAGTGGGACTCTTTCCGAGGATTCCGGTCCAGCAGCATCAACATTACCGTCCGCTTAGAGTCGCCCAAACCATTCTACGCCGGCCTCTCCGAGCCTTCCAACTCGGTCCATCTCACTCTAAACACCATGTCTCGTTTTTTCACCTTCCTGCAAGTTTATCAGTCAGTTCTGACAAGCTTACCGGTACGGAAGGGGAAGCTATTCCAGGAGGACGGCCCAGGCCCTTCAAAGCAAAAACTGGGTCGCACAATCGGCTCCATCAGGATTCAAACGTCGCTACATCCCTTACTGCTCGGCTTCGTTGCCGAGGCGCAGGATAAGAGCCTCGGCGTGGGGCTGAGGTGTCGCGCCGCGCAAGTCGTCATGGATATGACATTATTGCAGAGGGTGATTCAGCAGCGACGGCCCAAAGAGGAGCTTCTCAAGCGGAAACCCACGAGCAAATGGATTTTGCGCGACTCTGAGCTCGAATTGACAGATGTGGAAGCTAGGGCTTTAGCATTTGGGGACTTCAGCGAAGCACGTCCTGCCACGTTGGAAAAGCCTCTATCAGTGGACGAGCTCGATCAGCCAGGGGCCAGTGATGATAAGGACTGGATCTTTCCACGCGACGCGCTTCGAAAAAAGAGACCGACTTTGAACCTCGTTCCGTTTGCTTGGACGCCCAAAATCATCTACACTAAATCGAACGACACGAAGGTATCCGGCGCGCAGGATAGCACACGGTCTAAGAAGGATATTTTCGAGGTGCAGAAGCATCTGTTCAAGAGCCGACTGCGGGAGATTGAAGCGGCGATTCGTCATTATCTCGAAATGCAGCGTGGTCTGGAATACCGTATGGCTGTCTTCTTTGACGACTCGTTGCGGCAGCAGTCGCAGATCATTGTTGAGAAAATGGCCATACTGCACGAGAAAAAGGTCGTGATTGAGCGTTATATTCGCTCGTGTCAGCAGAAACTGGAATGCGACAATGTGGGCGACAAAGCGGCGGGCAGAGCCGAGCGCAAGCTTCCCGCGGCGGCTGTTTTCCAACATCACTTTGTGGTCCACAATCTCAACTTGATTTGGAAGAAAGATGTGCGCAACATTTTGTTCCAAATGGTTTCGTTGCAGCAAAAGGCCATGGCGATCAAGTTCTGTCTGTCCCATACGGCAACGAAATTGATGGCGCAACTTGTTACGTCCTTTGCGGAGCGGAGAAATCGTACCGATGCGCCGGAGACTGCTCATGATGTTCTGGCAGATACGGCAAAGACAGCACCAGCTCCAAAATCAAGCATGGTTTTCGCCGAGCTCGACGCAAATGCAGCACATCGTTTGCTCAACAAACTTGTGGACGAGATGGATACGGCGTTCTTTGTCTCCAATGAAACAGAAGTGGAGCAGGATGACGATGCGGCAGAGTCCAACAATCGAGGGGCTGCGCTTGCCTTCAACAATCGCAAAGTGTACTTTCCCTCGAGGGACATTGAATCGCCGGACTACATCTCCGACTCGCAAACGTATGAAAGCAATTTTATGATGCAGCTCGTGTACCCACAAGTCAACCTTGAAGCTGAATCAAAGGACAATCCGTCACATCTCGAATCAGTCGTGCTTGCCGCGGAAAGCATGCAACTGCGTTCGATCCGCATTCTGGACGCCCAAGCCAGTACTTCATCGACCGCCGATGAGAACAGCGATAGGAATGAAGAGATCGTCAAATCCCGAATGGTGGTGAATATTTATGACGCCCAACTTTTCGTTGCTCGCAAGACCGACATTGAAGTCGCCCCTGAATTCGATTTGGACAATATTGCCATGCATCAACCTTGGGACAAATCAGATACCCCGACGGCGGCTGCCTGGCCCATTTGGGTCCCAATAGAATGCATTGCAGATCACTCATCGCATCCGGGATTCCTCGAGCGGGTGGTCGAACGCGTTTCTGCGAGTCTTCATCGCGACGTCCCTAATCCTTTGTACTTGAAAGGCGATGTAGCGAGCACCCAGCCGGAGACAAAGCACACCCTGCAGATCAACATCCCGACATTCTTCATAACCGCCACCGCTATGCAATATATGGTCATATATGACGTTATCGAGAACCTTCTGGTGTATCGAGACCCAGGACGAGGCGAACAGGTGGAGAAGATGACCAAGATGCTACTCATCTTGGAGCAGATGGAGGATTTGCGGAAAGTGCAAGAGACGGTCTTGCTACTTCAGCAGAAGATCAGGCAGACGGAAGCTATGCTGCACACCGATATGGACAACAGTGGGTTGACAGTCGGAGCCTCTTCCCATCGGAATGCGGAGATTCTTCGTCATTTGCTGCAGTGCCAGGATGAGTTGATCATTGTCGTCGATGCCATCAAAGCAACGCAATCGCTAGAACAGAAGAAGAAATCAGCGGCGATCTCTTCTGAAATCTTGATCAAGATGGGCAAGATGGTCTGGTGTATGCTGACTGACGAGCAAACGCCCCTCTGTGAATGGACGCTTGATAAAGCGCAGTTTGGTGGGGTCCATCACGAGGATCAGACGGACGTCAACACGCTTCATATCGACAAGCTTCATCTGGAGAACCATATGTCGGCTATGAACTCCTTCAAGGAGGTCATTGCGCCTTATTCGCCCGACATGACTGATGTGGACTTCACCCGGCACAAGATGATTCGCGTATACTGGCGTCAGATGGCACCTGTTGCTGGCATCAAAGTGGTCGATCACTTCGAAGTCAACATATATCCCCTTCTCATCCAAGTAACTTACGATATGGCGAAGGAGATTGTGTTTTATCTCTTTCCGGAGAAGAAAGCCAAGGCCGCCGCGAAAACCCATGCTCAGCAGTTGCATAATACCAGTGACGATAAGCAGAACCGAAGATTCCCCCGCTCCGAATCTGCGGATCAAATCGCGAACAGAAGCTCTCGTTCTTCCGTTTCAGACCTCAGTTTGCGAAGAGTTTCCTCCACGAGCGCCGATAATGTAGCTGTGGTTGATGACAAGCTTCGACCGAGTTCACCATCGGAGCCCGATATGTCTCCCCAGACTGAGAGAAAGCGACGGTTTAAGAGCGGGACTTTCTCATACAGTCACGGGAGAACCCTCAGCAGTAAAAGCGAGACCAAGGAGGAGGCGTCGTCGTCTCCGAAATTGCGACGAAAGGAGACGCGAGTGAATGAACTCAAACAAATGCAAGCCAGAGCCTCGGAAAATCGATCGTTCATCTACATCAAGATGCCCGGAGCCAATCATTGTTTGAGTTATCGGGTAAGCACCTCATCCGCGTTCATTCCGGTTCGTTCTGGTGATGACAAATGGGGCCGAAGTTCTTACTTTGCCATTATCATCAGGGGTCGAAAGAGAAAAACATTGAGGATTTGTACATGTTCGCGTTCAAAATGCCAACGCTCGAGTTTCGCAACAAGACTTGGACGTGGCTTGACTTCTTGGACGCTGTAAAGAAAGGTGCGTTTTGGTCATTCGGAACAGAATTAGCGAAAGTGTTCTGAAGGAATACTTTCGAACCCCCACAGAGGCACTCCGGGCGGTCCTGGCAAACACCGGAGCGCTAGTTAGAGAGAAGCTCTTCGTCAAGCGGAAACCGAGCACGGCTTCAGACGAACATGGTAATGCTACTTTGCAAGCTCCACCTGCCCGGCATAACAAATTTCCTGGGAGAGGCATTTTTGGAAGCCGGAAAGACGGTAGCGACAAGGAGAAGGATACCACGAAGGAGAAACAGAAAGAAAAGGAGAAGGAAAAGGAGGTTGGGAAGGAGAAATCACAGAGTGGTTTGCCATCGAAAGACAAGCCGACGAAGGAAATCAAGAAGACACGCATGCCGCCGTCCACAGAGCTGTTGTTCGAGGTTAACGAGGAGGATTGAGTTGATAGACCGGCCAACCGCAAAAGTTTCTTATGCATTTATGGTTATTTTCGTATACCACATTGCTGCACCATTCGCTGTACATAGTTCAGTTTTTCAATCTCACTTGCGCTTGGACTTTGAAATGCCATCCGAACGTTCGCAGCCAAAGCTGACTTGCAGCTTGAGCCCCAGATCTTCTCATGCCTATTCGCTAACCTCCATACTGCTAAATGCATCGTTACGCAAACTCTGCCTAGACCTTCTTAAGCGGCTGATGCTCATTCGTCATCATCTTCATCATCAGGGCCGAACTTCGTGTAATCGATCTTAACGCCACGGGTACGACGTCCACGGTCAGGCAGGATATCCGATGTGTCCAAACCTTCCAGGAGGTCGTCATCTAGAGAGAGGAAAGAGACGTTAGTTGTCATCGCTTTCCATGCGCGCCAGTCGAGTCAGTTTCCTACCAGAGATTTCATCAGGTTCGTCACCACCAGAACCCTCATCGTCGCTTTCAGCCTTCTTCTTCTTTTTGGCCGGTGGTTGCTTGCTAGAAGCTTTGCCGGAGCTTTTTGATGGCTTTACGTCCTTCGCCTTCCGCTTCTTTGGTCGTTCCTCTTCCTCCTCGTCTTCAGAGGGAGATTCGCTTCCGGCATCGTCCTCTTCAACATTATTCCGGAGTATCTTAGTCAGACTATAGTCATGATACTAACTTGATAACTTTCGTATGCTCCCCCATACCTTCTTCCTCCTCATCATCGACCAGGAATCCGTCCTCGTTATCGTACTGGTCAAGGTTCTTGTGCTTGGACAGCTCACGCTCCTTCTTTGCAAACTCCTCCTCACGAGCTTTGGCAGAGCGCTCATCAGTGACTTTCGGTTTTGGCTTTGCTGTCGCGGCCGATCCTTTCGATTTCGTTGCTGCCTTCGTACTTTAAGATCGCGGAAGTTAGTGTCGGAACACCCCCGAGGGACTGGAAGATCACTTGGCGTAGCATTCGGTTCCAACCTTGGCTTCTCCTCTTCTTCCTCTGCAGCTCGACGCTTTGCGGCAAGCGCCTCCATTTTGGCTTTCCTGTCGCCCATTTTGTTGTTTGTTGATCGAGGTTCTGGGTGTTGATCACGGATGTTGTGTTCAGCAAGGCCCGAGGACGAAGTGGAAACCGCGAACTTGCGCATTTGGCATCATCTTAGGTACGCGCCGCGCTGTCGCTTTTTGAGTGAGGCATGCTACATACAAGTTGCCTTCATCGGCGACGCCTCAGGCAGAGGTACAATGATGTGGATGGCAGATAACCACCACGGAAAATGGGATGGGGTGAAATCTAGACTACCGGTTACGGGAGAATGCGTCTGGTCTGCGGCCATTGCCAAACACCACCGAACGCACAATCGAGAGGAAATTCTTGGTGCTCAGGATGTCCCGATTGTGCACTCTCATCCGTAGTCGTAGTGGTCGTCTTCCAGGAATCTCATATGGTGTCCAGTCTTGGTTGATACATTCGGGGTTGGGGCAACCCACCAATCCATGGACGTATTCCATTCTTCCCTTTCTAGCTTGCCATGGCCGAGATGACAGCCGCTGACGGATGTTTTTCTTCACACGGCCGTGGCAGTCGGGGCACACGGACGACGTTCGATACTCATCCAGCAAGTAGCATGGAATGCTGTTTCTTGCAAAGAGTGTGCGAAATCTGATTTCCATGATGGCATACTGTAATACATATTACCAATGATAGTCACTCACCCTTTGGTCTTTGATGACTCCTGAAAGCGCATGGTCTTTCCAGCGTCGCTCCAATCACCCAAGATGGCCGCAAAATGCTTTCCATACAGGTGTCGCATGTTCTTGATGAGCTTGCTCTCAGACTTTTGCCGCAGTGAGAACGCCTTGAATCTGCAAGCTACATGAATCTCATCCTGGTAAAACTCATCCAGGGCGGGATCTGGGATATGGATGTCAGCCCATGTATTACCAAAGTTGAAAATCAAAGTTGAAGTGGAACATCATACCCGTGTGTTCGTAATCCACGATGAACGCTGAGAACGCCTCGATGTTCATGCTCTTGTGCAATGGAATATGTGATTCCATCTCAGCGATGCCGGCATTGATCTTTTGCTCTCTCATGTCTCTTTGAAAGTACCGAGACTTTGTCTCGACCGCCCGTTGATTGGACGTGTATCTGATATGGGGTGGTGCATTGTGAGGACGCTGCAACGGAATGTCGCCGCAACGGGGATGGCGGAGACGGGGGGCTGGCAGGCGGAGACGGGGGGCTGGCGGGCGGAGATGGGGGGCTGGCGGGTGGAGACGGGGGGCTGGCAGGTGGAGACGGGGGGCTGGCGGGTGGAGACGGGGGGCTGGCGGGTGGAGACGGGGGGCTGGCGGGCGGAGAGGGGGGGCTGGCGGGCGGAGACGGGGGGGGGGGGTGGGTAGCCGGGACAGCAGGGCAGTAGTAATCAACTGAAACGTACCGAAATGGCCGCTCCTTCTTGATGTCTCGACAGAACAAGAGGTCACGCTTGCCCGGATCACTGCAGACGATGTTTGGAGCCTCCCTTAGTTGGGCGATGTGGTGCTCAAAATACAGCTGCTGGACTTCTTCCTGCATTTCGGCTTTGCTGCGCTTCCGAGCGCGATGGCCGTACTTGAGCCCTGGCTTCTTGAAGTGGATGGTAGCGGAATACCCGTTTGTGCTGATTGACCCATCAAATTTGAGACCAAGCTTCTTTCGATCCTTGAAGACCGTGTCCTGCAATCGTCATTCAGCGAGGTGATTGAAATAAGCGCAGAGGGCTACAGACTTAACTTACATTCACATTGAGAAACTGCCCCCACAGCTCCCGCTTGCGTTCATCGGTAAGTTTCCCCATGTGATGGTGGCCCAAGGCCAGGATATGAGTGGTTAGGATCTTCGTGTCAATCAGAACAGATGACTGGATTCGAGATTTGCGCAGCGGGATAGCAGGAAACAGGCGCATTCCACGGCGCTCATAGAGGTGCGAGAGCTCACAGTAGGTGCCTATGAGGAGGCAGGTGCAGACCATGATTAGACAAGAGAGGAAGCGGGGGGGGGGGGGGTTCCGCTTCCTCTCGGCCGGGGGGGGGACCACGTCTGCCCGGGTCCCGGCGCACAGCCATTCGGCCAGTTCGGCGTACCAAGCAAGGTGCTCGCTTGCGTCGCTTCGCAGCCACGCACGAGCTGGAGGGGTGGGGTGGGGGGGGGTGGGGGGGTTCGCTTCTTGTCGGCCCCAGCGCGCAGCCATTCGGCCAGTTCCGCGTACTAAGCGAGGCGCTCGCTCGCGTCGCTGCGCAGCCACGCACGAGCTGGAGGGGGGGGGGGGGGGGGGGGGGGGGGGGAATAAATATACAGGATGCAACTCACCTTAATATGGCATTGCGTCCACCGCAAGGGTGTACGCAAGGGGCTCATCCTGGGGAGGAAACAGAGCCCATAACTCGTCAAGGAGAGTCCGCTCAAGTCGCGTGAGGCGGGCAAACTCCTCTTCAGTTGGGTACTCTTCAAATGTCGCGTACTTTGTGAATTGACGGACACCCCGATAATACTGTTGGCGCTGCGCTCGGCTAACTCCGGCTCTCCGAAGATGCAGTACGACTTGCTTCAAACCAAGCCTTTCATTGACATAGCGCAGAAACATTTGCATGAAATGCTCCTGTACGTTGACTTTGAGGTTGGTGAAGATGCTCGTAGCTGTGTACGCAGCGGTCTGTTGGCTATTTCGCATGCGGATGGGGGCGAATCCGTGAACATTACAGTACTCTTGAACCCGTGGACGCAACTCTTGCGCAATGACCGGATTGCCGTTGTAGCCTGGATTGTTTAGCAGCTCAAATATCACACTAATGTGCTTGTCGGTGATATCCGGGAAATCGTGTAGAGGATGATCAATTGTGGTGGAGTGGGCAGATGTAGCAGTCAGGACATTGTTTTATGCGAAATATACAGTATAGTGTACCTCAAAAACTCACCAAGGTAGTACTTGATAAAAAGGTGGTGTGGCGCGCAAGGACGTGAACATCGGCAATGAACGTTGCCAAGCGCTCCCTTTGAACTTGATTTTGATATGGATGATTCGGTGAAGCGAAACCTTGGTGCTGGCATGTGTTTGCGGGCGGGGTCGTTGAACTGGTGGTGGTGGTGGTGGCGGGGGTTCATACACCAGGGATCCACCTGGTGTGCTGGGAAAACGGAAAGGGATGGGCGCGGGGAGGTTCAGTGGGCGCTGCAGACCCCTGTCCACGGGTGAAAGCCCTCGCTGCTGCTGGTGCTGTTGCCCATCTTCATCGCCGGAACTCTCGCTGACCATGTCTGCAATGGCTTCGGGCAAGTGGCATTGGACAGACGGTGGGAACTGGAATCGCGGGGGTTGCAAGGGTGTCTGCACAGTTGGCAGACGTATGGGCAACCGTGGGGTAACCGGAGCAACCTTCCTCCTCTTCCGCCGTGGTGTGGTTGCTCCAGTAAATATGCCACACCACAGGTACCCCTGGAGCGCTTGGTGTGATGACATGTTGGCTGTGCTGTGCTGTGCTGTGCAGGGAGGTTAGATTGATCTGTTTTATGTAGTGTGAGGGATGGCGGCGGGGTAGGGGATTGCTGTTGTTACCTGGAGGTGGTCGGCGGGATCTGTACTGTACAGAGGTGTTTGCAATTGCGTTAGGAAGGAAGGGGGTTGGGAAGCAGGTTGGGAAGGAGAGAAGGGCCTCCGTCCTCCCCACTCAATGACGTCTTGATATATGAATGTCCATGTGTTTTGTGCGATACAGAGTGTGGCTTGTCCCAGGGAAGAAAAAGGCCCAGCCAATGGGGGGAAGCTACGTACGTTTGGTAATGCGAATGGGGGGAAGCTACGCTTGCTTATGGGAATGGGGGGAAGCGGGGGTATGGCACTGACAGCACTGGATATTCGACAGCTCAGCGGAGTATGTACGTATGTACCTATACAGTACATTGCAGATATAATCGCGCTCAGAATCGCGCTCGGCCTTACACCCTTCACGCTTGGCCTTACATATACAGCTTCACGCTCTCAGCGCTGTGGCTGGCGCGTGGTTTGCGCCATCAGCAGTGCGCATTGAGTAAAATAGGCCGCAGGGTCGAGCGATATAGAGACCAAGAGGTGAGTGGGAAAAAGGGTGGCCAGCAAGCGAGTGGGAAAAAGGGAGAGTGGGAAAAAGGGTGGCCAGCGAGCGAGTGGGAGCGCGGGGAACTTGGAGGGAGTGAGAAAAGCAACAGAGAGAACAGAGAGGGCGGCTGATAAAGGGAACGCACGGCGGCTGAAGGGAGTGGGCAAAGTTGGAGGGCAAGCTTGGCAACCCAACATGGCACCCCATTGACCCACCCCGTCGTTCCCCGCAGTCTCCTTCAATGCACATCCTCTACCACAACAACGGCACCTGCGGCGAATCCACCTTTGTGGACAGGTTTGCCGTCGGCGAGCATCTCAAGCACCGCTGGACCTGGTTAGGGTTAGGGTTAGGGTTACAGATGGATTCGGTGTTGGAGATGGACATGTTGATGCAATGCACCCGCTGACGCTGAAGTTCGAGCCGCCGTTTGCACCGCTGCCACTGCCATCTGCCGTAATGTGGAGTGTCCAGTCTACCTGGGGAACGACACGTCGCGTCTGCGACACAGCCCTAGTGAAATATACCGGTATGTGCAGGGCGGGTATACCGGTATCTACCTGGCTATTCGCGGATAGATACTCATCTCACCCACTTTGCAGGAACTGAAAATCAACAATATTGGGGGAACTCAACGGCCTGGTGATCACGCTTCACACTTCCGGTCTAGAACCCCTCAACGAGCTCCCGTTGACGAGCTCTACAGTTGACAAGCTCTACAGTTGACAAGCTCTACAGTTGACAGGCTCTACGGTCGTCAAGCTCCGGCCGATGAGCTAGCTCACAGCCAAGATGCCCTCGACGTCGCTACGGTCGGGCACGCCATTGCCGCTCGCGCCGTCGCCATTGCCGTTTGCGCCGTCGCCATTCCCGTTTGCACCATGGTCACTTCCGTTGCCATTGGCACCATTGTCACTGCCATTGCCGTTGGCACCACTGTCGCCGTCGCCGTTCGCTCCACTGCCATCGCCGCCGTTACCGTTCGAGGAAGCTGCGAGGTTGCGCCTGGGAGTGCCGCTGCGGGTGCTGCGTTGAGAACCCAACCGTCGCCGCTGAACGGCTCGGGTTGAAGGGCAAGGCTTGACCATTGTGAACTGAACCGAATTGGACTCCAAGAGCGATGTTGGTGGTTTCCCCAGACCCCCGTTGAGATGGAGCTGTGTGATGTGATGGAGCTGTGTGATGTGAACCGGGAGGAATAAAAGAAAAGGAGCGCGAGGAAAAATGGTCGTGGGTCGAGCTGTTTGAGAGCGGGTAAGCTTGCTTTCTGTTGTGATACTTAGTTGTGCTGCTGTTCAGTTAACACCCACGAAGCGCCGAGCGCGACGGTGGTTACCACGCCGCACCGAGTGCGACAGGAGTCAAGAAGTTGTCTGGGAGTGGGAATTGAACTCGCGACCTGCGCGTCTGCAGGGAGAGCAAGATTCAACTGTGCCAGAGCGCCAGTGTTATCAGAGTGCAATTACAGTACGTGGCCAAAAGAGCGTCCGAGAGAGCGTTCCATCACGTGGGTTTGATCACGTGAGCGTTGCGCAGGCTTTAATAAGTCTGATACAGTAGGATGCCAAAACGGACGTTACGACGGCATGGACGCGGTCAATAAATCTTTGTGGCCAGCAGAAGTCACCGGCTGCCGCCTAGCCATTGCGTGGTTGACCGGGGGCCGGCCAGCCGCGACTACTAACCTAGGTAGTAGCCCAAATGCCGTCGATTTCGACGCGCCGGTCGTAACGTCCGTTTTGGCATCCTACTGTACATACGCTATACATTTACCATTTTTGCTATTCTACACAAACATGTTGCGAGATATGGCACCCCTTGTCTTCGATCCGCCATAAAGGGTAGATCGTCGGAGAAACCATCGAGAGGTACGACATCTATCCTACGGCGGTAGCTTGTGATCCATGGGTGCAGCATCTCCCCCAGCTTCCACCCCACGTAGACAACGACGAGTACCCAGCAGCACGGACATTCAGCGTCAAGCTGCGGTTTTGGCGTTACAGCACTTTGTCCCCGTCTGCACCTCCCTTCGCGTGGTACTTGCTTCTCGGTACAGATGTCGCTTTCACCGATCCGTGTCCCCGTGCGCTACTTTGATTCCCTCCCACCCCCAGGTCACCTGCATACTGTACAGTCCTGTCCACACGTTATATCATTGATTCGGCTAGAGGAGACACTACTCGTGGTTCGTCGGCGGCTCCAAACCACAAGCCCGGAAGCGGCCATGATCGATCTGCGGAAAGGATGATTCGATTCCGCCCGAATACATTCAGGAGTGTGGGCTTCTGGGCTTTTGCAGCCGTGTGAACGCCGATGCAAGCGTGGGGCTAACCCTAATCCTAACCCTAACCCTCACTGGGACAATTAGAGTATGTGTGCTTAAAGGGTAGCGTGGAGAGCAAATGCGAGAGATCCCCACTGGCGTGGCGCAGCATGGCTCCCGTCCTTTCTGCCTTTCGCAAGTTGCTCCCACAACTCGTCACAATTTGACATTGGAAGGACGCCGACCACGACGCCGACTCGGTCGCTCACTCCTGCCTAACTTAAGAATGGCTTGCAACTCACTGAGGACAGCGGCTTCGCTGCGATCCACACTTGGTATGTCCAGTGGCCGTGAACAACGGGAGCTAGGAACAGATTTCTTAAACTTCTTTGTTTTCCAGCACAAAAGGAATCAACCATCTTCAGGCGGGCAATCCACGTATCTCCCCGCTCTTTTCAAGGTATGCTAAGACACACTGCGGTGACTGCTGCTTTTGAACCTCCATGTCTGATCCGGGCTTTTACTTTGGCCGCGCAGCTGCCGTGGCCGTGGCAGAATCAGAAGGGAATGGGTCGTACGGATGTGGACCTACCGCCGCAACAACCTCGAGCCACAGCTTCAGAGCTAGCCCAATTACCCCTTTCAGAAAGATTGGCGCCGCACCACTGTCAACGCAGGCGTCGACACCATCCACGCCCCGGGAACCAATAATCGACTCTCCACTGGCCAGGCCGGCAGGTCACTCACAACAATCGAGGCCTTGGAGCAGAGAGACGAGTGCAGCATTAGACCTCCTACGCAGCCAGGACAAATACTACGCCATCGTAGAACTTAAAAGCCGACCATACTACGTCAACTTGAACGATGTCCTGATAACGATGCGAATGAATGAGTTGGAGCTGGGCGACATCATCCAGCTGGATCGGGTGCGGGAAATAGGGAGTAGAGATTTTGTCCTGAAGGGGAACCCATATGTAGATCCCAGCTACTTCACGATCAAAGCGGTGGCGATTGAGCATCCAGTGAGTCGGGAAATCAAAACGATTCACAAAAAGCGACGAGGGAGGGATCGGGTTGCGTTCAACCACTCACATCATACGGCATTGCGAATCGCGACGATCAAGATCAACGATCAGTGAAGCTTGTAGAGAGCTCTCATGTAATTATTTCATAACAAAGGCATATATTGTAGTCCAGACTTGTACGTTGGCTGCCGATAGGTGCTCGCTCATCTCCAGTACTCAATGCCTGGCGGTTGTAGGCGCCGAGCGTCGGCTGAGGCCTGGTGGGGGTGGAGGAGGAACCCTTTTGTAGCGTTAGGGTGAGGAGGCGCTTGTGTGGGTGCAGATTGGCGTGATGGAGGGGAAGCGTACGTTTGTGTAGGTGGTTGAGTGGTGTCTCCTGAGGGTCAGGCGAGAAGGCGTATGTATAGGTCTGTGCTGTACAGTCGGTTCCGAGTCTCCACTGTGTACGTTTTATCACTCTGCCGTTCGGAAATAGGGCCGATGGAAACGTCATCTGCCCACTCGTATAATCCACGACAGCGGTATCCGAACCCCAATGAAACGCATGGGCGAGATATCCGCCCCCCATTTCCGGTTCATTTTGAAACTGAGCCACGAGCTATACAAAACTATGTTGCTAATATATACAATACATTACAGTATATAAATACACCCGTTCTCAAGTGAATGCTGCTGTTATCATTAGCGGGTGGGCCGACGGGAAGGGTCGTTCATTGGATTTGGATATTTCAGACTGTTGGATGTCGCGCCAGCGTAGCTGACGTGGAGTTTGGCGAGCCTGATATCGCCGCGAGTTTGGTCTGGTGACTTAGCCACTTGTTGGTATTTCGAGGATTCCGCCGCTGGCATGTGTGTGATCCGACAGCAACTCGCAGGTGGCCGCGGGCAACGCTGGTTTGGCCTGGATGTGTGATGCGGGGGGTGCCGTAGGCCCTTGCGCGGAAGTGGTGGGGTGTCGGCGCCCATTCCGACACTCTTCGTCACCGCCCCACCCTCAACCACACGTGCCGCCCCCCACTCCCCCAGAACTACCGCTCCACATCTCCTCTCACACCAATCCCTCAAGCCACCCCAGTCTTCGCCTCATCCTCCGCAACCTCCTCAATATCCGGCAACGGAAAATGCAGGATCGCCGCAACCCCCGTCAGCTGCTGCAGCTGCTCGCCGGTCGTATGCAGCGCCGAGAATACCAAGACCGTGCCGCCGCTGGAGCGGACTTGCTCGACGAGGGCGATGTATTTGCGGCGGGTCGGGATGTCTGCTGAGCTGTTGCAAAACCCGGGTGGATGAGTATGTGGGAAATCATTCACATGACGCCGAACAAAAAGAAAACGGAGGGACAAGAAACTTACCGAAACAACTCATCAGTAACCATCAAAACCTCCACCGCAGCCCGTTCCGCCGCCAGCGCCACGTGCTGGAACCCATAGAACGCCTTGTCCGGGTCGGCCGCCAGCACCGTATAGAAGCGTTGCAGGGTGCGTACTTCGTGCGCGTATTTGGTGTCTTTCAACTGGGCCTGCACGGCGGGCTGCTGGAGGACTTCGGTTAATGCGTGTTTTTGGCCGGAGGAGCAGTGCACGAGCAGGAACTTGGATCGGTTCTCGAGGATGAGCTTGTTGTCGGTTTTGATGGCGGTGGCGAAGATGTATTGGTTGAGGGATTCCTGCGCGTGGTGTATCCGCATCGTGTATTTGTGAGCCTTCGCACGATCCCGGGCGAAAACCCTTCGCTCCCCAGAAAGTTGGGCCGACATTCCTCAGCCCACTCACCTTCAAGAACCCCGGACTCGCCACAATCAACACCTTCACAACCTCGAAATTCACGTGTCTCAACACCGCCTGATAAATCTGCTCCCAAAACCTCGCCAACCCCTTCTCATGATTCGTGCTACTCCCCTTCCTCTTCCGCGGGATATTCACTTCGATCCGCTGCCGCACAATCGTCATGTTCTGCGTGACCAGGCACAGATTCGCGAGCCCCTCTTGGAGGACGATGGCGGCGACGTCGGCGCGGTTGGCGATCTCGCACGCGGTTGTGATGCGGTCGAGGGAGATGATGTCCCATTCGGGTTTGATGAGCGTGAACGTGCGGTTGAGTTCGAGGTCGAGGGTGTGGTAGGCTCCCATCTGATGTGTCAATAACATCGTGCGTGTGTGAGTCCGGTCGTCCCCCCGCTATGCACACTACATCACAATCCCCCATTACAGACCAACCTTAACAAACTTGTTCTCCTCCACATTCCTCCCCGCGACCCTCAACATGCACACCTGGGTGTCGAATTCCACCTCCTCGACCTGTATCGTCAGCACCGTGCGCACCGTGCTCTTGTCTGTGCTCCCCGTCGCTGACTCTGATACCACCCGTCTGCCCAAAAAGGAAACGCATCATTAACCCACATGCCCTCGGGTTGAATGGACATGGTGACAATGGGAGACGAACCGGATGGTGGTGCTTTTGAGACTATCCCCCTTGGAGATCAGGTTGTAGGCGTGCCACATGTCCTCAGATTCTTCGGGGAGGAGGGTCACTCGGCCCGATTTGTCTTTGTCGATGTGTTTGCTAATTAGTTTCATGGTTACTTATGTGGAGATGAACTAGGATTTGCTGGGTTAGATCAACAGACGGTAGACGAGGTGAGGCTTGGAGGGGTTTACTTACTTTATAAAAGGGAAAATGTGTCTTGCATCAGGGTGTCTGTGGACGAATTCCGCCTCGCTTCCCAAAACTGTGCCTGCCACTGCCTGGGGAAGCAACGCGGGCATCCCGTCACCGCCTTTGACGCGCAAGCCTCGTTCGGCTATCGACAAGGGCGGCCACACCCGTACTGTACGTACTGTATGCACTGTACATATTTTCTCTTTTCAGGTATGCCAAACAGCCATCGGATTCTCAAATACAATGGTAAATAGAAGAGAAATCCCCCATATGTACAAGAAACCCCCAACTCGCGGTCCAGGTTCGTAGCCTCGCCCCCACCCTCACTCACACCACAACCCCATCCTCCTCCCCCTCCCCCAACACACACTCCCACCACCCATCAAAACCTCCCCCCTCACACACTCCCCCTATCAACAATCTCCCCAAACCTCCCCCTCCCCCTCCCCCCGACAAACAACCCTCCCCTCATCCCTCAGCTTCCCCAAATGCAACCCCACCCCCCTGACCTCGTACGTTGCCTCAGTTTCTGTTTTTTGTACTCGTCGGTTCTGCTGACGACTCAGCCAGGGCTGGCATAAGTCGGAGTAAATGTACACTCGGCGAGTGTCGGGAACCTGCGCCCGCAAAACGGACTGTTCGTTGCTCAAGCACTGCGCTCACATTACAGGTAAAGAAAATGGACACGGATCCTCGTGGGTGCTTCAAGCGGTGGTCTCGCGCAGCGAAACGGACAGAGCTCCGCCAAACAGGAAAAGTACCACCAGCAGCAGCCCGAACCGCGGCGCGCCCAGTACGCCGATGCTCTGCATCACAGCGAACGCGCTGCCCTTGAAGATCAGTCCGCCGAGAACAACCGACTGGTATGCGGCAGCGAGTGAACCCTTGACGACCCCTCGAGCCGTGAAGCCAATGCAGGCAATCAGGAGAGGCAGCAAGTAGTACACGGGCACGGCGAGGATGAGGCCGCCCGCGACGAACAGGAGCGGGGTGACGAGCCCGGGAGGGATTTGCATGTGCGGGAGCGTGAAGTTGTGCGGGAGGGTGAAGTTGTTTGGGGGGAGGTGCGGAAGAGAGACGTTTATGTTTGGGAGGTGCGGAAACGAGACGTTTATGTTTGGGAGGTGCGGAACGGCTGCGAGCGAGATGTTGCGGGCAGCAGCAGCGGCCGCAGCGTCTGGGGGGATAAGGACGACCTGGGCGGGAGCGACGGGCGACATGCTTTTTTGGCCTGAAGCGGAATGCGCTGCGATGCAAGTGACAAAAAGTGAGAGTTGGACAGGCGCACCTGCAGGCGCACTGGCTAATCCCGCACACGGGTGGAACACACACCAACTACATACAAGAACAGTACATACATACATACATACATACATACAATACAGTACGGTCGTCATCTGCCACCCCCCCCAGTCCATGTTAGCCAACGCTGTGCTGCGACCAGCTCTCAGGACTTCTCTCCTGCGTTCCCGTCTCATCACTGCTACTCCGTGTCCACTCCAGTATCAACGCACAATGTCGTCCATCCAGACTATCCAGACTCCCAACGCTCCTGCTGCCATCGGGCCTTACTCCCAGGCCGTCGTCGCAAACGGCTTCCTTTACACTGCCGGACAGCTTGGTTTTGGTGAGGAGGCGAGATATTAGCCTGCAATTCAAATCCTCTTCTAAAGCATAGAACTCCTGTAGACCCCAAGAAGATGGACTTTGTAGCAGGAGGTATCAAAGAACAAACGGAGCAGGCTTTGAAGAACTTGAAGGCCATTTTGGAGGCCGCTGGCACCTCTGTAGACAAGGTGGTTAAGACAACCATTTTCCTTAAGGTATGTCGCTCATCGCCAAGAGGGCCAGGGGATGTATGAATTTCTGCAACTTCTCTCCCAATTCCCATAGGACATGAACGATTTCAATGCGATGAACAAAGAGTACACAAAGGCGTTCGGATCTGCTAGGCCTGCTCGCTCGGCTGTGCAAGGTGCTGTGCTATGGATCTTTGGTTACATTTTGTGAAAGTCGTGGACTAACCGGGCTTAACGGGAACAGCTGCCCGTTTACCTCGCGACGCTTTGGTAGAGATTGAGGCAGTCGCTCTTGTCTAAGGGTACATCTGTTTGGCGCCTTTTTTCGGTCCGACAGAATCTTGGGTTACGGACGTAAAACCTATTCACAGCGGCGTAGTAGAATAGGGCAAGATGGAGCTTGTGCTTGAACATGGACATATATATCACCACGACCAGGACCCCCCGTCTGCATAACAAATGCTTGGAAAACTATGGTGTACATGCATTGCACATAGAAGCCGTGAAAACTCGCTAAACAAGCACTTGTGTCCTGTCCCATATGACATTCGTCGGATGATTGTTGATCCACCGCAGAAGGAGCCACGCAATGATACCGAACACGCCGCGGAGCAAATTCAGGATCTTCCACCGGTATAGATCCTCCATAATCGATGGATTGGACTGGAATGCAGCCAATGAGGAGAACCTGGGAATGAGTGAGAAACCGTGCTGCGACTATATCGTCATCGTTAAGCGTGACCGGGCGCGCATATGAACATACCATTCGGGATCTCCGTATGGTCCGGCACCGGCGGTACTTTGCGACTCGTGGATCCGATCGTCCAGCGGGGTGATCAATACCGTTGCGAGCCATGTTATGAATGTCACTGAGAAACGCACGGAACCCGTGAGCCCAAAACTTTTTGAGGGAACCGTCGAACAATCCTCCAACTGGACGCGTTTTGCAGACTCACCAATGACAAGAAAAAATGCCACCCACGCCCAGCTCAACCTCTTCGACCACCATCGTTCCCTCCCCTCGCCCGTCTCATTCATCCCACGAGGTGCCCCATAGAACACATTCACCGCGTCCAGAAACATCGCCGTCGCAAACACGTTGAAAATCACATTCGCTACTTTCGCGTGTGGCGAGTAGAACGCCAAAAACCGGAAGGCGGGCTCATGGGGCAGGTCGCTTGCTGTTATTGTCGTCGGTTGTAAGTCGAGAGAGGAGATGGTTGGGAGGAGCAGCAGGGAAAGGAGGCAGAGACCGCAGTAGATCCCGGCGAGGAGATGTGTTAGATGGTTCGTTTCGCGTTGCAGAGTCTGTTGATGAGAATGGGGAGTCAGTTCCGGCGCGAAAGGGGGCTCACGAGGCGCTTTACGGGTAGATCGTACATCTGCTAAGCGCATCAACATCGCATCTTTGGCTTTCTGCCCGTAGTAACCCATCTCAAGCTCGTTGTTGAGGTGGTTCGAGCGTCGGGGATTCCGACTAAAGCCCGGGCGGAACCTGCCGTCCTCTATCACAACATTGTCAGAAACACGATGCAAGAAGTACTCTTAAGAAATGTGCACGCACGCACGCAAAGCAAACCTTGAACATAATACGCCGTCACGTCGTCTGGCGTTACAACCGGCAGTTCCTCATTTGCTTGCAGATCTCCGCGCTCAGCCTCATGCTCGGTCCTTTTGGCCAGACGCTGCAGCTCACTGGTTGATAAGATCACGTACTGGTCTGGTAGGGAGGTGATATTTAGAAATACTCATGGCAGTGAAATGGATGACCCGCCAATCGCATACCTGACGTTGGCGATTTGATCTTTATGTACTTCTCTTTCTCCGGTTGACGGTCCGTTGACCTTCCTATATAGCCGCTTAGCACCCGTACCTGGCGATTTGAACATCGCAAAACTAGACGTTACTACTAAGGCTAAAAGTCAGGCTGCGACCACGCCTCTGGCAGTACATCTCGCATCAGAGGTCCACACCTACCCTTGCTTACTCATCTTCCCACTCGACCCCGCCTTCCTCAGCTTCCCCACAGACCCGCTCCTCTCCATCCTGCCACCTCTCCCGTCATCAACATCCTCCCCCCGCTCCCTCCGTAATTTCTCCCTCGACTTGCTGTGCCCACGCGTCCGCCCCAAGTCCGCCCTCGCCTCGTCCTCATTATCAATAGTCACATTCCGATCGAGCGTCGCCGTGGAAGAGGCCTTTCCATGTTTCGATCTGCCCCTCTCCCGACTTGTATATCCAGGTTCCGTGTCAGGTTCGTTTCGCATCGATGTTTGTCCCTGTCGCTCCACATCCCGCTGATGATCAAGGTCCGCGTCGCGATCTCTATGTGTTCTTTTTTTGCGGGTCCCACTCTTTGGTCGTTCGGTCAAGTCTCTTGCCTCCTCGTCCTCCATGTCCAGCGAGGGTTTGCGGGTTTTCTTGTGGCGAGGGGGTTCAGATCTTTTGGACCCTTCTACGTCTTCATTTATGCGGGATCTGCTTTTTGATCTAGATGATGTTGGGTCCATGATTGAGGTTTTTTATGGTGATGCAAAGTGCCCATCCGCCTGCGTGCACATGCAGTCCCGACTTATAGCAAGAAATCTGAATCTGAAAGTCCATACCGAGACGCATTGAGAGTAGGGGTCTTTTGACAGTATGGCGTTTTCGTGAGTTTGGGTTATGTGATTTGATTGGTCAGCGAAGGCTGTGACTTGATTGGCCCGTCTAAGGAGCGCGTTGTGGGCATGGCATCAGGGAGGTTCCTATATGATCTGGCGTCGTCTGGCGAGATCCGTGACCAAATCATGCCTGCCCGCTGCCCAGGCCGCTTGGCTCAGTTCGAGAACCGTTACAAACGCTCGCAGCGAGGCGATGATGTTTTTTACCACCTGAGTTGGCGGAGGCGAAATATCCCCTTTCAGCCCTTCAGAGACTTCCCAACAACCCCCAAGCGCAACGCCTACTAACTCATCGAGGAAGGCACCCCCACGACCAACTCTAGATCTACGCGCTCAACGGCACCTACTGCACACCGAACTCGTCGACCGACAGCAGCTTACGGTGCCCCTTGAGCGACGACGAGCGGGTCAGTCAGGTGTCGACGCAGCACCCTGGTTTTTTGCAGCACCCAACCAAACGTTTACTCAGCGAAAATGGGCCCCCGCCCTTCATCCGCAGTCCTTTTTAGGACCACTGCGGCTGCGGCCCCGAGGGGCTATTGTACCGCTCATGTAACTGTGAGGGATGGTAGTAGAGGAGTTGTGAAGATGGCCGGGATGGGATACATGGTAAGTTTTTGGGGGCTTCTTGGCAGTACCGCCCTGGCGTGAAGAACCATGGAATGACTAAACAACAACGTCTTGCATATCCGTTTCTCCAGCGGACGATGGCAACAACAGCATCCTCCAACGAAGCACCCGCACCCTCAAAAGCAGCACCAGCACCAGCAAAAGCGTCTCGCGATCGATTTTCCGCCAAACTAGAGGGCGGACCCAACTTTAGCGATTTCCTCACCTCGTCGCCAAACACCATCTCTGCCGAGGAGGCGCTGGAGCTCAGTGAGCCCGTCGTGTCGATCGAGGAGACGATCGCGAAGGCTGAGGCCGCCGCCGCCGCCGCCGCCGATGGTATGACACCATCAACCACATCACCACCAAAGGAAAAACCCCTAACAGGCGCCGCCCTCCGCCGCAAAACCCACGTCCGCCTCCCCTCCTGGCTCAAAACATCCATCCCCATCGGCGAAGACTTCTCCCGGATCAAAAAAGACCTCCGCGGCCTGCAACTCCATACCGTCTGTGAGGAAGCCAAATGCCCCAACATCGGTGAATGCTGGGGTGGCGGGTCCGATAACCCTGACAAAACGGCGACGGCGACGATCATGCTTATGGGCGATGAGTGTACCCGCGGGTGCCGATTCTGCTCGGTAAAGACCAACCGCGCCCCCAAACCCCTCGATGCGAATGAGCCAGAACATACCGCGGAGGCGATCTCACGGTGGGGCCTGGATTATGTCGTGCTTACGTCCGTCGACCGCGACGACCTCCCCGACGGCGGCTCCCACCATTTCGCACAAACAGTCCAACTGATCAAACAAAAAGCCCCCCATATACTGGTCGAATGCCTCACGGGCGATTTCGCGGGAAACCTCACCGCCGTCGAAGCGGTCGCGAGATCGGGCTTGGACGTGTACGCGCACAACGTCGAGACGGTCGAGAACCTCACCAAATACGTCCGCGATCGACGCGCGACGTTCAGGCAGAGTCTGGCGGTGCTTCAACACGCCAAACGGGTCAGACCGGACCTGATCACAAAGACGAGTATGATGCTGGGCCTCGGGGAGACGGAGGAGGAGGTGCTGCAGGCTATGGCGGGTACGTCCCCCTCATCCCGCCTCTACTCGTACTCACTCACTCACTAGCACCTCTATCATGATTATTATATTCCCCAGCCCTCCGCGAAAACCACGTAGACGTCCTAACCCTCGGCCAATACATGCGCCCGACAAAGAAGCACATGAAAGTGCACGAATACATCCACCCGTCGCGGTTCGACCACTTTGCCGACCGCGCCCGCCAAATGGGGTTCCTGTACGTGGCCGCTGGCCCGCTGGTCAGGAGCTCGTACAGGGCCGGCGAGTTTTACGTCAAGAATGTCCTCAAGGGACGACGCAGCGCGGAGGTGAGGGATGAGCTGCGGTTGAGTGCGGAGGCGTGAGCGGGGGTGGAAGGCACCTTTTCCTTCTTTTGTTTTTTTTGTTGTCTTTGTCGACAAACAATGGCATCCAGACGTATTCGCATCATCGCATCTTTTAGACAACCCCATATATTCCCCCCGAAGCTCCACTGCTACATCAATCATAACAACTTCATGTATCTCCTGCTATCTGTTCGTTGAGATATCGGGTCGGCCCCGCCCCAAAACATCTGTGCTACATGCATGCGTAAAAGGGATAGACAGTCTATATATCACACATAAGTTATGGACTACACGGTGGTCTAGTCTACCCCCCTCCCAGAGGGAGGGGGCGGGAGGCTTGTTGCGGGTACAGGAGGGGCAGCCGGCGTCGGTGCATGTCGAAGAATCCCTCACGACGTCCAGAGAGCCCTAGTCCATCCCCGGCCCGGTTTGCAGGTGATGTCCGCTCCAGGATGATCCCTGGAACGCCCGTCACATCAACCACTCAACAGGTAGCCCAAACGGAGCCGTGAACAAACCCCTGCCTCCCGAATCCTATCCTCTCCCCACCTACGGTAACCCCACACAAGCAACCGCCCCTAACTGCCTCGTACACTCCTCCCTATCCACATCATGCGCATCCTCCACCTCCCCCCACCGATCAATCTGATGCAACAACTCCAACCTCGCAGCCCTTGCCGCCTCATCCACGTCCACGCGTCCCTTGACCAACGCCAACGCCACCACAAAACTCTTGGAAAACAACACAGCCTTCTCAAACGCCGCGAGCTCAATGTCGTCGAACTCGCTGATTATGTTCCGGAGGGTGCGTATTGTTTCCGGGGATTGTTTGATCGAGAGGATCGAGGTTGTGGTGTTTAGGTGTAGGTTGTAGGTGTGTTCGAGCCAGGTGTGGAGGGGTTTCCAGTGGGTGGATTGGAGGGCGACGAAGGAGTCGGGGTAGTCTTGGAAATAGCTGTTCGGGGGGGTGCGAGGTCAACCCAGGTTCCGTTGGAGGGCAGAGGTGCGATGAGAGACTTACCATGTAGCATCGGTATCAGCATACTTGAGCAGATTCTCAATAACGCCCTCCCTAATCGCTTTATCCGAGAACGAGTCCAGCGCTCTCACTACGATCGACGTCTGGCAAAATTCGAAAATCTCAATAATCGGCCCCACATCCCACCCACATTCTCCAACACTCTGAACTCCCATACCAAAGGCAAAGAATACGACTTCAGCAACCTCTCCTGCCCCTCCCACTCCCCCGCAATCAACAACGCCAACGTACGGCGTTTGGCGGGGACGGCGATCGGGTGTCCGTCGGGGGTCTTCATGCGGCGGCCGTCGAGGGTTATTTGGAAGGTGTCTAACCAAAAACATCAAAAAAAATGGTTATGGATACCACCCTCCCGTAGCCCGACAAAAACAGAGATTAGAGTAAGACGCACCACCAACCCTCTCCATAGAAACCGTCTTCCAAAACCGCGTCATCCCCTTCGTCTTACTCGCATACTTTGCGCTCACGTCCTCGGCCTTCTCTGCATACTTCTCTCCTGCCTGCTCCCGCGCCCGTATTGTGGTAGCAAACGCCTGTGAAAGATGCATATCAGTTGACATTGCCTTCCGTTTGACGTGCTATGTGATCTCTCCCACGATATAGCTTACCCGTCGGCATAGTGGCGCGGTCGCAGGTGTCACGACGGTTCTTGCGAACGCCGTTCGGCCGTGCCTACCGGCAGCGGTGGCGAGGGATAATAAGTGCTTGGGCGGCATGCTGTTGTGTTGATGGGAAGTTACAGGGAGGTGTCTGAGTTTCCCGGAAATCTTCAAATCTGGCTGTCTGGGGAAACGACATTTAAATATGCAGGTCACGTGCACAGATCTGCTTTATTGGCGTACAGCCCGGCCCTTATGCCCATGACATCTTTGGCGAGCGCGGTTTTCAAAGCTTCAACGTTTCGAGGCCACCGGTGCTCTATTTTGGTATTGTACTGTACAACCGGCTTCGGACTCGTTCTCAAAGCTCCAACGTCTATTGTACGAAACTTATGAATGATAGTTCCCCTATTCCGAATGAGCCAGCTCAGGCAGCCTGGCTTCCAAGACCGCAACCCTATCGCCCGTTTCTTCATTCCGATACTGATCAACAACCTCCACAGTGGCCTCATGCAGCCGGTCACTCAGTGCCGCCTCCAAAACACCCGCTACGCGATGAAGTGGGAAATCTCCTTCCGGACAATGATGCGTGTCTTCCGGTGACCCGGCTCGATCAGTGACCACGACGCTCTTCTTCGCAGCACCCTCCTCATTGATATCCACAGCAATCTCCTCCATGTCCCCATTCCAACCATTCACCGCCCCGTCATGATCATCCCCCTGCCGCTCCTGCATCACCAGCGTCCTCACACCCCTCATCGACCGCGTGAACGCCATCCATCCCCCATGCCCCGTGTCCCTCCACGATCTGTACGTCTGCGTTCGCGTGATGCCGAAATGGAAGAGGGAGACTGTGCCGCCGTGGACGATGATGGAGGAAAGGACGCAGGCCGCTACGATGGGGAAGATTGGGTCTGCGGGGAGCTCGAGGTAGGTGATGCAGAGCATGGCGTAGAAGAGGGCGGAGGCTCCCATTGGACCGAACCACTGTTTTCGATTGGGATATAATGCTTAGTGTCAATGATAAGGATGAAGCAAGATAAAGCTGGATGACTTACACCGCAGAAAAATGCTTCTTTCCTTGTTTTCAAAGCGGGAACCCACCGCCTTAGCAACATGATGACCGGAAGCCGCCGGAAGAGCAGAATGAACAGACATGCAAGGATTATTCGCCATGCCGAGAGGCTGGGAACGGTGCCGAATGACGACCAGGGAAACATCGCGCCCTGGGAAAGTTCAGATTCAGGATCATATGCTTCGTGAAAAACTGTCATAAGGACTGAGCTGCCTAAGGCAACTTACAAAGAGGATAAAGTACGCAAGGTCGAGTAGCATATCGATGATTTCCTGCAGGTGGGAGTGCTGAATCTGCTTGTTGAACCACATGTCCTGCAGCGAGCCATGGGGTTCAGTGAAGCGCTCGTAGCTAGGCTCTGAGAATTGAGGTCCAGTCTTACCCAAGTGAACATGGTCCCCGCCACAAAACTAGCCAAGATATCATCCGCACCCATCAAGCTCATAACACCGGTTACAGAGATCGCCAGCGCAATCGAGTAACTCAGCAACGGGGCTTTATCAATCCACCCTTTGTGCTCGGCGTGCTTGAGGGCTTTTCTTGATGCAATTCCAAAGAGCATCCCGACGACGATGGACAGCATGATTTGGTAGAGTACTACTTTGCCGAGCCACAAGCCGATCGCCTCGCCCTTGTTGTCGAAGCGTTGGAGATAGATGACCAACATGAGGAAGGGTAAACCTAGACCGTCATTTGCGGCTGATTCGGCCGTAAGAATGTCGCGGACGTAGACAGGGATATGCTGCTCGGCGAATCTGCCTTCCAGGATGGAGCCTGCGAGGATGGGGTCCGTTGGCGTGATACAAGCGGCAATGATGAAAGCCGTCCACTGAAAAGTGCGCTGTTAGCCAAACGCTTTTTGATGCCTCCACACGTACAATCAAGCCACTTACCCCATCGAGCCCAAGAATCAACCAAAGCCCAGCGGCACTAATAACCCACATCCCAATCATTCCCACTCCGAGCAAAACTGCCAGGCTCCTCCATTCCCTCATCACGTAGCTTCCCGGCAATGAGACTCCTGCGGCCGTGCATTGAATGCATAGAATGATTCTCGACAACTCCAACAGCACCCAGTAGATGTTTTGGTCAAAGGCTTGGTAAGGGTCAAAGATCCCGAGTAACCGCGGTCCAAAGATCACTCCAAGAATGGACGCTATCAGCGCGTTCGATAGAAAGAGGCGGTTTTTGATGACGAGGGAGAACAGAGACAGAAAACAGATTGACACTCCTGGAATTGGAAAGTAAAGTTGATCAACCCGAGTTCTCTATCAAGGCCGCATAAGGCAATGAGACTCGCGGCGTCTTTCACTTACCTAGAAAGAGGTACAACCCATGCATCGTCTTCAAACCGGGAGAGGACGGGATTAACTCATCCCAGTGACCGTAAGATGTTTCAGCCATGGTTGTGAAGATCGAGTCCTCGATAGGGTTAAAGTAGAGGTGCGAAGCGCTGATATTCCTGTGAGGTCTTCAACGACGGAACTGCCGTTGTTTTCACAGAGGACCACCAACGACGACCACACCCAATCTGACCGGCCGTGCGTGGGCACGGTTTGGCAAATGTCAGTAAACGCTGAGGGCTGCGGAGAATGCAGCGTGGGTGGCGGCGCCTTGAATAGGAGCGACGATGACGTTGAGAGCGAGGGCTGGCATTGAATAGCCTCTCTCTAACTGCTATTCTGAATGCTGAACGATGGGGCTTCGGAGAAACAACAGCCAGCAGAGAATCGAGTCGATCTCGGGAGGGGGCGAAAAGGGGCTTGCGGTGGGCGAATTCAGCATCTCCGTCGATGACGCTCGCCCCAGATAAGGTTTGGAAGTTTGACGGCTGCGTCACGTGCATTCAAACGATTAAATCGCAACTATCGACCTGGCTTTAGAAGGTGCGATCGTGAGAATGTCTACGGGTCCGATTGCCTCCCGGATACGTACATACATATGCAACCCTTAAAGGCTTTCAAGGAGAGCATCGATACCGTTTTCGTTGAGCGGCCGGAGCCCCATTTCCCCGCTTCAAGTACCATGATATGATTACGAATGGACGATTTCCTGGTACAAAAGCGCCTTCCCGGACCAAATGCCCAAAGTCTGCAAAGGCCCGCAGCTCTACCCCCATCCGAAAGCAACTTCCAGAGCATCGTAGCATAGATTCGCTCCCCGAGCTCGTAGACTGATTTGGCGACGAAGATTTGCTCACCGAGCTTGCCATCCTGTGGGTATGGAGGCATTGACCACATTGGTTTCCTGTCGGTACGTCTCCACTCAAATTTCATCTCGTTCCTCTGCGGACACATGTTGTAGGGTACAATCCCACTCCTGCCGCCATGCGCGGAACCGGTTGCACTGCAGAAAAAACCTCAGGCAGTCTAGAAGCGACTCATGATCTTCTATGACGGCGTCAAGCTCGCATCTCGGATATATCGGTGATGCCGCGGTTCCATTATCGTTTCCCTTTTAATAATAGTGGAGATACGTTGGGAATGCCTTATGAGTGGTGTTCGGCCTATTTTGCCATAAATACACATGGAAGAATCCAAACGCAACTTCCATTGATGTGTAAATTTGCTTGCTTTACTGATTGTGCTTGCGAGTGTTTGATACATCATTCACCCAAGCCTCTACAAATTCATGTTGGAAGTCGAAGGCGACGAATACAACACCTCCACACTACCTCCACCTGCCGCAGCCTTCAACTCCCCAGCAACCAACTGACTCGTCGCTAAACTCAAACTCCTTTTTCTCGCATCCGCCATCTCCAGCGGCTTTTGCTGCGACATCTTCCTCCCGCCTCCTTTACCACCCTCCTCATCCTCCTCGATATCTGCCAGAAAGTTGCGAATGTCCACGTCCACGTTGCGTCCCTGCACTTTTGCATACACATCATGTTCGCGCGGGTCGCCTACCATCCTCACTTCGACAGCAGGTTGGGCGCCCAAAAGCCCCATATGCGCCACCGTCTCCTGCAACACCACAGTCGCTTCTTTCACCATCGGCATCGTCAAATAAACACACGCGATCCCGCCGGTAAAGAAGCACGGCAACAACAGCGATTTCTCATGCATGATGTTGTACGAGACCTGCCCCATCAGCCCCCCAAAGAAATACGACGCAAGTAACGGTACGTGGACTTTGAGGCGCCAGAGTTCGGCGGTCGTGTCGGCGCGGCAGGCTTGCCCGAGGATGTTGCCGATGTCGGTAAGGATGCCCGTCATGTGGGTGGTGCGGACCACGGCGCCCGAATAACTCGTCGCGAGCGCGTTCTGCAGCCCGCATCCGAAGGCCGCAAACCACTCCCCGACCAAAAGCTCGCGGCGGAGAAAGACGAAACTCCCGAACAAGCAAGCCGACTCCACCATCAAACTGTACCCATAACTCCTCCCCAGCCGGAACTTGTTATCCCCGACCATGAACCCGGCAATGAACGAGCCGAACATGTACGAGAAGACGATGGAGGTGACGAGGGCGAGGGTGGTGAGGTCCCAGTTGTACAGCGCGATGGCGGTTTTGGAGACGTTGCCTGTGTGGTGAGAGACGGTGACGGAGAAGACGCCGGCGAGGGTGACGACGTTGATGAAGCCGGCGTTGAGGGCGAGGACAGAGCCGCCGATTACGATAGAGTAGAATTCGCGGGAGGCGAAGTTGTTCATTTTGGCGGTGAGGGGTGGGTGGTGAAATGGAATGTGATGTGTGTAGGGGAGGTTGCTCGTAGGATGTGGTTCCTTGACTATCCTTGTTGGAAAACTCCGCCTGTGAAAGCCACGTTCGACAGCGCGTGTTCCGAGCGTTCAAGCTGTTCGGCTCCCCACAGCCAAGATGGGATAAGAATTTCGCGAAGCTGTGACCTCCACTTGCTCAACGCTGGCTCATCACGCCGGGCAGTACGCACACTGAGGTTGACAAGTTGGCCCATCGCATGTGCGCGAGTCTGTCGTTGGTGTCATATCTACGCCTGCTATAAATAGAATTGAAGGCACGTCGGTCTTTTCACACGAACCTTACACGTCGCAAGATCCCCGGAGCACCTCTAAGTTATTTCGCGCTGAAGGAGTTGGTTATGGTCAAGAACCGCTACAAACGTTCGGAGCGAGGCGATAATTTTACTATGGCCTCGAGTTGGCGGAGGCAGGTACGCCCACCCATCCTTACTTCCCCCTTTTGCTCCACCTCACATTCGAAACATCCCACTTCACCCCCTCCCCCAACCCCAGCGCACCGCTTCTCAACAATCCGGAACGCAATAACGCCATATTGAGTTTGTATTTGTCATAAGCCAAGATCAAGTTCCAACAAAACCGAAAAATGCCACAGCACTGAACGAAGGGGGCTCACAATGCCCTGCTGCCCCTCCCACCTCCTCAATCAACGTGTATCTGCCACTCTATGCCAACGTCCCGATGTTGGGCAGCCCCATAAACTTTCGCTTCGAGAAGCACATCCACCATTTGCTCGGACGGTCGCCGTCGTACACTTTTGGTAACAGACGAGTGACGGTTTCTTGGCGGAGTTGGCTTAGGTATTGTTTCAGATTGTCTACGGAATCCACACGTGAATAAGGTAAGTTTCGATGTCAAAAAGGAATGTAGTTCGACAAACATACCAATATCAGCACGACTCCCGGGCTTCTCATACATAGCATTTAGCGGAAACTGGGGCTCGCCCGGCACCGCAAAGTTCTGCAATGCATGGGTGAGGAGGGTACGCTGGCCCTCGGTGGCGGACGGGTTCTTTTGCAGCTTGCCGAGACATTCCTGGATGAACAGGAGGAGGTAGATGAGGACGCGGTCGCCGTTGCCTTTGATCTCGAAGTTGCGGAAGAAGCAGTTGGCGCGGAATAGAGCGATGGCTTCGTCGACGATGTCGTCGGCTTGTGGGTCGGCTGTGGGTGAGGAAGTGAGTTGGGGAGTGTGGGCTTTCGGCATGGAACCTGATGGACGTGTGACATTACCAGCAGGAGGAGCGGGCCCGCGAATCTTTGTTTTGATGGGCAAAAGCGCAATGTTCCCTATTTGGCGGTATTGCGTGTTGTCGTTGAAGGAGGAGTGGTAGGCCTACATACGGGAGAACCATGTGATCAGACATAATGGGCGGTGGTAGTCGAAGTGACTCGGGCATGGTGCTGGCTTCCTCCACTCTGCACCAGTTGTAGCATCCAATTCGGCCTGCTTGTACCCACTCACCGGCATGGTTGCGATTCTTCAGTGACGATGGTGATGACGTTGTGATATTGAAGCGACAAGTGGTTTGTCCTATAATCGAGGAAGCCGTCACGATGTTGAGTATATACTCCACTTTAAAGCTTCAGACGGACACGGTCTAATCCAACGGAATAGCCGAAGGGATCCCCTTCCCAGCTCAACGCCCGAAGCCCCAGTTCCCAGCGCCAAGGTGGGAATTTGACGATGGGCGTGACGATTGCCGCCCGCGGTACAACCTTCAGGCGTACGTGACGGCTCTAGAAGAGGAATTATGCGCCGGATGACTTGGCTTACCTGTACGAAAGGTGCCTCTATCTTCACAAGTTGCAGGGGGTGTGTGCGGGGTGTGTTTGCGGCCAAGGAGAATGCTCTCGGCAGGAGCTGCTCTTCGAGAATCGAAAGACGCGAGGGCCGTCCGGTTTTGTCATTCCGCAACCTCCCTGATTCCCAGAAGTCACTCTGAGAACACACAACAATGGACGACGTCTGGGCAACCTCCGACGACGACGAAGCATACGCTCCCGACACAGCTGCCTACGACCGCTCCATTGCCGACAGGGACTGGAACAGGCTGCAGGATCACCACGGTGTCGTATGTATTCCACACCCCGCCCGCAGTCCCTCGTATCATTCCGTATGTAAACTCCTCTTTTTTTTTGGTTGCAGGCGGGATATAGGGAAGGTATCGCAGAGGGCAAGGAGGCTTCGCTGCAGCCCGGTTTTGATGCTGGGTATAGCGAGGCGGCGAGGATTGGATTGCTGATTGGCCGGTTGAGGGGTGTTACCAGGTTCGTCTCGACTTTCAAGTACCGGTCTTTCCTGTTTAATCGTCCCCAACACAATGAACTCATACATTCATCACTCCCCAACAGCACCCTTCTCCAACTTCACAAACTCGGCAAACTTCCCGCTACATCTGAACACCAATCATTCGCAACAGACCTCGAAACGCTCTACAGGGATTTGCAGACGCTGACGACTGAGACGCTCCTCCCGCTTGCGTATTATAGGGCTACTGATACGTTCCCGGCAGCAAAGCATACGAAGAGTGGGGGCTGTGGGAAGGGTGAGGGGTGTTGCCGTGGGGGAGATGAAAGCCGGAGTGGGGAGAAATGTGGGGGTGGGGATGGTGCGGACGCGGAGGCGGACGCAGCGATGATACCGAGGAACGTGTTGGAGGGGTTTAGGAAGCGGGTGGTTGAGATTCTGGGGTTGCTTGGGTGGGAGGCAGCCTCGGTGGGTCTGGAGTAGACGGGATGGTGGTGCACGAAATGAGTGTGCGATTCCGTGCGCCTCGCATTTGAGAACAGATGGAGACCCATGCCGCCGCTTGCGCCTACGACCTCTGTAGTGTTTCGCGACACCCGACCGACCACGCGGACGGCGGTGCGCTGTATGTGCCGTCACCCACTCCCCTGCACTCCCATGTCCCAAAGCAAAAATGCGATCAGCCATGGATTCGAATGTCATTCACAGGCATGACGGCGCTTACAAACGACGCAGATCAAATCGACCCTTCAGACCGCTGCAAGTAGAGTTGCAATGACTCTGCAACTTTGGGACGTGGACGCAGAACGACAATGGGTTTGGACGAAGGAGTTGTTCAGAGGTAGATATACATAGCCGTCTGATGTAGTCATAACGAATGGAAGGCATTTGGTATCAGAATTGAAAGGGTGCACATCCCGACTGTCGGCATCAGAATAGAAGGGGTACGCATACCCATCTTGCTGAATGCTTTCTTACTATTCAATGGAGACGATAAGAGTATTCGCAAAACACGCCGATACATCCTCAGATCAGCCCTTCAACCTATCCCTACTTGACCCCTCCAACTCTCTCCAAAAACCTCCCCCGTCCCTCCTCCAACCTCGCCTCCACCTCCCTCCCCACCGCCGCAAGCATCTCCGCCACAACCTCCACCGCCACATTCTTAACACTCTCATTATCAAGCACCCCAAACGGCTTCTCCCTCGCCTTCCTCTCCTCCTCCCCCAACACCGCTTCAGCAGCTATCCGCTCGCGCTCGCGCTCGCGTTGCGCCTGTTCCGCCTTTTGCACATCAGGCATCATGTGCACGCGATGGATTGCCTTCACACAAGCGTATCATGTATTCCCACCCTCCTATGGTGAAAAATAAAAAAGGACGGGCACTGACCCCCCTACGCTCATTTTTCTATCTACTCTACACCTACGGTGCATACGCTACGCCATATGTTCAACTCCAACTCCCTTTACCCGTCAAAGCCCAATCCACGAACTCCTCCCGTCCACATTATGCACACTTGATGCCGCAACAGGCACCTCCCCCTCCTCGGCCACAGGCACAACACACCACTCATACCACACCTTCCTCGCATCCCCACACCTCCAAAAACACACCTCCACCTCCCCTCCCTTCCTCAAATACACCGGTTCCTTGATCGGGAAGAAGATGGGGAACCAGCTGAACATGCCTGGGGAGTGTGTGGCTGGGTGAATACTGATCATCACGTCTTTGTAGAGGGTGGCTTCAAAGTAGCCCGCAACGCCGTGCATCAACGAATCGGAAGATACCCTAAACCTTTGCGTTGAATATCGGTTATTGTGCGCGTTGAACGCCGGTGAGCCGAGGTCGAGCTTGAGGTTACGGTTCGGGTGTGTGAACGTCCACACCGGTTTAGGCGAGGCGAGCTCGTTGATGGCGCGGAACTTGACGACGTAGGGCGTTTCCATATGCTCAGTATCCTTGAAGGACGCAACCTCGTTGAAGAGTTTCGTGGAGGAGATCGGGGCGATGAAGGCGGTGTAATCGGAGGGGATGGAGATACCGTCTGGTTTGAGGAAGCGTTGTGCGCCGTCGAGGCATTCGGGGGAGAGTTCGTTGTCGCCGAAGGAACCCAACAACTCCGAAATGAGGATATCGGTTTGTTCGGGGGCGGTCCAGTAGCGCATGTCGCAGTGGACGACTTCGACCAAGTCGCCCCATTCAGTTTGCTTACGGGCGCGGAGGGTGACGATTGCATTGGGGTTCTTTTCGACCGCGTAGACTTTGACGCGCCGTTTGGCGTTTTCGGCGGCTTGCAAGGCGCGTTGGACTAGGGGGCCGCGGCCGGCGCCGACTACCATCACTACGGTCACGGTGTCGGAGCCCTCGGGCACGCGGTCGAGGAGGGCACGGTAGGTGGCTCGCTCGTACTCTTGGTACTTGATGGGGTCTTTTTCAAACACTTCGTAGGTGGCAGACTCCAGGTTGTCCATCAATGGTTGAAGGGGGGATTGTAGGTAGTCGTGGTATCCGGTGGCGAATTGATCTACGATGTCCTGCTCGGGGCGCGTTCGGTGGAGGTGGCTGAGGTATTGTTGGTATGCGGCGGGACCTCCCGTGTGAGCTTGCGAACCTTCGTTGTCTGCGCTCACAATGAATTGCACGTTTTGCTATATGACAAAATGAAGGTAGGGGTCAGAAACATGTGATTTGTTGGCGCAAGGTGGCTCGCATGCCTCAAGCATCCCTGCGCCTCGCTTTGCTCGTCGCAGTCCGAGCCAACCTTGCTTCGCTCACGATACATACCTCCATCAGACTGTGCAAAAATGATTGATGCGCCTTGCTGAGCACGGGAAACCCTTTCTTATTCGCCAAAAACGCCGTTGTGGGCAACATGACAACCCTCACAGGCTCAGCAACCCACTGCTTCATCGTATCCGCATCCGGCATATGCGCGCCAATCTGCAGTACCACCAACAGCTTCGGACTATGCTGGCAAAATGTCCTCAACATATTCCACTGTCCCCACGCCCTCCTCCCATCACCTTCAACGGTGATCTTGACCCATATCTGCGTGTACGTGACCATTCCCAGCGCCCTGTTCACCACTCGTGCAAAGTTCGCGTTGCTCGAGTTCTGTGTTTCCGGGTAGGTGAACAGGACAGCCGACAAACCGAGGTGGGCGGCCCATTGAATCTGCTGCCTGATCAACTGCTCGCATTTCTGTCGTACGACGGCATCGGGTGAGTCCAACGGCTCGCAGGGTGAGATTCCGCCGACGAGGTTTCCGGCAAACGCAGGGTCGGTGAGTTGGAGGTCTGCTGGTTGGAAGGCGTTGGGGACAGTTGTAGTTGTTGTGTCGGTGAGGAAGCGGTCTTGCACGCCCGCGCGCAGGAGGTTGATGAGGCCGAAGGAGAAACCGCAGGCGTTTGAGACATCGGTGACTAGGGCGGGGTCTGTTGCTGACCGCAGCTCCAAGCCGACTGTGGCCTTGTCTGTGCCTTCGTTGAACATTGATTGCTTTGAGGTCGGTCTCTGTCTGAGGAACCAGAGGAACCTGGAGGGCTGGCGAAAGGTGGGAGAAAGGGGAGAAAAACGCAGAGAGGGGAAAAGCGCGTGCGTTTTAATTCGTGCCAGACCACGTGGCAAAGAGGAAACTTATATTCCGCGCTTTGGGAACAGCGCCCATCACAGCCCACATCCCCATAGGCGTCGCTTTCGAGGAACACAACTCAATTGAAACGAGTATGCTCCAGCAAAATACGCCGCTACACTATCTGCACGTAACTGCATAATCTACACTGCAAAAACCATGCTATGGGCTACAGCTCCTCAACAAGCTTTCCTGGCGCTGGCCGCTTCCTTAGCATGTCAACTGCCTGCCTCTCCCCACTCAACGTTCGGCTTTCCTCACTCTCCTTGTTGCTCTCCAACATCACCACGGCACGCACCACGTCGAGAAGCTTATCCATGTCACCGTCGTCGCTTAAGAAGGAGAGGTAGAAGTACGTCTTCTTCTGTGACGCAAACAGCTTTTGACGCAGGGCGCGTGGAACTGTCGCTGCACCTTCTTCATGTTTTCCAGCTGCGGAATGCGCTTTGCCAAATAGATCATGGATGTCGGAGAAGACGGAAAGTAGATGGTCGGATGATGTGAAGAGCGTTGCAGTGTCGTTTAGTAGCATTTCGAAACTTTTCGAGCCTCCGCCGTATGTTCGATTCTGCACAAGTATCGGTAGTCAGCCTCAATCGCTCCTTTGACTGCATGCTACTACAACAATACGTTCTAACCTGTAACAGCTTCATCTTTAGCGACACCAATGCCTCCTCCACACCAGGGTATGCAAACGCCTGATTGGAAGAGAGCGTGCGCGACAAGTCCCACAGGATCCGGGCGCCCTCGATGGGATCTTCTGACCAATCCCCATTAAGATAACGACACATGAAAGCGTATGCTCCTCTGTCAGATCGGCACGGTGTTAGCTGGAACCGTGCGGGTATGAATAGTGCGGCAAATCCCCACTCACATGATTTCTACCACGTTGAAAATCAGGTCATCCGCCGGCTTCGCCGACTTCAATTGACTCATTTTCTTGATTCTTGGTATTATCTTCGGTACGGGGGATGTTTCTTCCACGCGGCACGGCTCACTATTGGCGCTCTCCTCCATATCCTGCACCAACGGTGTGCGGTTCTGTTCCGCCTCCCACCACGGCTCCCAGAGACTCAGATACGATCGCACTGCGTCTGAACCTTCCCGCAAAGACGCTTCGAATTCCGCGCGTTCCGCTGGTGTGAGGGCGTCGAGAATAGCGTCTGGTGACGCCATATCTAACGGATCAACATCCCAGTAAGTTATGACTTTTCGATTTGAATTGTAAGCCAAACTGACCAACCAAGATCGATGTCCTGCAAGCGGTCGGCCAACTCGGGAGTAGGGTCCTCATCATCTAAAGGAAAGAGAGTATGAGCGATTCACAGCGATGCACAGGTGACGTTACTGGGACCACTCTGGCCACCTACCTGAGTCCGGTTGGATCCCCACCTCTCCACTCTCTTCAAAGCGTCTCAGCATCTGAACCATCTTCCTTCGTTCATCATCGGATGCCCTCTTCCCTTGCAGCTCGTTGTTTATGTTGTCCTTGTAGAACAGTTCTGTGCAGACGGAATGTTTCTAGCGAAAGCTTTGGGTATTGGATATTTGTATCGGTGGCAAGAATTAAAGCACAAGCTCTGGGAGGGAGGTGGCGATCCTTACCTCGGATTTGTAGCAGGCTACAGAGCAGTATTGGAGATTACATCGTGGACAGGTGTAAGGGGCGAACTGGCGTTGACATCTGGAGTTTGAGTGGAGCACTGGTGAGCAAGAGCGTCATCCCAAACCCGGCAGGGCGGACAATAGCATTACATTACATTTTACATATTTTCGTTTCCTGCTGGGATGGCTCCTCCTCTGAAGCTGGCCTCAGTCGTATGGAGTCGAGTGTTCCTGACATCTGTCCGACGTCTAGACGTAGCCGATTCGCTAATGACCATCATCTCCACAACACTGTTTGGAGACGTTTTGGGAGACCCGACAGAGCCCGATGGCGCGGTGACTGCGCTTTCTTGGAACGCTCTGCGCGCTTAATTAAGCTGCCGTCAATTCCAATGTCCCGTCAATCCAGTAAGCGGGGCAGAGTCCGGAGAGTAGTGGTGGTACCTACTACGTACAGTATATGTATGGGGAAGGTGGGCACGCTCGGGGGGCAGAGGTTGTCCTCTGGATGGATAACCAGCTTCCATACTTTGTGAAAATGGGTTTGCGGTGTGACCGGAGATCGAAAAATTGAACTTGAATTGGGTTCGCACCCGTCACTTGCGTGTGAAAGAAAGTCGGGAATGCGGCTTAAACACCGTACAACAATCCATCTGTCCATATGTCTGTTTCTGATATAAACATATTTATGGCATGATTCAGTACTTTCGCCATGGTATCTATATATGCAGCCGTCGCCCGAGGGACGCCGGAGGTCAAAGAGAAAATGCCAAGATGGATCGATCGCATGCTATCCCGCTCACCTCGACACCGTCGCCCTCGCACCCTTCCCGCCCACCGCCGCCGCCGCCGCGGCACTACCACCCCCACTCCCATTCCTCTCCGCCTCCGCCTGCGCCATCATCCGCTTCCGATACGTCTTCACATGCTCATGCCCAGCCTCCGTAACAACCACCATCCTTCCTTTCTCGCTCCTCCACAGCACAAAGCCATTCGGCTCCGCATAGCCCATGATATCCTTAAACTCTCTCAAATCCGCGAAATCGGTATATAGATGCCCTGCCGAGATTCGGAGCCGGTTCAACTCCAGTTCCCATAGCCGGATCTGGTCGACCACGGTTTGGGGCAGGATCGGCGATGCTTTCTTCATCTCGGGGTGTGCATGAGTTGTGAGGTAGGTGATGATCTGGTCGGCGGTGATCCCCTTCGTGAGGGCGGACCGGATGGCGTCGCGGGTGATGAGGCCCGTGACCATATTCTGGAACCTGGCCTGCAGGGATACAAACAGGGAGAGGATGGCAATCTGCAGTGGGGAGTCGGTGTATGCATACATGCGGTAATTGGTCTCGATGATGATATACCCCTGCTGTTGTTGGATCTCGGCGGTCGGGCGTGCGGTGAGCATCGTGCCGGAGGTGAGGGCGGTAGCCATACGGGTCGGATAGAAGCGTCGCGAATTTTTGCGTTGGTAGAAGAGTCCGAAATATTTGAGGTCCTTCAGGACGTGCTGTTGGGTGTCTGTGAGTGCTTCCGAGGAATAAGCCTGCCCCAGTTCGAGGGAGCCGACTTGGAAGAGGAAGTTGAGCACTTGGACGATCTGCATGTTGAGCTGCTTTTCGGCCAGGTCGAGGTATTGGAGGAGGAGCGACCAGACTTGCACGTTCACGTCGAGGAGGAGGAACTGGAACCCTTTGCTCGTGATCGTCAGCCGCGTGTCGCCGTCCATTCCGCTTCCCCCGTCGGAAAGCTCCTGCAGCCCGGACTCTGTCAGCAGTTTGACAACCGCTTTGGGTTTGCGCTCTGAGGGCGTGCCGACGAGGTAGTGCAGCACGGTCTCCCAAGCCTGCGCGGCATGGTTATCCAAAAACGCAATATCTACCTCCTGCGAGCCATCATCCATCGGCTCCCCGAAACTCATATGGTCACCTCCGCCCACCAGCGCATTATGCAACCCCTCCTGGAAAGTCCTGTTCATCTCCAGATGGTCCGGCTGCGCCTTGCAGGTCGCGCAGATATGCAGCTTGGAGAGTTTCTCGAGCCCTTCTTTGAGGGTCCGTTTCTGGTCGAGGAATACCCACACTGCAATCTCGGATTTGGCGACGGGGCCGCGGGTGTAGAGCAGCCGCATGACGACGTGCTTTGCTATTGGAGGGACGAGGCGGAGGATTGCGAGACATGTTGCGGGTTGTTTGTAGAGATCGTTGAGAGTTTTTTCATGCAGTTTTTCGAGGTACTCGTGGATGCTGCTCTGAACAGAGACGTTGGTTGGCGGGGAGACGGTGGTTTGGGTGATCGGAGACAAATAGTGCACTCACAGTCACCCCCCCTTCTGCTGGCATATTGCCTCTATGCTCAAATATGGGATCTTCGTGCGCGTCGCTGTTTCTGAACGTACAGGTGCTAGCGCTTTACCGGAGGCGTCCAGTGGGAGCTTCGACAGGTGGTCAGGACCGCGTTGGCGGGGGGCTAGGGGGGCTAGGGGAGCCGGCGGAAGTCCTGTATGTGCGTTGTGTGGAAATGCGAGCAGGTTGATGTCGCAATGGCGGTTTGCGAGAGTCTGCTGAGTCTGCGAGGGTCGCGTCTCCAGGCTTCTCCGGAGCATAGGGCGGGCGAGCACGCTCTTGATGAACATCATCTGCTCTTGCTCTACCTCGAAACGCATAGGCACAAGCATGTCAAGCCGGGGTCTATCAAGGTAAGAGATATCTCTCATTCCGAATATCCCGCTACTGCACCTTTGCTATTGACGACCCTTGTTTCCCGCAGCTCTGCGTGCCAGCCAAAGAAGTAGCGTACGAAGACCTGCGGGCAGCATTCTTTGCGCACGGGAAAACGCCTCGATCTCACGTACGAAGACGGTGCACGGGAACGCCTTCGCCTTTGGTCAAAGTCAGGTCCTTGCTGCAACTGCATCTCGGGAAGGATGGTAGAATGCCCCCCATCACCCATCATGGAGTTACCTGGGCTTGAAGCATCCCACGACGACCCCAAAGCACCAAAAGAGACAGCAGGGCGTACCAAACCGATGGAGCTCAACCATGGGCAGTCGTCATGACGCCCGATGGGTTCGTATGTGAGGTGGGTGATGAGGCTTCGATGGATAACCTACAAGGTCACGGATGAGTTTTGAAGATGACGGCGGATGATGCCTTGAATTTGTATCCGAGGGGATCTGTTCAGACGCTGCGTGATTTGTAGGATAAGGTACTGCATGGAGTGGATGGCGGGGAGGAGTACTAGGCCCTGGAGGATTGACGAACGAGCAAGATGGGCGTTTGATGGCGGGTGTCGAAACGGCGCCTCCGCCGCACAATGAGCTGGGTTAGCGGGGCCGTTTTCCATTGTACCACGTAGTGTGGGATATATTTTGCAAGATGTTTTCAAATCGTTACTCTTCAAATATGGGGGAAGTTGGGCGAGTCATCTGCTAAGAATATAAGATCTTCGAAAGCCTTTCGCTCAAGGATACAGATGTCTCATATGGATGATTACATGCACAAAAGTGGCAGATACAGAGGTTATATCAGCTGTCATGCGCTACGCCTAGCTACGCCTACCCTACGCATACACAGCCTTAATAACCTCCTCAAAAACCGGCTGGACCTGTTTCCGCGACGAGCGCACATTCCGCTGCTCATACAACCTCGCCCCGGCGTCGATCTGTGTGATGAATGCGAGGTCAAGTGTTGACGCCTCAATCTTCGTCACAAGCTCCGTTTGCTGCTGTTCCGAGACCGTAGACGTGGGGAAGAGGAGCAGAAGTTCGCGTTTGAACACCGTCGCGGAGGAGGAGTCCGAGGATGAGGCGACTTCGGTAGCCGTCATAAGCACATAAACATCAACCCCCACCTTCCCCGCAAACTCGCGACACTGCGTCACCAATCTCCTCATGCCATCTTCCCCTTTCCCTCCCTCACGGGCAGCCCACCCACCCGATCCCTGAATGCGGTATCCGACGCTCGATATCCCCAATTTTGCCGTCTTGTTGGTGCCGGGGGTGGGATGAACAACCCATCCCTTGTAATCCTTCCGTATCAGATCAGGCGTAGAGAGGTGCGTGATATTCGTTTTGGCGGCGTGTACGGCTGAGAATAGGTGTTGAAGCCACGTCTCGTCGCGCTCGTTCTGCTGTGTTATGGTGGTGGTGATATCCCCGCGAGCGTAAGGCGTAAGGAACCGCACAGCCTCCCGATCTTCGGGTGTCGCGCGGCCGTATGCTTCAACCAGATTGACTGTATCGATCAGGATCGCTTGGAGCATCAGCATGGCCAGTCCGGTCAGCAGGGTGGGTTTGACGGTGCTGTTCCCGTTCTCAGAAAGTGCCCGCCGCCATTCACCGGCAACCAACGTCGTCGCACTCCCCACGGCCTTAACCATCCTCACATCCCCCTTCTGGTCCGTATACAAACCCTCATCAACATGATGATCAACCACCCCTACAACCCTCCCCGCAAACCGCTCCAACGTCGGTGCCAGTGCGTTATGATCCACCAGCACGAAATGCACATCATGGGCTTTGTCGAGGTAGTCCAGATCGATCTCGTCGAGGAATGTGAGGTGTGGCACGAGGTCCGTGGAGGGCGAGGCGGCGTGCAGGGCGAAGGGGCATTCGGTGCGGAGCGGGAAGTCGGCTCGGAGAATGGATATTAGGGGGACGTAGACTGTGTTTTGTTTTCCTTTTTGTTGGGCGCGGAGGTAGGCGAGCGAGATTGCGCAGACGACCGAGTCGAGGTCGGCGGCTTCGTTGCCGATTATGATGGTGATGTGCTGTCTGGTCTTGGACTTCCCGGCCTTGGCCAGGAATGCCTTTGTAAACGCTAGGAAGTCTGGTAGGGTGACGGTTCCACTTTGGGAAGGCTTGCTGGACTTCTTTGCTCCACTGGATCCACGGCCATTGGGAGCAACACATGAGGGTTCATCACCATGGTCTTCTGCCCTTGTGTTCGGGATCGCCCGATCTTCAAAGCCGACACTGTCCTCTTCGCCGGCGCCAGTATGACCCCAGTCGCCGAAACCTTCCAGATCGTGTTGCAACCGCTTCAGCTGCGGTTTACGAGAGGCGGCGTTCGCGGTGCGGCGGGAAGGGCGGGTCTTTTTGTCGGTGTGCTTCTCCGGTATCGCATTTGAAGACAGCGCAGGTTTCTCAGCGGCATCATCATCTTTTTCAGCCGAATTTGCCGAAGCCGTTATCGGTCTCCTGTCATCGCTCCCTCGTCCGCTTTCGACGGGCGTCTGCTCCGAGTCTGTCCGCTTTCGCCGCTGGATTGGTACTTTCCCCTTTGCCTCGCCGCTTTTGCTTGCTTTGGAAGACTTTGCGGAGGATTGGTGGGAGGAAGTAGGGATAAAACGCGGCGCATCGGCCCCAAGGGAGGGGTTGTAGAAATTGCCTAGGCCTGTGAAATCCGTAATCTCTTCTTCTGCGATGTCCATAAACAGTTGGTCCAACAACATTAGCCAATCAGGATAATCGACGCGGCAGACAAGATTCACCCACTGTACATACCGGTTTCAGCAGCAGCTTTCCTCGCAGAAGAAGCAGCAGACGAGAAATCCATATCCGGCACATGCACCGGCGCCTTCTCCGCCACCACCCTCCTCCCCTTCAAATCGATCGTAATAACCCTCCTCCGCTTCTGCTCCTCCTCCACCCTCCGCTGCTCCTGCAACCGCTTCGTCGCCAACGCGCGTTCCTCCAAACTCAGCCACTTGTTCGCCGCCGCGTCCTCGTAGCTGAAATCGCTCGCCTGGTCAAACACTTTAGTTCGCGCGACGCTGTTGCGCTGATAGTCGAGTAAACGTTCGGTCTGCTGCTCGGCGCGGCGGAGCGAGTCGCGGGCTTCGTCGGACATGAGGGTCGGGAACTGCGCAGCGTTGTCGGGGGTAGGCATCGCTGCGATCTTGGACGCTGCGACGGACGGGATCTGGGCGCCTGCGGCGCGGCCGTAGCGGGCGTTGGTGTAAGCGTCTTTGCCGGCGCGGGCTTTGGTTTTTTGGCCGGCTTTGGAGGGAGCTGAGGAGGCGCGTTCTTGGAGGAGCTCGAATTGCTGTTGTTTGGATTGGACGTCGCTGCCACAGCAGGGGCAGGGGCCTTCGCCTTCGAGACGGCAGACGATCTTGCCGCATGTGATGCAGTTGGTGACTAGACCGTGGACTGCCGCTGAGATTTATTGCCCACTGTTAGTCTCCCATCACGGCCAACATGGACTGGAAGCCTCACATACGACCTACCCAAACATTCACAGACGACCCTCCCAGCATACCCCGGCGGCGCCTTCCCAACCTTGACCATCCGATCCAGTTCATCCAAAGCAGCAGAGACATCCTTCCCTTTCTTCTGCTTTGCCTTCCCAGTAGCAGCACGCGGACTTCGCGATGCATCGGCAGGTCTAGGCCCTGCGCCGCCGATCTTGTCGCTTAATAGCGTGCCTTCGCTTGCAGCATTCGGCGGTGGTGCATGCGAGATGTCGTTTCGAGTGCTCGCTTTGCTGAGACATTGGAAAACTCGTTAAAGCTGCAATACTACGCCATCAACATATGGGCGGTTGGAGAGTCGAGACTTACCCGACGATGTAATCCTCCTCCTCCTTCGCCTTCCTGTACCCGCCCAATGCATTCTTCGCCGCCTGATCCGGCTGCAAACAAGGTTTTTCTCCAATCAGCCCACCGGCGCCCTTCGCAAATTATTCCACATCAGGTTGAGAAAAAGGGATACCTACCCCATGAACCCCCTTCCGAACCTCCGCCTTCAACGGCGCATTCCACACCCCCTTCGCCGCAAACTTCGGAAACCTCCGCTCATTGAACTCCTCGATAAACGCTAGCGCCGTCGCGTCGTCGCCCACCATGCCCTGAAAATTCGTCACAAGCCGTAAGCGATAAGAAAACACACCCTCCAACTCTATAGATCACTCGAAATGTGTGACACGCACCATGAGGAACCCTACACATTCATCAGGTGATTGCATAGACATGAGGTACGACGTGACCTGCTCAAGCTCGGCTTTGTTCATGCCGAGGCGTTCGGAGAGTTTCTCTGAGACCCATTTGTCCAGGGTGTCCATTTTGGATGTTGTTCGAGTGGGGATGAGCGGTTGAGTGGGAACGGGGATGGTGGTGGTGTTGTGAAGGTGAGAAAGCTTGATATGATGTTGAGCTGCCGCCGGGACTGCTATGCTCTTGTGGATATATGCAATGTATGCAGAGGGAAGATATCGTCTCACAACGTGTGTTGCGCTAGTGGCCAGTTGCATGTATATGGGCAATGTTTTTGTCGTAGCGTTTGACATTGGGCGTTCGCAGAAACTCGTCCCCAACTTCCAAGGGCGACATCTCACGCTGGCTCTTTCCTTTGGACAACGATCCATTGCTGTTTTGCTCACACGCCATCATATGTACATATGTAGCAAGATCTACCCCAATACCGCACTCTTCGCTTACTTCGAACAATGTACACAGCTGCAGCCGCATCGCCCTACGCCATTATCCCGCTGGGCGCTCTCTTCCCGTCCACATCAACCGCAGACTCGGCCCCGCCAACTGGCGCTCCACCGCCGTCGTTACCGCTCCAGCCCATCTCCTCCCTCCCGCCGTCTGACAACAATGGCAACGACACCCAAGACGGTTCTGGCCTGGCCTACATATCCGTCTCCAGGGGCCAGGCACAGCTGTATGTCTCTGTCTTTGAGGACGTGGTGAATGCAAAGGAATCGAAGCAGTTCATTGTGTCCGGGAGCGGCGTTGTGCCAAACTGTGTTCTACTCAACGGAGCTGCGGTGAGTGACTGTCTCGCCACAGAAATGCCTTGCTGTGAAATGTCGCAAGTTCAAGACTGACGCAATACTTTTCCCATGGGACAGATCTTGGACAAAACCCTCCTGCAGCTCAGCGCCCTCAAAGCACTGCTAGCTCAGTCGTCGTCCTCGATGCGCACGCGCACACTATACTCTGAGGTCATATTCAATCTCTCACCAACAAACAACATCTCTGATGCGCTGCGCTCGTTTGGGATCTCAGATACCGCTCCGACATCCTTGATTGCGGTGACAATCGGTGATGCTGGGGTGCCTGGTGTGGATGAGGAGCAAGCAGAAGTGCATCGAAAGCTGGAGGAGCTGATCAAGGGACGCAGGACTGGAATTGAGAGGATTGGCCAATTGGTGGACCTAGATGTCGTGACCAAGGTGGGTTGACCCAAATTCACCAATCAGTAGGACACCCCTGTGCTAATCTTTTCCTATGTAGATCTATAAGACCGGTGCGAACGGCAGCAATGGCAATGTTAAAGGGAAAAAGGGTTCCGCGCTAGCAGCACCACCATCACACGCAGATGACTTGCTTGCCATTGTCATAGGAACCATGGCGCTGAAGGGGTATACCAACTGAGAAGGGATTCGACTGATCTGGTCACAACTCACAAGCCTTGATAAGCCTAAAAGTCGTGATTCGGCTCAGATGGATAAGACCCACAAAGGTCAGTTCTACGCGAAACCATCTGAGAATTCACGACTAGCGAAGCAGAGGGTGTTGGAAACCTGGGGTCAAGATTGCTCAAAGGACGGTCATAAGCGGGCGATTGATGCGTCTGCCTTCCGTCGCGCCGTCCGAGGAGTCTTTTTTTGGCGTACACGAGGAGTTCCTGTGGATGGGACTCACTTAGACACTTTACCATGTTGGGTCATCCGTCTTGCAGCCATATGCAAAGAGCTATACGTTGAAGCGGACGTGAAGGGCATCGCCGCGACGGCGGGCAGAAAGTACCAAGTGGAGATTCGTCACGCTACATGCCCTCATCGGGTGTCGCACCAACCTTTGAACCTGGTCTACCACCGGCGCGGGAGGGTTTACGGGTTTCCCTAGACATTAGGTCCTTAATGCGCTCTGCGCTCCCGATAACTAGTTCATCTTCTTCGAGCCATCCCTCCCTCCCTACCGTGGCCTTCAGTCATAGCACTCGATAGCTCAAAAGATAAAAGGGAAAGGGAAGGAATCTACGGCTACACTTGTTATTTACAAACACTCGAGAAGAAAAATAGGGAAGCTTACTCAGCAACCTCCTCCTCGTCCATACACTCTAGAGGACTACGTTCCTCGAGCACAATCACAGCCCTCCGCGCGCAATAACTTACAGTTAGGGTTACATGCGCGACAGTCAACTGCGCACAGTTCGGGCTTCATATTTGTGACAGGTCTGACCGCCGGTGCCAAGAAGGCTGAAAACGAGGGAAACCCTACGACCTGTTCAACTGTGTTGTGAATCTGATGAGTCTGTGGGATGTGCGACCTGACCGTAGTCGTTTCACGGCGAAACCGCACGCGTTCAGTTTCGCGCTGCCGCCGTCCATGACATCTCGCGTTTCTTTTCGCACGAAATGCGAACGTGCATCGTAATTATGGTGGGGTTGGAGCATAGCCTCTAGCCAAGAGCAGGCTCAATTGTCGGTAATCCAGTGGAATGGCGGGGTCAAGCGGCGTGGCTTGTGCCAAGAAGGCCAAGACTGGAAAAGTCCTGTCTGGCATCGCCGACAAGGAATGCATCAACCTTCCATGACGGCGGGTATGAAACAAGATTATTTTCGCGCAAAGGGATGTGTATAAGAGCAGCTGCAGCCACTTGCAATCCCTGTCGTTCGCTTCATAGTCCTCAACACATCACTTCATTCCTCGGTCCCCTTCACTCCTCAAAGCTTACTTCAGATCCGTTCGCTTCCGATCAGCAGCAATGTTCATCATCAAAACAACAACCGCCGCCGCCGTGCTTTCATGCACCGTCGCGCTAATTGGAAAATCAGCTTTAGCGCTTCCTGTCGACGTGGCCGCTCTCGATCCTCACGATCCGTCCTGGGCGCAACCCCTCACTGAACAACTGAATGCCTTGCGTGAAAAGCTGGATGTGCACGGCGCATCCGTCGCAGTCGTTCATGAAGGTCGTACCTGGCTGCGAGCACTTGGGCACAAGGACATTGCAAAGACCCAACCGGTTACCATTGACACATCGTTCTTGATGGGATCTGTAACTAAGGTGAGATCTCGCTGGGATGAATGTGGTGTCCAGATCTCACTGGGATGAATGTGGTGTCCAGGCATAGAAACTGAACCTTCCTCGTCATTAGTCTTTCACCGCGCTAGGTGCTGCACGCGCTGTTGCCAAAGGGCAGATGCATTGGGACACCCCTTTGCAGGAGTACGTTCATGAATTCTGGCCCAACTACCCCGGCTTTTGGGATCCGGACACTGATAGAAATGTAACTCTCGCGGACCTCCTTTCCCATCGAACGGTGAGTATATACGCGGGTAACAAGTCGTTTGTGAAGATGGAAGCTCACTCGACGCGCTTCGTTGGGCAGGGCGTAGCTGGCAACATCCCCGTCCTCCTCGCATGGAACACAACCGAGTCATTTCTGCAACATCAAAAGAATATCCCGCCATCCGCACCCCTCCGTACACGCTTCCAGTACAGCAACGCAATGTTTGGTCTTGCGGGCTATCTTACGGCGAAAGCGACAGGCCACGCCGATTGGGCAGCGCAGATACGCCAGGATATTTTCGTCCCGCTCCATTTGAGCGCCACCAGGGCAACGATGGCGGAATTCATGGAGATGCCTGATCGCAGCCTCGGGCAGTCCACCGACACCGACCGCATCGAAGATGTCGTGTTGCAAGTAGAATCAGCGGGCGCCATCTCCACATCCGTCAGAGACTTTGCAAAGTATGCACGCGCCTTGCTGCAGACCTTCCGAGGGGATGCCGATCCGCTTGCTATTGGCTCGAAGGTTTTCCAACCGTTCCGCGACCCCCAAATGCGCTTTGACACAAAGCTTGAAGAACTGTATCACTCGGAGTTGTTGCATGGTCACAATACGTCGGACTTGAGCTGTGAGTGTCGTGACGAAACATCTGGCTTGGCATTATGCAACTGATACTGACCACATCGCTTCCCGCTGTTTGTGCATCTCCGCGTTCAGATACGTTCGGACTGTTCAAGGGCCAGTGGCGCAACTACACGTTCTACTTGCACGGCGGCAACAACCTGGGCTACGCCTCTAATCTCTGTCTTCTCCCGGAAGCCAACCTCGCAGTGGCCGTGCTGTCGAGCGCGGACAATACGCGCAACTGTTTCCGCGAAGAGGCATGCGCAACCGCATTCGACGCCGTCCTCGGAACAGCGGAACTTGGCGAGCCCAAGCACGATTGCCCTGCAGTGCCCGCAAGTCGACCATTCCCCCAACCTGGCCCACTCCCTCTCCCCACTTCCGCTTATACGGGCGAGTTTCAGTCACGCATCATGGGCAAAATGCTCGTCGGTGTAGACGCGCAAGGAAATCTGACCATGGCGGTCGGCGAACGGCGCAAGTTCATGACAGGCACTTTATATGCGCCAGCCGGCGGTCCAACGACATCAATGAGCCTTATCGGAAAAGGCGCGCCTGCTCTCCCTCCGTTCATGTTCACCGCCAAAGTCGACGCCAACTCGACTGCCGTCCAGGGATACTACTTTGTGCTGGATGGGAATATGGTTAAAATCTGTGATGAACCGGGGCCGGGGTGTCAGGACTTTTTCAAGCGTGTGGATGCCGCCTGAGCGGCTCTGTGCTCGGCAAGGTGGTTCCCGACGTTTGTCAACTTTGCACTCTTATATAGAAGACATGGAAGACATATACCTGAACCTGTTTAGTAAATCACTTTGTTCAGAGAGCGAATGACCATGTTACTATGTTACAGTACCTTATACAAGACATTTGCTGAATGAGGAGAGAAGCGTGAGGAGCGCATATTCGTATGATGCCGCATCCGTTTGTCGCGATGAACGCCGTTGGGGCGAGAAACGTCGCAGACAATTGAAGTTTCCGACGCGTTCGGCGCGGAATAACAGCCTTCCGCGCAGAATAACAGCCGCAGCGACGTCTGATTCACCGATGGGCTTGGGGTTCCCTCGATGGCGGCCCTTCAAACCTCCCAGTGACGGCCGAGAAGGGTGCGCGGTCAAGATGTCCTATGCCGACAGACAGAGCATCCTCAAATGTCGTCAAGACCGTCTCAGCAGCTGAGGGTCACTCCGTGATTACACTCCCAGCAATCGACTCAAGCGATCGCACTACATTGTTGAGGACCAGGACTTCGGCGCTGAGCGCTTCGGGACCCTCGCCAATCCGTCTGAGCCGAAATCGGCACCGCGGTCGCCTCGCTCGGCGTCATCCCCGAGTAAAGCGAAGTTGGCCAAGGAAGTGATTACTGTGGACGGGTGAAGTGGCGCAAAGGCGGCACCGGCAGAGACCAATGCGGTGTCGCCGGAATCTGCTCCGCTGCGTCTTACATCTCCCAGAGCAATGATCTTGGTTGAATGCAGGCGTCGTTGATTCTCGTATAGCTATAGTTCTTACCCTTCCCCGTCTCAAACGGTTGTTACCCCTGCGCCGTGCTATGTACAACAGATAGAGATTAATCATTGTTTGTATGAAAAGTTCACGTAGTTCTGAATCATAACAAGTGGCAATATCTTCAATGCAACATGATGCAACATCAGACATGCACAGCTTCAATATTGCCGTAACGGGGACCCGGGTTTTCATTGCCTCAGCCTTCTCGCATGAGATGTACCTTTACGGCGTCGAGGAAAGTGGTGCGTTTTACAACTTGCGCTCCACACCGATTCCGGGCTAACCCGGGCTTAACCCGGGCTTTTCGGTCGAGCGGCGCAGAATAAGACTTCGGTCGTCAAAAGTACATTACCAGTATGAGTTCGGTCGAGCGGCGCACAGTGTCATGTCAGAGCGGCTGTGACTTTCAATCCAGCCGGGGCAGGAAAGCGCATCACGAAAAAACTATAAAAGGAGGCGTCATACCGCCGAATTCCCCATCATGACATCGGAAACTCACAATCTGACTGAAATAAGCAAGGATGACAAGCTCTACGTCCTGGCAGACGATTTGAAAAGGGTCGTACAGCCGGCAGGCTTCTGGCAGTCACCGCACGAGGATGCGGTTCATGAGGTGAGCAGTCTTTGACAGTACCTGTCAGTCGACCGCACCTGTCAGTTAGCCTTCGCAAATCGGGACAGTTCTGAGTTCAGTACCATTCTCAATGCATGACTGCGGAGCCGCAAAATGAAGCGTAATGAGGCGTCACTGTGCCGGCACCACATGGGAATTTGTGAATCTGTCGGTGGTACAGCCCAGGGTGGCTGTTGTGGCCTGTCGAGCAGTTATTGGAGGTTGTTGTTCTTTAGGTGGCCAGGCCCCGCATGGTGGTCAAAACACCACTCTTCGTCTTTCAGCAACCTTTTTCCTTTCACCTTCCCTTCCTTATTTACGAAGTGAGCAATGTCTACCAGTATCCCGACCCTCCACAACCTCGCCACAAACGAGCTTGTGGCCTTTGTATGTCAACAAAAGGGACAGATGATTGAGCATACTTCGCCATCTTTCCGACCAGGTGCTCTCAGACACTTGTGAACTCCTCGCCAAACACACCGTTCGGATTTATTGGGTGGATGAAGACTAAGGACTTCGAGGACGATCTTTACGAAGCCTGGAATAAGGGAAGGGTGGGCCGCCGCTACAGTTGTTTTGAGGAGTTTAAAGAAGAGGAAGGAGACGATTACATCATTCTATGTCGCCAATCGCATTCACATATTCCCCCGTGGACTGAGGAAACTGGCCTACTGGGATGCAGGGCGTGGAGTCGAGGGAGCGATGTCGGGTTCTTCGGAAATCCGATGATCGTGAACAGCGCCGCGGCAGATCTTTCCCGCGATGATACTCGAGAGGCCGAGCTTGGACACCCAGTCAGTGCGTACGCCATATGGGACCAGCTGGCACGTTGTTCCTTCTGGGTTCCTTTTCACCTATGCAGCTTGACCCAGGGCTGGTGATCGGAGGGGGGAGGGGGGGGGGGGGGGGGGGAATGTTGACGCGTTCCGCCCGCCCTTCTTCCTCTCCTCGCTTTTGGCCCCCTTCTTCGGGGTACAGGATTCACACACACAACCCAGCAATTATGTACAAGCAGTGTACACATTTGCACATGCACATGATACACAACAGACTGAGAGAGACAGATCTACAGTAGCTTTTTCTTTCACAATCAACCAAATCAAAATCCTCTCACCACATCTCCCGCGCCAGCGGTCCCTCCCTAACCATCCTCACCACATCCACCAGCCCCAACCAAGCCCCACACCCCCCCCACCGCCAAAAAGTCCCCACCTACTTCCCACCCAAACTCTCCCCGGTAATCCTCCTCAACGCCGTCAACATCGCATCCTCCCCTCCCTCCTCCAAGCTCCACCCAGGCGGTAAACTATCAGATCTTGCGTCGTCGTCGGATAGGAGGGATGATTCTGATGCGATTGGGAGTGGGGAGGAGGAGGGGGTGGAGCTTGTTTCTGATGGGAGGGGTCCCAAAGCCAGGTGTTGTTTGGCGTGTGTTGTGGGGGATGGCTGTGGTTGGGGGGGTATGGTGCCGGTTGATGAGGTCGGGGATACCGTTTTTGACGTGTCGTTTCCCGTTGTGGTAAGCGGTGAGAGTGACGCCGGTGTTACCCGTCTGATCGGCGCCGCCGGCCTTCTCCTTCCCACGTCCATTCCCAGCCATCTGCGCCCGCTCATACTCCTGCCTCACATAATTCGCACACCTCTCCACCCCCGGTAACTCCTGTATCAAACTCTGCACCGTCGGATGCGAGAACCCAAAATACTCTGGCCCAGAGGCGCTCGCACTGTTTTCGCGATTCCGGACGGCGTTCGCGCCTTTAAGGACTGCTGTCCATGCGCCGGTGGCTGATTGCGCTGTGATGATGTTTTGGGGCGCATCGTCGGGGACGATTTGAAAGCGCGGGCCGTCGGCGCCCGAGTCGAGGATGGAGCAGACGTAGCGGGTGGATTTGGTAGGGGAGACCATGCTTGCGTAGTTTCTGGTGGTGGGAGGGAGTTAGGGAAGGGGGTTAGTCTTCTTGACGCCGCAGTTGAAGTTACCAAGTCCATTGCGCAACTCACCTGGAAGAAACATATCCAACAGGATAGATATACCTCTCACTATGAAAGTTCTTCCGGTCATACACCACCTCGCCCAGCTGATGCACAGTGATGATCCCGCTCTTGAACGGAACGATCGGCTTTCCCGACTCGTCGCGCGGCACGGGTTGCACTTTGCGGAGCTTGACGGGCACGTATCTTTTGGACGCTGGGCGCGCTCTTGATTTGGTGACGATGGATGGGGTGGCTTCTGGTTGCTCTGTTTCGATGATAGAGCGCGGGTTTGTTTGGGCATGGGTGTGGTTATTGTTCCGAGCAAGACTCATCGACGCATCGGTGTCCATAGAATCCGAATCGCTATCAAACGATGACGAAAGATCCGAGTCCGATCCAGACGAGGAGCTTGCATCTTCATATGTCATCAATCGATCGAGCAGGATACTAAGTCAAAAAGAGACACTCTTCTGATTAGCATCCCGCGCAGGCAGACAATAGAATCTCATTAGGAGAGAATGGCTTTGCGTACTCGGTAGTCTGCTTCAGATATGTAATCTCATACTTGGCCTTTTTCAACTTGGCCGTCAAGTGATCGTGTTCCTGGATGGGTAAGGGTAAACATGGAGAAGTCAACAAGATGCTACTACCAAAGCTGTCTAAAACCATAGGACGGGTGATAACTTACATCCAGCACATCTCTCATCTTTTATGATTATTGTGGGGACGGAAGAGGAGCGAATACACAGCGTAAGAAATCATGATACCCCCAAGAAATCTGAACATAGGCGGTGCTATCTATCATACCTTACGCTTCAACGCCCTATACTTATGTTCATCGACGCTCAAAATGGACGACCCCTTCTCCTTGCTGCTTGGTCGGGAGCGTGAATATGACATGGTGGTAGACGTATAGAGCGAGAGGGGGACGCAATAGAAAGTCCCTCTGTCTTTATGGGAAAGAGAATTGTATGAGCGTGGACAGACCGTGGGAAAATTGCTCAACGCATTTACGAACCACACCTGTTGACGGACGACGTGGGGAAAAGACAGTTCCCTTCACCAGTCTATAGACCTCAACGAAGATAGTCAACCAGTAGAAATGATCGAGAAAGAGTCAGCGAGGGCTGGCTGCTACTGTAAGTGGAAGACGAAAGCAGCTCCCTCAATCAAACAAGAAAGGAAGAAGAACAATGTCCTGGGAAGACACAGTACAAGTCCGTGGGGGGAAAAGGTGAGTGCGTACGGTACAGCAAGTACAGTAGGTGCGTGGGGAACTGCGGTAGGCTGCGTGCTATCTGAGGTAGCTTCAGATAATGTGGGTAATGTGAGGAGGGGGGTAAATGTGTCTGTTGTGCTGTGTGCTGGTAAGGGAAGGAGGGAGGGCGTGGGGGGAACGGTTGTCTGTCTGTCTGCCTGTGTGTGTGTGGGGAGGCCTCCGTCGGCCTATAATATGACCCGCCATGTTGCGCCGTGCGGGTCGGGTGCCTGCCTGCCTGCCTGCCTGGTGCGGGTGCCCGTGTGTGGTGTGAATCGTGTGAGTGAGTGAGTAAAGAGCCGAGTGTGTGAGGAGGACCCACGCCCGCCAGCACGCCCTCCCTCTGTCGAGCCGTGTCATCAGGGAGATGGATGGACAGGGAGCGTTTGTTTGTTTGCCTTCATCAACCTGATGAGAAAGTCTTAAGTCGCCCCCCGCCGTTATCTCCACTTTAGTCACTATTAGGCCCCCAGCGTAATGGGCAATGCCCAGGAAGTGGGGTGCACGTGGAGCCACGTGACCCATTTGTGTTGCGGGCACGGCCGTAGTATCTAAAGGCCTTCAAGTTCGTTCTTTTCTTTCCTCCTCACTGGAAAAGCAACGCAGATAGCAATTCAATCAGAAAGTAGAGTACTTCGAGCGAGAGATCCTTCAGTAACCGTCAGGCTTTCACTCTCGTTCTCTTGCACAGCTTGTTCTTGGCTGTGTTACCTCCGCAACCTGCGTTACGCTATCGTGCGAACTTGCTCCGGTCAAGTCGTGGGAAATACTGCTTTAACCCATTCCGCACACGGAATGGAGCCGTCCACTGTG